CTAAATTACTTTAACAGCTTTATTTGTACTTCTTGTACATGGGTCACTCCTAGAATCATGTTTAAACTTTAGTTTAAAAACACCCTCTGGACTTTTATTTGCAAGACAATTTCCCTCACAAACTATTAATGAATAATTTGGAAGATTTATAATTTCATTTAACCAAATAAACCTTTGATGAGCACACTATGAATGTTCCAGGTTTGCAAACTAATCTGTTAAACATTTTTAACAGTGTGCCCTTATTTTAGCGGTGCCCTTTAATTCGCCAGAGCTCAGCTAATGAATAGCTGTCTAACCTAGGTCACACTAAATGAAGACATCACTTAATTTGCATGATTAATTTGCCACTCACCCCAAATATGTTCAGAACTACAAATTCTCTTACTTTAGTGGATTCTTATGTTTATCTAATATTAGGATTAAAGGTGCATTATGTAGAAATGAAGTAAAAATTACATCCTGTGGTAAAATGTGGTTACTGCAACCACTTTAAACAACTGGAGCTTTTTACCGGCTGGTGTCAAATTACAATTGTCGGCGCTGCAGTATTAGCTCGCAGGAGACAAGGCAACCCCACACTCACAGATGGTAAACAGGAGTTACGTCCCTCCTCCTTTGTTTTGAAAAGAGAAAAATTTACAATCCCCACATTAGCTGGATTTGAAATATGTTTCAATATAACCTTCCTTCCAAAATGACCGAAACATTAGATTAATGAGGTGGTGCTCACTCCTCACCCCTGCCACGTGGACCCAAGGGATAAACCATCAACCTTACTCAATGGTCAACTTTCCTTGCGGGGTCACCCATAAAGACAGTGGGAGGGTTAAGGAATGATGAAACAACCTTTTTCTGTTGTGGCTATAATACTTTTTACTCACTAAATAATTAGTGAGAAGAGCGAGTGATTTTCAGCTCCACTTCAGCTGATTAAAATCAGACGATTTAGATGTGGGTAGTTTATTCTAACTTAAATTAGAGAGATGTGTTTGGTATTCTTCCATATTTACTGTAATACATTAAAAAAATATATATATATATTTGGGGTGACGGTGGCACAGGAGTTAATCAGAAGGTTACAAGTTCGAGCCCCGCTCAGTTTCTTGCTGTCGTTGCGTCCTTGGGCAAGACACTTAGCCCCCCTTGCCTGTTGGTGGCGCCAGTGCTCAGCAGACTCGCCTCTGTCAGTGCACTCCATGGGAGCTGTGGCTACATTGTAGCTCATCACCACTAGGGTGTAAATGTGTGTGTGAATGGGTGAATGACTGATTGTGTTGTAAAGTGCCTTGGGGGGTTCCAGGACTCTAGAAGGTGCTATATCAAATACAGGCCATTTTACCATTTAATTCAAACAATTCTGTTTTTCCATCCAACATTTCACTTGCATCTATTATTTCACATGTGAAACTCCCAGTTACTTGATTCTGAATGAATAATTGTTCCAAACAACTGTATAATGTTTCAATCAAACACTTGGCTCAGAAAACCTTTACATAAAAGACATTAAAAAAATGTTATTTCCACGTACACTCAGCCAACACTGAATCAATTAAATCATAGAAAAAAATAATTTACAAGCTGATAAATGAGGATTCATAACTAAATCCAAAGGGGAAACACACACACACACATTGAGATTATTCCAAAGAAATAATGTGGAGTTAGATTTATCGTGTAGAGACGAGCGCCGCGTTTGTTACCTGGAACAGCTACATTTCCACTAATTTACTGGACGGTGCCAAGAACAAACATTCTGGGAGTTGAAATAATTTACCAAGTAAACATAACTTATGAGGACACTTGCCTTGGGCTATAATGCAGACCAGAAACAATGTTGAAACCATTAGCCGTGATGCTTGCAGTGGGTCGTATTACCCAGCCCTGTCACCCTTGGGTGTTGCAAAACAGCAGGCACCTCTGGCCAGGAATAATATTTCTGAAAAAAAAAAAAACAAGAGAGCTCCACATATGGGCGGTCCCCATTAATGTCTAAGGAAAACATCTCATCAGCATGCTGCGAGTGCACAAAAGGTGTAATAAAACACCCGCTCAAACCAGAATGACATTAGTTGTGACAAATTCAGACGTTTTGTGTGTGTGTCTAACAGTAATGTAAACCATATGATCAGAGGTGTTGCTCTGTGAACCTTTAATTAAATGCATTAGGTCATGTTGTGCTACGTAACATAAACACAAGTATTAAATGCAGCTTAGTAACAAAGCAGTGGCTTTACATGAACTCTACTGGCAACCAGAGGGAATTTCAATAATTGAGCTGCTTCCATCGAAATGTTGCTTAAACTTTTAAACAAATTTGCAAGTTCACATTGAAACAAATATTTTAAACAAATGTATTTATAAGAAGCCTTTGAGTGAGTTTTCTAAAACACGTGGAACAATGTCTGTTTATTTCTGTTCTCTTTATTATGTGATTTCCAGATTTTGTGGTTATTTTAATTAAAAATTATTTACAAAAAGCCAAATTTGCATAAAAGCAACTTAAATTTTCCATTTGAATAGCAACTATATGAGTAAAGAAATGATCCTCTGAAGTGAGTCTCTATAGAACAGGTTGTTCTAGGGTTGTCCCGATACTAAAATTTCAAACTCGATTCGATACTTGAAAAAAACTCGATGCTCGATTTCAATACTATTTAAAAACACTAATTTATTGAACAAGTTTATTAAAAAAATAACACTCCTCAATTTATACCTCAAAGTTAAAATGGTCTCTCTCAGTATTTTAATATAATATCAGAGAAACGGTGACGATGCGTTAAGTGGGCGCCCCGTAATCGGAAGGCTGAAGGTTCAAGCCCCGCTCAGTCTGTCACTGTCGTTGTGTCCTTGGGCAAGACATTTAACCCACCTTGCCTGCTGGTGGTGGTCGGAGGCACCAGTGCTCGGCAGCCTCGCCTCTGTCAGTGTGCCCCAGGGCAGCTGTGGATATTGTAGCTCATCATCATCAGTGTGTGAATGGGTCAATGGCTGAATGTGCTGTAAAGAGCCTTGGTGGGTTCTAGGACTCTAGAAGAGCTATATCAAATACAAGCCATTACCATTATTATCAGAGTCAGAAATCTACTTTTTTAAAGAAGCAGGTAAATTAAAGGTATGGCGGAGGATCTTTTTCTTCCATCTGAACCATTGATCCACATAACTGTCAATCATTCTGGAGAAGCTTTCACAAAAGGCCATCATCATACGTGCTCGTTCCTGGGTTAGTTCTCACTTCCTGCGCATTCTGTTTATGTGTAAGGCGATTCGCCATCATTCCTCGCTGTTCTCACTTGGTTCTTTTGATAATGGCTGAGAGTCGCAAGAGAAAAAGTGCCTTTGAAGTCTATGATAAGGAGAGAAAGGCCTCCGAAGTGATATATAAGACCAGAATTTGTTAGGAAACTCTTTTCAACTATGGCGCGCGCTGAAAGCGAAGGTTGGGCTCCCCACAGATTCCTCCGTCACCGTTTTTCTGCCCGATAGCTAAGCTGAAGTTCAGCATGTTATTTGGAGAAATGCATTTCAGATTACTAGTAGAAGTGCTGCAAGGTCGGCAGCTGATTGTAAACAGAGCGTGCACGAGCATAAGCGTTCTCTAGTGAATTTTTTTAAAAACATGGAGGGGGTGGTTCTTTCCTGAAATTCAGAAACATCCTCCGCAATACATTCAGCATGTTTGCTATTACTAGACCTAATTGTAATTTAATGAGACTGGTTAAATTGTGTCTCCAAACCATTATTCTTCTGTTTGCTGGTGTTGCCGTTAAAATGCAGCAACACAAGAAAGTGTATTTATAGAAAGACCTTTTGCTCAGTCACCTCCATCTAGAATCACTCTGATTGGTGGGTATTTTAAAAGTTTTATCCATCAGATTTTCTGGTCTTGACTTTGCACACAATACCACACCCCTAGACACCCATACCCAGATTTATTTATTTTTTCCCCCGTGCAGGAGGGTATAATCTCTCTTCATGGGAGGCAGCTGCAGTTTTGCATCCCTTCATTGGCTAATCTTCTTGTGTTGAAATCCGATGACACGTGTTCAATGTGTTGCTTACATTTATTTATAAAAATCTGCATTAGGAAAACAATTCACTCAAGCTGAAATTTATCCTCTTCTGCTGGTGTCAAATTGAAACTTACACACACAACTCTGGCCAATCTAAACACAATGTTTCAGGTCCACACAAACCTTGGCTTGTGCAGAGCTCCAGCTGAGCACTTGACCAAACAATTTAAGCATCTGGTGAAATAATTGATAAACAAACTCACACTCTAAAAAGATGAATTTTAGGGTAATTTAGGCTTTTCAGAACTGTGTAAATCTGTTTTGTTGCCATTTTAATGGCTGCATTTGTACAATAATTTGTAGTAGTGACATAACCCCTGATCCACACACATTTATGGCATGGATTTGCAAGCAAACACAAATTTCACAAGCTCCATGCCAGTGATATAATGAGACTAATGATTAAAACAATCCTCCTCATCTCTTGGACCCTCCATAAGCCAGATTTCCAACCCCTGCGCAGCACTTTTCATTCCAACTACATTACATAAATCAGTGAGACTGCAGAGAAGTGGAAAGGAAGAGTCTCATAAGTAATAAGAGAGGGAAAAAGAATATCAGAAGGAATTATTTGGATATGAGCTCACCACGATGTAGCCCATATAGCACCCACTTTGGATTAATTCCTCAAATCTTTGTTGCACAATCAAAACAAGTTCTTGTGCAATTCATCATATGGAAATAAACCATTCCCGAAGCACCGCTCTTCCTCCATCAGCTTTTCTACACTTTGTATTTACACATCCAAAACATTTTTACTGCTAGTCACCAGAAACTAAGCCACATTTTTAAAAGCGTTTGTCAAATCAATCCTCCGTTTGACACGGAATTTAGAATCTTGAGTAGTACGAGCGCGTGATAAAAGTATTCACGTGAGCAGAAACGCTTTAAATCCGCAGTAAAACACGCTGAAAGTGACGCTCTTACCGCATTACTTCCAGCCATTCAGTTTTGATTGGAGGTCTCTTCCTCGCGCTGGCTGCACACGGACTGCACTTCCCACTGTCACTTCGGCGCGCGCCCACTTCGCCAGATGCATCTCCTTCTATGCGCGAGCAGCGCGCACGTGCACCAATACCCCCCCCCCCCCCCCCGCCCCCCCAGAGCAAGCTTCACTGGTCCTTCAAGAATATGTCAAATGTATTTCCTTAAAGTTATTTAAAGAATCAAAGTGGAGAAGAATGGGTTCCAAAAGGTTAAAAACTGCGTTTGATACTGAGGAAGCAAGATGGACGGAGACTGTTGTAAATGCGAGGGTGAGCACCATAAGAAATTTGATTTATACATTTATTTGTAAGCTGAACAATTGTAAAAATGTGATTTTTTAAAAATCTAACCAGTACCCGTGTCAGTGAAATACATTACCATACATGTGGAACATGGTTTAACAGCCTTTTTCTTTTTTAGAATAAGCAGTTACTATAATTTATACTTTATTTTCATACTCTTGTTGTTGTCTCTTGATTCTGTTTTCATGATTATTTGGCTCTTATGCTTTAATGTGTCATATTGTGCTCATTTCATTTTATCTGTACAATGTTTTTCTACTTCTGTGAATTGGACTAAGAGTCCAGAATAAAGAATCCTTTACTCAAAATAGGGTCATGATATGTAGGTGGATTATTTCTTTCTTTGTTTACTTCATGTTATGCTAATTTATTAGTTAGAGTCATAAACTTTTGTTTTCTTGGGTTTGTTCTTCACCCTCCCTCAGCTCCTGTCACTGATCATGCACACTAGTTTTTCCAACAGTGATCTGCTCACCTGCCCCTGGTTTCTAATCACCACCTGGAGGGATCACCTGAACTTGGGCCCTTTCTACAACCCCACACTGTGACAAAAAGTCAAACTATTCTGACTACTTTAGTAAAGTTGAAGTATTCATGAAAGAATGAGCTGATTTAAAAAACAACCTGTTAGGCATCTACAGCTGATATCCTTAATAGTTTTAACCCTTTATTGTCAGATGTATCAAATTTGGTGCACACACATTTTTTGGGTCTCTATCTCTTTAACAGGATTAGTACATTTGTCAAACTTCTACTCCATTATAATCTGTACAAATCTCCGACAGGAGGTGAGAGACAATTTTATTATGACATTACCTATGTGATATTGTAGCCTAGAAATCTAAACAGAGCAGGAGCAAAAAGATTTTGCTACAAAGGTCAGTCTAGCCATGCCCCAAAAGAACCTTTGCAGGTCTATGAACAGTTTTGTGTTATGCCAATCCACAGCGCTCCATTGGCTTGGTGGGTGGGATGATGCGACGGCGTGAACCAAATAAGATGGCAGCAGCTTGTTTGAAACGGCTTTGACATCATCTAGGGAGTGTTTAGACTTTGGCTTTTCTCCTTTATTTAGAAAAATGATGTATTTGCGTCATCTTTGACGGTGTTTGATGGTGTAGCAGACCGTCCCATTGTGGACATGTGGTGAGTATGCCATGATGTTTGTTGTTCAATAGCATGAGACAACTGTCTGAAAGACAACCATAGATCTCGCCCCACGGCTCAGATCTATATGTGTCGTTGCCAGACTGCTTTCAACTTATGATTAAACATCATTAATTGTAATTAAATGATGTATATATATGTATATATGTATATATATATATGTATATATATATATATATATATATATATATATATATGTGTGTGTGTGTGTGTGTGTGTGTGTGTGTGTGTGTGTGTGTGTGTGTGTGTGTTCCTCCTTGAACCGTCACATTATCATGGTGGAGGAGTTTGAGTGCCCTAATGATCCTAGGAGTTATGTTGTCTGGGGCACTTTGTGCCCCTGGTAGGGTCTCCCATGACAAATTGGTCTTAGGTGAAGGGTGAGCAAAGAAAGGTTCAGAGGATCTTTCATGGATGAACTATCAAGAAGTCTGAGTACCCGGCCCGGAGGGTTACCGGTGTCCCACCCTGGAGCCAGGCCTGGGGTTGGGGCCCGTGAGCGAGCGCCTGGTGGCCGGGCTTTCGCCCATGGGGCCCGGCCGGCCCCAGCCCGAACCGGATACATGGGCTCATCCAACTGTGGACCCACCACCCGCAAGAGGAATATGAAGGGTCCGGTGCAGTGTGGATTGGGTGGCAGACCGAGGCGGGAGCCTTGGCGGTCCGATCCCCGGACAAGGAAACTGGTTTTGGGACATGGAACGTCACCTCGCTGGCGGGGAAGGTGCAGGAGCTTGTGGCAGAGGTTGAGCGGTACTGGCTAGATATAGTCAGACTCACCTCGCCACATAGCATTGGCTCTGGAACCCAAGTCCTTGAGAGGGGTTGGACACCCTCCTTCGCTGGAGTTGCTCCGGGTGAGAGGCGGAGGGCTGAGGTTGACTTTTTGTTAGCCCCAAGACTCTCTGCCTGTGTGTTGCGGTTTACCCCGGGGGACGAGAGGGTAGCTTCCCTGCGCATTCGGGTCAGGGAACGGGTCCTGACTGTTGTTTGTGCTTATGGTCCAAATATCAGCTCAAAGTACCCACCCTTTTTGGAGTCCCTGGGACGAGTGCTAGATAGTGATCCATCAGGGGATTCCATTGTCCTGCTGGGGGACTTCAATGCGCACGTGGGCAATGACAGCATGACCTGGAGGGGTGTGATTGGGAGGAACGGCCCGCCTGATCTGAACTCGAGTGGTGTTTCGTTATTGGACTTCTGTGCAAGCCCCAGTTTGGCCATAACGAACACCATGTTCGAACATAAGGATGCCCATCGGTACACTTGGTACCAGGGCAGCCTAGGACGCAGGTCGATGATAGACTTGATAGTTGTATCATTTGATCTGCGGCCGTATGTTTTGGACACCCGAGTGAAGAGAGAAGTGGAGCTGTCAACTGATCACCACCTGGTGGTGAGTTGGATCAGATGGCAGGGGAAGAAGCCGGGTAGACCTGGCAGACCCAAACGCATAGTGAGGGTCTGCTGGGAACGCCTGGCAGAAGAACCTGTCAAGATGGTCTTCAACTCTCACTTTCGGCAGAGCTTTGACCATGTCCCGAGAGCAGTGGGGGATATTGACTCCGAGTGGGCCTTGTTCGACTCTGCGATTGTTGAGGCGGCTGTTGCTAGCTGTGGTCTTAAGGTGGCCGGTGCCAGTCGTGGTGGCAACCCCCGTACCCGGTGGTGGACACCAGAGGTTCGGGGAGCCATCAGGCTGAAGAAGGAGGCCTACAGGGAGTGGCTGGTCTGTGGGTCTCCGGAGGCAGCAGACAGGTACCGGATAGCCAAGCGGGGTGCAGCAGTGGCAGTTGCCAAGGCAAAATCTCGGGCGTGGGAGGAGTTTGGTGAGGCCATGGAGAAAGACTATCGATCGGCTCCAAAGAGGTTCTGGCAAACTGTCCGGTGCCTCAGGAAAGGAAGGCAGAAACTCGCTCACACTGTTTACAGTGGGGATGGGGAGCTGCTGACTTCAACTGGGGCTATAGTCAGACGGTGGAAGGAATAATTTGAGGAGCTCCTCAATCCCACCTACGCACATTCCGAGGAGGAACCAGAGCCGGGAGACCTGGGAATGGACTGTCCAATCTCAGGGGCCGAAGTTGCTGAAGTAGTCAAACAACTACACAGCTGCGGAGCACCGGGGGCGGATGAGTATCGTCCTGGATATCTCAAGGCTATGGATGTTGTAGGGCTGTCGTGGCTGACACGTCTCTGCAACATTGCGTGGTCATTGGGGGCAGTTCCTGTGGAGTTGCAGACCGGGGTGGTGGTCCCCATCTTTAAGAAGGGTGACCTGAGGGTGTGTTCCAACTATAGGGGGATCACACTCCTCAGCCTACCTGGAAAGGTCTACTCCAAGGTACTGGAGAGGAGGGTCCGATCGATAGATGAATCTCAGATTGAGGAGGAACAATGCGCTTTTCGTCCTGGCCGTGGAACTGTGGACCAGCTCTATACCCTTGCAAGGGTGATGGAGGGGGCATGGGAGTTTGCCTAACCAATCCACGTGTGTTTTGTGGATTTGGAGAAGGCTTATGACCGTGTCCCCAGGAGCACCCTGTGGGGGACGCTCCAGGAGTATGGGGTGGGTGGCTTTCTGTTAAGGGCCATTCAGTCCCTTTACCAGAGGAGCGTGAGTTTGGTCCGCATAGCCGGTAGTAAGTCGGACCTGTTCCCGGTGAGGGTTGGACTCCGCCAGGGCTGCCCTTTGTCACCGGTTCTGTTCATTACCTTTATCGACAGAATTTCTAGGCGCAGCCGTGGTGTGGAGTGTGTCGAGTTTGGTGGCAGGAGAATCTCGTCTCTGCTTTTTGCGGATGATGTGGTCCTCCTAGCTTCATCCAGCTCTGACCTTCAGCACTTGCTGGGTAGGTTCATGGCCCAGTGTGAAGCGGCTCGGATGAGGATCAGCACCTCCAAATCCGAGACCATGTTTTCGACCGGAAAAGGGTGGCTTGCCAACTCCGGGTCGGGAGAGAGGTCCTACCTCAGGTGGAGGAGTTTAAGAATCTTGGGGTCTTGTTCATGAGTGAGGGTAGGAGGGATCGGGAGATCGACAGGCGGATTGGTTCGGCGTCTGCAGTGATGCGGACGCTGAGCTGATCTTTCATGGTGAAGAGGGAGCTGAGCCAGAAAGCCAGGCTCTCGATTTACCGGTCGATCTACGTCCCAATCCTCACCAATGGTCATGAGCTTTGGGTAGTGACCGAAAGAACGAGATCGGGGATACAAGCGGCTGAAATGAGTTTCCTCCATAGGGTGGCCAGGCTCAGCCTTAGAGATAGGGTGAGGAGCTCGGACATTCGGGAGGGACTTGGAGTAGAATTGCTGCTTCTCCGGATCGAAAGGAGTCAGTTGAGGTGGCTTGGGCATCTGGTCAGGGTGTCTCCTGGACGCCTCCCTGGGGATGTGTTTTGGGCATGTCCTGCCGGTAGGAGCCCCGCGGGTCAACCCAGGACACGTTGGAGAGGTTACATCTCCAATCTGGTCCGGGAACGCCTTGGGGTCCTGCCGGAGGAGCTGGTGGAGGTGGCTGGGGAGAGGACGGCCTGGAGCTCCCTAGTTGGGATGCTGCCCCCGCGACCCGAATCCGGATAAGCGGAGGAAGACAACGACAACGTCTCTCTCTCTCTCTCTCTCTCTCTCTCTCTCTCTCTCTCTCTCTCTATATATATATATATATATATATATACTTTTATATATATATATACACACACACACACACATATATATATATATATACACACATATATACATGTATATATATATATATATATATATATATATATATATATATATATATTCAGAAAAGGTAATTGAGCCATTGCACAGCCTTTTTTCTCAAAATTCTCACGCAACAAAGGATTGTGGGTAAACCCTTGTCTGAAGTCCACATCAATGCGGACTTGGGTGAAGTACGAATCCAGGGTGCAAAGGGGTGTGGTCACTTGCACCGCTGGCTGGTAATGCGCACTTGAAGGGTGCAAGGTTGGAAGTGCGAGTATTGGAACTGGGCCTAGATATTCACAAATATAAGATGGCTTGCCAGGTTAGTGATATTAGATATTAAGGCTGAAAAGGTTAACACATTTGTGATGCATTAACTAATTTATCACCTCATGCTGACAAACATTCATCAGCCATTAATGCTTTTTCATTATGTTTGACTTGATGTGCGGAGATCCAAATCTAAATAAATACTTTCAGAATAGGCTGTTTAGATTAATACATATGCCAAACTGCTACAAGATGTTTTATGGCTGTTTTGCACTACATAGGTTTACCACTATTACTATTACATATGAGTTCACATGGCTCTTCTTCACTTTATGGTATTTTTATTTCCAGTGGTTTCCCTATAATTATGTTTGAGGTGCTCAGAACTGACCTCACACTGACCATATTCTGGTTTCTGGTCTGCACCGTTTCCAACAAGGTCTCTGTCGTTGTCAAATCTGTACAATTTGTAGTGGATTGGATTAAATGATATGCTTTATTTTGCCACTGCTAGATCTGATATGCAAAAGAAGTTAAAGTACCCTTATTGTTCTGTCAGCACATGCTGACAAACATTCTGCCTGACCTTGCATTGTCAAAAACACAAAAAGATGCAAACAACAAAGAAACTTTTAATCTGTGTACACGATTGCACTGTAACTGCAAGTCAGAGTAACGTTTCTGAGTCTCGAGATGATGCTCAGAGCTGTAAACAAGTCCACTGGGACGCCACTCCAAACAAAACCAGATGGGCAACAACAATTCACAAAAGAACATATTCTCCAAGAAAAATTGGGACACAGGGGTTTTACTGTTAACAAGTTGCAGAAAACAGCTGGTATCAGTCTTTTTTGTTTGCAGTTCTTTTTCCCTAAAGTGGCAAAATGAGAATTTAAGCAAAGGGTCACACGAATCTTTTATCCAAAATAAGTCATCTCCTTCTGTGAGCTCAAGCTCAGTTTTTATTTAGTAAATGGACCAAAGGCCAAATAATAAAGTTTACAGTGATGTTGCAATTTGGAGAGTGTGAGGACTATTGTAAGGACATAAAAAGTAACATATTTTATAAAAACCATAATATCCCATCTTAAAAAAACGGATAATTTCCACAGGTAGCAAAGTACAGCCAAAAAATGTTCTAATGTATTTTAAAAAATACATAATTGATAAATAAACACTTTAAACGAGGCAGGAGTTTATTCTTGTTGGTTGCTTTATAGTTATTTATGACGGGAGGATGTATTTATAAACTCTGAACTGGAAAAGAGACATTTATGTTGTTGATTTGTTTGCTTTTATGCCAAATTCTAGAATGAAAACATTTTCAGGATCCTGAAAATTTTCTACTGATTTTAGCATAAAAATATTTAGTGGTGAACAATATTCTTAGATGTATGAACAAGTAATAAATCATAAAGGTGGGGAACAGTGTCATAAAATAAAAATCACATGTGCTATTCATGAAATGTCAGTTTGTATTGACGTACTGGAGGGAATGGTGGATTCTGTTCTTTTTTTTTAATTATTATTAGATCAGATCAGATCAGAAGAATGTCTGTTGTCAACATCACATCTGGTTGTAACCAATGCCTTTCTGCTGGCTGACTTCTTATTTTGCATAAACACATATTGGTATTAATGTTCGTTTTTCTACAGATTTTCTAAATGTGTTACTGTTATTGTCTTCTAACTAATAAAAATACAATTTAAAGAAACTGTGTGGCTTTCATATGTAGAATGAAGGCACTAACACAAATACAGAAGGACACTTTAATGGCTAAAATTTGCCTGGTCTTTGAAATGTATTTTGGCAAATTCTCTACCTAAAATCTGTTAAATACAGGCTTTAAAACAACTAAAATATCAGAATAAATCACATGAAAATTATAGCATGAGTGTCATTTAAAGTGTTTTTGTGTCACCTGGAGTTACAGATGAAGATGCAAAATGTTCTGACAGCAAAGTCTTCTTTTGGACAGATCAAATAGTTTGTGGGCTTATTTTAATGGTTACGTTATTCTTAACAAAATATATTTAATAACAGGTAAAGTATCGTCTTTTTGCCATATTTTACGTGATATTTGACCTTAAATGTATTTTTGATCAACACTACCACCTGCTGGCTAATTTGGTGTGATGAACAACAGAAGAAGAAGAAGAAAAGATCTTGTCTATAGCGCCTCTCAAGATAAAAATCACGAGGCGCTTCACAAAAACAAAAAATGTAAAATATAAAAAAGAATTTAGAAAATGATTAAAATATATTTAAAATGAGCAAAAAATTAATAAATACATCAATATATAAATAACAGGCCTGTCACTCGGTACAATACTGAAACTTTTTTCTTGTTGAAATCTCTATTGTATGGTTATGAAAATATGGTGCAATAACTCATAAAAGTGAAACACAATGTATTATTCATTTTTACCGGATATACTTCGATTATGTCATAAATCTCATCTGCAGTGATATAAAAAAAGCACATTACACAATAATTTATTGGTTAAAAAGTATGAAACCGTGTTGAAATCAAAGTTTGGCAAAACAACAAATATAAGTGTTTTAAATAAAATACATATTTTAACTTTTTATTTAGGAGGTGGATGTCTTCCAAAATAGAACGCCTAATATTGGGTGCGTTTGTTGTTCTCTCGCGCCGGGGTTTCCGTAACTGGCTTCCGTTCGTCACGTTTTTTTATTTTAGATCCCGCCCTTCCAGACTACTCTGTTTTACAAAACCATTGCGCCTGCCCACCACTGCGCCATCGCCTGTTGCGTTAGCTTGTTGGCTAGAAGAGAGCTAGCTCGCTACTGCTTAAGGGGGCGAATTGCTTGTGCTCCAAAAGGACGACCTAAATTGCAATTTGATAAATTTTATCGAAAAGCAAGACATTTTGCTCGTAAAGGTCGTGGTGAGTATTTTGTACCCAGACATTTTTCATTTTTCCTTCCTTTTTCTTTTCTTTTTGGATATTTTTCAACGATGATTTTCTATTTTGCGAGTGGACAGGACATAATGTGCTGGCTAGCGGGGTGCTGGTTAGCTCGTCCCCCCTGAAAGACACAAACGCTGCTTGAGGTTTTCTAGACACAGGACGCTTTGGAAGCATCTTAGCTACACCTCAACCTGTTTTTGAAAGTTTGTTTAGCTGTAATTTTTCTAACATTTGTTGTGAAGATTTTTCCTTGGCGGGACTTGTTTGTTTTTGCACGCTTTTTAGACGGATGGACAGTTAACGTTAGCTCTTACAGCTTCACACGCAGCATCCCCTATCCGTGATTAATTACAGAGTATCAACTGCATTTTTATCTGAATTTTATAGGTTTTGGTTTTTGTAAGCACACGAACTGGTCAGATGTCTGAGAATTTTTAAAACAAATTTTCCTGTAGTGGTTGGCTAACGGTATCCATGCTAGCCGGCTAATAGCCGTCCATGCTAGCGCAGGGCCTGTGTTTCACACTGAAGCCTGGTGGTGGCGCTGTTGGTTTTCCAGGCAGGTGTGTTGTGGATGGTTAGGTTTTTCTCCTTTTTTTTCTTTTTGACGTCAGACTTGCTTTCCTGGCTCGCACTCCACGGTCAGCCTTTTCAAAGCGGAGTTTTTATTTTTAACCCTGGTTTTTTTCCTGGCATGATGAGTTTTTCATCTTATTTGGATTGCTATGGACTTCCAGCAGCCTTGGTTTTATTACATAACAACAAATACACACATGTAATTAAACATTTGTATTGAAACAGTGTTCTTTTTTCAATGTGTATCAAATTCACCTCATTTCTCCACATGCACGCACAGGCTGCAGTAACGTTGCACCCATAAATCGTAGTTGTGGCCTAATGTTATTCCTACTAGCCCCACATGATAGTTTGGAGTGCTGTAGATTCTAAGAATGAAGCTAATGACTTCAAAGGGTTTAAATCGTCACCTATACATATTCTAACCCGTTTACCAATGCAAAGAGAAACAAGTAGTACTGAAAATGAAGGGAGATCGGACAGCGGAGAGTTGTATTGAGACAGTAAAGATGAAAGCTGAATAATTTCCTGTTGTAACCAAAAACAGACTGTCCAAGAAGAATGCTGCTTTGTGTAGGAAAATCTGGCATCTGTTGTAGTCCTAACAGTGAAACCCATTTACCCCTGTGATGGATCATTCTATAACATCCCATAACCAAATCTTGTATAATTCATGCAACACGTTTATAACATGGAACAAAATTATGTCATAACGTCTGTCAACATTAACCTTAAGTTTAAATGCAAAGGAATAACACAATCAGGTTTAATAGTCAATAAAATGAAAGAGTCAAAGGTACCTGTGTATTTTTAGACATTTTTACAGTTTTCTCATAATCTGCTAAAGTACAGATTAGGTTTTTGGTTCTCATCTTTTGCAACTACATTTAAGATTTAAATGAATTCAAAACATCTGTTAAAATCATCAACCCTGAAGCAATGATTTTGTTTTACAATAATACATTTAACGTAAATCTATCCTGTTTCCCACCACTTCACCTGGTTGGTGTGTAGCTTTAGCCACTGCAGCTAACTTTTGTCTAACCCTGTGTAACATAAACTCCTGCATACAATCTGGCCAGGTAAGATTTGGTACAAGATGACCTTGCCCAGCTTGACTGAGGTGTGTTTTCTGTCACCTCAGTATAAATCGTGAGGGGCGAAGGTGAAGGTCCAGACACCAGCCCAAACTGAGCCCAGCCCCCTCCTCAGTGTCAAACACCAGACAGACGGCAGCCCTGCACACAGACGCAATGGAGTGAGTGATGAATGTTAAAACCCCACCAGCTGGGTGAACCTACTGTTGATTCCACTTCTGTTTTTTTTGTTCACTTCTCCAACTAAACGAGCCTTTCCTTCCCTCACGTCCAAAAGTCTTATCAACCCATTCAGTCAGCAGTGAGCGCGGTTAGAAATTCTCATTAAAAAGCGATTTCATTATCACCCTCTTTATTCGTGCACTTTAGTGAGGTTTACTACCTGTCACAACTGCATGACAAAAATAGCCACCCTTGAGTAAATATTGCACATGTCTCAGCAGGCAAGGCATGGAGTCGCATTTTAGTCTCAGACGTGGAATGTTCAGATGTCCCTAACCCATTCCTGTGAGCCCAGATTGGGGGGGGGGGGGGGGGTAGGAACAGGAATCATGTTTGTAGATGGTTCAGAGGAGATTAAGCATTTAACAAATAAACTTGCTGCATAAACTACTTTAAATGTAAATGGGGTTGTCCCAGTGTGAAAATGTAACCTCACGGTTATTGTGACCAAAATTATCACGGTTTTCAGTATTATCGTGGTATGTTTTTTAAACGTGCTACATTTTCATACAACTAAATAAACCCTGTATATCAGGAAAATATTGTCCTCAGTTTGTGTCTAAATTTTGCTTAAAATTAGGTATTTTGTAATTATGTTGTTAATTTGTTTACATTTTTCCCCTTTAGTTTTTAAAATAACTATTTGCCCATAACTTCTTATTTTTTGTCTGTTGTCATCGTTTTAAAAATATTAGATCAGATGATACTCAGTACTCAAGTAGCCTTCTAATCAGATACTTTTTTACCCTTACTTGAGTAATAAATCCTATATCAGGAAAATATTGTCCTCGGTTTGTGTCCTTCCAGTGAGCTTCGTAGATTTGGGAAAATGTCATCAGGCAGTAATCAATGTTAAATTCATAATTATTCTCGGAGAGAGACCAACTCTTATCTCCCCTGGGAGCCCCATAATGCATAGCGTCATTTCAATATGGGGGTGTCCGTGACACGGTTTATATGCAGGTAGCGGTGCTGCGGCTGCTTTATATAGCAACTCGTTGCATTCTCCCTCAACCCAAATCCTCAGATCACGCATTTTAGCTAAAACGCTAACGTTAGCTTGCCTTGCGTTGACTGTAGAGTTGTGGGTGATGGTCACACAGAAGTGTCATGAGATTTGAAGCGTTGCTGCCTTTCACAGACACTTTTTCTGCACGTGCTGCAAACAGGATAGCCGTCTTCTATCAACTGTCCCTCTGCATTCTTCAAATATCAAAAAAAAAATTCCCATACTTCCCACTTTGTCTTCTTTGGGGGATAATAAATGTCCTGAGCGCTGCCGTCTCCTCCTCTGGCCATTATTTCAGCTTTAGCTTCAAGACAGTTTTGGCTGTAAACAACAAAGTGTGCATGTGCCGCCGGCAACTTCAGCAGATGATACGGTGGCTGGTAAGGGTCACTGCGCCTACACCACAGCCACTGGGGTGTTTTTAGAATTTTCTTTAAGGTATAAAACAATGTGATTAATGCAGCCTGTTTAGTTATAACGAACAGCTACTGATGTTACAGCTTGGACCCCAGATAACTTCTTGCCTGCTTCCTTCTGTAATGTCTTAATCTTTGCAAGTTCCTCAGAAAACCGTGGCTTCTCTGCTGATTTTTCAGTCCCTGCAGCTGGGAGCTCCTCATCCTTTCAGAGGGGTCAGTGTTTTACGTCCTGCCTCTAAATCTCATGGTTGTTGTTATGTGTGTTTTTTCCATCAGTCGCTCATCTTCCTCCAGCCTAATGGCCAGCAGCAATGTTACCAACAAAACTGATCCACGCTCGCTCAACTCCCGGGTCTTCATCGGTAACCTCAACACCCTGCTGGTCACCAAGGCAGACGTCGAGGCCATTTTCGCTAAATATGGGAAGATCGTAGGCTGCTCCGTCCACAAGGGCTATGCCTTTGTTCAGTTCTCCAATGAGAGGAACGCTCGGGCTGCCGTCGCTGGGGAGGACGGCAGGATGATTGTTGGACAAGTGCTTGGTGAGGACTTACAAAATATGTATCCTGATGGGTCATTTTTTTGGGATGTAAAGGTGAAAGGTCATGTAAAATCCACATTATGGTAATATCAAATTTCCTAATCATAGGATAGAATTTTGTTTAAAATTTTTGTTTGTTCAAATATCAAAATACACTTAACAGTGTAAAACAGTACTATCATTTTTTTTTAATAAATATACTTTCAGCAAAACAAGTTTACCTGTTGCACAATAGTGAAGAACCAGCCTGGCGGTGTCCGGTGTCTTTACCAGAAATGTCTATCAGATAGTTTACAGGACACTCCCTCGGGCACAGATAAACTGTAACGGTCTCAGCGTCCTTCATGGAGATTTTTCTCCAAAGATGGGACACGTTGCCTTGTCTGCTCATGTGACCTTTTGTTGGGTCAAATTTAAAAGATGAAATCATTTCAACATTTTAGCATCATAAAAACTTGTTTTCTGTGTAGGAAGGTGTCGGCTGGAGCGCGCCGCGGTCAGGCGCCACACTTCAGATGCACACATACTTGTGGTTTTTAATAATTTGTCGTCGACGCCCCCTCAGGGTGTCATGCTAGGTTAAACTAGCGTTCTGTTTCGGGTTGAGTAATATCTGACGTTCTGGATGCAGGTGCCGCATCGTTGCCTCTTAATGTGTTTGTGTTTACCAACTAGTTAGGGAAGGGCCATGTCCTGTTGTGCAGTGTTATTGTAGGAATGGGTTAATCTAAACCTCTTATTCCTCACCAGGGTCGAGGGGAGCTGGTGTCTGTCTCCAGCGGTCAGCGGGTAAGAGAAGGGGGACATCATGGACAGGTCTCCAGTCCTTCACAGGGACACACAGACTCAAGCAAACACTCATTCACACTTGGGGACAATTTTAAGCTTCCAATCAATCAATTGGGAAGAAACCAGAGAAAACCTACACATGCATGAGAACATGCTGAATCCATACAGGAGGTTTCAACTGTGATTTAAACCTGCAACCTTCTCACTGCAAGGCAACAGAGCTACCATGCAGCAGAGTTTATTTAATGAATTTAAAGTTTTGTTTTACACAGCAGTCAGGAAAATCACCTGCTCCATCTTCTGCAAACGCCCAAACCTCGTGTTGTTTGAATGTAAACAATGTCTAATTCTGACTTATGTTCCTCAGACATCAACCTGGCCGGAGAACCCAAACCTCACCGGTCAAAAACCACCAAGCGTTCTGCTGGAGACATGTACAGGTATCTGATGGGGTTAATGTCCTGTTTACTGTAATGGGAACAATAGTATAGATTAAACTAATAAAAACTATGCTGTCCTACTGGCTGGTCTGCTTTCTTACACGGTCTTCTTTCGTTTTTGTTTCTTAGCAGTAGTTCCTCCTTTGATCTCGACTACGATTTTCAAAGAGATTATTATGACAGGTGAGTAAGCAGTGTTTGGTGGCCAGCTTAAAACTAAAACCTCCTAATAGACATTTAAGATGACAGATGTGTTAATTAGATGTTCGCCTTTGATTTATTCGTATCTTTTTTTTTTTTTTTTTTTTTTTTGTGGGGGTTAATACAGAATGTACTCGTACCCATCCCGTGTCCCTGCCCCACCACCTCCCCTATCGCGGGCTGTGATCCCGTCCAAACGGCCGAGGGTCAGCCTGAGCGGAGGGAGCAGCCGGAGAAACAAAAGCAGCTTCTCCTCGTCCAAGAGCAGCCAGAGAACTTCTTCCAGAACAAGTGAGAATCCTGACGACCCTTCTGGGTTTCACAAGCAAATTTTTAACTCATAATCCTGTTAAAAGTAATTTATTTGCATGAACCACCATGGTTATGTTATGTTTATGTAATTAGCAGACGCTTTTGTCCAAAGCGACTTACAAGTGATAATTAGCATGTTGCCCTTGAGGCTAACAATAACAACAACAATAAACAATTTCCAGTCAGTCGTACGGGGCAGTGAGGCAGCATGATGAATCATGGAGAGGAGGGAACAAGGAGTGGACAGTAGAGAGGGGGATTGGTGCAGGGAGGGTGCTACATCTTAGGTGTGTTCTTGCTGTGTCGTATCTCTAATTCCATGCTGTAGTTCTTTTTTAAAACACAGAGCAGTTTTGTTAACCCGTTTTTCCGCTACGTTTCGTTTGCGGCTGCAAACTTCCTCAGGCTGACACTGATGGTGGCGTCACTTCCTTCTCCGTTTATCCGCGGGCAGCAGAGGACGTTGTCGCCCTCTGCTGCCCGCTCTCCCCTCTCCGACGATGCAGTCCCATGCGCGGTCCAATGTGTAAACTCCATTGTCCCTGTTCATGGTCCCACATCCACGTCTCCTTATCTCGATTGCTTTTTTTATCCATCTTTTGCATTTTTGTTGTTCTGTGTTTATGATCCTTGTGTTGTCCCAGTCCATTATATGGTTTTCTCTTGTGCAGTGATCTGTTGCGGCTGACTTCTTTATTGTGCTTTCTGCTTCTTGTTTTGCTGCTCTTGTGTGTGTTCGACTTGTTTCTCTCTCGCACTCCTTTCTATGTTCTATTGTTCGTGTGTTGAGTTGGCGTCCGGTTTCTCCTATGTATGTTTTATTGCAGAGTTTGCATGGGATTTCGTAAATGACTCCACATTTAAGTCCAGCTGATATTTTGTCTTTTGGGTGCACTAGTCTGTTTCTAACTGTTGTGTATGGTTTTGTTGGTGTGTTTATGTTGTGTTTTTTCATTGTTGCTCTTATTTTTTCTGTTATGCCTTTAATGTATGGTAGGGTTATCACTAGTTTTGGTTGTTGTCTTTCTGGGTTTCTGGTTCTTTGCTTAGGTTGTTCTTTTCTATCGATTGTTGTTTGTTGTTTTCCTTTGTTTATTACCCATGTTGGGTGGTAAAAGACAAAATATCAGCTGGACTTAAATGTGGAGTCATTTACAAAATCCCATGCAAACTCTGCAATAAAACATACATAGGAGAAACCGGACGCCAACTCAACACACGAACAATAGAACATAGAAAGGAGTGCGAGAAAGAGGCAAGTCGAAGACACACAAGAGCAGCAAAACAAGAAGCAGAAAGCACAATAAAGAAGTCAGCCGTAACAGATCACTGCACAAGAGAAAACCATATAATGGACTGGGACAACACAAGGTTCATAAACACCGAACAACAAAAATGCAAAAGATGGATAAAAAAAGCAATCGAGATAAGGAGACGTGGATGTGGGTCCATGAACAGGGAAGATGGAGTTTACAAGCTGGACCGCGCATGGGACTGCATCGTCGGAGAGGAGAGAGCGGGCAGCAGAGGGCGACAACGTCCTCTGCTGCCTGCGGATAAACGGAGAAGGAAGTGACGCCACCATCAGCGTCAGCTCTGAGGAAGTTTGCAGCCGCAAACGAAACGTAGCGGGGAAACAGGTAAACAAAACTGCTCTGTGTTTTAAAAAAGAACTAAAGCATGGAATTAGGGAGGGTGCTAGTTTAGAAGATGCTCTCTGAAGAGCAGGGTCTTCAGGAGTTTCTTGAAAGTCAAAAAGGAAGCCCCTGTTCTTGTAGTGCTTGGAAGGTCATTCCACATTTATGGAACGATGCATGAGAAGAGTCTGGATTGTCCTGAGCGTGGTGTAGGCACTGCTAGCCAACGATCCTGTGATGACCGGAGCGGCCGGGCCAAGACGTAAGCCTTTGCAAGAGGATTCAGGTAGATGGGAGCCGTACCATCTCGGACTTTGTATGCTAGTGTTAGCAATTTGAATTTGATGCGTGTTGCTAGCGGTAGCCAGTGGAGCTCAATGAATAGAGGGGTGACGTGTGCTATTTTTGGCTGATTGAAGACGCCGCTGCGTTCTGGACCATTTGAAGGGGTCTCACAGTACAGGCTGGAAGACCAGTTAGAAGGGCATTGCAGTAATCGAGGCGGGAGATGACAGTAGATTGCACCAGGAGCTGGGTGGCATGTTGTGTTAGGTATGGTCTGATCTTTCATATGTTACACAGTGCAAAGCGGCATGAATGAGCAACAGAGGCAACATGATCTTTAAAGGTCATGTGTTCATCAATCACAACACCCAGATTTCGAACTGCCTTTGAAGGAGCCAGAGATAGGAAGTCATTTTGGATTGAGATATTGTGCTGTATGGATGGTTTTGCTGGGATGACAAGTAGTTCAGTTTTAGAGAGGTTGAGTTGGAGATGGTGGGATTTCATCCATTTTGATATGTCAGAGAGACAGTTTGATATTCGTGCAGAGACAGTGTGGTCATCCGGTGGAAATGACAGATAGAGCTGGGTGTGGTCTGCATAGCAGTGGTAGGAGAAGCCATGTGATCGAATAATCTCACCCAGAGAGGTGGTGTATATGGAAAAGAGAAGAGGTCCTAGTACAGAGCCCTGGGGGACTCCTGTGGCAAGATGGTGCACGGTAGAGGATTGTCCAAGCGAAGATACACTGAATGATCGTCCTGTGAGGTACGATTCAAACCAGGCGTGTGCTTTCTCTGTGATGCCCATGCTAGAGAGTGTGGACAAAAGGAAGCCATGGTTGACAGTGTCAAATGCAGCCGATAAGTCGAGCAGGATAAGCACTGAGGATTTGGCAGTTGCTCTAGCTTCTTTTAAGGATTCCTTCAATGCTAACAGCAGTTTCAGTGGAGTGGCCCTTTTTGAACCCAGATTGGCAGACAGTTTTGTGCCACCCTTTCAATGATTTTGGACTAAAAAGGGAGGAGAGACTTAAACCACCATGTGTTTAATCATGAGTTAATTATGCTATTAAATCTGGATTTAAAAAGGACCAGATGAATCCAGTTGACCTATAATAAACTCACACAGAAATGTTTTTGTTCTATGACGTCACTTTTGGTACAACCTTTATCTTCACAAAGAACTTGGTCTATTTTTTTTGGTTGAATTTAACTTCAAACTTCCTTGTGAATAAACAACGAAATGCATTCTGTCCTTGGATTCTAAAAAAAAAACAAATTGGGGAAATTGTCACAATCAGGGTTCCCACGCATCCTGGAAAACCTGGAAAATGATAGACCAATTTTCCAGTCATGGAAAACACATGGAAAATGGGAGGAATTACAAAATGTCCTGGAAATTTTTGAGTTATCCTGGAAAATAATTTTCCCTCCTTGTGGATAAACAAACAAATTAAACATTTTGGGCAATATTGAGCTGTAGCTCTTCTCCTTTCATTTCTGCATCTAGCCGGCACAGCACCCCACGTGATGCTTCCAACCAATTAGATTGCATATTCCCCTTCAGTTCCACTTCTATTTTTCCATCTGCCTTTTTTGCTAGATTTACAGATTTTTCACCCCAAGATTTATTTCTCCAAAGAAGGGCCAAAAGTAGCGACTCGGTTCAAGAGTATTGCTCTATCGCAGTTTATAGAGTGAGAGGTTTTTCTCCCTCTCTCTGTTGAGTGACAAAGGATCAGCAGAGAGCTTTGGTTTTTTTCACTCATGCGTTGAGGCGAGCGAACATGACGAGAGCTTCGGGATAGCAACGGATAGCAGGTAGTCTACCGGACCCACGCTCCACTCAGTAATTCATACTTGTTCTATCGTCCAACAGCAGAAAGAAAAATATGTGAATGAGAAAAATGTCATGAATTTGGTTCTATCAAAATACTAAGTATGTGCTCAGAGGACAGAGCCTCAGCTGTTCATGCTGTTTTTAGCTAGCTACACAGACCGCCATAGATGAGATCAGGCCGATATCTGCCAGGAGGCAGTGAGAATTAAAGACTGGCATGGTCATTTGAACAAAGTTGTTAACGTAATTAAATTGAATTCAACACGGCTAAATTAATAACTAGAATGATTTTAAGTGGTAACTACATATTCATCATAGTAATGCAACATACAGTCCAGACTAAAAAGGTAGCGAACAACTACAAGTACTTATCTCTGAGGTAGAAAACATTTTTCTGGTCCAATATGACTGTGGTGTTAGCGAGAGATATTAGCCTAGTCATCTACCCTGAATCTTGTTTCTGGATGACTGGACTAACCTAAAATGACCAATACTGGAACAACAAAACATCCAACTGTGAAATAAGCAGTAAAGTGTAATGGGTGTGTACAGTAAGTATAATACATAAAATATGAACGATATAAAAGCGCTAAGGTTTGAAAAGCAGGCCTAATTTATTGAATAAACAGTCAATATAAACGGTAATAATCTTTCAAAATATATATGTTTGTGTCCTTTATAGGCAGGAGTAAGTGATGATGTCAGGAAGATGGTGCCAATTCAAAACTTGAGTGGAAAGAAAACCCCCAGTTCAGGGACTGGCTAGGAGAAGTATCTGGAGATGTGCGTAGGGCATATTGCAAGCTGTGTAGAAAGTCTTTTGATATCAGTAACATGGGCGTCTCAGTACTCAGGAGTCATGCATGGGAACAAGGCCATGTCAAGATTTCTGGACAGTTAAGCAGTGAGAGAAGAATGACAGATTTCATGAGGAAAATTTCAACAGATGCAGGAGAGGGATGTAGCTGTCCAACGGAGAGCTACCGGAAGCCAGTGTACATGATGAAAGTGCCACTAATGAAAGTACAGCATTACAAGTGCCTGGTACTAGTGGAGAGAGAAGTGGCTCAGAAACACATGGCATCTCAGCATGTTTTTCAAGCCACGCTGTGTTTGAAGCAGAGGTCCGCTGGGTAATTAAGATGGTGATGTCACACTACTCATTCAGCTCCAGCTCTGATGTCTCAGCCATTTTTGGTCAGATGCTCCCAGACAGTGAGATTGCCAAAAAGTGTTCATGTGGTGCAACAAAAGCAGCTTACCTTATATGTTTTGGCTTAGGTCCTTATTTCAAAGAGCAACGGGTCAATGATATAAGAAAAGCACCGTGCTATGTAGTTTCTTTTGATGACTGTCTGAATAAAGTGAAACAGACAGAACAGTTGGATGTTGTCGTGAGACTGGAGTGAACACGAAAGGAAGGTTGTGGTGCATTAGTTTTAATTCAGAGTTTATGGGACACACGCAAGCAGAGAAGCTTCTGGAAAGGATCAAGATAGCCCTGTCACCACTAAATCCGAATAAGCTGTTGCAGATTTCAATGGATGGCCCTGCTGTCAACTGGAAGGTCCTGAGGATATTCCAAAAGGACACAAGCCAAGAGGACCCAGATGCACCAAAGATGATAAATTTGGGAAGCTGTGGTTTGCATGTTCTTCATAGAAGTTTTCAAGATGGAGAAAGAGAAATGGGTTGGAAAGTGGGACATGTGCTTAGAGCACTTTGGCAGATGTTCCATGACTCACCAGCAAGACGTGCTGACTTCATTGAGGTGACCAAAACAACATTAGGGCTGTCGCGGTTGAGGAATTCCTCCTGCGGTGATTCAGGGTGGCTTAATATTGCGGTGTGCGATATTATTGCAGCCCTATTTTTTATTGCAGTACTATCTAAACATAATGTTTACACATTTAAAAAAGGTTAAAAATTGCCGTGCCTTCTTTTATAACACTTTACTGAATGCAGATCAAAGGGCAGTAACAACACAGATCGCAGTAACATTTGTTTCTCCGACAGTCGGAGTCCGACTGAACTTAAAAACAACAAAATTCAGGAGGTTAAACTTTTAAATGCAAATTTGGCTGCAGCATCTAACATATAAGAAACAAGTCCCCATTTTGTCTAATTGTTTAAAATCAAGCATAAAAAATTACATGTACCGGGCGCGCGCGCCGGGGGGTGGGCGCACTATCATTTCACTTTCACACACACGAATGACGGTGATTTATAGCTCGGTCACGTCCTTGTTACCTACAAGGAAAACCAGCATGTTAACCATACACGGTTTGAGAGAGGATCTGAGAGGGGTGGCAACATTTCCAGCAACACTGAAAACCCTCTCGGATGGTGTGCTCGTTGCACTAACGCACACGTACTTGCGTGCGACTCTGGCGAGCAAAGGGAATCTCTCCCGGTTGTTGCTCCACCATGTCAGGGGTTTTTCTTTAGGGTGGATGCGTTCCTCCTGCAGGTAGCGAGTGAGCTCCAGCTCGGCTCAAACTCTCTTCGGGACGGTTGCAGAAGCAGTGCTTGTCCGGGACTTCAGCAGGTCTCCGAGCGTTTATTATTATTTTTTGCCGCTGGTGGCAGCTCTGTCTCGGCCAAGGACTCTGGCTGCGCAGCAGCTGACGTACTGAAAACCAAAGTGCTCCCAAAGGAGCGAAGTAACGTTTCGTTTTGATACCAGTGCAGCCATCCTTCTCAACATGCATCATTGAGTTGAACCAAGTTCAGTCATCGCGGTGGCCCGTGATGCAGCGCGGTGGGCTTCTTCATATTGCGATATTTCATTTTTGCGGTTACCGCGACAGCCCTAAACAACATTTCCTCTGAAGTTCTGTGCCCATCGATGGGTTGAAGACTTGGCAGTTGCAGAGCGGGCAATGGAAGTGTGGCCAGCTGTGCAACAGTACATCAGCAGCCACCAGAAACTCCCAAAAAGCAAAGTACCATCATCTGCTTCCTACTGTAGAGTAAAAGGGGCCACAGCTGATCCTCTTTCAGGCAAAGCTCCAGTTTTTTGCATTTGTTGCTAGACAGCTGAAGCCTTTTTTGGAGAAATTCCAGACAGATGCACCAATGGTGCCTTTCCTTGCAAAAGAGCTTGAGTATCCTGAGATGCTTGCTGTCATGCTTTATTAAAAGAGAAGAATTGGAGAGGATGAAAGCACCTGTCCAGCTGCTGAAACTTGATGTGCAAAACAAATCAATCCATGTGCCACTCAAACAACTGGACACTGGATAAAATCCAGTGAACATACAGTTGTTCAAGAACGAATGCATCACTTTCCTTGCTGTGACCTGCAAAAAGATTATGTGGAGAAGTCCACTTGTGTACCCAGCAGTGCGGCACATGAGCTCCCTCGACCCCGTGATCATGGTAACAGAGACTGAGCACGCAATAGCAATGTTTGAGAAACTCCTACAGGTTCTCCTCATTGCAGGATGGTGCACTGCCTCAGAGTGCGACAAAATCCTTGCTCAGTATAAAACTTTCTCAGGGCATGCAAGTGTAAACCTCCAGGCAGAATTCCAAGATTTTTCATACAGATGAGGGCTTGAGGAATTTTTGGGGAGATTTATCAGTGGTAGAGCAGAGTATGCAGCACTGTGGGACATGATGAAATGTCTCTTAACACTGTCTCATGGACAAGCTGCAGTGGAGCGAGGATACTCCGTGAACAAGGACATGCTAGTGGAAAACTTGAAAGAGGAGTCTGATAGCATTGTGGCTGGTCCAGGATGCAATGGCTGAGCGTGCAGTTAATGAAGTCCTGGCAAAAGGCCTAATCCAACACTGCAAAGGAGCAAGAATGAGGTATATGCAATACCTCGAGGATGGAATAAAGAATAAAGAACAAACTACAAATGAGAGGAAATGAAAGGAGCTCCACCAAGACATAGAAAATGTCAAAGCAAAACAGAAGAATAATGAAAAACAGTGAGATGATGTAGAAAGAGGCAGACGAAATGGCAATGAAAGCAGAAAAAAAACAGGACTTCACATTACTGTCCAAATCCAATGCTTATCGCAAAAGTGTGGCTGAGAAAAAGGAAGAGCTACAAGCCCTGGCAAAAACACTGGAAGACCTGCAGGAGAGCATCAAGAAGCTACAATAGCTGATTTATTTTAGAGGAACATTTTAATTGAAATGTCATTGCTCTGTTTTTTGACTTTTTTGCGCTGCAGGATAGGTTTTGAGATTGACAATTATATTTTTGATTTACTTTTGCAGTGATTTTCATTTTTACTTCTAGAATGCAGGTGTCAGATGCACTAAGTCAGCTGTAAGTAAACAGTAAAAAGTTAAACTGAAGGAATTTGTTTTGGTGATTTATTGAACATAAAATACGTTTTGAAGAAAGGACAAGAAAGTAAGAGGGAGATAAACATTTGAGCATTACTGTCAAATACAAGATACACACATAAACACATTTAGCTTTAAAAAATGTAAATCCATTTCATCAATATAACTGACAAAAATTACTAAGATTTGATAAATCTAAATTATTTAGAGTCAAAAAAGACACAACTCATCAATTTATGCCATTATGTGTACCAGATACGTAATTTGCCTTGGTGTGAGCAGATGCAATTAATTTAAAAGTTTGATAATAGTTAATATTTTCCAATGTTAGTAACGGATGCGAGTACAGTTTGGACTTTTAAAGTGATATCAGCTCGTAAAATAGCAGCGTATGGACCACAGGTGTGACATTGTGGCATCATCAAGTCATCTCTGTCATGTTTTTGTTCTGCTCAGCAATTAAACCAGGTGATTTCAATCAGCACAGTGAATTAACCTGGTTCAGTTGCTGAGCAGAACAAAAACATGACATGGAGATGACTTGATGATGCCACAATGTCACACCTCTGGTATGAGCTAAAGTAGAGAATAACTTCTGTTTTAGATGTGTTGCATTGTAAGTAGAGGAAAGCAGGTGGGCTTGTGAAAGACAAAAATCTTTCCACAACTATAATATCAATATAACAGTATAGGTAGGTACAATATCATATCTGTTTCTAAATATATCCCGATATGATCATATCGGGATATCGGCAAACCGTAGTTATGATAACTTGACTTGTACACTGAAAAAGTCTTGAAAATGTCCTGGAAAATAATTAGAAAAGCGTGGGAACCCTGAACTTGTTTGAACCAGTTAAGCTTTTCAGCGTGTTTCTAACCCGCTCTTTTCTCTGCAGTGAGAGCCGACGAGCTGCAGACCATCAAACGAGAGCTGACCCAGATCAAGAGCAAAGTAGATGACCTGCTGGAGAGCCTGGAGCGCATGGAGAAGGACCACATCAAGAAGTCTGGTAATAAAAAAAGCTGCTTGTCTGAATTTGACCTTTAACCTTTTTGTAATATCACGTTTGTGTCAGCAGTTAAGAACATGAAGACGGAGCCTGGAGAGGTGACATCACCTCCACACTCCAGCAGCAAGAAGGACGATGGTTTAAAGAGAGACAGGGAGAGCCACAACATGAACAACTCGGATGAAGACGACGACGAGGAAGACGAGGGAGACTTGCTGGAGGAGGAGGAGGTGGGAGGAACTAGGAATGTGATTTGACGCTGGTGTCGTGTGCTCCAAACTCAGAAAATCTGCTTCTGTTCAGGTGAAGAGTCAAGAGAGAGAGGAGGAAGAAGAGGAGGAGGAGGAAGAAGGCGAGCATGTGGAGGGAGATGATGACGACGACGATGGTGATAGCGTGAACGGCGATGACGACTCGTAGACTAGAACCACACTGCTTCCGTTAGGAGCTCCGACTCCCCTTTTAACACTCATGTTGTAGGTAGAAACTATAAATGTGCACACGACAGAGCGAGCATGGTGCGCACACCTTACTGTCATATTACCCCGAAGACCTTTAGTTTTCGTTTAGTTGTCCAGTATCACTGTAACAGGAGTAGCTAGCTGTAGGTTTGTGTTTTTACTCGTCTTCAGGAGGAAGATGGTCACATGGACTGGTAATGTTCTCAGAGGCGACGGCTCGACGGACATCTTAATGCGAGGACAGAATTTCAGCCACAAGAGATGGTTTTAGCTTGTGTATGTTTATTTTTCCTTTTTAGTGAGTTTGTTTGCCCCTGTGTGTATGTTTATGTACTTTTTATATACTTTTCAGTTTACCTGTAAAGAAATAATTGCAATAAAATTATAAATTCAAAAGTGTTAAGTTTGTGCTTTTTACTGATTTTTACCAAGTGTTCTAAACTGAAAGTAAAATTACTTTTGGGCTGATTCTGGCATTAAAGTGATGGGGAGAAGTTTTGAATATTGGGTAAACAACTGCTGCTGCTGGTTTTAATGTCATCTTGCTGGGGAAACTGCAGGTGTGGGGAAAGCGTTAAAACTATCTTCAGTTTTCCTTCTTGATCCAAGTTACAAGAATCTGCTTCCAGAGGGTCTGAGGAGTTGGGTCATCAACAAACATGCTCAGAGGGTCACGTTAATATTGGAAACAATTATTTTAGGAAAGTTTTCATGTATACTTCTCTAAAAAGGTCCAAAATGGGCATATCGGTGTAACGGAACGGAAGACTGTTTTCCCTTTGCTCAAGACTAGTCTGCATGAGATATGGTCTCAAGGTCTCATGCATTCCTTCTAACCTGCTTATTTTCAGCTCAACAGAAGAATGAACTCTTTTCATTTAATTACCCTCCAACATCACACAAAATGGACCACAGAAGTCTACTACTTTAGTGCTTCGTTTGTGCTGATTTGTGCAGGTGATACTGACGTTTGTGCTGCAACGGTTTCTGAGATATTACACGTTTTAATTTAGCATGACGAGCGATGAAGCGATCAGCTCGGATTGGCAAGTTTTCATGTTTGAAAAGGCCGTGTTTTAGGTTTTTGAACTCTGCTCCAACAGTGGCTGAGCTTGCTGTGATGCTGGAGCTTTTAAATGCAGGGACCATTATTCCTGTCCAGAGTGGCAAGTAACTTGCAAGTCTTACCATGTGTGGAATAATGTCAGGAAGGAAGTGAATATTATCCCTGTCCCCATCAGCTGAAGCAAGTGACCTGCTCTCCTCACATATTTCTCTTATCCACTGTCGTATGTCAGTCTGGATCTCAAGGGATACCTCTCTGTCACTTTCTTCCGTCTTCTTGTCAGGAACGATGATGGAGTCATCAGCAATTTGGGCTTTCAGATATTTTTTGCTTGTTTCTGATGCAAGAGGGGCTGCAGAACTGTCATCACCTTCGCTTCACTGAGGGCCACAACCATGATGGCACGTAAGAGGTGTTTTGCTTGGTCCAAGCACTGTGACTGCAGAAGATTTGCAATTGACCTGACAAAGAAATCTTTAACACGGCGTGTTTTCTTCTTCAGGCAGTCCCACTGGCATATCATTTTGATGCAGTGTGCAACATCCACCCTGATGAAACAAGGTGGAAGTTTAGCAGCCCGAGTTCCAAGAAGGACATGAAAGCATTCGTTGATGTAGGACTTCAGATCAGGGTGAGGAGTAAAAGCCTTGACCAGAGCACCAAGAATAGCTAGAGAAAAGTCACTCACGGCTTCCTTTGGTACAGGTGCACCCGAACGAATCCATTCTGTCAACCAGTTTGCGATGGCATTAATATCATGTTTTTCTGACAACATTTGCACTACTGGGACACTGGGGCAATTGTTTGCTGTCAGAATGCCTTGGTATAGAAAGACATGACCAGATCTGCCATTTGGTGTTTGCAGTTTTTTCACAACTGAGCCCGTTGCGTCAAAGCACACAGTTGAGGGATTTTTTTGGACAATGTTTTGTAAACATGCAACTGAGTATGACTCCAGTAGCGACAAAAAACCTGTCCAGTCCAGTATCTCGGATACTACCACAGGTTGATAGCCTGGCAAGCCAGACTAAATAAATGTATTATTTAGTCTGGCCATGCTCCATTGACGGCTCTCGGTTGTGGGGCGGGTTCTACCGTTGTCTTTCAAATGATCTCCGCATTCCACTGGACAATGAATGTGACGTACTCTTGTTTCACTCTGTTGCATCATCCCACCCACCAGGCATATAGAGTGCCCTGATTGGCCCGCAAAGCGGATAAAGCTCTGTGATTTGTTCACTTAAGCAGATAGAGCACTATGATTGGCCCACCATTATGGACCAATCACAGCTCTTTATGTGTTTGAAACCCCTCTAGAGAGCTGTGATTGGCTAGCCCCCCCCCCCCCCCCCCCCAAAAATTGCTAGAGAAATTTAAAACAAATAAGCAGCCATCTTTGTAACAGACATCAAATAGAGTAACATGTTTCAGACATGAAATGTTACATACTTTAGTAAAAAGAATAAAAATAAATAGTTACAAATCCTGTTGAACTAAGTTTTGTGGCCCAAAATAAAATAAACACTAAACAGAAAAACCAGATAAACGTGCGTCCCAGCAAGAGGTTTAAAAATAGACTTTAAAGGTGAGTTTGTGCTAATTATTAAAAATCAATGTGTCTATGAAGTAAGTTTGTGCTGAAACTCAGATACAAAGTCGGTTTTCCTTCACAGTGTCAGGGTGATGTTGAGATCCTCTCTGGTTGTGTTCGTGCTCTTGGTAACTTTCTTTCTTCGTGTGACAGTGTGAGAGTCCTGTCACAGTGTCCTGATTGATCATGCGCCCTGGCTACTTGGCCAAGGGGATGTCCCTTTGGCTGACTGGTTAGAGCGTATGACTCTCACCCGGGAGTCTGGGGATCGAATCCCGCCCGGGCCCTCGTTTATCCACCTTGCCACATTTGGCGTTGTCGGCAGGATCCATGTAGTACTGTCAAGTAGGTCCATGGATGTGAAGTTTGTGGCACCCTGCGCGTGAGCACGAGGACGTGCTTGTGGAAAGAGGGGGGAAGACAGGAAGAGGAGACATTACAGGAATTTTCCCTAGCTTTAATGGCCCTCATGGCTGCAGTGAAGCAGCAGGCCCCCAGCGAAATGGTAAATGCTGAGGTGTTGCTGCGAGACCAGTTCGTAGAATATGTGGTAGATGGGTCCTTGCGCCGTGCATTGAAGCAGTTCGTGCGTGGGAGGCCGTCGGCTACGCTATTAGATGTCCGAGCAGAGGCCATTCGGTGGGAGGGGATATCGGGAGGGCCTAGAGGCCGTGCCCACTCCATGCCCTCAGTGTTAGGTCTCCAGTATGGTGTGCAGTGTCCCCCTGCAGCAGGTGGCCCTGGTTTCTTCCCAGCTGCTGAGTTGAGTGAGATAAAGGAGATGCTAAAACTCCAACAAGATCAAATAAATAAACTTGCTCAAAATGTTTCTTCGCTGCAGGGTACACGAAAAAAACCTCGCCCCACTAATCACGACCCCATAATATGTCGACGGTGTCAGCAAGCAGGGCATTATGCCAGTGACTACGATGGGGTTAGAGTCTCACGTCCCCAGCCCACCCAGCCGCCACGTCCTACTGCAAGGCAATCGGAAAACTAGAGCCCGCCGAACAGCCGAGCCACAGTTCGGGGGGTATAGTTAGTGGCTCACAACTGGTTGCTGCTAGTCAGGGAGAAGCCTCGAAGTTGGTGTCAGATTGCCCCCATGTGGAGGTACTAATGGGAGGTGTAATTGTACCATGTTTGTTTGATACCGGTTCTATGGTATCTACAGTCACCGAGGGCTTTTTCCGGCAGCATTTTGAGTCTGGGGGATGTCCCTTTGGCTGACTGGTTAGAGTGTATGACTCTCACCTGGGAGTCTGGGGATCGAATCCCGCCCGGGCTCTCGTTTATCCACCTTGCCACATTCGGATCCTCTTCTTCCCCTCCTGCTGCCTCCTGGTGCTCTCCACCCTGCTTCCTCCCGTCTCCCTGTAGTGACTCATCAACCTTTATTTTTAAGCACCTTACAGGCATGAAGCATGCCACTAAAGTGCTATACGATACTTAAAATAAAACAGTTGAAGCAAACAGAGACAATTAAAACCAACAAAGTAAAGACGTGTCTTCATATCCCCTCTGTTGTGTTCTTTCAAAACTTCCCCTTCTCTTATTTTTGTGACTCCTTCCTTCTGCCCAGCTCTCCTTTCTCCTTCCCACTCCTCTCCTTTTTAATTTTGAAAACATCCTTTTTTGCTTCTTTACTCTTCCTCTGCTCCTCCTGGTCCCTATCGTCCAGCTTCTTTTCCAGGAAGTCGATGTCCTTCTCCAGCTCAGCCAGCTTCTTCGGGTCAGACTCCAAGTTGTCCTTCACTTCCACCTCCTCCACCTCAATGCCCTCCATCGTTTTTTGCAGGTGCGTCTTCACCTTGTTCAGCTCCAGGAGACCTTCTTGAAGCTCTTTACACACCTGTCTGATTTTGCGTGCGAATTTGGTTTTAGCACCCTTGCGGAGTTTGTGGGAGTCCTTCGCAAGAAAGAAAACATCCAGAGCGAGGAAAAGGGCGGACATGACACCCGTGGTCACGCTGATGGCCTTCGCAGCTCTGGCCACGCCACCTGCAGTGCTCAGAACCTGCACGGTGCCGATGAGCTTGTCGGTGTTGATCATCAAGGCCCTTCCAGCTCGGCCGCCCTCTTTCACTACGTGTTTAATGTTGTGGTTCAGAGCCTTTTGGGCTGCACTTTGAGAGTATTTATCAAAATCCCACTCCTGCAGGGTGTCCATACCTTCCTACAACAAACCACAACAAGAGCAGATGCTTACATTCTCACCAAATCTCAGAATCCTCACATTCAGAGATTTATTTAGCATCATGATTTTCTCTACCTGCACAAACTCCAGACACTTCCTGATGTCAGTGATTTCCTCCTGGTAGCCCTGGATCATCTTCTCCACCTTCTTCCGGTTCATGCTGGAGTGAATCGTGTCGGTGATCTTCGCCGAAGCCGATGTAATGCTGCCAGCCGTCGCCACACTGATCCCGACTGCCGTGACGATGATCGAGGCTCCAAATGTGAAAGGGGCCAGGATGAGTCCGGTGATTGTGGTTATACTACCCGCGACGTTGGCCACACCCCCTCCCACAGCAGCCGACACCGTCTTCTTGTGGAACTCATCTGCCGCATCAGCCAGTGCCACAAGCTCCAGGATGCGGTGCTGCAAGGATGCCCCCCGCTGGTTGAAAAGCAGCAGAAAGACGCGGGCGGCCATGTAGACTCGATCGGCTGCCTGCTCCATCGCCCTGCAGAGACACACAGGAACTAGATTCACTTCTTGTTTTAGAAAAAAAAAGTTCCTAAAAATCAAAGTGACAACTATTCAACCTGAACTACTAAATATTCTCTAGTAAAGAAACTAGCATTTACATTTCCTCCTCCTCCTCCTGGAAATTGGAGCTCTCGTTCCACTCGGTCCAACCTGACAGCCAGCAGCACAAACGATTGAGTCAACGTTTTAGAAAATATACATTTAATCTGTTTCCAAAGTCTGCACCAACCTTTTACTGAGTTCCACCACTCCATCAGCTCATCGTGGTCCTGAAAAGAAAAGACCTGCTGATAATGAAGGGACTTCTGGTAGAACAAACACACGGCTTCGGGTTGCATTGCTCTGATTATTTACGTTGTCTGATGGCGGTAACAGGACTGCTTTGGGTTGCTGTAACTTTACTTGGGACTTTTTATGGTGCTTTAATGGTTTTATGCATGTCTGATTTCAACGCTGAGTTTTTATTGGTTTACAGCCCTTTGTCCTTCAGGGCATGTGAAAGCACTTTATAAATAAAGGTGAACTTGAAAAACACGCATTCAAGCGTGCACACACCTGGTGAGCTTCAGCTGACCTTTCTTCAGGTGGATAAGCTGCCATCTCCACAGGCTGAACCACAACTGTGTTCTCCTGGTACAAGCAAAACTCAGGTCAGAACTCACTACTCTGCAGAATAAACACAGCTTTAACTTTCTTGCAGTGACACTAATCTCACAGAACTGTTGATTTTTATGTCATGCATCATCTGGATCAAACCTCTAAATTAAGAAAAATACATTAGTTTCACACACACACACACACACACACACACACACACACACACACACACACACACACACACACACACACACACACACACACGCACACACACACACACACACACGGTGGGCCATTTATATGGATACGTCTTAATAAAATGGGAATGGTTGGTGATATCAATGTCCTGTTTGTGGCACATTACTATATGCGAGGGGGCAAACTTTTCAAGATGGGTGGTGACCATTGTGGCCATTTTGAAGTCGGCCATCTTGGATCCAACTTTTGTTTTTTAATAGGAAGAGGGTCATGTGACACATCAAACTTATTGGGAATTTCAAAAGAAAAACAATGGTGTGCTTGGTTTGAACTTTTCTATCTATCTATCTATCTATCTATCTATCTATCTATCTATCTATCTATCTATCTATCTATCTATCTATCTACATATATATACATAGACATACACACACATCCATTTACATATGTGTGTGTGTGTGGAGTTGAATAAATACGGTAAATGGTATTCTGTCTCACAGTAGCTCAGTCTTTCTAAAGGTTTATTTTTACCTGTTGCTCTGAACTCTTAGGCGTCCCACCTCTTTACTCCAGTGAAATAAAAAGAATTAAGACCATTTTAACATAGTTTTAAAGAAATTCAGTGAAAAGAATAAAAAAAAATACTCCATGAAACTCATTACTGTGGTGCTGGCTGAAAGTTCACCCTCCTTTAAAAACATATTTGGGTCCATATAATCTCACTGACTGGGGAACATTAATTTAAAAAGCAGCAAAACAAAAAAATAAAACGATAAATCTCAGGGTTAATATTTAAAAACGTTCATGCTGAGAATAGTTTCTGGATGAAATCTCAGCATAGACATTAATCAAGACGTTTAAGACAAGTGTTGAGTGATGTGACTTTGTTTCTTGATAAAGACCTTAAAACCATTTGCTTCCTGGTTAAATATACTAATCTGAACTCATTCCAGACCAGCGGGTTAAGGACATTGTGATGCAGCAGGAATTTGTTAAATAAGTGCAGAAATCATCAAAACAGAAATCTCTCACCTTCCTGATTTCCGTGAGGCTGTCCCAGCTGGCTGAAAGCTGACTCCAGTCGCTGAGGGGGTCCTAGAAAAGAAAAAACAAAAATCCGTAACTCTTTAAAACCTTCTGCATAACTTGTGTTTTATTACAAGTGGTTTATTTTGAAAGGTCTGATTAGGATATAAAGGAGATGGTCACCTGAGAGACAGCTACACGTGGAGCTGGTTTTGGTGACTTTTTAAAGATTCTTTTGAGTCCTCCTGTTTTCTCCTGCAGCAAAATGATGAAAAAGCAGAAATCAGTGGTAAAACACAAAGAAAAAAGCTTAAATGTACATTTACACCTTTGTTGTGTTCGGCTCAGAGAGATCTTCAGAGCTGCTGAACAACTTCTTGTCCGCACTTTTTGTGTTTGATTCCTGAACACAAACAGAAATAAAATCATGATGAAATCCAACATAAAAACCCTAAAACTATACAGTAAAGTCGGAGTTCTGCACCTCGTCTGCTGGTTTGGGAGTTTTCTTAAACATGTTGATGAAAAGGTTATTATCCTAAAAACAGAAGACATTTTTTAGATCAGAAGAGATTTAAAAATCAGGTCATGTTTTATTTAACAGTGGGACGGTTAGCTCACTTAATATTAGTCATAAAACAAAAAGGAAGACTTTAAAACAGCAAACAGTGTAAAATACCCAATCCGATACAAGAACAAGGAATAAAACACAAATTTATCATGAATAATCATATTTTATTACTGAGAGAACTATCGATTTGCAGAATAAACCAGAAACTTTTAAAAATGAGGAAATGAAAATGTTAAAAATGTAAAGAACAAAAGCATAAATATGAGTTAAGTCACACTGACCTCATTAAAAATGTTGTCTAAACTCGACGATCGCTCGAAGATTCCAGCCAGGCCGACTTCCTTCTCCTGAAACACATACGTGTCATTTTCTTCAGTTTCTCAGTCACAAACTAAACGCAGACAGATTTGCACCCGCAGCTGTTCAGCGAGTTCCTTAGGAAGTGAAACTAAACTCAGACCATTATGGGATAGATGCCTGAAACGTAATCATCTGGTAAAAGTTTGTAAAATTAGATTAACATGTGATGTTCCTCCCCTAAGGTTTAGTTTCTCAAAACAAAAAGCCTAAAGGTCATAATACTAAAAAATTAGAGGTTTTGTTTCTGAGTGAGAGAAGAAGTGAGCTGTAGATCGAGAGGATTAGGGCTTCATCTGCAGTGATGTGAATGATGAAGAGGAGGTCAGCCAGAAAGCAAAGCTCTCAGTCTATTGGCCAATCTTCGTCCCTGCCCTCGCCTATGGCCATGAGCTTTGATCGTGAATGCACACCGCCAAAAGACGTTTCCTTTGAAGGGACCAGGTTCAGCCTTAGAGGTAGGGTGAAGAGGTTGGACATCCTGGAGAGACGCTGCTCCTCCAGCTGAGGTGGTTTGGCCCTTTTTCAGGACGCCCCCACGAGAGGTGTCTCAGGCCCTGCTGGCAGGAAGTCCCAGGGTTGATCCAGGACACTGTGGAGGGATTGTACCTCCACACTGACCAGGGAACACCTGGGGATCGTACTGGTGGAGCTGGTGGAGGTTGCTGGAGAGAGAACGGTTTGGGCATCTGCTCGAGCTGCCCCCCCCCCCCCCCCCCCCCACACACACACACACACAAGCTGGACTCCGATAAGTGGACAAAAAAATGAACAAATTGTTTTCTAAAATAATTTTTCTGTTTAATGTATCCATTAAGTTTGCTGTGATGTTTGAATTTGTCAAACATTTCTTCAGGGTTTAGGAGTTCGCCCTGGGTTGCCGGTTTGAAGCCTCCAAGACTTCAAGCTTGAACTTTGTAGATTTCATATTGATTATTTTAATACCAATAAACATTTAAGATCAGTTTTTGTCTCTAAGCTGATCTGATTTGACTCTAAACTGTCAGATCACATTTGCAGGAAGATTTCAGTTCATGTTTCACAGCTTGGACAGAAACTAAATGAAGAAGTGGTCTTTGCTCTGAAATACCTTCAGCCTGCTCGTTTCTGTCAGATTCTCTGTGCTGGCGAATAAGCCAGTTTCAGCTTCCACCTCCTGTGTTCAGAAGCAGAAAACAGTTTTAAATAAAAACTTTATACCAGGATGTGTTTTTAACTTCTGCTGCAGTGCTGTACCATTTCTGCTGTGGTGCCCTCTGCTGGTTTGTGTGAATTTCTAAATGTTCTCTCCTACGAAGACATAAATACATGAGTGAGAAAAGCTACTGTTGTAAACATTCAAGATTTAATGTTTCTGTTAAATTAAAGGTGCAATTTGTAAGAATGACATCCTCTGGTCAAATGTAGAAACTGCAGTCCATTTTTAAGCAAAAACATCACTTTCTCCTCCATGAGTGTCATGGCTATTTCCAGTAATGGATCAGCAACAGAAGATTCTAGATGACAAGCACAGTAAGTTGATAAGTAGATAAATACATTGTCATATCTGGTGTTGGCTTTCTTGGGTGTTTTACGGTAGGGAGCACTTAGCACATTTATTACGGTAATCTGTTTCTGGCATTACAGGAAGTTTGTCCGTTGTTCGAATTGTGTACAAGTAGGGATGCCCGATATATCGGCATCAATATCGGTATCAGCCGATGTTAGTCATTTTTAGCACATCAGCATTGGCCCATTAAATAAAACTGGGCCGATATTAACAATCAATATTTTTCCATCTGGTCTCCATTTGTTTATCTGTTTCAGAGGGTGATGTGTATTTGTTTAGTCACGTGACAGTGATTGTAATCATCTCAGAAGTGTAAATGTGTGTGGTGTGTGTACATAAAAATGTCAATTCAGCTTTAATGATTTTCATTCTATACAAAATCTGCAGATTTTAGAAGCATTAATGTCAGTTTATCGGTATCTGCAAAAATCGGTTATTGGCCATAACAGTGATATTAATATCAGATACTGGTATCAGCTGTAAAAGTTCATTTCGGTGCATTACTTTGTATATGAAACCAACTCACTTTGGATATGCTTCCAGTCGGACCCTCGCTGCTGCTCAACAACTCTTTATCTTGTGACTTTTTCTGCTGGGAAAAAATGTAAATCTGTTGCAGCTTTCATTGCTTTAATAAGAATAACTTTTTATTTTCTTAGATCAGATTATTCATTAAAAAGTGTTATGGAAATATTATATTTCATTACTTTAATCCTATTAAGTGAATGTCCTGAAGCATTCTCACACACACACACACACACACACACACACACACACACACACACATGCACACACATGCACACACACACACACACACACACACACACACACACACACACACACACACACACACACACACACACACACACATTCTTGTCCTTGTAACCTCCCATACACACATACACACACTCACTCTCTCACACATGATCCACTCCCATTCCTTTCTTAACTGCTTGTATAAATAAACTCTGTGACCAGATGTTCGGGGCAATTGCCCTGCGCACTTGCCACAAATCATGTATTGGTTGTATGTCTGAATCATTGTCTCCTTTTCTCTTCGACTACAGAAAATGGGTTTATTGATAAACATATTGATAAAATCCCTAACATAATTTGGTCCTTCGAGAGCCGGGGTCCCGTCACCTCGCGGCACCAAGAGCCGATGCCGGAGAAATGTTGACAACCTAAATCTCCTCCAGCACTGAGTTTTGCTGGGGGGTCGGTGAGGGTCTTGACGTCGCTAGGAGAAATGCGGATCCATGAACTCAAGCCCTGAAGTGGAGAGATTTGGTGAGAAAAGTTTATTGTTTGTTTGTTTTGTCTTTGTGCCACCGAGAGAAAATCCTAGGTGACCAGAAATAAATTGGTTTAATCCACCATGAAAGGATGTATAAACAGATTCCGGGAAAGCTGTATTGGCTGGGTTTTTGGCGTTTTAGCCGAAAATAGAAACGCTACTCTAGTTTTGATACAGAAAACTGGGTGAAAAATAAATTGGTTTGGTTCACCGTGAAAGGACTTGTAAACAGATTCCAAGAAAGCTGTATTGGCTGGGTTTTGTGCATTTTAGCCGAAAGTATAAATGCAATTCTGGTGTTGATAAGTAGACCGGTGTGGTAACTAAGAGGTTACATTGGTTTTGTCTACCGTGAATAGGACAGTTTTTGACAGATTCTCTGAATGCTGTCTGAGTTTGGCCTGGTTTTCAGCGTTTTGCCGGGGAAATAGAAACATGCTCTAGTTATCTGCGTTGTTGCTTGTTTGTCTTAGATGTTGTCTGCTTTAACTGTTGTTCGAATGGATGAGAGAGTGTCTGGACTTGCTTATTCATGTAGAAAGAAGGATATGGCAAATCATTTGCACCCATCTCAAATTCGGTGGTCAGATTTTTAAACAGGTTGGCTGATAAGCCGTAAATCGAGACTCTGACCTTGTGTCAAAGAAAAGACGGTGTGGTATCTATATGGGGAAATATGAACTTACAAAATACCTTTTGAGTAAATATTGTAAATTTATGGAGATGTAAATCCAGGAAATGTGGAATTGATCTGAGAATTATCAGAGGATTGATGGAAAACACGATTTTGACAGCCGCTGATGTGTTACAAATGTATTATGCTTACGAGGAAGCACAGAGCGGTGGAAAGAAAGGGTTGAAGACATGAAACAGAGAGAGAGCACAGCCAGGCTCAAAAAACCCAAACAACAGCTGCTGTGCTCTGAGCTAATAAGGTCTTATCAATTGAGGCCTGAAGGTAACTGAACTAGAACATAAAGATGAAAAATTAACTCCTTGATGCAAAGTGGTCATTACAGTGAACAGGTTCTCAAAATTGCAGTTTATCTATTCGTTTTTGCTATTAGGCACAGCTGTTGAAGACTTTATTGCATTTGAGCCTCTCCATGTGGACTTCAGTAAGTCCAGCCAACATATTTCATGTTCAGAATACACGCTGTCCACTGTGGTGGACATGGAGTAAATTATGTGGAAATTATTAAATGTTACAAAAATATTAGATGAAATTTGTTTACAGTATTTAACTCCTGTTGACAAATTTTACGCATTATTTGAGTGACATTATTGAGTGAAATTGTACATTGTTAATGTACTCTGAACTCTGTACTCTGTACTCCGGATAAGCGGATGAAAATGGATTGATGGATGGATGATGATAGGTTTTGTTCCACTTGCAGGAGGATTTTTCTGCAGTCACCAAGCTTTCAGCCAGCAGCAAGATTAAATTTACTTAAAGATCCATTAAGGTAATACTTCATACTTCGTGATATTTCACATGTTATGGTTTCTACTTAAATGTAGGAACATCTTCTCCACACTTAAATATGTATGAAATAAGCTTTTCTTAAGTTTATGTTGGTGTGGTTTAAATGACTACCATTATCTAACTTGTATTTCTATAAAACGCTGTTTGATGCCATCATGTTTAAATATTTTATTTGTTACTTATTTGTTCTTTGCGTGCTGTTTTCTTTTTGTTTGGTTATCCTATTTGGATAAACAGGAGGGATTATGTTATGCAAATTTTAAATTTCATTACTTTAATCCTATTAAGTGAATGTCCTGAAGCATTCACACACACACACACACACACACACACACACACACACACACACACACACACACACACATTCTTGTCCTTGTAACCTCCCATACACACACACACACACACACACACACACACTCACTCTGTCTAATACATGATCCACTCCCATTCCTTTCTTATCTGCTTGTATAAATAAACTCTGTGACCAGATGTTCGGGGCAATTGCCCTGCGCACTTGCCACAAATCATGATTTGGTTGAATGTCTGAATCATTGTCTCCTTTTCTCTTCGACTCCAGGAAATGGGTTTATTGATAAACATATTGAGAAAATCCCTAACAAAAAGTCATAAACATGTGCAGTTACGCACCTCATGACTCAGGTCTCTTTCTTATTGATTAATCACCCTTTTATTATGTTATTTCATCAATATGTAACTTTCAAAAATCACAGACTTTTCTTTAAAAAAATCTCCCAAAATAACAAAACAATGGAAACAAGAAAACAAGGAACTATTACCTTCATAAGAAAATAATTAAAACTAAAACATCTATAGTACATTTAATTTAAAACTATTTAAATAACCTTTGTATACCGGCTGCTTCAGAAAGACTCACTGCTGCCTGAAACACCTTCTTGTGACCCCAAATTCTCCTAAAACAGACAGAATTGTATTTAATAAATTCACGTGTTTTACTTTTTTCCACACAAAAAAGCCAATCTTGTCATTTGAATGCTTTTCTTTAAATAAAGATTGTAAAGCTTCTACAACAACAAATCTGTTTAATTGTAAATCTCAGTTAATAATCAACATGAAACAAAAGGTTTTTCCTGAGTAAAATAATTGTAATATCATTTAATTTTTTGCATCAGATTTCCAGCTGTCATCAGCAAAAATGTCTGAAAACAGTTGTTGTTGTTGGTGTGTGTGTGTGTGTGTGTGTGTGTGTGTGTGTGTGTGTGTGTGTGTGTGTGTGTGTGTGTGTGTGATATTTGTACCTCTGCAGCTGCTTTTGGAGTCTTTCTGAAGAGTCCCCAAATCCCACCTTTCCTCTACGGAGACACAAGTGGCGTTAAAATCTCAGTTATTTATCAGAAACGTCCACAGCCAGCAGAGCTCCACCTGCATCAAGTCCTGACATGTTTCCATATTTGCCGCATGACTCATGTCGATTTTGTTGGCTCCACCATGACCGACTCACCTAATTCTCCAACATGCTGTGTCCGTGCAACAGCTCTACACCCTGAACATAAAATAAATGTAACACCATTTGTGGGCACGCCGAGGACACATAATTAAACCCTGGGACAAAGTAGGTCAGGGAGACACGTTTACGTGTGCCACAAAAACCCAGTAAGTGCATTTTTTTAAAAAAGGCATCCAAACATGAATATAACATTAAGGAACATTGAAAGTTCTGGATAGACACAGATACCATACCTCCTCCAACTGCAAACCTTCAATCGGTTTGAGAGATGTTTTAAACATTGAACTGAAATGTCTCCTTTTGTCTAAAAAACATGAAGAAAGTATCTTGTTAAATACTCTTGATGTTAACTTTACAAACAAAGAAACATAATTTAGTTAAATAGTGGTGCTGCCATTCTCAGTCAGACTAGAATATAGTACAGATTATCACCTTTGAGTGAATCTCTGTCAGATTATCACTACTGCCCAACAGATCACCAGGAAGAGCCTTGATCCTGAAAAGAAAAAAGATGCTGGCTCCTAGGAGATTTATTTTTTGTTTATTACATTTTGCATGCCTCTACCTGATCAGGTTGAGCTGCTTCTTTCTGAACATCCTGCTGAAAGCTCCTCCTCTTTCCTGAAACCGCAGCACAAGTCTAGTTGGGTTCAGGTCTTCTTGCAGCAGCTACACCCACCGTGGGTCTGTGTGTGCATCGTGATGTAATATAATACTATGTGCTGTATGTGCAGCTCCTGTGTCATGATCTGCTCACCTTGTGTTCAGACAGACAGAGATCTCACCATGATCAATCAGATTCTGCTAAAACAATATGTTCATTAAGTATTTTCCTTGTTAAAATTAGACAAATAAAGCACTGAAATGCTTATTTTAAGCTTAAACATAATTTGTCCCCTGACTCACCTGTGCGAGGACTCATCTGGTGCTTTGTTCATCGTGAGGATGCCAGAGAAGGAAATTCCTCCCCTTCTCTGCAAAGAATAAATAGCAAAACTTGATTTGGATTTTCTTGTTCCTGGACGTAAAATCTTTCTATATTTTAAAAGTTCTTACTTGTTTCGCTCAGATGTTTTTGCCTCTGGGAAAAGGGTGTGGCCAGTTTGGTGGGTACCTGTATCTGCAGGAGTCGCATAATAACAGGTGAGTAAATTCTAAATGTGTTAGAGGTTAATCTAAATATATACAGTTTACAAAAGGATTAGTTGTTTTGAGATTTAAATGTTGACTACATTTTCCTGGCAGAGTGGGGAAAAAGATTTCTGGCTGCATGTGTGCACTTAATTTGTTCATGAGAAATAGAACATTTACTTCACAAATACACTAAACATATACATTCTCTATAGTTTATCTTTCAATTTAATCGATCTCTCACTTTTCTCAGTTTTCATAGTGTTTTTGGGTCTGTGTGGCCAAAGGGATCTTTGGCTCTATGTTTTACACTGAGAGCTTTGAGCAACGTGCCTCCACCACACATTTGCTGCAACCAGCTCATCCCTAAGCTGCACGGTGCACCTGCACTTTGACATATTGTAAACAACTGCAGAGCCTGGGGAAGACGGGATAAGAGTGGTTAAACGCTGTGGTATTCCATACATCGGACCAGTTAGTTTTGATTCTACCGTATTCATCTGCTAAATAGGATGTAACACGGACATTTTCATTGATCTATAAATGCTCCGCAGATTCCAGGGGCAGACCGTGAAATCGTACGTGTCCGGAAAAAGGAACTTTTGGTCACCTTAGTGAATGGAATAATAATAGCGGAATAATCCTGGAATGACCAGAGAACATGAAGTGACAACTTTTTTTTACTGTGGTGGTGGTGGTCTGTCATAAAGGGATCTCCGACCGGTGATCAAAATCTAAAGATAATCGTGTCTATGTTTGAAATTTATGACCACATTTGACATACATATTTCAGTTTGTAGAACAAGCATGTGATAAATGACTTACTGCTGGAAACTGCTGGCTTTTTGATTCCCGCCTCCTGTGAGCCTGCGGGCTGTTGGAAACAGCACGTGTGGTACGACCGTACCAACTTGAGGAATTGGGGGTGGGGGGGTGGGGGCCTATAATTTCTCAACAATCAAAAACACATTGTTTTGTATTTGCAGACTAAAGCCTGATTTATGCTTCTCCGTCTGCGTCAGTGCGGAGACACGCAACGCCATTATCCGTCCTTGCGTAGGGCTCCGGCAGGCACGCAAGTACGTACGGAGTCGAGCCCACTTTTTTAAACATCCGTCGAACGAGACGGATTACGCAAGCTTGTGATTGGGCAGGACGCCGCTGTTGTTTACAGCGCCGCCATTGCAAAGAGAGCCGAGGATAACTAGCGGCAGACACGGAGAAGCTTGAAGAATACCTCGCGAAAAAAACTAAAAATATGAACGTTTAATTCTCCCGTGACTGGAGGAGTGAAAAGATGCGCAGCAAGCGTTTTATTTGTGGATGGAAATGACAGGAAACGTGGGTTTAGAGGTGGGGAGCGCATGAAGCGGTGGGAGAATGAGAGACAAATACGTCCGTGTTAAAAGTCTCTTATATACACAAAAAACACAATATAAACACACGATCTTGGACCGATACATGACAGGATACCACAGAACAGCGCTACGCCCTCTGTGGTCCTGTCAGGCAATTGCTTTGCAACACTCTCCAGGAGACGGAGAAGTATGAGAGCAAAACGCTTCCGTCAATCCGTGTGTGTCTGTCCCTTGCGGAGCTGACGGAGAAGCATAAACCAGGCTTAACTTTTACGTTGTGGTTTTAGAAGAAAATACAGGTTTACTGATAGCATTTATGTGTTTACAATAACTTTTGTGGGGGGGACAACTTTGTGTGAGGGGGGGACGCGTCCCCCGTCCCCCCTGGGATCTCCGCCTATGTCTGCAAATTACTTCTTCCATTTCCGCTCCTGCTAGAGAACACTGCTGTCGTGTCCTTGGGCAAGACATTCCACCCATCAGTGTAAAAACCCAATCTGATGAATAAATGAGATAAAATTATTGTTTATTCTGAATGTCGTCGTCGTCGTCGTCTTTCTCCACTTATCCGGGTTCGGGTTGCGGGGGCAGCATCCCAACTAGGGAGCTCCAGACCGTCCTCCCCGGCCACCTCCACCAGCTCCTCCGGCAGGACCCCAAGGCATTCCCGGACCAGATTGGAGATGTAACCTCTCCAACGTGTCCTGGGTCGACCCGAGGGCCTTCTGCCGGCAGGACATGCCCGAAACACCTCCCCAGGGAGGCGTCCAGGAGGCATCCTGACCAGATGCCCAAACCACCTCAACTGACTCCTTTTGATCCGGAGGAGCAGCGGTTCTACTCCGAGTCCCTCCCAAATGTCCGAGCTCCTCACCCTATCTCTAAGGCTGAGCCCAGCCACCCTATGGAGGAAACTCATTTCCGCCGCTTGTATCCGCAAACTCGTTCTTTCGGTCATTACCCAAAGCTCATGACCATAGGTGAGAACTGGGACGTAGATCGACCGGTAAATCGAGAGCCTGGCTTTCTGGCTCAGCTCCCTCTTCACCACGACAGATCGGCTCAGCGTCCGCATCACTGCAGATGCTGAACCAATCCGCCTGTCGATCTCCCGATCCCTCCTACCCTCACTCGTGAACAAGACCCCGAGATACTTAAACTGCTCCACTTGAGGTAGGACCTCTCTCCCGACCCAGAGTTGGCAAGCCACCCTTTTCCGGTCGAGAAACATGGTCTCAGATTTGGAGGAGCTGATCCTCATCCCAGCCGCTTCACACTCGGTCGCGAACCTACCCAGCAAGAGCTGAAGGTCAGAGCTGGATGAAGCTAGGAGGACCACATCATCCGCAAAAAGCAGAGACGAGATTCTCCTGCCACCAAACTCGACACACTCCAAACCACGGTTGCGCCTAGAAATTCTGTCCATAAAGGTAATGAACAGAACCGGTGACAAAGGGCAGCCCTGGCGGAGTCCAACCCTCACCGGGAACAGGTTCGACTTACTACCAGCTAAGCGGACCAAACTCACGCTCCTCTGGTAAAGGGACTGAATGGCCCTTAACAGAAAGCCACCCACCCCATACTCCTAGAGCGTCCCCCAAAGGGTGCCCCTGGGGACACGGTCATAAGCCTTCTCCAAATCCACAAAACACATGTGGATTGGTTGGGCAAACTCCCATGCCCCCTCCATCACCCTTGCAAGAGTATAGAGCTGGTCCACAGTTCCACGGCCAGGACGAAAAGCACATTGCTCCTCCTCAATCTGAGATTCAACTATCGATCGGACCCTCCTCTCCAGTACCTTGGAGTAGACCTTTTCAGGGAGGCTGAGGAGTGTGATCCCCCTATAGTTGGAACACACCCTCAGGTCACCCTTCTTAAGAATGGGGACCACCACCCCGGTCTGCAACTGCACAGGAACTGCCCCCAATGACCACGCAATGTTGCAGAGACGTGTCAACCATGACAGCCCTACAACATCCATAGCCTTGAGATACCCAGGATGAATCTCATCCGCCCCCGGGGCTCCGCTGCTGTGCAGTTGTTTGACTACTTCAGCAACTTCTGCCCCCGAGATTGGACAGTACATCCCCAGGTCTCCTGGCTCTGGTTCCTCCTCGGAATGCACGTAGGTGGGATTGAGGAGCTCCTCAAAGTATTCCTTCCTCCGTCCGACTATAGCCCCAGTTGACGTCAGCAGCTCCCCATTCCCACTGTAAACAGTGTGAGCGAGTTGCTACCTTCCTCTCCTGAGGCGCCGGACAGTTTGCCAGAACCTCTTTGGAGCCGATTGATAGTCTTTCTCCATGGCCTCACCAAACTCCTCCCATGCCCGAGAATTTGCCTCGGCAACTGCCACTGCTGCACCCCGCTTGGCTATCCGGTACCTGTCTGCTGCTTCCGGAGACCCACAGACCAGCCACGCCCTGTTGGCCTCCTTCTTCAGCCTGACGGCTCCCCGAACCTCTGGTGTCCACCAGCGGGTACGGGGGTTGTCACCACGACTGGCACTGGCCACCTTGCGACCACAGCTAGCAACAGCCGCCTCAACAATCACAGAGTGGAACAAGGCCCACTCTGAGTCAATGTCCCCCACTGCTCTCAGGACTTTTATTCTGAACATTGATATATAAATAAGAAACACAGTCTGTTTCAATTTTAGAGAATAAAGGTGCACATTAATATAGGCATTTACAATTTTACCTCCTGAGATTGAGCAGCTCCTGCAGACTTTGGGAGCGTCTTACATATTTCACTAAGCCTTCCTCCTTTTACCTGTAACCAGGTATTCAGAGGTTAGACAGAACAGAAATACACAAGAAATCTGAAAAATGTGGCTTTTGATTGCAATAATAAATAGAGTCTAGGTGTTTATCCTGGAAGAAATATTTGTTTTAGAAACTGACAAAAAATCAGGGCACAAAAACTTTTTATATCCCAGTAATTAAAACAAATGTGTCCGTTGTTCAAGTAAGTATATGAAACTATTTCAGTCTGGATATCAATCAATCAAAGATACTTTATTAATCCCAGAGGGAAATTAGAGTTTCAGTACACACAATTCAGAGATCAGACATACATACATAGACACATGACAAGAATTGGTGACTGTGGTCATTCGCAACCCTGAGTTGCGCTACCTTAAATTCCTCGAAAGGAGGAATGGCAGACGTCTCAATCTGAAGGAAGAGGGTGAAGGTCGGGACACAGCATCTGTCAGCTCTGGCACAGCGCGTCGCCTCCGCCTCCCGACGCGCAGGGGCTCATCACCTGCTGTCTTTTCCGAGGACTGCATCTTGTCAGTCATTATCACGTGACAGTGACTAGTCGATGACAGGCATAAAAAGTCACTACAGAGCAGTGAAGTCGACTAGTTCATACAACCCCTAGTGTGCACTGTTTTCCATGAGAAATACCCAGGAGGTCACTGAAGTTCAACCTCTAATAAAAATAAAAACAAATAATATTTTCTAGCATATCGTTACAAGATTCAATTTATTACACAAGGATAAAATGTTGTCTTTGCTCAGATTGACCAAGAAGAAAAATAAATACAAAGTTTATTTAAGGGACGACAGACCAGCTGACAGCTGAGAAAACAGAACAAAAGGGAAATATAAGACAGTTTTCTGAAGAAAATGTCCAGTTGAAAGAAAGAAAAGGTGTATACAGTTTTGAAAATACAAATTTAAAGTGTTTAGTGACTGGATTGATTAGAAGATGAGATTTATTAGAAGAAATTGTGTCTAAACTGTCAGAAGATATTTATAATATGATGCTTAAACATGTTTAAAGCTAAAAAAGAGTAGCAGTTATGTTCCATAACTTCCACTGAACATCATATGTTTGATTGGAATACTAACTCTATAAGAAATGAAACAGCCTAATCTGGATTGTTATTAATCCTAATCTTGCCTCTTTTTCTCATATTAAAATATCTCACATGCTGCTCAATGCTGCTTCTGTTTAAATTAAAACAAACATACATCAGAATCTTTTCTGACAGCCAAGGGAAAGTTTAAAACCACATTTGGACACCATTTCTTAAACATAGGACACAATAAGGCACATCCTCGTGAGAAGAGACTTTTAAAATATTTACAACAAAATAAATTAAAACTTTCAAAACTGAATTACTAGGGGTGTAACGGTATGCTAAAATCGTATTCGGTTCGGTTCAGTGTTTTGAAGAGCTCGATTCGATTAATTTTCGATATATTACTATTATTTATTTTCCTATAGTGAGCAGAACCAGGTGTCATCACATGCTGCTGATCTAACATGTCTTTAATTATTTCACAGGTTATTTGTGCAGCTATGAATGTCACTGTCAAACAAACAAGTGTTGTGTTTGACTGTTGATAATCCGTGTTTTTATTTCTGCAGAGAGCCTTAAAAACTCACCTCACACCGCCCAGTTTCTTCTTTAAAGCTCATTAAATAACGAGCTTCCTCCACGCTGTGATTTTCGTTGTAGGATGAAAACTTTACATCGATTGTCACAGGAAAAAGTTCAGCAGACGTGTTTGTTTACATTTTTGCCGCTGCGTGGCTGCACAATGCGAGAGAAGAGAAGGAGGGGCGAAGCAACGCTCTGTTCAGCGGCTTTACAGGCTTCACAGTAGCAGCGACAGCCAGCTGGTTTAATCTGCTCAGAAAAGCATTGATCAGAATTTGCAGATCACTTTTTTTAAAACTGAGATCAGGCGAGTGCAGCCATCATGCGTCACTCAATACAGCGTCCGCGTGGAAACTCGCCTAGGAACTTTTATCTGCTGCACTTAATTTACGCAAATAAAAATTAATTATTTAACGGAAAAAGCGGTACGCAAGTGGATCGAACCGAACAGGCCGAACCAAAACGGTTCATCAACCCCACCCCTGTATATTTAATTAGTGAAAACAACACAGAGCTGCAACAATCTTCAGAGATGTGGATGTGATCTGTGGTGTAAATGTTGAGATGAAGACGTTCAGACAAGCAAACTTAACTGGAAAACTAAACACTGCAAGCCTTTTAAAATGTTAAACAGAAGTTTTAAAGGGCTTAAAAGTTCTATTAAAATTTTCATATAAAGCTTTAGAACAATCTGATAGGTTTGAGTTAGTCTCTGCTTTTGATGGCTTCTTTAATGCGGAGGATTTCATCTTCATCTGAGCTGTCACGTTTGTCACTTTTATCTTTCTGTTCTGTGTCTGGATCTGTGGTTTTCTGTTTGTTTTCAGATCTGGTGGACTGCAGCTCCTCTCGGATGCTGTTCAGCTCCACCAAACCCTCGTGCAGCTGCATGGCCACCTCCCTAATTTTGGCAGCAAACTCAGATTTTGCTCCTTTCTTGAGCTCTTTAGAATCTTTAGCCACAAAGTAAATGTCCATACCTACAAAGAGACCAGTCAGCACACCGGTGGCCATGCTGGCGATCTGGACCGCTCTGGCCGCTGTGCTGCCCGCCACATTGGCGATCTGCACTACACGCATGATCTCGTTAGCGTTGATGAGGATCGCCTTTCCTGCCATGGCTCCGTCCTCGTAGAATTGGCTAGTGAGTGCAGGGAAGTCCTGGTTATAGGTGTTTTTCTTCATCTTGATTAGGTCAAACCTGCGCAGGTTCTCAATCCCCTGTTTGACGAATGTCAGGCATTTGTTAAGGTCAGCGATCTTCTCCTGGTAATCTGTCACGATCTTCTCCACCTTCTTGCGATCCATTGAGTTGTTGACCTGGTTGGAGATGCCGGCGCCTGCTGAGGTTAGACCGCCAGCTGTGGCCATGCCCAAACCTACCGCTGTCACGATCAGAGAGGTTCCCATGGTCACTGGAGCCAGGGCAAGGCCAGTTATGGTGGCCACGCCCCCGATGGCACTGGTGGAACCACCGGTGATTTGAGCGATCTTTGTGTTTTTGTTGAACTTGTCCAGGCTATCGGCAATGGCGTTCAGGTCAATCACGTGCTGCCACAGACTTTCAGCTCGCTCTGAGAACAGTTCGTTGAAAACACGAATGCCTTTTTGCACTTTCTCTGCTGTCCCAGCAAACACCCTAAAAAAACAAAAAACAGATTAACTGGATCAGGAATAGTGAAGCAGAAAGCAGACAAACAGTGAGGTGAGCTTCATGACTGGGGAGGCACTGACTGTTCTGGAGTCAGACTCACAAATATACGATCCCAAAACGAAAGCTTGTATTTTATTTTTGAACTTGAATGAAATATTGTGTTTTAAAATTTCTTGGTTATAATTTAATACATTTCATACTATTCAACAAAACATTAGCAAGTAAAATAATATTTATTATCAGAGCTAATTTGACTTAAATCTATTCATTATTCATGTAATATATTACACATGAAATTCGTGTATTATCTTACCTTTATGTGTTTATAGCGTCCAAACACCTGACTTCTCCATGACCTCTAAGCTGTAAAAATCATCCTCCCATATCTCCTGTTCTGACTGAAACTCCTTCAGTGTTGAGCCATAAATCTTCCATTTAGTCAGAGCAAATTTAAGTTAGTTCACCCTTACGGGCCAGTCGGCTCCCCAACCCCGCCCTGCATGTGTGTGAACAAGCAGTTTGCACTGGTGTCTATGGGGCTCAGCACACCGCACACACTTAATTCATGGCGTTGGTGCATGTGCTCTGCCTGAATCAGTGTGTGCAGGGCAGCTCAGAGAGAGAGGAGGCAGGCTCGTCTGTTTCCCCTCTCACTTCTGTGTGTGTATTGTCACAAAACAGGTAAATTCATTGAATATATGCATGATGAAATCATACAGAAAACTAAACCAGTCATTGGATAAACTGACTTCATATTAAATAATTATTGGTATTTTATTAGTCACAATGACTAGGGAGGCAGTGCCTCCCCTGCCTCCTCTGACTGAACATCACTGGGCATAAACATCCTTTCATCAGATATTGTGTTGGAACCTGGAGGGGAAGATGCCTCGAATCTCATTAGCACAAGTTCTGATATATGACTGAAGATCAGAGAATTTCTGTAAATGTTGAGATGCCTTTAGGGTATTTGTGAAACTGCCTTTACTCCATCCATCCATTCATATTCTTCTGCTTATCCGGAGACGGGTCATGGGGGCAGTAGCCTAAGCCGAGAGGCCCAGACTTCCCTCTCCCCAGCTATTTGAGCCAGTTCCTCTGGGGGAATCCCAAGGTGTTCCTGGCCAGCCGAGAGACATAGTCCCTCCAGTGTGTCCTGGGTCTTCCCTCACCATGGAGGCATCCTAACCAGATGTCCGAGCCACCTCAATTGGCTCCTCTCGACGTGGAGAAGCAGCGGGTCTACTCTGAGCCCCTCCCGGATGACTGAGCCTCTCACCCTATCTCTAAGGGAGAGCCCAGACACCCTGCGGAGAAAACTCTTTTCGGCCACTTGTATCCACAATCTCGTTCTTTCAGTCGCTACCCAAAGCTTGTGACCGTAGACGAGGGTAGGAACATAAATCGACTGGTAAATTGAGTCTTTACTTCCCAAAAAACAGAATTTGTCTCCATGGTAACATACACAGACCTGCCAACCTTGTCAAAAAATTTTGAGTACCACTTGTGCAGTGTTTTTTTCGCGGACTTTTGCAACTCCATTGCTTTTCACGCTGTCATCTCCCCATTCTCTTGATGGAAAATTTTATACACACACACACACACACACACACACACACACACACACACACACTTGTTCATAGTTTGTATTTTGACTAGTAAGGTTATAGACATTTTTACAGTTTGACCTGACTCCAAAGTATCCTTTATTTTAATATTAAACAGTAAAACTCTAAAGTTGCCTTATATAACATTTGTGCTTATACAAGTTACTTGCATTAATTATTTCAATGCAAATTAATAAAAAAATACATGTATATGTATTTAATGGTCATTATTTATTTTGTAAATTGCAATAGGTGTATCTATTCTCAATAATGTATTATTGGCTTAAAGCACATATGCACACATCACCAGGGCTAATTTACTAATTACCTGCAGCTCCCTGGTGGCTTATGGCCACATCATAATTGCAGATTGTGCAAAATGCATGGTGAGGTTGTTTAGAGGGTTGCAAGCATGGCCACTGTTCTTGATATTTGGACAAAAACTTCTGAGACACATGGACCCTCTTCTTTTTGGCAGGTCTGCTAACCAATCCCTCCCTGTCTGCTTCTGCCATAGCATGAGTTACAAAACGAGCTGCGAAAAAAAAATGGCTGCATGTTTGAACTGTATAAATAACCACATTCCTCTTTTGTACGTTCTTGCTGTGTTTGTCTTCAAACTCCATTTTTGGTTCTTTTTTAAACACAGATAAGGTTTTTCTTTACCTAGCTGACGTTTCATTTGCGGCTGCAAACATCCTCAGAGCTGACGCTAATGGCGGCGTCACTTCCTACTCCATTTATCCGCGGACAGCAGAGGACGTTGTCGCCCTCTGCCGCCCGCTCTCCCCTCTCTGATGATGCAGTCCCATGCGCGATCCAATGAGTAAACTCCTTCGTCTCTGTTCAAGGTCACACATCCACGTCTCCTTATCTCTATAGCTTCCTTTATCCATCTTTTGTATTTCTGTTGTTCGGTGTTTATGATCCTTGTGTTGTCCCAGTCCATTACATGGTTTTCTCTTATGCAGTGATCTGTTACGGCCAATTTCTTTATTGTACTTTCTGCTTCTTCTTTTGCTGCTCTTGTGTGTTTTCAACTTGCCTCTTTCTCGCACTCCTTTCTATGTTCTATTGTTCGTGTGTTGAGTTGGCGTCCGGTTTCTCCTATGTATGTTTTATTGCAGAGTTTGCATGGGATTTCGTAAATGACTCCACATTTAAGTCCAGCTGGTATCTTGTCTTTTGGGTGTACTAGTCTGTTTCTAACTGTTGTGTATGTGTCCTCTGCTGCCCGCGGATAAACGGACAAGGAAGTGACGCCGCCATTAGCGTCAGCTCTGAGGATGTTTGCAGCCGCAAACGAAATGTCAGCAAGGTGTGTTTAAAAAAAGGACCAAAAATGGTAATCACATTCCTCCTTATATACAGGCCAAGTCTATCTGCAATGGATAAAGGCAAAAATACACACCCACACACGCACGCATGCACGCACACACGCACCCACACACCCACCCACACACACACACACAGAGTTTACCTTACCAGAACAGCAGCGAGTGGCGAACCAGAGGGAGAGAGGAACAGAGGGCAGGACGAAGCAGGGAGGAGGGGGGCGGGGGTGTTACGCTATTGGCTAGGCAGGATAGTTAGCTCTGGTTTTTCTCTGCTTTTCTACAATGATTGCCTTAAACTTCTTCACCACGCCGCTGAGTCGTGTTGTCAGAAATGAGTACCACACGTGCATATTTGACACAAAACTCAACTCATGTATCCCCAGCTTTTTGCGTAGTTTAGAGGGGCGAGTTGTACCAGTGTAAATAGATGTCAAATTGCGTACTGGCTACGCAAAATGCGTACAGGTTGGCAGGTCTGCATACAACATGAAACATGAAGAGAAGATATTTTTGTAGAAACCAAAACTGGACACTAACACCTGTTGGACATTCACTTACTTGGCTTCTTCTTTTTCAGTCATGTCATGAACTTGAAGCATGTCCCCCCAAGCTGTCAATGTAAAAAAAATAAGTTTTTTAAACAAATTAATTCAAATATAAACAACTTGTAACTCAGAGTGCAAACACCCACAAAGGGCAACTGCTATCAGAACTTTAGAATGACGAGATACAACACAAATGCTACAGCTAGGGGGAGCCAGGACACACGGTCTGAGGGAAGGTAAGGTCAACTCCCCATCCAGAGATTAGGTGCAAAGCCCCAATAAATGAAATGATGCTGCACAAGGCAACAACTGATCTCAGAGATAAGATCATGGCTTAAATGAACACCAGGCAACTCCGATGCCAACTACAATGGCTGAGTGAAATACCATCAGACATCATTGAAGATCTGAATGCAGCATTGACAACAATTCCAACAACCACCATCACTAAGCTGATGTACACTTCAGCAGCAGTGATCCTTGAGGTGCTTGGCTATAAAAGCAAGAGCAACCATGAGTAACAATACCCACCATAGAAAAGAAGTTTGGAGGACAAAATCAAGGCAGCACAGAGAGCAGTGAGCCTGTCAGAGCTCCAGAATAGTACAATGAGAAAATCAGTAGCCACAGCCAAATACCCATGCCTGAAGCACCTGAAAACTTCAAAAGCTCCAATCCTTGGCCAGTTTCCTAAGAGGTACAAGAGAGAAAGTGAAGCCTGATGAATAAACCAGCTCTTCTCCAACCAACCAGCTAAAGTATGCTCAATGTCAGGGCAACAACAACGGAGGTGACCCCCTGGACTGGAGACTGAACAATACTGGATGGGCATTTGGGAAAAAGAGGCATCACACAACAGCAATGCAAAGTGTCTAGCTTCTCTAAGAGAAGACCTCAGCAACCTTCCTGAGCAGAACCCAGTACCCATCATTGTGGCAGAAATCCAAGAAAGAGTCTCAGGTATGAAAAACTAGACAGCACCAGGGCCTGACATGATCCACGCCTACTGGCTAAAGAAGCTCACTGCACTCCATGAGCGCCTGGCAACATACAGATCCCCTCATGCTATTTTTGTAAAGACGGCGTAAAGTAAAAATGTACATGAGCATGGGAAAGAAGGGCATCAGCAGAGATACCAGCGGAGCCAAACACCAGCTGCTGATAGACCAAACAGTCACCCAAGACTGCAAAATCCGACGCACCAACCTGTGTACGGCCTGGATTGATAACAAGAAAGCCTATGAGTCAATGCCGCACTCATAGAAGAAGAAGAAGAAGAAGAAGAAGAAGAAGAAGAAAGTATAATTTCTATATCAAGATAAAAATCACGAGGCGCTTCACAAAAGCAAAAAATGTAAAAATATAAAAAAGCATTTAGAAAATGTTTAAAAATATATTTAAAATGAGCAAAAATAGGCAATTGTGATTAAAAAAATGTTAAGAAGAGAGAGTGTGAATAGGAAAGAGGGAAATCTGTGGATCATGAGGAAGGTGGAATAGGTGGGGAGAGCAGAATAAAGAGAGAGTGGTGAAGAAGGTCATACAAAAGCCAGCTTGAACAAGTGAGTCTTCAGCTGCTTTTTAAAGGAGACCACTAATCTCAGGCTCAGGGGGAGAGACTTCCAGAGTCTGGGGGCCACAGCAGCAAATGATCTGTCACCTTTGGTCTTTAGCCTGGTGCTGCACAACCAGTAGGCTTTGGTCACTGGACCTCAGGGACCTGCTGGGGGTGTAGGGACTAAGAAGATCACCAATGTAAGATGGTGCTTGTCCATGTAAGGCCCTATAGACCAGAACCAGGATCTTGAAATGAACCCCGAAGTTGACTGGCAGCCAGTGAAGCTGGAGGAGAAGCGGGGTGATGTGGATAGATAGAGCATTGAATGCTTGGAGCTGTACAACTTCAACAGGACCCTCCTGAGAGCCTTTGTTGCAAACTTGATGGGGCTTTTGCAAACCACCCTTGAGGCAAATTGCAAGCCAGATGGACAAGTCTCCATCAAATGTGGCATATACAAAAGAGACGCCCTGTCCCCACTGCTGTTCTGCATAAGCCTGAACCCCCTCAGCCAAATTGTCAACAAGACTTGCTATGGATACCAACTCAAGAATGGCACCACAATCAGCCACCTTCTTTATATGGATGACATAAAGTTACGTACGCCAAGAGCGAGCAAGACTGGGCTGCATGGTGGCACAGTTGTTAACACTGTTGCCTCGCAGCGTGAAGGTCGCAGGTTCGAAACTCAGCTGCGGCCTTTCTGCGTGGAGTTGTGTGTTCTCCTCATGCATGCGTGGGTTTCCTCCGGGTACTCCGGTTTCCCCCACAGATCACAACATGCCCTATAGTTTATAAATTGCAAGTCGCTTTGGATAAAAGTGTCTGCCAAATAAATAAACATAAACATAAACATAAGACATCAACTCACTGATCTACACCACTAGCATCTACAGCACTGATATCGGAATGTCATTTAGACTTGAGAAGTGTGGTCGGATGGTGACAAAGAAAGGGAAGGTAGTCCACACAGAAGGGGTCTACCTCCCAGAAGGAACAAAAGCAGACATTTAGGTCAGCTACCTACAAGGAGTAAGGCAAGTGTTTAAAAAACATTATAACTTACATTCCACAGTGTTCCACCAGTCCATGAGATCTTCCACATCCTGCAAGACACATTTAGGTAAATATGGACTTTCTTATTTTATGGTTGTTCAAAAATGTTTACAATTTCAATGCAAGAACACAAAGAGACCAACCTGACTGTCTTCAGGCTGTGAGGGTGCCATACGAAAATCCTCCAGTTGGTCAAATACAGACCTGCTGGGCGGCTCATGGTGAGAAAAAACAAATTAGGTCAGTGGATTTATAAAAGACCCTTACCCTCTTACTATTGACCAGCTGCAGACAGGGCCATTTTGCATCAGTGCCAAATCATCAGCCTTAGGAGAATTAAAAACAGCCAGCTGCACCACATTGCTGTATAACCAAGGTAAGGATAATAGTAAAACTAGACAAACAGGAATAAAAACAAGGGCATCAAAAGTAGACAATAAAAGCACAATAATAATAAAAGCCAAAAGAACAGAAAGTGTCTGGCTCTACTACTTAACAGCTACGTAGAAAAAGTGAGCTTTTAAAAGGTTTTTAAAACTTCCAGGCTTTGGGTAGATCTGATGTGGGATGGTCAACTGTTCCATAGACGTGGAGCGGCCAGAAGCTGCTGGTTGTTTGACTTTTGGGTGTAACGTGATGGTGGAGAAGGTCCAGAAGATAAGAAGGAGCCACAATATTAAGAGCTTTAAAAACCACCAATAAAATCTTAAAATCAATTCTATAAGAAACTAGGAGCCAGAGAAGGGAAGTTAAAACTGATGTGAAGTTTCATTAAAGGTCAAGCTGCAGTAGTCTGAATCATCTGCAGACGAGTGAAGCCAGATCAATGCCCTTGTACAGGGATGTGATAAAAGCATGAAGAGTTTTCTCAAACTCTTTAGAACTGAAGCAGGACTTAACTGTAGCTAAAAGCTAATATTGGTGACAATCTAAATGATCTTAATCTTAAGGAGCAAGTCAACCCCTACCAGAGTCTAACTCCACTCCCACTTCATGTTTGAAAAATGCAACAAATGCTGTTGCCTGGCAGACCGAGAAGGCAGAGCTGCTAACAAATACACACACACACAGGCTCACGACAGCATTGTGAGATCATAATGTACCAGTTTACATCATAGCATACCTCTTAGCCAATAGCGGTGGTAGATTTAAATTAAAATACAGTGCATAGTTTTTACCTGACAATGGCACAACACTGCCAGTTTTAGGCAGAATATTTAAATTTTAACTAAGATGCACTGAAGTGCCAAATTATTGACGACACGTGTCTGCAGCACGATTAGACACTTGTTTATTTAGTTTATCAGCAAAAATAAGTTCATTTGGGGTGACTTGCTCTTTAAAGAATAGCAAGATTTTTTTATTTCCACAAAAGTACAAGTGTAAGTGAAACGGTGTGTGGGAATTAAAAAAAAAGTCAGGATTTTAAGAGAATTCTTAAAGGGGCTTTACGGAAGTTTTGAATTTTTATGCTCACGATTGCCCCCTCAGGCCAAAAGCGTAACGGCAGCTTCAATAGTAGGCTCGTGCACGAAGCGCGCATGCTGTACTTGCACACTCCTTAACGAAAATAACAGCTGAGACAGTCCCGTGTGTGTGTGTGTGGCCCGGAGGACAGAGGACAGGAGAACGCGCAGCTAATTAATTAAATAATTTGGTTCTGTTTCTTTCTCTTCAGCACAGCCTACAAAGGTTTAAGATGGGTCAGTCTCCTGCATGCTCTTGAAAAATTGTTCCAAAATGAAAGTTGAACCCACATATTTTTTATCTGTGAATTCAATGCCGTTCGGCGAGTCTCAAACAAAAATTTGGGCATCTTACTGTAAAAAAATATACCATAATGTAAAAAAGAAACTCAAAATAAACTATGTTCACATCCAGAATCGAACCCACGTCTTCTGCACAAAATTCCGACTTCTTATTAGGTGAGCTAAAGCACCAGTGACATCTTTTGTATCTGTAACATTTATATCCTTGATGACAGCTGAAACAACGTTCAAGGAACGGTTTGGAGCATAAATGGCTATTTTGTTGCTAATTTGCAGGAAATATCTAGAAGAAAGTTATACAGAAAGTAGCTAAGGGTCCTCAGAAATGTAGCTAGCTTTGTCACTAAGTGTTAGGAACAGCGACAAAGTGGAACTGCCTCTCTCTTTGCTGCTAAAGCTACGGACAGCAAATGCTACGGGCTATGCCTGAGCGTGAACGCGCATGAAGCAGCCTGCTCGACCAGAGCAGCTCTCTTTTCTGTGATTTTACAGAAAAACAGGCAATCACAGTAAAAATTCCAAGGCTCATTCTACAGGACCAGGGCATCGCAGGAGAATGTATGAAGAAGAAATTTTTTTATTTCTATACATGTTTTGGCTGTCAAACTTCCATAATGCCTCTTTAAATTTCACTATTTGAACAGTTTGTGCTCAGAAAACAGAATGTGAGTAAAATGGATTTTGTCTGTATACTAATATGTGATTACAGAAGTAAAAATTCAACTGCCTCAATGGATATGCTAAAACAGAAGCAAGCTTGGGCCCAATGAACACATGTGGGGGTGGATTTCATTAGTAAAGGCATCAATAAAGGCATAACAAGACGACATCAACAACAAATGCATCTGCTGGGAGCTGAGCTGACACTCAGGAGATGGACTGGTGGAAGGGTTGTTGGAGGTTGGAAGAGGGAAGGAGTCGAGTGACTGAAACAGGTTTTGATCCCCAATAAGACGTTATAAACAAAAAGTTCAAAAATTCTGGAACAGATGGTTCAGTTCAATAAAAATGTGAAAGAAGAGAATAAAGAACTATCCTTGTTGAGATACACAGATTTTCATTCTCCTCACCTCTGATGGTTTTCCTGCAGCTCCATCCTGAGCCTGCCTCTGAATGATTTTAGCCTGCAAAGATAAACAAACCTGAAAGAAACATCTTCAGCAGATGGAGTGAGCTGTTAGTTCATGACAGAATGTGTTTGGAATTACAGGTATGCAAATAAGCACCTGATCAGTACATGACAGGGCACATCAGCTGGAACTAAACTAAAATGGAAAACTACCTCTGTGGCTTCCAAACAGGTTAGACGGATCTACTGAATGATTTTACAGGTTTAACTTAAATCACGTTTGTGTTTTACTGTCTTCAGATTAGGGCTGGACAATATGGCCTAAAATCAATATCGCGATATATAATGGATTTCGCCTTGATAACGATAAATGGACTATAACTACAGGTATGCGCAGGGGCAAAAGTTGTCCACTAGATGGGGCTGTCACATGCACTACGTACAACAGATTCTTAAAGGAACATGAACATTGCCAACCTACACACATCTTTTCATTTTTTATTATCAAATTCATTGACATGGGAAAAACGATCTCGATAAGAGTCAGAAATTTCTATAACGATAAATTTTCGATTTATTGCTCAGCCCTACTTCAGATCTATACTCTATAGCTTTTGCTAATGGAATATTAATGAACCTAAGACTGCATAAGGGCTAGGGGATTTCATGCTGGCAAAGCTTCATGTTCAGTCTCTTTTTACACAAGCAGTGTTTCTGTTCCACACACTACAAAAAATCATCAAGATGTTATGTTGTACGAATGCAGAAAAAACAAAACGTGCACTAACATTCTGATGTAAGTAGCAACTGGTTATTAAATGTATTTACTGGCTGTTTCCTCTACCTAATGTTTGTTTAAGATTTATTATTTTCATGGTCCTCCTGGTTTCTGTTATCAGGTTGATGTGGATAAATGTCACAAATACGAAGGGATAACGTGACTGTCATGAATATTACCTTGACTCGAGGCATGAAAGGATTTAGCGTCTTTGGCTTCTTGATTTTGTTCTTAAAAAGAAACACAAGATCACAGTGTCATAAAACATTATTCAAAAACTGATTCTTAAGAGCGTTGGAACGGGAAAACACAAAAGCAGGTGTTGACTGAACTCAAACAGAAGAAAACTCATAGCAGACACACCTCTTCAGCCTTCTCTCTCCATTCTTCTTTCTTTTCCTCTCTGGATGAAGACTTTTCATCATCTTTCAGCCCTTCGTCATTGGATGTGGCCTGATTCATGTAGACAATGAAAAGACTCAATTTAAAAAATAAATTCTAATGTATTACAGAAGTTTTCATGTACTTCAGATTTAAAACAAAAACAAAGTAACGTTCATTAGAAATAATCCCACACTGATCCCTATTATATTATATTATATTATATTATCTTTTTGTAATGATTGCTAATTTGAGGGGAAAACAATTAAATAACAGTTTTGACAAACTTCAGAAAAAGAGAATGAAAATGAAAAAAGTGTCAACTGTCTCTAAATAATAATAATAAAGGTCTAAGCTGAAGAGAATAAAATATAGTGCAATAAACCAATATTCTCATATGTGGACACAGGGTCTTAGGAGGATATGACAATGTTCAGTGTAAGAAATTGATGTCATGGCAGAAATGTGCAGGTTTTTGGGAGGGCCAGAATTAATTGTAATCACATCATGACACTAAAGTAAGTCTTGGGCTACGTTCACACTGCAAGCAAAAGTGCATCAAATCCGATTTTTCCCACATGCGAGAATGACCTTAATACCGGAACATTTTCGGTGAATAATAATTCGGGAAACCGGCGGGAATAAGAAGTAGAATAGTTTACAGGTTTTAAAACTGTTTCTAACCCAAAATGGGAGACTTGACAAGTGTTATCCTGATTCTGTGGGCGAACAGTGAAGCTCTTCACATCCTAACTCCACCTTTCCTGGTTCTGACTCCACTGTGTGACCTCTTGTCTTCTGCACATTCGGGTTGCTTTGCAGCCGTGAAGTGTTCACACCATCGACATACACTGGACAATGTGTTTCCATAGGCTCCAATTATAAATTTTTGAGCCAAAATGGGAGGTGGCCACCACCGCCATTTTGACAGTGTCACAGGTTCTGTCAAACCTAGACAATTCCAAAACAGGGAAAACAGGTGGAGCTGATGGTAGGGCTGTAAGGCTGGTATCAAATGACGACACCCATTGAACTGAAGCAATGTAGCTACAAGCTAACCTAAAGCTAACGCGGAGGTGGGAGCTAAGCTAACGGAGGTACTACGTAGCTACAACCGGAGTCAACTGTGCACAACACCGGAGCTTCTGAGTCACAGATACGCCGGGCTGACCGCTGGGTATAACCGGGTAGAACACAGAGGTCTCCCGAGAGCTCCACAAGCCGGCAGCCCGCACAGCAGACGGGCACCGCTGCGATCAGAGATGCGCCGAGCTGAGGGGAGAGGACCATACCGATAGTTGGAACCCAGCTCCACCAACATGTTTTATTTCAACCCATTTACAAAAATGCAGAGTTATCTTAAATGCACTGGGTTTTACCCTATTATATTTAAATTTCATGGTTAAACAGTACATGTTAAAATCGAAGCTCAGAGCGGCAGTGACCTAAAATACATAAATATAATTTTACTTACCGAAAAAAATGAAGTACAGTACAGATAATGTGTTCAAACAGGTGCCATTAATACAGGTAACGAGTGGAGGACAGAAAAGCTTCTTAAAGAAGACGTTGCAGGTCTGTGAGAGCCAGAGATTTTCCTTGTTTGAAGTGACCAAATACTTATTTTCCACCCCGATTTACAAATAAATTCTTTTAAAATCCTGCCATGTGAATTCATGTATTTTTTGTTCACATTCTATCTCTCACAGTTGAAGTGTACCTATGATGAAAATTACTGACCTCTGTCATCATTTTAAGTGGGAGAACTTGCACAATCGGTGGCTGACTAAATGCTTTTTTGCCCCACTGTATCTAGTGGGCACTTTGACCAAGTACATAAAAATCCCATTGAGGTCAGCTTTGGTTGTCAAAGATGGTTTTCTGTTATTTTGGCATTAATCAGACATTGTGTGTGTAATCTAGAGCCAGAGAGCCGAAAGGGGGTGGAGCTAAAGGGGTTTGAACCAACAACCACATCAATGTGTTTGGTATAGTCACGTGATGACACAAGCCAAGCCATTCTGACCTTGTATTAGGGAGTAATTCACTTTTAATCTTATCTAGGGGGCGCTGTGACCAATTACATAAAATTCCTATTGAGGTCTTCTTAGGGAGTCAAAGATGGTTTTGTGGTAGTTTGGCATCAATCAGACATTGCGTATGCTTTCTAGAGCCAGAGAGCTGAAAGGGGGCGGAGCTAAAGGGATTTGAACCAACAACCACATCAATGTGTTTGGTGCAGTCATGTGATGACACAAGCCAAGTATAATGTCATTCTGACCTTGTCTTTAGATGTTAATAAAGTTTGAACCTACTTAGGGGGCGCTGTGACCATTTACAACGAAATCCCATAGAGGTCATCTTTGGTCATCAAAGATTGTTTTTCGTTAATTTGGCATCAATCAAATGTTGTATTGGTCATCTGGAGCCAAAAGGCTGTAAGTGGGCAGAGTTAAAGTGATTTGAACGAGTGAGCACACACGTGTTGATTGCAGTTGCATGATGACTCCCACCATGTTTGATAAAGTTTGGAGCTTTTTTGTAGAAGTTACAAGGGTTTGATTGTATGTAGGGGGCGCTGTCTCATATTTAGGAAAATATCCCATGGGGCAGTTTGTAGGTTGACAACAATCATTTGCATGTAGTTTGGTGTGAATTGAATCATGCATGTGTTATTCAGGGCCTAATATCTGTCAGGGGGTGGAGCTAAAGCAATATCAACCAATGACCACAGGATTGTGTTGGGTGCCTTTGTGTGATAACACATAGCAAGTTTGGTGCAGTTGTGACCACATCTGTATGAGTTATTACAGTTTTAAAGGTATGTAGGGGGCGCTGTGGTGATATTATACAAGGTTCACCAACCATTTATGCCTCGTTGGCTAAAGGGCATGATTGTTGATTGCCATGTTCAGTCTTGTGCAGATCAGAGGCTGTTTGTGGAAGTTACAGTCAAACATAAGGTCAGGGCGTCACGCCAGAATTCGCCATGGCATCAAAGCCCCTCCCTTTCTGGAAAGCTATCAGAACTGAATGGTCATTACAGCATCATGAAGACAGTGTCATTTTGACTAAATTAGGGGGGAAAAATATGGGCAGTTCACCATAAAACAGTAGACTTCCTGTTGTCAGGGGCCGGGGCTTAGGTGATGTAAGCTGTCCACATTGTCATTGTCTTGAGATGTGGTCAGTGATCACACAGACAAAGTTTGATATAGAACTGATCATGCACATGGGAGTTATTACGTCAAGTAATGTAATGGCAAAAGGTCAAAGTTTGAAGCTTAGCCACGCCCACAACTTTAAGCTTATTTAAAATCCGACGGTTGAATTTTTTCCCCCTATGTCTTAAGAGTATATAGCAGAAGTTTGAAGGCAATTGGTGAAAAGGGCGATGGGGCATCACTTGCCAAACGGCATGTGTGAAAACCACTAAATCAAGTACTTGGACCAAAATGGCCGACTTCCTGTGCAAAATTTACCTTGGCTCTACGAGACTTTTTTGTATGTCCCAAGGCACTACATTAGTGTACCAAATTTCATAGTTCTCAATTAAAGCACGGCTTGGGGCTGACCGTTTTAATAGTTCTAGGGGGCGCTAGTTCAGAAAATAGGCCATGTCCACCAATCTATCACGTTCATTTCTATTGGGGATCAGACCAGGATCACTCACCAGAGATGTCGTGGCGATATCATGATAACTGAGGAAATGAGAGGCAAATGTATTTACATGGCCTGATGGCAAATTTTGCCATGCTCCCAAAGCCCCACCTTTTTTTGAAACCTGCCAATACTGGACACCAAGTTACCTCAACTTGTCTACTGATATTTGCCAGAGATTGCTGGTGATTGGGTGAAAGGAGTCCAATAAGGAGCTGTGAAAAAAGTGGTGTGGCGACAGGTCAAAGTTTGAGGCTTAGCCACGCCTACACCTTTCAACTTTTGGAAAATCCGATGGTTGAACTTTTTCCGCTATAGCTTAAGAGTATATAGCAGAAGTTTGAAGGTGACTGGTGAAAAGGGCGACAGGGCATCATTCTCCAAACAACGTGTGCAAAAACCACTACATCGAGTGCTTGGACCAAAATGGCCGACCTCCTGTGTGACTTTGCGCTTGGCTCTAAGAGACTTTTTTGTAGGTCCTGAGACACTACATCAGTGTGCCAAATTTCGTAATCCTCAGTCAAAGCATGGCTTGGGGCTGGCAGTTTTAATTGTCCTAGGGGGCATTATTTAAGAAAATAGGCCACGCCCACCAGATTTTCACATCAGATTTTTTGGGGGCTGGACTAGGATCACTCACCAGAAGTTTTGTGGAGATATCTTTAGAAATCACGAAATACGAGGCAAACGTATGGCCACGGCGGTATGCCTGACTTCGCCGTGCCGTCACAGCCCCGCCTTCTTTTGAAAACTCCCATAAAGTGACGCCAAGAAACACCCACTTGTCTTGAGTTAACAGCTACAAATTTGTGGTGATTTAGTGAAATGGGGCGATTTGGGACCTATCACAGTAAAACTGGACCTTTTTGGTCCTGAGGGGGCGGGGCTTGTGCGATGTCATCATCCGACCACTGAATTTAGTTTGTGGCTGGATGTCGACTGACCACAGACATTTTTGTTACTCTAGTCTATTCGAGTATGAAGTTATAGCCATTTATATTTTTTTGGCGAGTATTTGGAATTTGAGGCCTGGCCACACCCCCTCAGCATAAACAAAAAGTCAGTTTTATTTTTTTATTTGATCGCCCATCCCTTCTGAGCAATTTCCCACAATTTCGAGACGATAGTGCAAAAATGATCGAGTAAATCAATCAGAAGCGGGCCCTAGAAACGGCCAAAACGGGGTCAAAATCACCACTTCAAACCAAAATGGCCAACTTCCTGACTGATGCTGACCATGGTTGTAAGAGGCTTTTCTGTGTGACTTATTACGGCTGCCAGCCTGGCCAGTGGGATGCATGAGCCAAGATCACCCAGCCCTGGTGATCAGCCTGACAGCTGAGCTGAATTCTGCTGATGACCCACACCATGGGATAAAAAGGCCGTGCCTTCAGCAGTCTGGGAGGCAGCAGTGCAGGGGATCTGCTGTCCTCCAGGCCTCGTTTTGGTTTTAACCCCCTTCGTTTTGATGAGTTTTAACTTTAAGAGTTTTAACTCTGAGTGATCCAAATGGATACTTTGTTCTGTCAACTTGGTTGACTCTGTTTTAAGGTTAACCGACTTTGGGATTTTAAAACACTCTGTGTTTTCGTAGTGCGTCAGTTTTACTATCAACTTGTGTTTTTAAAGCACCTTCTGTTTCGGTAAAACTTTTAACAAAGTTTTAACCAGGTGTTTTAATGTTGATAATTCACCCTTTATATGTTAACCTTTTAGTCTTGATTTTGTTTGTTGTCATTATTTTAATAATGTTCTCCATCTGTTTGCACTTGTTTTTACAACCTTTTATAACAATTAAACCCATTTTAACTCCACTGTCGCATTTCTTATGTTGCCCCCTCCTTCACATTTTAACATCTCCTGTCGGGGACGTAACAGGACTGTTGAGTACTACAAGTGTACAAAAGTTCATAACTGTATGATAAACTAAGCTTTCGCTGCTTGGGCCTAATAAAGATAAACAGGAAAACAATAGTTTGAATGCAAACAATAAATCTTTACACAACGTTGACAAGATTATGGATGACAGAAAATGAATGTGTACCTGACTACATTATAAGGGCAGAAAACATGATCACGGTGCTTCGGAAAAACATGAGTGACGGACTGCTCATTGCCATGATCCTAGGCGGGCTTCCTGACTCCTTTAAACCACTAGCCGTTCACATAACCCAGAACGAGGACAGTGTAACCTTCACAGACTTTGAAAGAAGATTAAGGGTCTATGAAGAAGCAGAAAAGACAAACAAAGCAGAGCCAGCAGACAATGTGATGAAGACATATACTAAACAAGAACAAGCAGAGAACAAAACACAAATCCATCATAGAAAAGATGAAGCTGAGATAACCTGCTAAAAATGTGGAAAGGGAGGCCACATTGCAAGAAGATGCCAGCAAAAGGTGTGGTGCAGCTTCTGCCAGAGTAACACACATAAAGAGAATGTGTGCAGGAAGAAAAAGAAACAAGATGACGTCAGAAAGGTAACAGAGAGCAATGGGGACGAAAATGACAACTTCTTCAAAATCAACGCAGAGAAACCACCAAACAGAACAAAAAATGAAGGGCATCGTGGTCGATGCGGGTGCTTCATCCCACATTGTGAATGACATCAGGAAATTCATCAGCTTCGACGACTCATTCAGCCCAAAGAGGCACTTGGTGGAGCTAGCCGATTGGACCAAAAGCAGCGGGACAGCGGAACGCAGAGGGACGGTGATGATCCGACTTCAAGAAAGCGCTGGACGACAACAGCAGACATATCTACAGGAGGCCCTCTACATGCCTTCATATCCACATGAGATCTTCTCCGTAGCGAGAGCAACCAACGAGGGTGCAACAGTCACCTTCAAGAAGGGCGAAAGCTGTCTGATAACCAAGAAAGGAAACAGGTTTGACATCTATGAGAATGAAAAATTATACTACTTACCCACTTCTGAAAATGACAATGACAAATGCTATCATTTTCAGACCCGAATTATGGGGGCTTGGTTCACACTGGTGAAATTTTGATGTCACATTTCAGTCGTAATGTGAACAGCCATACAAATAAATCAGATTTACTCAAAAAATCTGAATTGAGCATCAAGGCCTGTAGCGTGAACGTAGCCTTAAGGCGGGCGGATACTGTGCGACTTTGTCACTCATAGCATTCAGCTTCAGCCCAAACTGTAGGACTTCCTTGCAGAGCAAATCTCACGAGTCATGTGCTCACACCGTATGACCCAATTCTGGGATGCGACCTGACTGCTCACACGTCTGGTAGCAACAAGTCGGACCTGAAAATATGCTAAAAATAGCAGTTTTTACACAACATATTAGACTTTTTTTGTGTTGTTACTAATGTCTGTTGTCCTTCGGGAATGCTGCAGGAGGACACACAGGGATTTATGGGGGCTGGATGAGGAAAATGAAAGAAAGAAAGTAAATCAGTGTTTTGTGATCAGTTTAATTTGACATGAACATGACAAACACACTTTCTTGACAATCCCTGTCATTGTGTGTAAAAAAAGTGTAGAAATAAAAATGAACAATGTGTGTTAGTAAGGAAATACGTAGCTGGCGAGCGCTGTTGACGCATGATTGCACATGTGCCGTGAGCAGTTCTGGTACTTTTTGGGTCGCAGCCGCTCGCAGCGCCGCTTCAACCCTCACGAGGGATGAGCCAAATTTCAAGCAAGCCAGAAGTCCGTGTGAGCTCATGATTGCTGATTGGTAGCTGGTCACGTGGTGTTAATTGCCTCTCGTAACCCCCTGTATACTGCACGATGCTCAGCGCTAAACTCGCCCCGATCTTGTGAATTCTCTCACGAGTGGAAAATCGGCTCAAGAAAGTGAAAAAGTCGCATAGTGTACACCCGGCTTTAGACTGTTAACTTACATTAGAAACTTCCATCAAAGGCAGAATCAAACCCATCAGTGCCTCGTTTTCTGTGGTTGTTCTTCTGCTGGTGTTTCATTACTATTTTCATCTCCTGAAATGAAACCTCAGCAGCTTCCTAAGCCCAGAGGACCCCACGTAAAAGTCTGGCACATGCTGGATAAAAAAGCAGCAGACTGCTCACCTCCTCTGGTGGTTTGACAGGAACTGCATGATCTTCTGAAGGGGTTCCTTTCATCTCATCAGGATTCTTGTCATTCTGCAGATGTCAGATCATGTTTATAAATCATATGATTAAAAAAGAAATCACCATTTTAACAGCGTCGAGCTTAGCTTGGAGTTTATAAGCTGTGAATAAAACTACCTTCTCCTCAGCTGTTTTTTGTTGTGCTCTGTCATGTGCTGACGTCTTCGTCTCCTGATTCACAGTAACACACACAGGAAGGCAAAGCAGAAGTCAGAAAGGTTTCACATTAATCACATGGATCTGAGCAGCAGTGGTTTGGCTGCATTCAAACCTCTTCAGGTTGTCTGGTTGGGATCAACAGCGCGCCACTTCTGTTTCTACGCTCTGGTTGGATCATGTTACTTTTGACCTGGCAAGGACACAAACACAGAAAGTGACTTATTACCAAAACAGGAAGGCAAAAAATGTAATTAACATGCGAGCATGAGACAAGGAGGAAGTGGTAGTGGCACTATGCAGCGTAGAAGAGATTGACTACAGGGAGTATTTGTCAAGTTCTGTGTGTGCGGTCATTGATTAGTCTGGACTGAAGCTAATATTATTGACTCACTGGATTTGTCTTTGTTTCCAGATGCTTCTTGTTTTCCTCAAGTGTTTTAGTGTATTCCGGGTCTTTCTGAATAAAAACAAAAAGAGAGGAAATTTTATTTTAGTATTTAAAAGAGATTTTAAATATCTGTTTTAGATTTGTGAGTTTTTTTTTCATTCCTCAAAACTTCCCCTGGAATATCCTGATTATAAACACCCCCCACGCCCCACCCCCAAGTAAGCAATGGGATGCAACCATTGGTGAACATATAGAGACAATTAATGGAGTACCCAGGAAGTTTAGAAAAAGATTGTATAGCATCCATTAAATGTGGTAGCGACTTTAAGGGCTCAGATACCACTGCCAAAATGTCGTCCGCATATAACAGTAACTAATATTCGTTGCCCCCTACCCTTATTCCTTTTATTCCCTTGTGCGCTCTGATGGACACTGCTAGGACCTCCAAGAAAATAATGAATAATAAGGGGCTCAGAGAGCATCACTGTCTAGTCCCTCTAGTCAGGTTGAAGAAAGGGGAGACTATCCCATTTGTCATCAAAGCAGCCTTGGGTTCCTTATATAACATTGTAATCCATTTTATAAAATCAGCAGTGAAACCAAAATGCGATAGAATGGAGAGCAAAAATTGCCACTCCACCCTATCAAACGCCTTTTCATCGTCTAAAGACAGAGCAGCAATGGGAACATCTTGGGATTGACTGAGCCACATCAGATGTAGTAGGAGTCTGACATTGTCTGTCAATGTTCTATTTTTCATTAAACCAACTTGATTAGGATGTATGATATTTGGTAATACCAGTTGTAAACGTGTCGCCAATATCTTTGTAAGAATTTTGCAGTCAAGGTTGAGCAGACTAATGGGTCTATAGCTCGAGGGATCATTTGGATCTTTACCTGTTTTGAAGATTAGTGATATCACGGCTTCGTTAAAAGTTGGTGCTACGCAGCCCTTGTCAAACATTTCCTGGTATACCTCATGGAGTATTGGTGCAGCAATATCTGCAAAGGTCTTATAGTACTCTACCGGAAGTCCGTCATAACCTGGTGACTTTCCATTTTTCATGGAGGCAATCGCCTTCCTAATTTCGGCCTCTGTTATAGGCAAGTCCAATCCCTCTGCTTCATGACTTTTAAGCCTGGGTGTCACGTCCTGAGGATGTTAGGACCCAAATATGCAGTAACCCAGGATGACACGAGGCAGGAGATGATGAAAAGTAAAAATCCTTTATTTTGGAAGGAGGAAACAAAAAAATAAATCCAGGCAGCAAAACCCAAAGTCCAAAACTCCAGGTTGGAGAAACAAAGCTCACCAAGAGCACGAGCAAACACTGACAGAATACAAATACATTGGACCGACACAAGACAAGGACAAGACAGGGCTTAAATAGAATGGGGGACCAATTAGGGAAACAGGAAGCAGGTGTGTGGAGTGAGGGCTGGAGGGAAGGCAGGTGACAATAATTATCTCAATGGGGAAAACAGAAACAGAGGAGGGCAAGTACCTGACACACAACTAAACAACAATTACCTAAAGACAGTGGGAAGGGCTCACACAAACTAGCTGGAGGAGGACATAGCACATACACCCACACACACATAACCACACACACTGAGCTGGGGACAAAGAGGCTGGAGCTGACCTGGGAGGAAAGATTAGAAAAGGTAACAACATAAGACACTAAACTGAGACGCAGACGAAGGACACATGAGGGCGCCAAAGGGCTACAACATAAGACACATAACAGGGATGCAGACAAAGGACACAAGAGGGCGCTAAGAGAACACAGAAGGGAATCCAGAGAGGGATGGAGAAACATTAGGAGGCACATAAAGGAGGAGGCAGACGCAGACCATAACACTGGGCAGACCTACGCTAAGAAACCGTTCTATATTTTCTTTTGGTTTGTCCACCAAGATTGAAGATGTGACAATTTTTTGTAATATTGCTGGAAGATATTATTTATGCCTTTAGCTGTAAACATTTCTTCATCCCCCTGTTTTATAACTGGGATGGTATCACTATTATTTTTTCTTTTAATTGTCTAGCCAACAATTTTCCCATTTTCTCCCTTCCTTCATAATAACTTCTTTTTAGCCTATACAAAGCATATTCTGCTTTCTCGTTATATATGCTGTGTAGGGAGTATTTACGTTTACATAGTTCCTGGAGTTTACTATCAGAAAAGCTTTTTGACAGTACTAGTTCTTTTCTTTTTATTTCCTCCTCTAATTCCTTAATCTTGTTGATGATCTCTTTTTTCTTCTTAGCTGCATGTGCTATAAATTTTCCTCTAATGTATGCCTTAGAGGCCTCCCATACTGTGGTTATTTCTGCAGAACTACCAATATTGATTTCAAAAAATACTTTCAAATCCTCCGCCACTGCCTTTCTAAAAGATAAATCTGACATCAATCCAATGTTTAGTCTCCATCTTCCCCTTTTTTCAACCTTCTGGCTCACCAAAAATAGTAGTTCCACAGGTGCATGATCTGTAATAGATATTGGTTTTATATAGCAATTTGCTACTTTATCTGCCAGAGAGTTGCTAAGTAAAAAAAAATCTATCCTTGAAAAAGTTTTATGACAATGTGAAAAGACGGTGAAATCCTTTTTATTTGGGTTAGTCAGTCTCCATACATCTAATAGTCCCATGTCTCTACTCAGAATTTGTAAGGCTTGTCTTTCCTTATTCATGAGGCCTGAAAGCACTTCTGTCCAACACTGTGTCCATAACCTCGTTAAAATCCCCCGCCAAGACTATTTCACCTTCAGTACCGCCCAGTATCTTAATTCACCTCATGGAAGAAGATTGGGTCTCCCTTGTTGGGTGCATATATATTGCACAGTACTAACCGGACTCCTTCTATTACTGCTTCCACTCATATAATTCGGCCCTCTGTATCTTTACTTTGCTTTTGTAAAATGAAACTTACATTTTTGTGGACCAGGATCATAACCCCATTACATTTACTTGAAAATGAGCTGTGAAATAAATGTCCCACCCATACCACTTTGAATTTCCCTACTTCAAGCTCCCACATGTGAGTCTCCTGTATAAAAACAATATGTGCGTGGTTATCCTTCAAAAATGTTACAAATTTTTTCCTCTTAATTGGGCTACTGCATCCATTTATGTTCCAAGAAATCAACTTCAATTGTCTGTCAGACATGTAAACTTTTAAATGCTACCGCTGTCTTCAGCTCTTTGCAGAAAATGATCCCGTTTCCGACGTCTACATTAACAAACTTATACCAGCCTTCTTCTGAACACACAGAACATAACCCCGGCTTTCCACAGGAGCCGTCAGCAGCACGTTACTGCAGCAGCACGTCATAGCTGCTGATAGAAACCGCTGTAGTCAACAGAACCTTTTCCACTGGAGCCGTCAGCAGCGCGAGTCGACCGCGTCTCAGGAGCAGCATGTCGCGGCCTTTACGCGCCGGTTCTATTTTTTACGTGCGACGCCTCTGAAACGGGTCAAGTTCGACATTTTTGGGGAAGGAAAGACAGGAAATCGGATGCGGAAATGGAGAGAAGCTCCCGAGATTTTCAGAAAAAAGAACGTACTGCCTTCCGGTTGCTTTACTTTTAAAAAAGGTTACTAACTGTGCGGCCCCGTGAGAAGTTATCACGTAGCTAGCGGTCTCCTTTGTTTTTCAGGTCCGTATTGGCGATTATAAAACGGACAGAACATAAAACACAAACCATGTTGTAATTTTCTCCTGTTTGTTGTTGTGTTTACTGACGAAGTCACTCGTGTGACTTCGTGCTCTGTCGGTGACAGCTGCTCCCCTGCTGCTTCACGTCTCGTGGGAAGGGCCAAGCAGCAGCTTACGCGAGCAAGACGTGCTGCTGCAGTAACGTGCTACTGAGGGCTCCTGTGGAAAGCCGGGGTAAGACAACCCAAACCGGGCGCATAAAAAGACAAATAAGTAAGAAAAAAAAGGAAGACAAAACTAAAAGTGTCCGGCTGTTCCTAAACAGCCAGTGTCCATGTGTTAAACACCCTTCGGTGTTGAAAAAACGAGATAAAAATGAAAAGAAACTTCTTCGTGGTCCGCGGGATTAACGCCGCTCCCATGGAAACCGTCCAATGTGCCGGGAAGCTCTTCGTCAGCCCACACAGCTCTTATCAGTTCAACCAATATGCACAGTTTTCACAGTAAACAGCTCACCTTCCTCTGAAGTTCACATTGCCTCCTTCACTGCTCATTTATAATCTTCTCTGCTGTTTCCCCAGTGTTGCAGCTCATGTTTTTGCCCTTCCATCTGAAGTGCAGCGTCGCTGGGAAAGCCAGATTGTATCTAATATCCAGGTCATGCAACTTGCGCTTTACCGAGGTGAAGGCCTTCCATCTCTCCGCCAGCTCCTTCGACATGTCCGGGAACACAGAGAGGCGGCATCCCTCCCAAACAATCCCTCGCTTCTCCTTAGCAGCGCCGATCCCCTTGTCCCACGCCGACTGCCTCAAGAAAAGGACCAGCACCAGCCTTGGGGGTTGATCTTCATTCAGCATTGGCGCCATCTGTCTATGCACCCACTCCATTTCGAACTCCTCGTTCATCTTCACGCCGAGGCCCTCGGCCAGGATCTTCCGCATGCATTCAGGTAATGTTCCGTTGGTTCCGAAGGTCTCTCTTAGTCCCTCCAGTCTCACATTATTTTGCCTGCTGTGGTTCTCAAGGACTTGTACACGATTCCACATCATCTCCATTTATCTGCTCACACTTCCCTTATCTTTCCGAAGCTGCTCTGACGTCTCCTCCAGCTGCGTAATTCGTGTTTCGGCCTCACCAAGCCTCTCCTGCATGGCTGTCACAGTTGTCAGCTCGGCAGTAGCCTGTTTAATAGACACGATATCTGTTGCGACGTTCTGAAGCATTTCACTCATTTTCGATATTTCTGCAAAAAGTCTGTCCAGGCCGACTGTCACATTCGTAGATGCTGGGTTTTCTCCCGTAGCGCTGTCTTCTTCGTGGACTGGGCTTTTCCGGGTAGACGGTCGGGACGAGCTTTTAAAGTATTTCGACGTTGACATAACTTTGTAATCTTTTCAAACTAAATATCAAACATACGCAGTCTCAGTACTCACAACTCATATATATTCACCTTATGAGTTACCTTTGAACTGCAGTTCTAAAAGATCTACCGACCGCAAAAACAGCGGAGTGCGCGCTGCTCGCCGGCCGCATCAGTGAGGTGCGTCACTGGAGGACAAAACAGGTGATGCGCCCCGCTCCACAGCAACGAAAAGCATCAGGCACAAATAAAAGACAGAAAACATAAAAGGAAATGAGCCGACATGATCGCGTGTTAAATTTGTTTTTGAGGTGGTGACACCTAATTTGATGATATTACTGTGGTCGTGCTCAGGACGCAGATGTCTGGAGCGCGTCAACGATCAGAGCTCTGCATGCGCAAGCTGGTTAAGGTTAGGATTGGGGTGAGGGGAAGGTTAAATTACAAGAGGGTAAAGGCCACAATTTGGTTAAATGTCCGTTTTACGGCAGGTGTCAGTACCGACGCTCTGGCACAGCGCGTCGCCTCCCGACGCGCAGGGGCTCGTCACCTGCTGTCTTTTCCGAGGACTCCATCTTGACGGTCATTATCACGTGACAGCGACTAGTCGATGACAGGCATAAAAAGTCACTACAGAGCAGTGAAACCGACTAGTCGACTAGTTCATACAACCCCTACTAGGAGGTGATGTCACCAATCAGGAAGCACCACAGGCAGGATTATCTTTGATTTGATTACCTGAGCTGATGTGGTGGAAGGATTCTTTAAGATCTTTGCAGCTACGCCACTCTTAAGAAAAATAAAACAAGATTTCAACTTATTTCTGCTGATGTGTTTATTTAACTAAATTCAGACTAAGAAACAAAAATAAAACCTGAAATAGAAACTCTTACCTTTATGGGCATCTCTGTGTGATCGTTACTGATGGCTGATCTTTCATCAACAGACAAACCATCCTGAATCAGGAGACTTTCAGTTAAAACCGACTAAGCCAAGTTAAGATCTTGTTGTTAACAAAACAAAAATGCTGATAATGTGTGGCTGGCACATACAATAAAATATGTACTTTCAACGTGATCAGTTTCTTTTGTAACCTGAAGACTTTTGTTTATAAATCACACAACTTTCCTCCAAGTCTGACCTGAAGCTGGGATTTAGCAGGTTTTATCTTGAGTGTGTCACTAAGAATCCCTCCTTTTTCCTGATGAAGATAAATGCAAAATCAATTCTGATGCTGCATTTTATCTCCATCTAAATTTGTTATTCTGATGGAGCTGAAAGCTAAAACCTTACCTTTGTCTTCTCAGACAGATTCTCGCTGCTGCCTGAAAGCTTGGAGACTGCAGAAAAATCCTCCTGCAAGTGGAACAAAACCTATCATCATCCATCCATCAATCCATTTTCAGCCGCTTATCCGGGGTCGGGTCGTGGAGGCAGTAGCCTGAGCAGGGAGGCCCGGACATCTCTCTCCCCAGCCACTTGAACCAGCTCCTCCGGGGGAATCCTAAGGTGTTCCCTAACCAGCCATGAGACATAGTCTCTCCAGTGTGTTCTGGGTCTTCCTTTTTGCCAGGGCTATTCGATTCCGGGCCTGGAGGGCTGGTATCCAGAACGTTTTAGTGGTTTCTCTACCCCAACACACCTAAGTCAGTAGTTGAATCCCCGGCACAGCAGCTCATCAGGCTCTGCAGAAGCCTGTTAATCACCTGCTGATAATAATCAGGTGTGTTGAAGCAGGGTTAAAACCAAAACGTGCTTGATTCCGGCCCTCCAGGCCCGGAACTGAATCGTCCTGCTTTAGGCCTCCTCACAGTTGGAAGTGCCCAGAAAACCTCACCAGGGAGGAGTCCAGGAGGCATCCTAACCAGATGCCCGAGCCACCTCAACTGGCTCCTCTCGATGTGGAGGAACAGCGGGTCTATTCCGAACCCCTCCCAGATAACCGAGCTTCTCACCCTATCTCTAAGGTAGAGCCCAGACACCCTGCGGAGAAAACTTATCTCGGTGGCTTCTATTTGCGATCTAATGCTTTCAGTCACTACCCAAAGCTCGTGACCATAGGTGACGGTAGGAACGTAGATCGACCGGTAAATCGAAAGCTTCGCCTTCTGGCTCAGCTCTCTCTTCACCACAACAGATCGGCACGCCTGCAGTACTGCAGATGCAGCACCAATCCGCCTAGCAATCTCATGCTCCATCTTTCCCTCACTCGTGAACAAGACCCCGAGATACTTAAACTCCTCCACTTGAGGTAGGACCTTGTCCCTGACCTGGAGAAGGCATTCTACCCTTTTCCGACACAAGACCATGGTCTCGGATTTACAGGAGCTGATTCTCATCCCAGCTGCTTCACACGCGGCTGCAAACCGCTCCAGTGAGAGCCAGAGGTCACTGTCTGATGAAGCCAACAGGACCACATCATCTGAAAAAAGCAGAGACCTGATCTTCAGGCCACCAAAACAGATCCCTTCAACACCTTGGCTGTGCCTAGAAATCCTGTCCATAAAAGTTATGAACAGAATCTGTGACAAAGGGCAGCCTTGGCAGCCAACTCTCACCGGAAATGTTTATGTTTATGTATTTAGCAGACGCTTTTGTCCAAAGCGACTTACAAGCCAGACTTAAGACCGGCAATGAGGACCAAGCTCTGACACCGGTCATACCCAATAATCCCGGCTTACCCCTCACAGGGCCCCCCGAGGAACGTGGTCCAACATCTTCAAATCCAAAAAACACATGTAGCATGTAGATGGGCAAACTCCCACACACCCTCCAGGATCCTCCTAAGGGTATAGAGCTGGTCCAGTGTTAAGATAATTATATGTGTTTTCTTTTATCATGCTTTATGCTTTTATTACATTTAAAGATTTTACCATTAATGCTGAACAGTTGCTGTATTGTTTGAAGTCTCATGAGGAGACTTTAAGAACGCTGAGCCTTGGTCCAGACCTAATGTGACCCAAGGACATCTGCTGACTTGGACAACTGCTGACTCGTGCAACTATCTGTTGCACATCGTGTGATTAGACACTGATTAGAAAAACAGAATGCTTGTAACAATTACTGAATACTGAGAGCTGTGTTTCCCCCACCCTTCAGATCAGCTCATCAGACTTGTAACTAGGGAACTCCCAGCTTGTAATAGAGGATGCTTGGATTTCAAAGGCAGAGTGGTTTTGGAGGATCTGCCAGCCCAGTGGAGACTGAGCTGGTCGGACCTTATTCCATTCTCCTCGAGCATAAAACAGAATTCTGACTTTTGTGTCTCTTTTCTTCTTTGTGTATGATGTCTTAGGGGTTTAAAACCTGACATCCAGTGTTCCATGGCCAGGACGAAAACCACATTGCTCCTCCTGAATCTGAGGTTCGACAATCACCATTTATTACAATTTATTAATGTGAAAAGCTGAAGAAAATACATCCCTGAGGTTGTGCTCTTACTCCAAATGGATTTGTAAACATGGCACTCAACCAGCTACCAGACTCCTGAAGACAAGAGAAGAGAAGAGTCACATCAAAACAACTTTTTCAGAACAGAACAGGTGTCTGGCATGTATCTGATTCTAGAGTCCCAGAGCCTTTAGGTGCTTTACAACAAAACCCGTCATTCATTCATACACACACACAAACACACACACACACACACACACACACACACACACACACACACACACACACACACACACACACACACACACACACACACACACACATCCATTCACACCCTTATGTCATTCTTTTACGATCCTATTGATTACAAATGAGTTTTCACAAACTTAACCTTAGTGTTTGGAAGACTTTCATTGCTTTTTGTTAGATCGCTGTGTGCAGACAAATCCTTCTAAAAGGTGAACAAATATGATTTATTGCTAAATTAATATTTAGGGAAAATGTTATATTTATAATTAGTTATAAACATAAAAATACCTGAAAAGCTGCTTTATTTCCATCTGGCTTTGGAGATTTCTTAAACATCCCTTCGGGCTCCTCGATATGAAAAAAGGTAAATAAAACAAGTTGATCTGATCAGAGAGCACTTGTGTCATGTTATGAAAATGGATGTTTTGTGTTTTATACTGGTGCATCAGACAGAAAAACAGGCTTTGTGTCAGGATTTACTGACACAGGCTGGTTGGCTCTCTCCCAAACAAAAACTGTTGTCAGCAGAGCTTATAGTTGCCGCAGGACACTGGCGAACACTGAAGCTTTTCTAATACTCTAACACTTGAGTGGATAATCTCTGAACTTTAAAGAAATTTCAGGGATTCAATGTAACAAATGGGGGGAGTCAGGGTCTCCCTGGGTCGGTATTTATCCACCTTAGGAGACCTTCTATTCTGATACATGCTGTGTTTCCCCTAGGAATTTTTCCAGCTGTGACGGTGGGGCCGGGGGGGGGGGGGGGGGGGGGGGATGACACGTATCTAAACAAAGTAAATTTTTCTAGTGCAGAGTGGAGACAACCTATAGCACCACTGATTTGGTCTCATTTCAGAGAAAAATAGAACAGGTTAGATGCACCTAACAAATAAAATTACTAACAAACTCAGGAATCTGTTTCTTTGCTTCACTATTCTGGTGCTGAGAATATCACTAATGTGGATCAAAGGAGGTACACAGATGAATGCACCTCTTATTTATTATTTGGAGACTACATTTACTGCAGCTAGCAGAGGCAGAGATTTTTTCTATTGATACACAGAATTTACAGAATCATTTTAAATTTTAATAGGGGAAGACTGCAGGAGGGAGCGGTAAAATACAGGGGGTCCCCAGCAAAAACAAGAAACTTTACGAGTCTGATGAAACCCGCTGGTTTTCCATCAGGCAGTCATGGGGCAGCTCCAACGACCCAGTGGCTGTGCTGGGTCAATGTTATCGAGCTCAGTCCGGCTCGGCCGTGAACGAGCCGAGGCGACGTCGTGCTCTGCTTAAGAAGAGGTGTTATTTTCCCGCTTCAGAAGAAGCGTCCAACGTGTTTCTATGCTTTCTCCGAGACATGTCACGTCGCTAAGTTGTTAGCGCCGTGCGCTAACACGTCAATAGTGCAGCGTAGCCTGCTGGAGGTTTTAAGGGTTCAGATGAAAACACCCGACCTCTCAGGCTGCTCACGCATCAATCTTAAGTTGTCGCTGTTGCGCTCTCGCCGTAATACAGTATTAGATGCGGTTAAAGTCAGACACAAAAAAATAAATAAATGTTACATGAATGAGTGATGCTTAGCCTGGTGGGGGGAAAACCTGGCCTAGTAAGCACTGGAGGAAACCCTGTCAAGATCGTCAACACTCGTTTATCTTAATGCTATTGAAACATGTAAACGTAAAAGCATTATATCCACTGATACCTTTCTAATTTTAAACTCAGTAACTTATGCTGTAACTTCACCTTGCCCTGCCTGCTCCTCCTTGCTTCCGCCGGCTGTGATCACAAGCGACAACATAGTAGTTCCCGCTGCTTCTTCGGGAAACAGCGCAAAAAAAAAAAACTTGGGATCTTGTAGGCGTGGCGGTGGGATTTCAGCCATGGCAGGCCGCCACGGCTACACCTATGTAAGGGAAACCCTGACATGTTTTTTAAACAAAAAACATATATTTTTTTTAATTGTCCTTGGGATTCTTAGGACCTTCATAGTAAGAGTAATTCTTATTTCACGTATTTTGGATACCACATAAGTGTTTTCGAAAGTTAAGGGCAACACAATACAGAAATCTGAATAGATGGTGGGCAGCTAGGGAGATATTTAAGGAGATTGAATGACTGCACCCATCAGAGCAGAGGAAGTCTGAGGCACATCATCATTATTTGCATTCATTCAAATTAAGCGATTACAAAACAGGGACAGATTTTGGTGACATCTTTTCCAGTTTGTGTGATCAGCAGCTACCTACAACCCAGCCAGGGATCAATTATATTTAATGGAACTCACTTTAATGTCAGGGTTGCTGTCAGCCGCATTTTCATCACTGGATGAAGACTCAGAAAGGTTCTGCAGGTAAAAGTAAACCTGTCAATCTTTTTATAGACGCAACACAAAAACCTGTTTGATATAACAGAAAGGTAGTTGTTATAAGTTGTTTTCCATTTGATATTTTACTGAGGAGTGAAACGGGTGATATTTCACCTGGGAAGGCCTGTGGCCATGTCCTAGTTGAGGAGATTTCTTCAGGATCCCACCCAACATACCTGAGTGATCCTGGAAGAAAAAACAAAAAGGGTTTTAAAGATTTCAAAAATAAAAATAGAAAAAAATTAGGGCTGCACAATATATCGAAAAATGATCGTCATCGCGATAACAGGACGTGCGATAGGCCCATCGCAAAGCACGCCAAAAACGGCGATAAATGTTTGGTTCAAACATTTCCATCCGTGTCATGTAACAACTTTTTGTAAACCAGCTGTTTTTTACGCGGAAGTATTATTTGACCAATCAAATGTAGCCCTTCTGATATGTGGCCAATCAGATGGGTCCGTTCACGTAATACACCCGCCCCCTACGTAGACCCTTAGGATGGAACGCAACACCCGAACTGAGTTAGCGGCGCCGTTCCCTTGTTCGTCATGCTGGCTCAGATTAACGAACGCACTTTGTGCTGAGGTTTCTGGAATCAGCGCTGCTTTCAAACGTGAACGCAAGTCAGCTCGGTGTCGTTAAGCAGCTGATAATAACCGGGCTGACTCCGACACGTGCCGGTGAACCAACCCACCTTCATGTTGCTAGTGTTCCACCGGGTGGTGACGTTAGCCCCAGGCTCCGGTTAGCTTCCAGCTAAAAGGCTACAGCACTCTCCTCCCAGTCCCACCCTGCTAAAGAGGGCCTGGAAAAGTTCCCCCACACATCAAAGTGATTTTTCATTTATGAGCTTTTATAACCTTGTTAATCAGGATAGTTGATTTGCTGCTGCACATAAACTGTCAATCAGAAGCTCTGCTAGCCAGTTATGACGGTTGAACCGTCATTGTTTCTCTCTAGCCGGTTGAACTAGCTCCTCCTAGAGGAGCTAGTTCAATTTGTTAGCTTGTCATCAGAATCATAGTTGCAGTTTCATCATCTGAGCTGCTTTTTAAGATCTAGGTAAACTTGTTCAATTTGGGGTTAAAAACAAACGTTTTCACATATTTTCCATGTAGTTTTTTGCCAGTTCCTCTTCTGAAAGGTAGACAATTGTTTTTCTCTTTCCCTCAGAAATTCTAAATATTCTCCTAGTTTGGCCCAGCACAGTTCACTTCCCAATTGCAGCAACAGCCTTATGTCATAACCACATAAGTGGAGAAAATGCTCAGTAGCAATGAGAGAATTTGCTGTTGCATTTAATTGATGTTAACTATTATTTAACATTTAAACTTACTTTCTGATTTTTTTTTTTATTTATTCAAAAAACCCTGGTAAGGGATGTTTTTCTGTATTTGGAGCATCAGAAAAGTTTTATGATGGAGGTGATGTTTTAAAGTCACTGAGTAACTGCATGCATGCAGTTTGTTGTTTTGCTGCTAATACAGTAGCAGGTGCAGCTGCATATTTTTGCAATAAAAATGTTATGTTGTAATGGAATTCATGCGTTACTTTTTGTTTGCTTTGAACCCAGAGCAGACGTCACACGCCAGACGACATCAACACTGCATACTTAAGTATTTGTTCATTTATCGTGAGTAATATCGATATCGCACTGTTATCGAATATCGCAGGTTTTCCTAATATCGTGCAGCCCTAAAAAAAAAAAAATCAAGAACTAAACAAGAACAGACAATGAATTCACCTTTGATGATTTATCCGGTAAACTTTCTTTACTGGCAGACAGTTCAGGATTTTGTAAAGAAACTGCAGCCTGTTGGCAGCAGAAATAATATTTCTCACTTGTGTTGAGCAGAGTTTAATGAGATGCAGCATCTCCAGTTTATAAATTACAATAGCTGCAGAAACATTGTGAAATTAAACATAAACTGGTAAAACATTCTGCAAAAATCTGAAGTCTTGCTTGTCAAATGGCCAAAATGTCACACACACATTTTTCTATATCCTCTAAATAGACGTACACTTACTTTTAGATAACTATGAATGCTGCCTAATCTTTAGCAAAGTTTACATTATCAAACATGAGAAAATGATTAAAATGTTAATTGTTTCTCTGAGCAAGCTGCATGTTTTCAGCATATTTGACCTTTTTGATAACAATAATTTACTGATCAACACATGGATCAACTAAGTGTTTCAGTTTTTCTTAAATATCTGATGCAACACAAAATACCTCAAAGAAAACAGCTGAACTGCTAAAGTGCTTACTAACATGAGGTTGACCGTCTTTGGTAGGGTTGTTCGACTTCCTCAACATCCCTTCAAACATTCCTCTTTTACTCTGAAATAATGAATAGGTGAATATGTGTAAAACACAAATTTAATTTAACTCTCTGGAGGCAAGCATTGCAGATTTGCAACATTAAAACCTACCTACCTGGTTACTCAGATAACCAAGAGATGCTGATGCAAGCTTTTTATCACCAGTCGAATAGACTACTGTAATGCCCTGCTTTCTGGTCTTCCCAAAAAGAGCATCTCAGGTTTACAACTTAAACAAAATTCGGCAGCACGTGTCCTAATGAAGACCAGGAGGCAGGAGCACATTACACTGGTTTTAAAATCATTGCATTGGCTCCCTGTATGTTTCAGGATCAATTTTAAGGTTCTTCTAATGGGTTTTAAGTGTCTTAATATGATGAATATGATCTTAATATAATGGCCTTCTTATCTCTCAGAATTGCTTTTGCCATATGAACCCTCACGGCCTCTAAGGTCCTCTGGCAGGCGTCTCCTGGTCATCCCTAAAGTCAGGACACACACTCATGGTGAGGCGTCCTTCCAGTATTAAGGCCTTCGCCTCTGGAACGATCTGCCGGAGGACCTCAGAGAACGTTCATGTTTTTAAGTCCAGGCTCAAGACCCACCTATTTAGGTTAGCTTTTATCTAATTATTTACTATAGTTTTATTTCTTGTTTTGCATGATTATATTTGATTGCTTGCTTTGCATGTTTTATAGGATTACATTTTAGCATTGTTTCATTATTTAATATTATTTTACTGTCCATATGATTTTATTTATTACTTATTTTCTTTTCCAACTGTGGACCCACCACCCGCAGGAGGAACATGAAGGGTCCGGTGCAATGTGGATCGGGTGGCAGACCAAGGCGGGGAGCCTTGGCGGTCCGATCCCAGGACAAGAAAACTGGTTTTTGGGACATGGAACGTCACCTCGCTGGAGGGGAAGGAGCAGGAGCTTGTGGCAGAGGTTGAGCGGTACCGGCTAGATATAGTCGGACTCACCTCGACACATAGCATTGGCTCTGGAACCCGAGACCTGGAGAGGGGTTGGACACTCTCCTTTGCTGGAGTTGCTCCAGGTGAGAGGCGGAGGGCTGGGGTTGGCTTTTTGTTAGCCCCAAGACTCTCTGTCTGTGTGTTGGGGTTTACCCCGGGGGACGAGAGGGTAGCTTCCCTGCGCCTTCGGGTCGGGGAACGGGTCCTGACTGTTGTTTGTGCTTATGGGCCAAATATCAGTTCAGAGTACCCACATTTGTTGGAGTCCCTGGGACGAGTGCTAGATAGTGCTCCATCAGGGGACTCCATTGTCCTGCTGGGGGACTTCAAAGCTCACGTGGGCAATGACAGCTTGACCTGGAGGGGTGTGATTGGGAGGAACGGCCCGCCTGATCTGAATTTGAGTGGTGTTTCATTATTGGACTTCTGTACAAGCCGCAGTTTGGCCATAACAAACACCATGTTCGAACATACTGTAAGGATGCCCATCGGTACACTTGGTACCAGGGCAGCCTAGGTCGCAGGTCGATGATAGACTTTGTAGTCATATCATCTGACCTGCGGCCGTATGTTTTGGACACCCGAGTGAAGAGAGGAGCGGAGCTGTCTACTGATCACCACCTGGTGGTGAGTTGGATCAGATGGCAGGGGAAGATGCCGCGTAGACCTGGCAGACCCAAACACATAGTGAGGGTCTGCTGGGAACGCCTGGCAGAAGAACCTGTTAAGACGGTCTTTAACTCCCACCTCCGGCAGAGCTTTGACCGTGTCCTGAGAGCAGTGGGGGACATTGACTCCGAGTGGGCCTTGTTCCACTCTGCGATTGTTGGGGCGGCTGTTGCTAGCTGTGGTCGCAAGGTGGCTAGTGCCAGTCGTGGTGGCAACCCCCGTACCCGGTGGTGGACACCAGAGGTTCGGTGAGCCGTCAGGCTGAAGAAGGAGGCCAACAGGGAGTGCCTGGTCTGTGGGTCTCCGGAGGCAGCAGACAGGTACCGGATAGCCAAGCGGGGTGCAGCAGTGGCAGTTGCCGAGGCAAAATCTCGGGCATGGGAGGAGTTTGGTGAGGCCATGGAGAAAGACTATCGATCGGCTCCAAAGAGGTTCTGGCAAACTGCCCTCCTCAGGAGAGGAAGGCAGCAACTCGCTCACACAGTTTACAGTGGGGATGGGGAGCTGCTGACATCAACTGAGGCTATAGTCGGACGGTGGAAGGAATATTTTGAGGAGCTCCTCAATCCCACCTATGCGCATTCCGAGGAGGAACCAGAGCCGGGAGACCTGGGGATGGACTATCCAATCTCGGGGGCAGAAGTTGCTGAGGTAGTCAAACAACTACACAGCAGCGGAGCCCTGAGGGCGGATGAGGTTTGTCCTGGGTATCTCAAGGCTATGGATGTTGTAGGGCTGTCATGGTTGACACGTCTCTGCAACATTGCATGGTCATCGGGGGCAGTTCCTGTGGAGTGGCAGACCGGGGTGGTGGTCCCCATTTTTAAGAAGGGTGACCTGAGGGTGTGTTCCAACTATAGGGGGATCACACTCCTCAGCCTCCCTGGAAAGGTCTACTCCAAGGTACTGGAGAGGAGGATCCGATCGATAGTTGAATCTCAGATTGAGGAGCAATTTGGTTTTCGTCCTGGCCGTGGAACTGTGGACCAGCTCTATACCCTTGCAAGGGTGATGGAGGGGGCATGGGAGTTTGCCCAACCAATCCACATGTGTTTTGTGGATTTGGAGGCTTATGATCATGTCCCCAGGGGCACCCTGTGGGAGACGCTCCAGGAGTATGGGGTGGGTGGCTTTCTGTTAAGGGCCATTCAGTCCCTTTACCAGAGGAGCATGAGTTTGGTCCGCATAGCCGGTAGTAAGTCGGACCTGTTCCCGGTGAGGGTTGGACTCCGCCAGGGCTGCCCTTTGTCACCGGTTCTGTTCATTACCTTTACAGAAAGAATTTCTAGGCACAGCCGTGGTGTGGAGTGTGTCGAGTTTGGTGGCAGGGGAATCTCGTCTCTGCTTTTTGCGGATGATGTGGTCCTCCTAGCTTCATCCAGCTCTGAACTTCAGCTCTTGCTGAGTAGGTTCGTGGCCGAGTGTGAAGCGGCTGGGATGAGGATCAGCACCTCCAAATCTGAGACCATGGTTCTCGACCGGAAAAGGGTGGCTTGCCAGCTCCGGGTCGGGGGAGAGGTCCTACCTCAAGTGGAGGAGTTTAAGTATCTCGGGGTCTTGTTCACAAGTGAGGGTAGGAGGGATCGGGAGATCGACAGGCGGATTGGTTCAGCATCTGCACTGATGCGGACGCTGAGCCGATCTGTCGTGGTGAAGAGGGAGCTGAGCCAGAAAGCCAGGCTCTCGATTTACCGGTCGATCTACGTCCGAATCCTCACCTATGGTCATGAGCTTTGGGTAATGACCGAAAGAACGAGATTGCGGATAGAAGCGGCCGAAATTAGTTTCCTCTGTAGGGTGGCCGGGCTCAGCCTTAGAGATAGGGTGAGGAGCTTGGACATTCGGGAGGGACTCGGAGTAGAACCGCTGCTCCTACGGATCGAAAGGAGCCAGTTGAGGTGGTTTGGGCATCTGGTCAGGATGCCTCCTGGACGCCTCCCCGAGGAGGCGTTTCGGGCATGTCCTGCCGGCAGGAGGCCCCCGGGTCGACCCAGGACACGTTGGAGAGGTTACATCTCCAATCTAGTCCGGGTACGCCTTGGGGTCCTGCCGGAGGAGCTGGTGGAGAAGGCCGGGGAGAGGACGGTCTGGAGCTCCCTAGTTGTTATGCTGCCCCCTGACCCGGATAAGCGGAGGAAGACGACTACGACTTTTTACTCATTTTAATCCAGTGTTTTCTCTGTAGGGGCCCTCTGCCCCGGGGCGGTGGTCGACTGTTGCTTCCTGGGCGCTCTACAGGTAGTGTTTAAGTGGAGGTGGGGGTCTATGCTCCCTGACTTAGTGTGGAAGACCGGATGCTGCCGGGGCAGACGGCTCCTCTGATGGCGTTTCCTTGCCTTACCTTACTTGGCTCATCTGGACTCAGCCGGATATAAATTTTTACTGGTGTGTGTGTGTGTGTCTGTGTGTGCATACGTCTGTTAATGTTTTTAAACTGTTATAGGAATTTGGGGTCATTTTGTAAAGCAAGTCCAGTAGCAGTTTGCATGAAAAATGCTTTATAAATTAAATCTAATTGATTACTCCACATACGTATTTCATGAGCATTTTTTATCTCAGAAGTACCCCTGAAGGACTTAGTTGTTCGTCCTTTTATCAAAACTTATTTTGAGCCTGAGAGGGTTAAAAATAACCTGGAATGATGAAACTTGCTCACCTTATTACTGTCAGTAAGACTGTTGTTGCTCTTCGGAAGCTCCTTGTTTACTGATAAACTGTCCTGTTGAGCCAACATAAAGACTGTGTTCAAATATACAAAATTAAATTCAAAGTGAAAAATTAATTGGTTCTAAAGTTCCTGACACATTTTCACTGACTCATTTTATGTATGTAAATGTCTCAGTTGTCAAGTGTTGTTTTATTTGCAGATTAAAACCAGAAGTAATAAGTAAAGGACGTGGTTCAGCAAACATTTTTGAACATCCCACTGAACAGAGCAGCTTTGTGCTGAAGAATTAAAAACACGCAGACACGATTCTCAGTTAAACACGTTTATAACACATTCAGTTCACCAATCAAAACTGCTGTTTTGACAAAGAAGGATGCTGGAGATTTCCGTCACATAATTAAAAACACGCCCGAATTTATCATCATGTTCATGTCCAAACAAGTCTGGACTTGAATTTCATTCTGGTCTTAGTACATCATGACAGTAAAAACATCCTATTAAAGGTCAACTACTCATATTTCAAATACTTTTGCAATGGTCTCCAGCAGAAATTAATGCCTTGTAAGTAGTTCTCCAGGGAAAAAGCTCCGGTGCGCCTGTATAAGGCGATAGAAGTCAGCTGGAGCAGAAAGTAGTTTCAGACGACAGGATTTGGAGTCTTATTTCCTGATATTTGGACATCTCGCCTCTGATTGGAAAACAACATGACTCTACCACTGGCTCAGTTTGCTTTGAAACACTGAGGTTTGATCTCTACAAATAACACAAGCCTGAATGAGTTCTGCCGTGTTGTGGAGTTGCTAAAGCTAACGTTAACTTCTACTAGCCGAGACGTTTTCTGCGGTTTCCTGGATGCTAAACCAGCAACAGCCTTTCCCTTCAAGACGGGTGAGTGACAGTGTGATGTAAATCTGTCAGGCTTTACAAATCCTATAAATTCACCATATATTTTCTATCAGAAGCTAACACAGGGGTAGAACACAATTTTCACATTCAGCCTGCATGTTAAACTCAGAGTGACCAATTTTCAAAAATATGTAAAAAATAGTTTCTCGGAGAACCTGCTCTTTAAAAGCTCAACTCAATGCAGGCTGTAGTGAAAATTTCAGCTAAATAGTGGATTTTTCCTTACAGGATGTGTTTTTGTAATTCCTATAACAGATATGGCACTTCTTTTCAGGAATGCAAATCCATCATATATTTGGTAATGTTTCAGAATAAATAAAAAATAGAGTTCCTGCATCTATTTAAACATTGAAAACAATGAAACTGCCTCTAATTTTTGTGTTAATTAGATAATAGCTGAAAAACGTTCTTCACAGTGATTATGAAGAGAAAGAGGAACAATTTAGCATGGCAACTGAAATGTTTTAAAATAACTACATATACAGAAAAATCACAGAAATAAGACAAAAAATGAGGCAGAAGATTGTCCAACAATCATAAAAAAATACAAAACGACACTAAATGGAATAAAAACTAATAGATTCAAAACATATGTGCATTTTATTTACATTCTTACATGTGAACTATACGTTCTGTCGTTTCAAAATATGTTAATGGACACGATTTTTGGTGATTATTTCATGTTATAAAGCCTTAATTAGCATAATAAATCTTACCGGAAATACAAAGTTTGTAGGTCACAAAATTCAGTGGGTGACATGCGCCAAGATGACTTAACGTCTTAGCACTGACCACTTTGGTGGAGAAGAGCTTATTAACAACCCACTTATGTGCATGTACAGCGTTTATGTGTTTTATTTACACCAGTTTAGATCATCGTGTTGAAAAACGTGCCAAATTAGAACTAGCTTTAAATCCCAAAAAGTTAGTCACTCGAAGTCCGGTTCCTCCGCCCCATCATCACATACCAAGTTCGTTACTGTATAGGTACCGTCAATCATTTCTTGACGTTATTAATTTAATACACATTGGCCTCTGTGGACAAAGTTATAGCGAACTGTTCCTCCGCTGAACGTCAGCCATTGTTAAACATTTTATCCTTTAACTTACCATTCGACGAGCGGTCTTCTCGTTTTATGTAATATCACTCCGCTGATTTACTGACTACGGTTCTTCTGGTTTAATGTCACTCCGCACAGATTATGGTTGACAAATTAAAAGAAATATATGTTACAGAATGTAAATGAAAAAATAATTATGTTACAGAACTTTTTCTGAGTAAGAAATAAAAGAGGCAACTCCGTACAGTCGGTTGTTTCCTTTCCACTAACTTAGCTGTGTAGTTCAAGGACCTCCCTGTTTTTCTAAAACAAATAAAAATTACAACACAAAGAGACGGTTTCTTCAGGCCGGTCTTTTCATAACGCGGAGGCAGATGAAACGGACTACTAGCCGTGCAAGCCAGACTAATTAAATTTCGTCTTTCTCAACATAACAGAAACGTGTCTGCACTGCGGTCCAGATGAGGGCGTGTCCATCTCACCTGAGAGCGGCGGATCATTGTAATGTTGTGTTCAGGTTCTGCTCGGAAAGTCGAGTTCTAAACTACCCGAGGCTAATACCTGATTCGTTCTGTTAAGTCATGAGCCGAGTCCTCCAGAATCCCAAATATGTTCCGAGTAATGACCTTGTACTAGTCTAAACGATCAGGAACTCGGTGTTTATAACTTGAGCTGCAAAACAACTTTAGATAAGTTGTCAGCAAAAACATTTTCCAGAACACTGCACAAATTCTTAAAGTTGATTATACAAAAAGAAATCGAGAGGTGAAATGCAACATTGGCTGATGGTGATAATGTGATAACCCAACGTACCTGCAGCATAAGTGAATGTTTATTATGCAGAAACATAACGCATCTGCGAGATTTGACCTCTAGAATACAATTAGAACCAGAATTAAGGTTTGATTAATTTAATGAGAAACAAAGATTTTTTCCATTTCAAGTATTTGATTTGTTACATTCTTTACTGCCATTCATTCTAACTTCTAACAAAAACATTCCCCCCTTCTAAAACAGCGATTTTAATCAGATACAAGCTTTTTAGGTCTCATAGCTGAGGTCTAAATTAAAGGCACATGTAAACAAAGGAAACAACACAAATTCTCAGTACATTTCAGCTTCCCTTTGTGATTTATTACATCAACATGAAAATAAAAATAAGGCACTCTTATCTTTGAGTGCACCGATTGATTATTATTATTATTAAAGTATGGCTTTGCAATCCATCCTAATGAGAACTACTCTTTCCAGAAGAGAAAGTAAAGTTTCCCCTGCCCATCAGCACAGACCAGCTCACTAGGTTTTCTTGGGTTTATCTCCAAAAACAGCACAGGTCCTCCACACACAAACATTCCCACCTGAGGCAAGAGAAACAGATGCAAAGTCAATGAAGAAAAGTAAATACGCATTAAAAACAAAAGAGGGAATAAAAATATGAGTTTTATGACTGAAGTACTTGTTTTCTAGTGTTTCTGTCCCACAGCTTCACTGTCCGGTCACAGGAGGCTGAGATGATGGTGCTGTCTGTGAGTCTCAGCTCAGTGATTCTGTCACTGTGAGCCTGGGGGACAAAAACATCATCATTAATCCCACAACCAGTTATAATTATCTTGTTTTCTATCAAGGCCAAATGAGAAGCTTCAATGTTCTACATTAGCATCAAAGGTATGTTCATCAGCTCTTACCGGTTTCTTGTTGCTCCACGAGGAAACATCTGGCTGCTGATTGAACCACATGTTGCCATCCACATCTCCGCACACCACAAACTCTGCAAAAATCCCGTCACAATAAAACCTAAAAGCCACTGAAGGAAGGAAGCTGCAGGAAAGGCTGGATTGATCAGACGACTGAAACGAAGCACCGACCGTCTGACGCAACGGCAAACTCAACAGAAAGTGATGAGTAGAGTTTTATACCTTTGTCCATCGTCAGAGCCGTTATCACACTTTTAGTTTTGTCCTCGTCACACTTCATATTTGCTGAGCTGAAAGTTGAACGCAGAGATGTTTCAGGTCCCAATCCAAACTGAAAAAAAAGTCAGTTTTAACTGTAATTATAATGAAGACAGCTTGATTTGTTTAAAAAAATAAAGTTTTGAGGAGTTTGTATTTAGAAAGTAATAAAAACAAACTGAAGATAACATTTAGTTTTGACTAAAATACAATTCTACGAGTCATTAAGCCTTTACAGTAAAAAATACTACAATTAAAAAATAAACATTAAATTGGCAGGAAAAAAATGTATAAAGGGACTATGATTAAGACAAATACATTTTATTTGCTATGACATCAAACCTTTGGAATGCACCAACTTTCTAAAGGTTCTTTAATATTTTTAACATATTTATTAGAATTCGACCTAAGTAGACCATTGAGCACAGAACATAATAATGGCTCTACTAAACAATATATTAAGTTAAATTACAATTGTATTTTTTCAGTTCATCTTCATGATGATAATTTAAGCACAGAGAAAGTAAGAAGTAGACAGAGTAAAACTCACAATGAAGCCAACTTGAATTTTACCATCTTGCTCTCCCATCAGCCACACACTTTTCTCATCATTACGAACACATCCACGAAGGAGGACACTCTCATTCCAGCTGAAAAGGAAAGAAATGCACAGCCTGTAAACTAAACAATAAAAATCCAAGAAATTACAGCTAAGTGTCACAAACTAGACAGCAAAGAGACAAATAGAGCAAAAATAAATAAATAAATAAAACTATAAGAAACAAAAAACATCCAAACGCTGGCATAGAAAAACCAAGGGGTTGATTTTTAGAGTGAACCAATGACTAAAAACAGAGATAAAGGCCAATAATAATAATAATAATAATAATAATAATAATAAAATTTACCGAGAGCTTGCGTAATCCCAATAATTTTCCGTATCCGGTGATGATATGTTGTAAAAGTCCATCTCACTGGACACACCGAGCAGTATCGAGCAGTAGATGAGTCGAATCATTGGGGTTTTCACTTTGTAGGTGGTCACCTTCACCAAACTGGAAGAAGCAGAAAATAACACTGATAAAAACATGTAAGTGAACAGAATTGCCACCCTTATCCTGAGCAGTGTGCCTCAGCAGCGAGATTTTTGTTGTTATTTACCTTGCTTTGGTGCGTTGCTGGTTCCAAATCAGCTTCCAAACATCAACCGCCATGTTGTTCATGTAACTGACAGCAAACTGCCCATCATCCATTGAACATGCCGCCAGGATGGGACTGTTTGACACCTGACACACACACAAAAAAACAACTTTAACTGTCTAAAAGACAGAAAGAAATTATAAACATTGCAGACGTAGACCCAGCTGCAGCTCTTACATTGTTCAGTGATCGAAACACTCACACCCTAATTCTGCTTAATCTTTAAACCACCCATTTTGTGCTTTTCTTTACCTGCCTGTGACCAACCACTGTGTTACGTCGCCACAGCTCCAGTAAACCAGATTCATAACCAGCGAGCAGCACATCTGTGTCAGAGAGGCACAACGCTGAGATGGAGCCTTTCAAGTCTGAAGAAATCTCTGTTCACCAAAAAACAGAATATTGTGAGTTTTAGGACGTTGGATTACCCAGCTGAACAGGAAATCTCAATTCACAAATTCAGAAAGCATCAAAAACAAAATTTCACCTGTTGTCCAGGTCCAGCTTCTCAGGGAGCGGTCTTCAGAGACGGTGAGGAACTCCGAGAGTCCTCCTCTAAGAGTGACTCCACGAACTGAACCACTGTGACCCTGGAAGGAGCTGAAATGTTCAACCTGGAAAAGGACACATTAAATAAAAACAAAAATGACCGGCATGAAACCAAACCAAGAAATAAAAGGTAAAATTGGATGTTTAATAAACTAGAAGGATTGAATCTTTAGTGAAAGACCTGTAGAGGTTTCCACAGCTGCACGGTACCATCATCAGATGCAGTAAAAACCGTTAATCCCTCTGGCTTTGTTTCTTTTTTCTTGTCTAAGAAAAATAAGAATTATTTAGGAGCACAGCTGAAGTTAAAGAGGAGAGACTGGATTAAGTTTGTACCACAGTTCAGGAGAACAGAGCAGTGATTAATCCGCTGCTTGTGGGCAGCTATGTGGCAGATTTCTGTGTTGGTTTTCCAGTCCCAGACATGCAGCGCTCCCTCCGAGCAGCCGGCAATCACATGATGACCCTGCACAAAGACACCAGTCAGCCAAATTAAACTTTATCCTGAAAAATAAATCACTAAGCTGTAGACAATATAGGCAACTTGTTTACTCCAGTAATTCATCAGCTAACTGCAGGGATGCTCTGGTTTCTCCCAGTTTTCTCACCTGGCAGCAGATGGAGGTCAGAGGATTCCTCCAGGAGATTTTCCTGAGACACAAACCTGCCTCCAGGTCCCATAAACAGAGTCTCCCATCGTTCGAAGAGCTCATCTGAAAGGAAATGAGAGTCAAGCTACTTTGGATCCTTTATTTTATTTTCAATTCTAAAGACAAAACATATCATCTTAGTGAGATGTGACTGTTTTACTGTTTAACTCAGGCTGCAACAAGAAAATGACTTGATCATTCCACCCAAGTCTAACCTTTTATATTTTCCTAACAGGTGGTTTTAGCTCCATCTTTGTAACTTCAGTTCCTTACACAATAACTCTAGCCAACAGGAATGCCTTTTTGTTTAATCTTATTGAAATAAAGCTGCAGTGGAGATAAAGTCTTTAAACTTAAACTTCACGAGAACTTACGACACAGTCAGGAGTCCAAACACATCCGGTGATCCAGTCTTTGTGAGCGTGAAGGAGTGATTTGGAAAGAGCTGCGGGGGAAGAGCCGACATCCCAAACTACCAGGGCCTGAAACAAAAACACAAAGTTCACCACAGGGAGAGCTTTGTGTTTAAGCTTTATGTGATGCATCATAGGTGCAGGTACCTGGTCTTTTCCTCCAGAAAGTAGCCGTGTACCATCAGGACTGAAAGCCAGACAGGTGACTCCTCCTTTGTGACTTCTCAACACCTGATGAGCATCAGGTGAAGGATTAAGAGCCAAATCCTTCAACAGCCACAGAGCTACAGTGAAATCATCTGTTTCAAGAAAAAACAGGTAAAAAATACAATTAATATAGAAACTCAGTCAAGAAGAAAAAGGTACTTTCATCTATTTATGTTCTTACTTGCTTTTTTTTAGCATAAAAACACATTAAAACAAAAACACCGGCTACAAACATAAGTTCTACATTTTTATTTACTTTTCATGTCAAATAAAAATGAATAAAAAAACTATAAATTTTAAAAAATGTAGAGGAACAAAGTGGAAAAGCATTTTTGACTACAAGGTACACTTCCATCTAGTGGCCAAAGTATGTATTGCAAAAACACACACCAAATCCAAACATACTTTGCTCCAAGTTCTTGCTTACCTGTACATTTTTTAGTTAGAGAAAACACATTCACCAGGTAAATGTGCAATAAGTAAGGAAACAGGGAGGAAAAGAAGTCAAACAAAAACATTAGCCATAGATTTAGGTACCCTGGGAATGTTTTATGCCACCTTCAGGGAAATTGAAATGTCATAAAAAAACAAACAAAAAAAAAAGCTGAAAACTAAAGAAAAACTCTGATTTATTGTGGGAAAATATACAGACAACAACAGTGCTGGACTGAGGAGCGTTTAAAAATACATAAAGCTAACCTGAGGCTGCTGCCAGATACGTGGAGTTCTGCTCCAGAGCAAGGATGGAGGCTTTTTGAACTCCAAACGTCCCCAGACTCATCAGACCTCCCAACATTCCCTCTTCTTCTTTCCTCTTCCACAGTCTCAAGCATTTATCACTTCCTCCAGAAACCAGCAGCTCTGGTTCTTTCTGCTCAGCGTCCACAGAAACCCACAGCAGGCAGTGGACCGAGACGCCTAGGTCTGTGGTGGCCCACATCTTCTCACCTAGGATCAAAAGAAAACCCATTTGTTGATTAGCTAGCTAGGCTCAATGGGTGTTTACAAATGACATCAGCTGTGCAGAGATAAACAGAGGTGACACCTGAATTATGACTGAAGAGTTTGATGCCATCTCCATGGTAACCCACAGCAGCACAGTCTCCATTTGCTGCCACACAGAGAGCTGGAGGCTGAGACCTTACAGACTTCAGTTTCTTCTGAGGAGGCTCCAGCTCACACTAAAGACATTCAACGAGAACATTTTAATGAAAATCTGACATTGGTTGATTATCAGTTCACTTCATTCTTATTTAAATTACAGGATGAGATGCCTGGGGTCTTCTCAAATGTGTGATTACACACAAACTCATTGTAGGAGTTTAAAACCATGAATCTCAACAGATAACATTTTACAAATAGGAACTCACTTCATCGTTTTTCAAAGCAGCAACTGAACGTCCAAGTCCTCCCGACCAGAGCTGAAGCTAAAGACAAACGAAGCAGAAGACATATAGAATCCTTTCTGTCAACAGGATAACAAAACGAAAAATAACAGCTGCTGCTTCATTCGACTCAAAAACAGATGAGGGCTAAATAATGTAAAACAGCCCACCGTGTGATCAGAGCCGGCGCTCAGCAGCATTCCTCCATCCTTCAGGAAGGCGAGAGCCTCGGTTGCTCCGAAGTGAGCCTGGAAACAACCCACGCAGGTGGAGGTGTGCACCGACCACACCCTCACCTCTCCAGACACGGAGCCGGAGCAGAGCATGGAGGAGGACGGGGAGAAGGAGAGGCTGCGCACCGACTGCTCGTGTCCACACAGGGTCTTTGGAACAAACGAGACATTTTATTTGTTCCACCACTTCAAATATTCTTGTTCTGGTCTTTTTTTTAAAACATGCATCAAATATATAATTTATTAGATTTTCAGCAATAAAATAATGATTTGACTATAAACAATGATTCATTATTTGAAAAAAGAGATTCACACAAACAATCTACAAGCATCAGCGAACAATTAAAAAACTCAACAGAACATTTTTAGACTTTCCTTAGAAATATTATTCCACTTGAAAACGACTACATGAGAGTTAAAGTCATATTATCTCCATAAATAAAGATTAAACCATAAACCTTCTGATTTGTTGTTCATGACTTTAGTTTGCGAACAACAACAAAACCTGTCGCCATAAAAACTTACAGCTAGTGTTTGATTCTGGAGCCAGTTCCACACAACGACGGTTCCACTCCAACAACCAGCAGCCAACAGGTGACCTTCAGGGTCAAAGGCCACACAGTTCAAAGGACTGTTGCTGGGCAGACGGGCCACTTCATGACCTTTAGCAGGAGACCAGACCTGAGAAAAACAATATTTTGATTCAGGAGAAACATCAAATCATATTTAATTTAAAGTAAAATTTTAAAATGGCTAATTATGTTTGATGACATGTTCTGGATTCTCCTTTTGTGTTTTGACACAGATCACTCGAATAGTCTGGATTTTGATGGCTTACATATATTTTAAAGTATCGATATAAAATAATGACAAACTTTCAGCGTAAAGTCCAGAGACACAGTAGCCATGTGTTTCCTGTCTGGAGTGATGTCGCTCGCTGTTATCGTGTTAGTGTGGCCTTCAATTAGGGATGTTCTGCATAAACAAAAACATGTTTCAACCACTAAATTATAATTAAAGATTACATATACACATCTAAATCAAACATGAATTCTTCTCACCTGCAGCCGTTCTCGATGTCCCAGACTTCTATTTGTCCATCGAAGGAGGTGGAAGCAAGCTGTCCGTCGGTCAGAAACACACAGCTGGAGATGCCGTCACAGCTGCTCAACAGAGACTTCACTTCCTGTTCAGAAGAGAATTTAGATTTTCGTTTTTATTTCATCCGCAAGTCGGAATTAGAAAAGCTCTGTTTTCAAACTAGTCCGTTTTCTGTGTACACGCGCTGAACCTAGCGTGTTTTCACCTGTCCGGTCTGCATGTGGATGATGTGCAGCGTTCCCTCTCCGGTACCAACCACCACCAGCTGTTCATCCAAACTCAGAACCACACAGGTCGGTTCAGAGGAGAAGGTTGATACCAGCTCACTGATGAAGCAAACAAAATCAACAAAATGACACAGAAATGGGAGTAAGAAAACAACCCTTTTTTTTTATCTGCTGTACATAATTACTTGCCCAGCTAATTTCATCAAACAGATTAGAGTTGCAGTGACATGGAGTTGGACTAAAATAAGTAAAACATAATAATCCTCTAACTTGTTTTCATGAAAAGCGCCATCACTGCTCTTCAGACACTCAACGACCCGGATTCCTCCTTTTCCCACCAGGCCTTCAGCCCAGATGTGAGCCGAGGTCTCCGGAGGCTCGCCGAGCGCCTGCTGGATGAAAAGTGCCGGCCAGGTTGAAAGCGTTGAAGCGTGGCGCTGAAGGAAACTACGACAGTCTTCCAGACGACCCTGGAGGTCAACTGAGATGATGGGGGAAAGCTTAGGTAAGAACTAAAATCCATTGGACCAGAACTCAAGCATCGTTTTACTTTTCAAATACTCACGTGGAGGTGAAGACGTGCATTCTTTATCTACAGAAAGAATAAAGTTGTTAAAAATTGTTTTTATTGTTCACAAAGAAATCCCAAATAAACAAGCCAAGGATTTATCATGAATCCTAACCACTCACCACACAAGCTGTACGTCTCAAGAAGGTGGTGCAGGAGGCCGAAGCTAACATTAGCATGCAGGAAATAAAAGTTAGACAGCAGGGAACGGAGCGCCTCCAGCTGCCCGCTCTCAATCTGATAAAAGACACGTGAACACAACATAAACTGTTCAGATCCAACCGAGTGAAACACTGAGTGTGAATAAATCTACGTTTTATTAATCTTATGGGGGTTTTCTAACCAGGCTGGAAGGCAGATGGAGGACAGAGTTGACCTCACAGTGGAGGAAGGTGTCTTTACCCTGAGGGTCTCCAATTGCCCAGAGGTGACCTGATGAATGAATAATCCCAGTAAACAGTGATTCAGAATTGTGAAGGCTAGAAAGGGTGAAGAAGGCTTACTCTACCTGCCAGAACAAGGTGAGCTCTGGTTCTGTCGCTTTCTGTCGGGAGGAGAAAGTCCTCAAAGGCTCGTTTAACCTCCGGGTTGTTTAGAGCCAGCAGGTCGTCAGTGTCATGGCAATGAGACGAACCAATTAGACTAGGAGAAAAATAAATAAAACACCCATTTTAAGGTTCAAGGTTCAAGGTTGTCTTTATTAATCCCCAAGGGGGAAATTGAATTGCCTTGGACAAGTAAACACAACATGCACATCCACACAATAAAACATTCACTGGTCCTGGTTTTAATAAATATATTCCCATCCTTTAATAAACAGAATGTGTAATAATAAAGTTTGCATCTAAAATAAATAAAAATAAACTTCAAGTCTTGAAATGGGTGTTCATTTTGAATGTTTCATTTGTACTTGGCACACAAATAAAGAGAAAGTTAATTTTGTCCTTGTGATGTAAACATGTAAGATTTATTATCTGTGAATAACTTAATGCATTAACCCTGCCATCATGTGCCGCGTACCTTTGTAGACTCTGTACTATACGAGTGAAAACCGCCATGGGAATGCGTCCTTTTGGTGTCCTGGACAGATTCAGAACTTCCTCCCATGTGACCCGTCCATCCCGCAAAGACAGATCGTTACACGTGTTCAGCAAATGGTACAAGTCTCTCTCCTTCAGGCCTGGAAAGAAAAAATGTCCCTTAAAGGTCTAATTCACTTCTTGTTTCATCTCATTAGCTGTTGTCTCTAGAATGAATGAATGCCTTGTGAGTCTCTGGCGCTCCAATTTCTGCAAGTTCAAGTTTGTCAGAACAGTGGGAGAGTCTTATTTATGCTCATATACTTTGATACTGTGGACCATAACATGTGCTGGGCTGGTTCCAATCCCATCTCAAAGACAGGGGCTATGTTGTCTCTATTAGGGATTACCAATCAAAGTGGATCACCATGACATGTGGGGTCCCCCAAGGCTCAATTCTAGGACCACTGCTCTTTAACCTCTGTATGCTCCCCCTGGGTGAGGTCATACTTAATAACAACATCACCTATCATAGCTATGCTGATGACACCCAGATCTACCTAGCCTTATCACCTAGTGGCTATCGGCCACTGGACTCACTCTGTCAGTGCATAAAACAAGTAAACGGCTGGATGCAGTCAAATTTCCTTCAACTAAACAAAGACAAGACAGAAGTTATTGTCTTTGGCAACAAGAAGGAATAAAGACAAAGACCCAGGTTAGAAATCTTGGTGTTATTAAGTCCGACCTGAGCTTCTCTGGACATATTAAGGCTATAACTAAATCAGCGTTTTATCACCTTCATCAAATATCACGAGTCAGATGTCTCATGTCCAGATCAGACTTAGAGAAACTTATTCATGCTTTTATTTCTAGTCTGCTTGTCTACTGCAATGGTCTCCCAACTGGTCTTCCCAAAACAGCTGTGAAGCAACTGCAGCTTGTTCAGAATGCTGCTGCTAGAGTCTTAACAAGAACTAAGAGAGCACATCACCCCTGTTCTTAGATCTCTACACTGGTTACCGAATAGATTTCAAAGTGCTCCTACTAGTTTAGAAATCCCTCAATGGCATGGGACCAAAATACATGTCAGATCTCATTCCTGTATATACACCCATGGACGTAGTTTTGGGGAGGGACGGGGGGAAATGTCGTGTCGTTGCAGTGGGCGGCGCCATGAATGCCAATTTTCCGTGTGACATGAAAGAGACTGGTATTTTCTAACCCGAATATGTCCCATCTACTTCCTTTCTGCGGCTAACGAAGCGTGAGGGAAGTGACCGATCGTACTTCAAAAAGACAGCATTATGCAGTTTCTCGGTGAACGAGGCCTTTGAGGCAAACCGTCTACTGCTGGGAAGTAAAGTGCTCCACAAACACATTCCTAAGTCTACCTGTGGGGCTGACGGTGAGGGCTGCGAGGGCCCAGCGGAATCCCAGCATGCCTCGGTACTGGGAGCAGAGTCTCTCCAGGGTGAACTGGACCAGCTGGTTCAGAGACTGAGGCAAAGCCTGCAGGTTTTCCTTCATCTGAGACACAAAGGCAGACCTAGGTATTATTCATATTACAATAAACACATTTATGAATTTGTGTGTCCAAGATTTAAGTAACACCAGTAAAACCAGTGAGAAAACAAAAACAAAATTAACCTCCCACCTTGTCAAAAGACCCAAAGTTCCTTAGATCTTCACAAGCCAGGTGCAGATAGAGAGGACTCGCTGCTCCTTTCTTTGTCACCAAGGTCTGAAGCTGCACACACAGCCGGATTTTAAAGTTAAAATACAAGCTAAGCAAACGTTTCAGAACAAAGTGACAATAATTACTTGGTTGTTGAACGCAGAGTCGCTGAGCTTCTTCCCAAAAGCGTCCAGCTCCTTCTGAATGATCTCCTTCCGGTCTGGCATGGTGAGTTGTCCCAGGGAGAACAGAGGCATTCCTCGTTTGGTGGAGAAAGTTTGGAGCAGAGGCGTTTTGGACGTGACGCTCAGCACTATGCACACACCCTGACAAAATAAAACACAAACTGAGATTCAACCATATAAAACTTCAAACAGAATCTGCTTGTATTAAAAGCTGTGGAAGCACTGATGACATTTGAGCCACAAATAATAATGCAATGCCATATGAGACCACTGATACTCCACTTAGGCTCGTTTCATGGATGCTAGCAGTTTTGGCTTAATTTTAGCAACCCCTAGTGTCTGTTTAGTAAAACAGAAAGCAAAACTTATCTCCTCGCTGTGCATTTGTCTTTTTAACACCTTAATCTAACAGCTCAAATGTCTCCCCAGCCTTCCTAAGTGTCTACATGAGCGATTCATCACTAAATTAAACAAAACAGATGTGTTCATGATGCAAAACATGCAGGGAACGTGCTGGAAGCAGACTGAAGCGCTAGGTATGTCAGCTCCAAGTCCACAGGTGGGAGTCCGCCAGTCTAAAGTTGCAAGTGCGGTATTCTGGCCAAGGGCAGTTGGGATCCGAGTGACATTTCGTTAACCATGTAAAGGGTCATTTTAGCACATACTGGCTAAAGAAAAAATTTAAAAATATGAAAAAGTTGCATAGTTTTGCTTTAAATTCCTAAAGATTCTTCTTCTGTCTGCATTCCTCAAAGACTAAAATTTTGATGTATTCTGCTTTGTGCATGATTTCAAATAACGTTTTAACCCTAAATTAGTGCCAACTTTCCCCCTCCAAACCTTTTTATTTACAGGCCTGTAACAGAGGCTTTTACTATATATTTCAAGTTAAAATGAGTTCACTTGACAAAAACATGTGTTTGTGGTAGCTTAAGAGAGCATTTCTGTTTGAAATATCGAAGTGTGTCTTCTCATCACTGACATTTGGGAGCTGCTGTGGGATCCAATCAGAGCTGAGCTGTCCTCTTCCATCCTGGAGAAGATCCACCCCATCAACCAGCACCACCACAGGTTTCTTCATTTCACCCAGTGTAGAGCGAAACTCTGCCAGCAAGTCTCTATTATTTAAATAAATACATAAATAAAAAACAATGTAATCCAACAAACTCAGGTGGAAACCAGTAGGAGTATTGATGTTGAAGTTTCTTACTTGTACTGGTGTGGAAGAGGTTGTTCTTTTTCTGTGTTTGTGATCTTTCTGAGCCATAGGACCAGGCATCGAAGGAGGTTTTCCACAGAGCGTGCTGATTGGCTGGCAGCTGTGGAGTAGGAAATGACATCACAGTGGAGGTTTCTTCTGGACTTTGCTCCGGTTCTGAGAGCATCTGCAAGAGCAGCCTAAAAAGTGACAGAAACAAAATAAGATGTTAACTTTCACATAAAACAAGATTCAATCATTTCTTTCATTTCCTGAAGCAAACACTGAAAAAGAAAATGATTCTGTCCCACAATTCATTGCAACCAAACTTATCAGTGATGCTCATGCAGCACCGAATAATAAATACATCAAAACACTATTCTGCTTCAAAACTTCTCACGTCCTTTATGTGGTGTTTTATTATCATTTCCACTTTCTTCTAAACGTAAATAAGGCTTTCTAAAATGCTGAGGTTGTAAATTTACCATGAAGACAGTTTTCCCCTCTCCAGGTCCTCCGTGTACCACCGCCACTCCTCCTTTAGTTTGGACCTTCTCCACCATCTCTGCACCAGCAGACAGCAGCTTAGCCCTCCCAAAGAAGTGCCTCTGCAGCGCCCCCTGGTGAACCTCTTGCTCCAACACTTCAGAAGCACCCTCTGCCTCCTTGTCCTCCTGCAGAATCAACAAAAACAGCCATGAAGCCACAAAAAGTGTCCTGAAATTGCAGATTAGAGCTAAACTTATTGTAATAATAAAAGTTGCTGACTTCAACAAACAGCTTCTGAACAGCCACCCAAAGGTCCTCCAGAACGGTTTTGCCAAAGACCTCCAGGTTTTTCAGGTACGGCTTCCCCTCCACCACGCCTCCCCACTCACATGAATACCTAAAAGAGAAAAGTGACAAAAGTCCAGAACGACATTTGTTTAATAGATGCTAAATGATCTAAATATGGACTCACTTTTCAGTGACTTTGACTTTGTTGTCCAAAAGTCGTCTCTTTAAAGAGGCCAGTTTATCCTCAGCTTCCTTTGATTCAGCAGCAAAATCTGATCTCCAGGCCACAGGGATCGATCTGAACAACACACATATTTATTTCAACAATTCTGTAGTAAAATAAACTTATTTTTAGTAAAAACACGTGTTCTATCATGGATCAACACTTTACATTTTCTGCTTACCTGATGATGTCTGGATCTCTGAAGTAGCAGAACATTCGCTGCTGAGCCGTGTCGGGATAAAGAGCCAGAAACTGGCGGATCTCCATCTCTGTGATGGACAGACCAGCTGGAGCAGCGGCCAGCTACACAAAATACATAATATTAGATGAATGGAAACGCATGTGTCATCTTTGTGTTTAATTACTCGTGTAAATCTTACCCAGCTGTACTGTGGCAGGTCAGGAAGGACAGGTCTGGGAGGCACCTGGCCATACCTCTCCCCCAGGATCCCCACCAGCATCTGGCTGCGACACACCTCTGACAGGCACAGCTCAGTGGCCCGCTCTGACTCATCCTCCGTCACGCCCCAGCGCAGCTCCACCTCCTGCAGGTAGAGACGATGCAGAGCAGCGCGGCGCCGGAGCTCTGGGAAGACGTTCCGTACCAGGACGTCGCGTTCGGCATGCATGTCTCTAAAGGTCGAGGAGATGAAGACTCGGACACCTTGCCACCTAACGGCAGATGAGTGAGGTGGTCGTATGAACATTAAGTTAGAACAGTTTTAAAACCCATCTTCACAGTGAAGCTGATATTACCTTAACTTTGGGCTGGGTGGCACTGAAACAACTTTGTTTGAAGTCTGTGGCTCTTGGGCTCCCTCTGGTGGAGGGATGTTGTACAGTTTGTCCAAATGTTCTACGTGATTCAGCAACCTGGAGGATCCTCGTTCTGCTACGAATCTGATCATATGATTACCAAAAGAAATGTGTGAAATTAATTAACTTGCTTTGCACAGTGGTGCACAAATGACCTTCAACCATAATGGGCTCAGCTCTATGACACGTTACAAAGAGTTCATTTAAAGACCAAGATGTTTTTGTTTGGCTGTTTGGGTTTCCAAGGGCAATGTTGGTGGAACTGTGCTGGAGTTGTGGTTGGTCTTGGAAAGCAGCACGGTGAGAGCGTGCACCACCCAAATTCACAGACCTGCTGACCACACGGGGTTTCTAGCAACGTTTCAGAGGGAGCTGGTAGACTGGGACTGAGCCAGTTCATCTTGAGCCGAGCCGAGTGTGAAATGGAATAACCCATGCAGTTCACCGCTACAGCGCATTTTACAGTAAGATCTAGTATTTCAGCCACCAACTGCACATGCACAAATAGATGCTGTCACATTACCCCAGTTGTGGCACATTTACACTGGTTGCCTGTGACTTTCAGGGTTCGTTTTAAGATCTTACCATTTGTCTACAAGGTGTTAAATGGCCTAGCACCCCTGCATGTGTCAGAACTCCTTACACCATATGTGCCACACAGGGTCTTTGGACCAGTGTGGCCGGTGCGTTCCCCAAGATCAGCTGACCACTTACTGCTCTGCATCCCCAAAATGATCAATAAGGCGAGAGGGGAGCGGGCTTTTGTGTACACTGCTCCTCACCTTTGGAATGCGCTCCCTCTCACCATGCAAGTCTTCTACGGTCTCGGTTTTCAAGTTGAGACTGAAGACTCACTTTTGGACAGTGATTTCTTTTATGCTTGGTTTCACTGGTTTTGAGCTACTGTTTTTGTGTATGCTTTTATTATTCTTGTAGTTGATTTATCTTATCTTATTGAACTGTTTTTAAATGGTCTATTCCTGAATTTTATCGTTTGATTTTATCTTATTTTAATGTTTTGTTCTGCTCGTTTCCAACCTTCTGCAAGACACTTTGTTCAGCTCTCATGCTGCATTTTAAATGTGCGGTATAAATAAAATGGTATGGTATACAAGCACGTTTAAGTGAATGCTTATCTCAAGGGGAAGAAAGAGCAACTAGCCAACATTGTAGAGAGGTGGCCACATTGAATGAATGAGTCATACATTTTATCGAACAGCTGATAGGGAACAGACTGTGAAATGCAATAGTTCAGGATGGGTGGCAGCAGATTGTGAGTCACTTCCTTCTTATTCTGGTTGAGGTACCAAAACGTTTCAGCGTTTCCTACCAAGATTCTTTATACCTCCATGTTTCCATGAGTACCATATGGAATGTCTCAGCTTCTCTCTCTCTCTCTGATGCCTTCATTTAAATAATAATGGATTAGATTTATACAGGGCTTTTCAAGGGACTTAAAGTGCTTTGGTGATGGAAAGCTACTAGCTAGCCACAGCTGCCCTGGGGTGGTCTGACAGAGGTGAGGTTGACTTTCATGCCATCAGCCCCTCTGACCACCACCAACACAGGCAAGTCGCTGAAGTGTCTTGCCCAAAAACACAAACAACAGAGCACCCTGGCAGGAGCTGGGATCGATCACTAAATCCTCACTGGGTGACCTGCTCTACCTCCTGAGCTACAGCTGCCCCATGTATGTGGTATACAAGATTACTGATTTACTGAACTACTTGAGTCTCGCATGTTCTGCTTCCTCTTTCCATGTGTAGACCTGCTTTTTCTGTCGTGCAGAGAGAAAATAACACAGGAAAGGCATTTTTGCGCCGATTTGCATGTTTAAAGAGACAATGTGCAGTTTTTACCATTATTCTCTGGAAATATCTGACAAAATGTGGTTAAAAATAAATTAAATGATGCCCAGTTGTTGAAAAATATTGGCGGCTTTGTAACAGATTACCATAAAAATCAGGTCTAAAATACATGGGAGCGGGTCCGAGTCTCGGGGCGACGCCATATAAGATGCCATGACTCCTTCTACGGGAGTCCATGAGGACAAATGCATTTACTGATTTGTAACAAAAGGTTATAAAACTTTCACTACTCATAAACGTTGTTGTTTTACACATTTAACTCTTCACTTGTTGCCAGTGATGAAAGGGAGGCTGATGTGCTCATTATTTTGCTGAGGTTTGCACTTCCCCGGCTTTTTGACTTTGGGGGCTTTGTTGGTAAGGTCTTACTCCTTGTAATGATTTAGGTATCTGCTATCCCCTATTGCCAGGAAAAATACACACTGTCACTTTAATGTAAATATAGATGTCTTGTTCTCCCGTGTGCACTCAATGCTGCACTGATCCATGTGAACAAAGAAAATATACTTAAAAAAATTTGTGCCTACATTCTTTTTCAGTAGAAAATCCACCAAAGTGTTCGTACATGAGGTCCCATAACTTAGGCTAGTCAACTCAAGCCAGATGACAAAAAGGATCACCTCTTCAGGAGGTGATCAGGAACCAGACTTCAACTCTAAGCTCTAGTTTCTGCAGAGCTTTTGAAACCATCTGTTCACTCCAACTTTAAACAAATGGAAATTATTTTAACATGGTATCTGCAGGTTTAAGGGAGCCAAATTTAAGACTTTTTAAGACCTTTTTTAAGGCCTCTTTGACCAAATTTAAGCTATTTTTCTAATTAAATTTAAGCTATAATTTCCAGCTATTGCCTGATTAGCCATCCAGTTACCATTAAACTTGCACTTCCCCACTAGCTTAACCAGCTAATGTGCTCATCTAAAAATAGCCCCCTTTCACAACCGACTGAATGTGTACGGTTCCGCTTACGCCAGCGTCATACTTAAAAAATGTTGAACACTAACTAGAAATTCACGAACATTTTTGGGTCTTTGGTCATTTAAGACCTGTGGAAACTGGATTTAAGGATTATTTGCCATTTTTAAGGATTTTTAGGGCCTTAAATTTGGAAAAGCAAATTTAAGACTTTTTAAGACTTTTTAAGGACCCGCGGATACCCTGTTTAAGTATCCTAGCACCACCAAGTACAGATAAATCAGCTCCATTTTGTAATTTTCATCATAAATAATACCTCAGCATTTGCTCACTGAAGCCTGATAGTGTCACACAGTTCTCGTCAGGGGTTTCGTCTTTGTCTTCACGACACCTAAACACAACAGCACAGAAAAAATTAGAACAGATGAACCATCTAAAATAGGAGAGAAATAAAAACGTACTCGTCTAAGAAGATCTTGACCACCAGGGCTTTGTTGTTTGCTTCCTTTCTGTAGGCTCGGATGGCCCATTTTATTTCACTTTCAAGCCAACTTAGATTTAACACGATGATGTTGTTCACCTGTAAACAAATAGCAGTTCATTTGAGCAAAGTATATGCAGAAAGTTACCATAAAGATAATGATGCCTCTATAGATAAAGAGATAAAGATAAAGAATAAAGGAATATAAAACTGAGCTTCCTGGGAAAATTTGTTTTCAGGTTTTAAAAATATGTGTTTAAAATAATCCTGTTTCACACATTAAGTTTAGTGCTGCAAAAAGGGTCTTAGAAAAAAAATCTAATATACTTTTTTCTTTTAGTCACATTATTCTGCAAGGTTCTGTTCACTCCTATTCATTTATTTATGGTGCAATAAAATAAGTTTGTTATCACACTAAGCAGAACAAACAGAATGAAAGATAACTTACCTTGTTTTTCTTGGTCAAGATTTCGTGAAAGAAACTCATGTCATCTTCTGAAACTCCGGACACCGCCTGTGTAAGACACACGAGTGTTCTTTAGTTTGAGGTTAGAGATGTTTTTGTTGTTAGACTGTAACCAGCGCCACAGGAGCTTGTTTGTGTGGTGAAAGACCACTCTCCATTTCTCTAGACTGAAGCCACTCTCAGAGCTATCTGCAACAAGTGAGAGACTTTAAAAGATCTCATCAATAATGGGAATGAGGATTTCACTTTGCATTGGTTTAGATCAATTAACCACTGCCTGCCCTATGAATAACCAGGTCCTTTTTATCTCTCCATCATTCTTTAAAGAGTAAGTCACCCCCAAATCAACTTTGCGTGTCTAACCGTGCTGCAGACATGTGTAGTCAATAGTTTTGCACTTTAGTGGATTTTAGTTAAATTTTTAATTTTCTGCCTAAAACTGTCAGTGTTGTGCCGTTGTCAGGTAAAAACTCTGCACTGCATTTTAATTTAAATCTGCCATCGCTATTGGCTAAGAGGTAGCCTAGAACATTAGCTGGTACCATATGATGTCACAATGTCGTTGTGAGCCTGTGTGTGTTTGTATTTGTTAGCGGCTCCGCCCTCTCTGTCTGCTAGGCAACAACATTTGTTACATTTTTCAATCAGGCACTGAGGGAGCTGAGTAAGAATCTGGTAGGGGGTGACTTGCTCTTTAAACAGCAACATAAAATTACATCCTAGAGGTCTGAGGAACTTCAGTCAGTAAAACTACAGCTTGATCTCTAGATACTTGGTCCACAATGACACGTGACTTCAAGTGTTGGAATTCAGCTAAAAACAAGGTTAATGTTGATCCTGGACAATTTTCTAGCATTTGTGTAATCAGATACATCAAAGAGAAATTATCTAATCCTGGCATTGAACGTCCTCGCTCAGCATTGTCCTTTTGAGATCTCTAAACCTTTTCTGTCAGACATAAAAGCAACAGACACCCATAAACAACACTGTTAGAAGATAAAATAACTCAAATGTAGGAGATAAAACTATATTTGACAGCATGATTGTTAAAGAGGAGATTTTCTGACCTCAACCTGCTTGATCAGGTCTCTGACGTTGTCCAAAATGACATCAGACTTTGGCTTATATTCTATAAACCGATTGTAGCACACTAAGCAGAGTTGACAATCCTCAGCACAGCTGCTGATCATCAGAGCGAGCAAAGCTGCCACCTCCATCACCTGCAAGGATTCATAAACATGAAGTCAGCCAATGAGTGGTTTTCTACACATTAGTGGTCCGTTATGTGAACAAAAAACAAACAAACCCACAGTAGGAGTTAGAGGGTCGTGCTCATCCTGCCTCCTTCTACGACCGGTTTCCTCCTCCTCCTCTTCTTCTTCTTCTTCATCCTCCTTGTCTTTCTGCTCCAGGTCAGGAGGGAGGCAGAAATCTTGTTTCTTGCTCCAGGACTCCTTGTTCGACAACATGGTATTGGGGAGCAGGATGACGGTTTTTCCAGGGAGGGGGGGCACGTTGTAGCGGCAGGAAATCTGAACGGCCGTCTCCAGAGCTTTACGGTAACGGTCCAAAAGATCAACGGTGTACAGCTTCTGACTTTAAACACAGGAGGAAAGCCAAATCTCAACCAACAGGTTATTTTTAAACATAATTCATGACGAGACCCATTTTTAAATGGTTTTACCCCTAAAATGTTCACTTGGGTGTGAAGAAGTTGTTTTTAATCATTTAGAAACTACAGAAGCTTCTTACTTGGCTTTTAAGAGCTGGGCCTTCTTCAGCTTGTATGCCTGATAAATAAAAGGCACGTCGAGCGCCACCTTCATCCTTCTCTTTGAAGTCGTCTTCCAGTCCTGAGTGCTGAAGCGGCTGCTCTTTGGGACTTTGCTTAGGATGCTCAGCAGGATGTCTTTCCCAACGGGAATCCCCTGCTGCGATGCCGACGCTGGAGGGCAAAAATGTAAAGACCAGGCATTTAGGATCGAGTTAAAAATAATAAAAATCTACTTTATTCAAAACATTTTATGCCGTTTAAAGCATTTCACCCAAATTGTGAAGCTCCATGATGACTTTGTACGCAGCGAGGAACCTGAAAGGAAACTGTCGGCTCTGGATGACTGCTTTCTGCAAACACATCAAGTCAGCGACGTAAGAGGAGTCTAGACAGGCACGGCTGCGTGTAGTTTATAAGAAACTTTAGTTGCACCTGATTGGTCAGCCTGTTGAGGATCTTCTTGTGATGAGCCTCGCTGATCCCTTTCGTGATCATGTTCCTCAGGTTCCTCAACATGGCCATGAATGGAAGCGACTTATTGTCTGGAAAACGGAGAAATCTGTCGGCATGTGTCAACGATGACGAGACTGTTACATTTGTTGGATGTTTTGGAAAAACAGGTTAAGTTCAACTTCAAAATTGCCTAACAGATTTTGTGAGCCAGATGGGAAATTTCTGGTTGTTAAAGATAAACACAGAATAAAAAAGGTTTTGTTCCGGTCGTATTTTCCCTCCCATCAGCCACTCATGATGCAGCGGTTCTGCAGCTCTGAGCTGCGAGCCTGTGCACGCCGATGGATGAAGCTGATGCTTTGCATTTTTTTTCAGACCTATGAGCTTCTCCCACGTGGCGGCCTTGTTGCCCTCCAGACTGAGCAGCCGTTCCCACGTCTGCGGCTCTTTCAGCTTCATTCGCTGTCCGGCTCTCTCTCTGTCCCACTCGCCCTTTAATCCACTGCGGGTGAACGCCTTTGCATCACTGGGATATCTGCAAAAAATATCAAATATGTGGCATTTAAGAGTGTTTAATACTAAATCTATGTTTGTTTTCCCCATTTGCAATCTTACTTTCGTCCCAAAATAGCCATAACGTGTTCAGCAGGTTCTTTAATGTGAAGCCTCCTAATCAGTTTCTTCAAACTGAACTGGCTCTGTTTTTTATCCACTGCTGGTTTGTTGCCCTCCATCTGTAAATGAACATTATGCACAAGTGTTTAAATCACAGTTATTCAAAAACATCCATTTTGTTGAACATTGAGCAGATTAACATGAAGATACATTTTATTTCTGCGCTGGACGCATCCCTGCATAAACCAAAGAGATGGGCGTGAGCTTTAAGAACAAGATCCTAACTGAAGCCCACACCTTGTGCAACTTGGAAAATCTTGATTCAACAATGACTCAAAGAATAAACTGTTAGGATGAATAATGACTTACAAACTTCTCTAGAAGAACAGGATGTGATCTGAGCCATTTTGCCCACCTTGCCATCTGCGGTGCGCTTGGTTTCTAGGGATGAGAAATAATTCATTTAGAGGGAAAATGTTCAAAAACAGCGACGTGGGCAACAAAAAATTTATTTTTTTTTTTAAATAAAAGAAACACTTAGTTAATACCATTTTTTTTACATTAGAAAAATATAATTTTTAAACTTATCAGCATTTTTATTAGGCTTCACATTAGTGAAATTGTGCATCAAGAGCAAAAAAGGTGCAGTTCTGCACTGTGAAAGATCACAGGCCACCCGCATTTATTCACAGAAATTATTAAACTGAATTAAATTTAAAAAATCATAATTTTTTATCTGCATCCACTTATCAGTCAAGCCGATATTTCTACCCAGTAACAAGTTGGAACATTCATTTAAAGAGTTTTTAAATAATAATAATAATAATAATAATAATAATAATAATAATGCATTGAACTTATATAGCACTTTTCTAGACATCCAAAGACGCTTTCACACACTCTCACATTCACACACTGCTAGTGATGGCAAGCTACTTGTAGCCACAGCCGCCCTGGGGAGGTCTGACAGAGGCGAGGCTGCCATTTGGCGCCGTCGGCCCCTCTGACCACCACTAACACAGGCAAGTTGGGTGAAGTGTCTTGCCCAAGGACACAACAGCAGGATACCCCTGGCGGGAGCTGGAATCTAACCCATGACCCTCCGATCATGAGGCAACCCGCTCTACCACCTGAGCTACTGCTGCCCCAATCACAACAATGCACAAAAAGAATTTAAAGAGCAAGTCACCCCTAAATCAACTTTTTTTTGTTGATAAACTACATTAACGAGTGTCTAATCGCTATGTAGACACGTGCAGTCAGTAATTTGGCACTTTAGTTAATTTAAGTTAAAATTTAAATCATCTGCCTAAAACTGTCAGCATTGCGCCATCGTCAGGTAAAAACTCTGCACTGCATTTTAATTTAAATCTGCCATCGCTATTGGCTAAGAGGTACACTATGACATTAGCTGGTACATTATGATGTCACAATGTTGTTGTGAGCCCGTGTATGTGTGCATATGTTAGCGGCTCCACCCTCTCGGTCTGCCAGGCAACAGCCTTTGTTGCATTTTTCAAACATGAAGTGGGAGTGGAATAAGACTTTGGTAGGGGGTCACTTGCTCTTTAAATGTATAAATTAAAATGCATCTGCACCTCTGCTTTTTTCTTCTTGCGGTAGTGTTTGCAGCGATGTTTACGCGTGTTGTATTTGGCTAGTTGATACTCGCTGAACTCCTTGAACTTGTCGGTCATCGCCTTCTTCAGACACGCTGGCAGAGAGCTGCTGAAACACTGGAAGAGGTGAAATCGTAAAAGTTTATAGAAAGCTGAAAACTGAAGATCCTTACTGCAAATAACACACCAAGACTTACCGTACTGTAGATTCTGACTACTTCCAGCCAGTCGGAGGGCAGCTGCACAGCTGAACAGAAATATCTGCGGACATGCTGCTTGGTGGAAGGCAAACTGGCAGCCAGAGCCAACATGAAGTTAGCGGTGATCCGGATGTTTAACTCCTGTCTGGTGTAAACTGCCACCTGGATGGGAACACAGAAAACTAAATTATGATTTACTGCAAATGAGCAGGCAAAAAGAAAGCACTTGATCATCACGAAAAGACCGAGAAAAACACTGAACAACTTTGTATGTTCCTAAATTTCCAGGTATTTATTTCAGCACAAATAAGAGTCTCTCCCTGTTCAAACAAATTATGAAAAATGCCAGAAACATCTATAAAACTGTACAAGTTGGTGCTTTTAAAGGTGTTTCGCGTTACAATATAAGAGAAAAGTGAGAATCGCTTCAGTTTTTAAATGGAAAATAGGATTAAAAAGACATTTTGTAACTAACCCTAAAATGACATCTTCTTTTGCTTGTATTTTAATTTGGCACAACTTGCCTTTATTTATAATCAGTTTTAATTAACTTCTTGTTTGAATGAAATGCTTTTATTTTGAAGGGTCTGTTTCCTGTTTTAACAGTTAATGCAAGCTAGCTTAACAGCTATAAAAACAACCAAAGCAGCTTAGACGGAGATCTAATGGATTTTGTTATTAGCAGCCCCCTTGATAGAGGCACAAGATAAATTTATTATCTTAATGTACTTATGTTTTAAATATTTTTGTTATAAAATGTTTAGATCCAAATGCATTGATTTATCTTATAAAGCTAAGGAAATTGTAATTTACGCTGTACGTTGTAAACTGTTGTAAACTGTTAATAACAGTTGTATTGATGTAAGAGTGTGGATCTATTTACATGGGGTTTTTTGTACACATCTCCAGCTCTTACGGTGAAATTGAGGGTCATCGTCATTAAATTCAAAACTTCGTCAGTGAAGTGTCATCCTTCATTCGGGGGGGTATGCTACACATTTCTAAATCTGTAAAAGGCAAAAATTCAAGCATCCATAAAACTTCTATTTCAGTCTTTTTGCTAAATAAATCTTCCCCGTGTTGTGCGGTTGAGACTAGGAATGTCCCGATACAACTTTTTCACTTCCAATACGATACAGTTATCGCAGCCTTCAGTATTGACCGATACAAATCTGATACGATATCAGCACAAATCATACATACTTTACCTATTTCATAGTGTGGAATATATGAAAGGCTTGATCAAGTGATATTACTCAATCGGAGAACAAGAGCCAATAACAGTAAGTATGAAACAGTAGAAGTAATCACATTGGAAGGGAAGGTCATAGAGGAGGTCCATCAATACAAATACCTTGGAGTCTTAAAAGATAACTCCCTTACCTTAAAATCACACATAGACAAACTAGTGAGGAAATTAAAACTTGAGTTTTTACTTCCGAAACAAGCAGTGTTTTTATTTTGAAGCAAAAAGGCAACAGCCCCTTTTTTTATCTGTATTAGATTACGGTGATATTGTATATATGAAAGCTTCCCTTACTGTACTACAAAAGTTGGACTCAGTTTACCATGCCTCTCTGAGATTCAATACCAACTGTAGAGTCGCTACACACTACTCTGAATTATATTCATGAGTGAAATGGCTGTCACTGGCCACTAGAAGACAAAATTGTTGGTATGTTTTTGTTTACAAAGCAATGCTTGGAATATTACCTCCTTATATTTGCACATTAATCACATGGAAAAGTGTTCATTCTCATTCTTTAAGGTCCAATGATCTGTAGCTGCCAGCTGAGCAGCTGATGGCAATGACCCTTAATTGGCTCACAGAATTTATATAAGCCACACCCTTCCAGAGGAAACTGTTTGGGTTAATCTGTTTGTGGAGAAGTTAACACTGTTTGAAGTATTGAAATTAGGTCTTAAGCCTAAAGTCACCTCAGCTGCACATTGCCGACTGCATCCCCACGTAAGTTTTGCTGTATTGACGCTTTTGTTTGGGTTATTAGTTTGACACTATAGTCATTGTTTGTTTTTCTTGTTCTTGTCCATCACCTAGTCAAATCTACAGATAAAGCAGCTTTGAGGAATTATTGTTTTGTTTAGCACCCTTGGCCAGCGGAGCAAGTAAATGTGAGAATGTAATCTATTTCTGTTATGACATCAAAGCTGTGTTCACCTTTTTATTTACGCTTCTGTATATCTCTAAACAGTTTTCACGGTGCAACTCGGAGTGAAGTCCAAGGCATTTGGACCAGAGAAACAAATAAAAGTTTATGCACCAGTCGAGGCTCTCCGTTCATTTTCTTCATGGTGCCAGGGGCAGCTACAGTGAAAACTTGTCCAGTGTCCTGTGGAAAGCCTCTCATCGTCCAGCTTCTGGGAGGACCTGTTGACACAGCAGCTCGAGGCGGAAGCAGCTTGGTGCAGAATCACCATAATTGCCCCTCTTTTCTTCCTTCTTAAAGGCTTCACAAACTGTGAGTAAAGGAGTTTTGTCATGAACCAGGCTTGGAGTTGGAGTTAAAACCAAAGGTAAAGGTTTTCTGAATGGACAAACAACCTCTCAGAACAAGCTCAAGAGAACGCAAGCTAACTGAAAAGGGTAAAGAAATGCAAGAGCAACAAAATAAGAAATTTCATAAAGCCTTTTGTAAGGCATATGACACTTGGAGACAGTCTGCTAGAGAAACAAGGACAAAGCTAAAAACTTTCTGTACAACTGAGGAGCTTGATGAACTGCAGAATAATATCAAAACTAAACGGACTCTAGTGCACAACACGTATAAGTCTCTTTGTCAAGGTAATGCCACTAACTCAGATGTTGTCAAAAAAATGGATGCTTGTATTGCTTTGTCTGCAGAAACATGTGATTTGATAAGCAAACGTTTAGAGGAAGTGTATACAGTCTTTAACAACCACCTGGAGAAGGAACGTGTGAGAATGGCATTAAGTAAAAAGGAGTATGGCTCTATTCTTGGGACAACAGAAACAGGAACTGTAGTCTCAGACTGTAAGGAAAGCAGAGTATCTTGTGCAACCTGTGGCTCAAAATCATCTAACCGAGCTGATGCTGAGGCCGAATTAGCTGCTAAATTAGCCCAAGCAAAGGCATTAGAGCAAATTCAAGAACAACAATTTAAGTTGTCTAAACTAAAAGCTGAATGGAAAATTATGGAGGCAGAAATGGCTGTCAAAGTTGAAGAAGAAAACACCAAATTACAGCAAATGCAAGCAGCAAAGGAGATAGAGGTGGCAGCAGCCAGAGTTAAGGCCTACGACCACCATGAAGGAAGTTGGGATTTGCCTTATGAAGAGGCCAGCCTTCAAGAGTCTCATATTTCTCTCAACCCACATGCTGTGTCTTACCAACCTGTTAAGGTAAAGCATGAGGTATCCAATCTAGGTAATGAACTTTCCAACTTACTTGTTCTAAATCGGTTACCTGTACCAGAAACACCAGTTTTTTCAGGAGATCCTTTAAAGTTCATTGAGTGGAAAATGTGTTTCATGGCGTTAGTAGACTCAAGAGCTCTCCCCACGTGTGAAAAAATGTTGTTTCTAAAGAGTTATGTTGCAGGAGAAGCACGTAAGGCTGTAGAAGGGTTTTTCTACAGAGATTCTGAAGACTCATATAAGGGAGCCTGGAATATGTTGCAAGATAGATATGGTAGTCCATTTGTCATCCAGAGAGCTTTCAGAGAAAAACTGAGGAAATGGCCTAAGGTAGCTGCTAATGATCCCTGTGCTCTCAGAGAATTTACAGATTTTCTTAAAGGTTGCGATGAAGCCATTCCCCATGTCAAAGGCTTATCCATACTGAATGACTGTGAGGAGAACCATAAGCTCCTCCAGAAACTACCAGAACATATTGTACAGCGATGGAGTCGTATTGTTGTAGATGAACTGGACAAATGTCAACAGTATCCTTCATTTTCCCATTTTGTAGAGTTTCTTCAGAAAGAGGCTAGAATAGCTTGTAACCCTATTGCTTCCCCCATTTATGTTTAGCACAAAATGTCAAGAGGAGAGGTATCCTCCAAGAACCAAAGTGTTTCATACCGCAACTCTGTCGAGTCCACCAGCTGCAAGGGATGCATCTCAGACATTTAAGCCAAGAAACCCTTGTTTAGTCTGCACAGATGAGTTGCATGGTGTTGCAGAGTGTCCAGCCTTTAAGGCAAAACCCATAGATGAAAGGAAAGCTATCAAAAACCAGTATTTTCTTTGCTTTGGTTGTTTAAAGAAGGGACACACTATCAAAAACTGTAGAAGGAGACTTGTATGTAGTATATGCAACAAATATCACCCAACATGTATGCACACGACGAGTAATAAGGAAGCAACACCAAGGTTGAACACAAAGGTATCTATGGAGCCAGTAAAGGATGAGGTACATCGTGTTATGTCTCACACTCTGACACAGCGCTCTTCTGCTACCTCAAGCATTGTTCCAGTTTTTGTATCTGCAGCAACAGAACCAGAAAGGGAGATCCTCACTTATGCCTTACTTGACACTCAGAGTGATTCCAGTTTCATTTTGGGTGATTTGATGTCTAAATTAAATGTTCAATTCTCAACCAGTACAGCTCAAGCTTAGCACAATGACATCTATAGACACAATGGTGGCAAATAAAACCACTGAGGACCTACAGGTTCGTGGTTTTAATCTCTCAACATCAGTCAAACTACCAAAGGTCTACACAAGGGATTTCATTCCGGTGGATAAATCTCACATACCGACTAAGCACACGGCTCTTAAATGGCCACATCTTGAACAGGTGGCAAACAAGTTGCAACCACTGCAGGACTGTGAAGTTGGGCTGTTGATAAGATATGACTGTTCATCTGCTTTATTACACTTAGAAGTAATCAGTGGGTCAGAAAATGAACCCTTTGCCCAAAGAACTGCACTTGGATGGAGCATAATAGGATCCACAAACCCTTCTATAGACAGACAGGGAAATCAGAGTATTGTCCATCGAGTGGCAGTTAAGGAAGTCCTAAACCCCCCCGTTCCAGAGGTGTTGAAGGCCTTAGAAAAGGACTTCAATGATAAAACCTATCATTATGAAAAGGTTTCTCAAGACGACGTTAATTTTGCTCAGTTTCTCTCAGTTAACATCACTCAGAAGGACAGTGGACACTACCAGATGCCCCTGCCCTTTAAAGGTACAGGGCCACCTGCCCTCCCCAACAACAAAAGGTTAGCCATCATTCGTTTGCAACATCTAAAGAAACGTTTAAGATCTAACGAACATTACCGTGAGATATACACGACCTTCATGGATGCAGCCATCAGGAATGGTGTTGCAGAACCTGCTCCTCCTATTCAGGATGGTGAGACGGTGTGGTACATCCCACATCATGGTGTATATCATCCTAAGAAGCCTACCAAGCTTAGAGTAGTTTTTGACTGTTTTGACTGATTTCAAGGCATGTCTCTTAACGATACCTTAATGACAGGTCCGGATTTGATAAATTCTCTGTTTGGAGTTCTCTGCCACTTCAGAAAGGAAGATGTGGCAGTTACTTGTGACATTGAAGCCATGTTTAATCAGTTTTATGTACCACCAGATCTCAGAAACTACCTTAGGTTCTTATGGTGGGAGGGAGGCCAGTTAGAGACAGAGCCAAAAGAGTACTGAATGGCAGTTCACCTTTTTGGGGCTGGCTCATCACCAGGATGTGCAAACTTTGGCCTAAAATATCTGTCTCAGCAACACAAAGTCGAATACCCTTTGGCATCTGATTTTATCGAGAACCATTTTTATGTTGACGATGGTCTGATTAGCATTAAATTTGTTTCAGAAGCAGCAGACATCCTGTCAACACGCTGGCTTTTAGGTCCACATTTTCTATGGCAGCCAGTCATAGAACTAAGACCATTACTACAAACTGGTATTTCTTTTTGAGAGCGATACCTGATTCCTTGGAATGTGTCATTTTCTGATATCTTCGAAAACCTATCTGAAAGTTATATGTGATCAGATATGATTTTGGTGGGAGTGTAGCTGCCAGCTGAGCAGCTGATGGCAATGACCCTTAATTGGCTCACAGAATTTATATAAGCCACACCCTTCCAGAGGAAACTGTTTGGGTTAATCTGTTTGTAGAGAAGTTAACACTGTTTGAAGTATTGAAATTAGGTCTTAAGCCTAAAGTCACCTCAGCTGCACATTGCCGACTGCATCCCCACGTAAGTTTTGCTGTATTGATGCTTTTGTTTGGGTTATTAGTTTGACACTATAGTCATTGTTTGTTTTTCTTGTTCTTGTCCATCACCTAGTCAAATCTACAGATAAAGCAGCTTTGAGGAATTATTGTTGTGTTTAGCACCCTTGGCCAGCGGAGCAAGTAAATGTGAGAATGTAATCTATTTCTGTTATGACATCAAAGCTGTGTTCACCTTTTATTTACGCTTCTGTATATCTCTAAACAGTTTTCACGGTGCAACTCTGAGTGAAGTCCAAGGCATTTGGACCAGAGAAACAAATAAAAGTTTATGCACCAGTCGAGGCTCTCCGTTCATTTTCTTCATGGTGCCAGGGGCAGCTACAGATCAATTGCTGCTCTGTCTCGTTTGTACGAACAGAGTTAGGAAAGAAAGCTTTTGTTTATTCTGCCCCCTCTGCCTGGAACCAGCTGCAGAAAAACTGGAAATTAACTGAACTGGATTCACTACATGCCTTCAAAAGCAAGCTGAAAGCCTCAGAGACTGCATCAGTAATTTGTAACTGCTTTGAATGAATGTATTGTCTTATTGTTTTTATGTTGTAACCGTATGGAATTTTGCTGCGTCTTGGCCAGGACGTCCTTAGTAAAAGAGGTTTTTAATCTCAATGCTTTTTTTTTATCCTGATTAAATAAAGGTAAAATAAAAAAAATAATAAATATAATTTTTCTTAACCATTGGTTGCAAAAATGTGAACCTTAACAGACTGTTTATATCGGAGACTTTTGATGCCGTCTGATTTGATCCGATACACTGTTTTTGGGCCAATATCGAATTACTTCTGATATCTGAATGAGACATCGCTAGTTGAGACGCTTCTATATGAACTACTATTATGGGTCATTTTACAAGTTTTAAACAGCAATGTAATAGCACAAACAAAAATAATCAATTTGCACTTAATAGCTCCCTAGATGCTAAAAGATGCAGAATAACCTTTAGAAGATAGAATGTCATAATAGAAAATGATATTAAACATGTATTATTTTTTATTAGGAACAGAGTTTTGACAGGGTTTATTATTTCCAGAAAAAAGTTTAATTATAGCCTGATTAATCATTTCTAATGTTTGCTTGACTATCACAATAATATCTACTCTTGGAATACATTAACCAGATTATGGAAAATTATTCTAACATTTGTAGCAAATAAATAAAAGTTTTCAAACTTCCTGACTGATGTCCCTCCTGCTGACACCAGCCAAAGCTAACACACACACACACACCTTGAGAAGAAACTGTGGATCACAGTCAGAAATATCTTTGGCCAGTTTTGTGATGGTGGTCCAAACACTGTCCTCCGAGTCCCATCCCTGCTGGCCCGGAGCTTTGCTCGTATGAACAAGAGAGCAACACACGGCATTCAGCAGGAAATACTGAAAACACAAAAAAACAAAAACATTTTAATCAAAGCTCAGGGTTAAACGCTAAACCTAAAAGCAGCTATTATCTTCTTACTGTTTACAGTTTCACCTTTTTTTCTTTCAGCTTCTCTTCTGCTATTTTGTTTTCTCGTTCAATTTCACCAAATTCATCTTGTCTCAGGATCACAGAGTCATCAAGCTGTAGGTTGTTCATCTCAGTTTCTACAACAGGTAACTGCATATGGTCCTCAGCATCAGAATCAGCCTTCTCTTCCTCCTTTTCATCCTCAGACAGCACATCGCCAGGCCGCTGCTGACGTTAAAAACAATAATACATGCAATAAGTGACAATTAATATGCTAACAAATAAAAGAACTAGTTTCCAACTCATAGGACTCCGTAAACAGACCATGCTTGTTCCTTCAAAAGAGGACTCCATCTCTTCAGATATTTCCTCCATGTTACAATCTCCTCCATTGTCCCCTTTTTGTTCTCCAGCCAGATCATGATGAAGAAAGGAAGGAGGGTGAGCAAAGTGATTGCTTAGAAGATAACTGGACAGGGAGGTGGACAGCAAAGACTGACTATGGACAGGTGAGGTCAAAGAGAACGAAGGGCTAGGGGAATCAGTCTTCAGGAGCTTATTTTGGGTGTTGAGGAGTGGTGAGGCAGTAGAAGCAAAGGAAGAGGTGGCGAGAAGAGAAGATGAGGTGGAGGAGAGACCAGAGGGCTGGAGAGAGGAAACTGAAGACGAATGAGTAGAGAAGTCCTCAAGGAAAGATTGGGGCTTTGTTGAGAAGGACTGAGCTAAATACTTATTCTCCAATGGAAGACAATGGTTGGAGGACAAGCTTCTTCCACTTGTGGACGGCTGCTGTGGCTCTCCTGAAGCCATATTTGTTTGCAGCAAAGTCAGCGCCCTCATCCCTGCAGGTAGAGAGATAAACCAGAAGGTCAAAGGTCACTGCAAATTAGAACCTCCCTTTCAAAGCCCATTTAGCCATGGACAGCACTAATATGACTAGCTAAGTAGCATTCTTATGGCTATTTGAACAAGCAGTGTTCATTGTTGTTAAGGGCGTGTTGTTAAGGGTGTGTTGTGAAATACAACCTTTGACACTAAACGCTCATAAAAATAATGTGACCCAACAGGACAAAGATGGTAGTTAAGTTCTAAACAGCAATTCACAATAATTAGAATACACAGAATGGGCAATACAAAAAGAAAAATTTGACAATCAGCACCTGAATAAAATAAATACAAATTGCAGGTTGGTCCAGACCTGAAATAAAACGGGTTTTGGGGTCTGATTTTAATGTCAAAGCTACTTAACTACTAAAAGCTGGATAAATAAACGAGAAATATGAATTACGTTGCTCAAATTATCAGAAGAGGAACTAATAATCAACGCAGGTGAGGATTTCACTACTAGCTTCCTTAGCAATGGCTGAGTTTGCATAGGCGTGGCGATTAGCTCTGATGAACATCCACTTTAAAAGCGAAAAACTCACCTCAAACCCCACAAAGTAGTGATGTTACCTGTGACACGCAGGATTCGAAGCTTGTATCACCAAAACGAACCACCGCAGAGCAAAGCACTGTGTCGGAGCTTGATTTGTTTACTGAAAGTCACGTGACCAATGAGCAACGACGCTTCGATTCACCCTTCCACCCACGTGACCGCTTTTTAAAGCAACGCAAACCGAGAGGCGCAGGGTTATGGCAAGCCAAATAAGCATTTTTTCTGGTATCAGGATATCAGCCAGAATTGTGAGAGGGTGCTCGCTGCAGAACCACAAAGGCGGAGCTGCACCATAAGGTGGAGCTGCACCAGAGTCAGCCCCGCCCATTCACGCAAACTCAGCCTAGCCCACTGACTTCCGTTTGTTTTCCACTTTATCGCAAACTGACCTGACCCACATGAATTACGGCTGTTACTAGTTTACAGTCGTTAATGCTATGTTCTATGCTCCAATTAAACAAGATAAATATAACTTGCTACATGACAAAACCTGCATATATCTCGAAATGAAAAGATTTCTTTTAGCGAATATCTGCCCACAGCAGATCTAACAAAATTGGTGTACAACAGCATATCAGTCTATTGATTGAGCTCTGGTAGTCTAGTGGCAAGATCTTGTGAGTTAATTTTTGCTTTCCCCTCAGCTGATGCTGGTTCGATTCTCGGTGGGGTCGTCAGCAGTCTATTTAGCCAGTTGAAACATTTAATTTGTTTATATTTTAGTTGTAATGTTTATTTTTAGCAAAATATTTATGTCTCTAAAAGTTCTTTGAATTTGGTCGTTCCTAAACAGCATTTTAGTTGAAACTCTGCTCACAAATGGACTCACACTGGCTAAATAAACGAATAAATAAATTAAAAAAACACATTAGTCATTATATGTTAAACGGTATACCAGTAAATTGTTGTAAACATAGTACTGGCAAGTGTAGCTAGAAATGAAGAAAAGAGGTTGTAGACTACCTAAAACTTCCACTGTTGGGAGGCGAACCTGCGCAAACCTGCATGTCATCCTGACTCCTTAACCACTACTCCATCACACCTAACATAAATTATGTGGCGTTACATGTAATTGTGCTTTCCAGAATGTCTCGGAGATGGGTTGTATGGTTTATTGGCGGTGTCTCAGTAGAAGTCATTTCAGAAATAATTTGTCAGAAAATTCACAGAATATCCAGATTTGAGAACCAAGACCAGAGCCGCTTCGGGGGAGGAGACCAAATTGAAGCTGAGATGGGAGGAAAATGTATGAGTGAGGCTAAAAATGGCTTTGGCGTGTTTCTTATGAGGAAATGACAATATAACATGATTAAAAGTTCCAAAAGTTAGATTTTTAATTATATGGAAACTTTACAAAAACTGCTCAATTAACTTCTCATCTCCGTCCTCAATCTTGCATTTTTTTAGCTATAACACCCTCTTTGGTTCCAGAATGCTATCAAGTCTGACAAATGGAAGGAATTGTACTGACTCTGATGGAATGGGTGGGGCTGATTCTGGAATGGGCGGGGCTGACTCTGGTGCAGCTCCACCTTCTGGTGCAGCTCCACCTTTGTGGTTCTGCAGCGAGCACCACTTGAGAATTGTCATGAACATGTAAGCCATTTCTGTCCACTAGTTAACTAGTTAGCCATGTTTGTGTCAACTAGTTAAATAGCGACAGCCTAAATGTCAACTAGTTAACTAGTAAGGCCTAAATTCTCTCTAGTTAACTAGTTAAAATGTTTCATATCTTACTAGTTAACTAGTATTGCTCAGTGTGTTCACTAGTTAACTAGCTTGCATTTATGTCTACCACAAGTTAACTAGTGTGCACATTTTGACCCTCACTAGTTAACTAGTGAGATAAATACCTTCAAATAGCTGACTGGTATGCATTTCTGCTTTTACTAGTTAACTAGTGAGCAGTTTTTGTGTCAACTAGATAACTACTGAAGCCTAAATGTGTTCACTAGTTAACTAGTGCACATTTCTGCTGTCACTAGTTAACTAGTGGGCACATTTTCACCCTCGATATTTAACTAGTTGACACAAACATGGCTAACTAGTTAACTAGTGGACAGAAATGGCTTACATGTTCATGACAATTCTGGCTGATATCTTGAGATCAGAATAAACGCTCATTTGGCTTGCCAAAACGGTTTGTATGACCTGAGATTGACGGTTCAGGATTCAGTATTCAGTGATTAAACACCGAGTCGCAAAAAATGGATCCTGTAGCAAAAAGAGGGCGTTCTGAGATGTGGGAATGTTTCAGTTTAATCTCTCCAAATAAGGTTTGAAAATGTATTTGGTCTAGTCTGGTAAATTACCTTTGTAGTAGTAATACTTGGTGCATATTGTAGGGCTATATCTTTTAGACCGTCTGTCATTTTCCTTTAATTAAATTAAAATCTAGTTTGGTATGATTTTTCTTCTTTTATTGGTAATTAATATAATAGTTGATGAGCTTTTCAGTTTGGTTGTACGTGTAATGGAATTTAGTATGCCCTATCCTTATGTGAATTTTCTAATCTTCATTTTGTTACTCTATTTCTAAAAAAGATACATAAATTGAGCTAATTATTCCTGCCTAATAATCCAATAGAAATGTGAAAAGTAAAATATTTGAATATGTAGAGAATGTTAATATGTGTAAATTAGATATATTTCATCACGTATCCCATAAAAATAAACATTGTTTCATTTCAAGTATTTACACCAAGAAAAGCAATTTTAGTATATTTAATGTAATGTTCAAATTCAAGATACTTTTATGATATGATCCTGAGGAAGCTTTTTAATGCTTTATTTGTCCATAAAGTTCAATACACCATTCATTTTCAGTAGAATTGGCTGACAATACAATGAAATACAAACATTTACCAGCAGATGTCCTCACAGAGTTTTGAAGCATCGAACCTTGAACCTTTTTTCAATACAATTGGATTGTAAAGCTTTGTTGGTTCAAAAGGCTTCACATCATCATCACTACCACAAAGTTCGATGATCAACTCGGAACAAACGTGAGTGCAGATGTGTGATATTACAGCTCAGCGTCCTGCATTACTTCCATCTGTCAGAGAAGCTAAGTAACTGCAGATGTCCAGTAAGTGACGTCATGCCAACAGATGCTAGCTGTCAGCCACACAGCACTGATTGGACAAGCTTTTCTACCGTAATAACAGAAATAAATGTGCCTTCCTGAAACGAATTAATTGCGACACCGAATAAACTCTGATATAAAAAAAAGAAAACAGTACGTTAAAAATATTACTATGTCAAAACGATAAAGTATTTAAATGTATATACGGTAACACAAATATAAAAGTATCTAACTTTTTAAAGTACAAACTCATTTTGACAATACCACAGCGGTTTGTTAGTGTATGTCAAGCCGATTTATCATTTAATAAATGAAAAGCCTGTTTGAAAGGGATTTGTTAAATCTTTTTGTGGTGTGTTCGACTTTTAACCTCAAATGTGCACATTATTTTTTTTTACATTTTCACCTCCCAACGAGAAAATAAAAACCATGTGTTCAATACTTGTGCAATTCCAGATGTATGTGGCATAGTTCTCTGGAAACACATTTCCTTTTTTATTTGTTTTTTTTTTTAGTGGTTGGATGTTACAATACTAGCTTACTGCGTATGTGCGTTTACCTGAACTTTTGTTGTTATTTTTTTTCTTCCTTTTCTCTACATGCATGTGCAGCTGTAACAAGTGAATTTCCCCACTGGAATTAATATAATCTATTCTATTTTATTATTTTCTATTCTATTCAAATCTAATTCATTTGAATTAAAAGTAACTCACATTTCAATAGAAAGAAAGAAAGAAAGAAAGAAAGAAAGAAAGAAAGAAAGAAAGAAAGAAAGAAAGACAGAAAGACAGACAGAAAACAATCTTTTATGTAGCTCTGGACATAGCAAGGGAAATAAATAGCACTGCAATTACAAATTTTGGAGAAAAAAAAGATTGTTTGGTTACTGTAGCTTTTTCTGTAGCATCATTTCTGAATATTTTGTAGCCTAAAATTAAAATTATGAAATTGCATTGTTTTAAACAGCTAAAATTAAAATTCAGCAATGAAAAGTAGGTCTAACAGGGAAAAAAATTGATTTCCTCTTCAGGTAATGCAGAGCAGGGTGCCTGCCAGGGATTTGGGGCCCCATGAAAAATTATTTCTGTAAATTTCGAATTGTTAAAATGATAGGGACGTGTGGTTGATTATTTGTTACAACGGTACTCCATACTCAAAGAGGCTCGAAGAGGAACTGAAAATGCTTTATTTCCGCTGCAGCGACGACGACGGGCACGTCAAAAATAAAAGAAAATGTGGTTTGTGAGGACAATCTGAGGCCAGAGGAAAAGAGTCTACCTACCGTTATTATCTTCAGAAAGTTCGTTAGCAAGCAGTGTGTTTATTTGAAGTCTTCAGCTGGCTATCTAACGGTTTAAGGGTCGTTTTGAGGTTAACGCGTCCCCTTGTATTTTGATTTAGCTGCTAGCATCCGTTAAAGATGGGAACAAGAGCAAGTCGTCTACAGGAAGACCCGCTGCCTTCACCTTTCGGAAAAGAGGGGACAAAACGAGATTCCTATCGACGAGCTCACTGTGCAAGGCCCACCAGTCTCGTTGTTGACTTTTCGGTTAGTTTCGAAGAAACTGAGGCCAACCGGAGCCGATCTGAGGAGGGTAGCGACTCGGACTTGGGGCTGCATGGGGCAAGCGCCGACGGCAGCCCCGCAGACCACCACAGCTTACCCTCCAGCATGAGCCAGGCGTCACCCGCAAGCGATAACAACAGCGAGGGGAAACCCGAGGAGGACGATAACGCAAGCCCGGAGGCTCCGGTGGAAGCGGAACGCCAACACGGGGAGGAGACAGGCCGCACACCTCACCGCACTTTTTCCGAGCGGATCCCCGGGAATCGACACTCTTCGGCCCGCAGCGTTGGTGCAAGATCCGCCCGGGTCCGGAGCACACATTCGCGGCCGGTGTCAGAAGCTTGGATCGGCCTTTACCGTGTTAACAACCGACATGGCAGTAAGTAACGCCGTTACAAACCACATCTGAACTGTTTATGAGTAGATGTTTCATTATTTCTACCCTCTGATATAACTACAATCACTTCATTACGTGTTTGAGTTTTGTAGCTAAATGTAAACCATAAGAATCCGTTTGCTACTAAAACATGACTGAAAAATTAAAGCTAAACAAAGAGTATTTACACACAAATATTAATTTTATCGCACTGAGTGCTTATGGTGTTTTATTGAAAATAAGTCATACACAATGGCCTCTGTCAAGAAAGAACTACATTAAATTTCTCCATTTGCATCCCTGAAATCAACTCAGTCTCAAATGAAAATGGATTAATTTAGGCATTTACATTCCTGAACAGATACTCTCTTTTCCCGTGCTTGCATGCTGACTTAAAACCATCAGAGACCCCATTGTCTGAAGCAGAGCAGTGGCGTAAAACTATAACTGGCGACATAGATGCTCTTTCACGTCCTTGGACCTCATGACAGTGGTTTGTCAGTGAGAAATCTCCAGCATTGTGCAAGGCTAAAAACATTAACAAGCAAGCCAACCGTCTGAATGTTTACGAAAACAGACCCTGATCTTTGTAAAAAAGCGACCGTGCATGCTGTTTGTGTTGGCTAATCCGATGCAGGCAGATGTTGTGACTAAAAACATGGCATTTTGAGCCAAAGCCAGTGTGGTGGGATTCCAAGGCCAGCCCTCTAGCAAGAGTTAGGAACTGGGTCACAACTTCACATGCTGGCGTTGGCAGAAGCTCATGCATGGAGGAGGAGGGGGGATGTAGGGCAGCAAGGCAGTGTTTCTGCCTGACTGTCACATCCATGAATAGTTCAGTGATGGTTGTCCCTGAGGCAGCCTGAGTCACCGTTTTTACTGATGTGCACCGTCAAATGGAGCAATTTCAGCTTAACTCGAGGTGACATCATTCATGCTATCTCATGCATCTACGCTGACTGGCTGCTCCTCACTGGGCCAAACGCAGCACATGTGCTCAACACGGTGAGCATCGTCTTTCATTTTTGTCTTTTTGCGTTTGACACTAATCTCATCTCTGCCCTCTACAGATATCCGCTGTCCTTTCTGCTCAAAGCCTTTCCCCGGCGGTCGGATCGAGGATCACCTGTTGAGCTGCCTCACGTCTCCTCCCCTACCTTACAACAGTGAGCGCCGTGTCACAAAATGCTCTGGCAGCTGTCTGTTTTATTTTAACGGCTGTTGACGCTCACTGTTGCTCAATGTTTACAGCGGACGTGCTCAGTAAAGACAGCGGGGAGTGCTCTATCTGTTTGGAGGATCTGGTTCAGGGGGAGACTATCGCCAGGCTGGCTTGCCTCTGTGTCTACCATAAGAGGTCAACAGAATTTCACTGATGCGTTCATTGTTTGTTTCCAGATTTAGGGTAAAAATGTAGCGGCCGAGCATTCGAAAACTAAAATAATCAGTTTTGTTGTGTTTCAGCACAAAACAAAGTCTTTACCAGTGATATTCAATTCAACTCAAAGATACTTTATTAATCCCAGAGAGAAATTAGAGTTGAATAGCTCTGGGTGGGTTGCACAAATGTGTTCCAATCACTTTAACAGTTTAATTTCCATATGGCTGTAAATATTTGCCTGTAAGGTCTTTTAACAACTGTGAAAATATTATTATAACCAGACATGGACTTAAAACGCTTTAAAGGGAAAATAAATAGTTGTGAACATGCACATGTTTCAGCCCAGTTGCAGTTAAACACCCTTGATAATTAACACTTGGTTTCTTCTTCACAAGTCACCGGATTGACGTGACTTTAGTGGAGTCGGGGATTACCTCAGGTATTACCTCAACCGTCACAGGGAAGTTCCTACCTGCCACGCTTTCACCACCAAAGTTATGACATAATTACATGGTCGGAGCAAGCAGATACAAGCGCAGCTCTATCTGGAAATCCACTTAATTTCCTCATACTGTAGCACAGCAGAGGCGATTGGAATTTTATCCGCGACTAAACACATGACTGGAGTTCTCCGAGGACCTAGTTATGACGGTTTTGTTTTGTTCCACAGCTGTGTAGGTGTGGCTGTTGGACGGACGTTTTAATCCGCCCTTCAGGAGTGAGTGAGATTTGGAAAAAAGAAAAGGAAACATCTGAAAACGATCAGAAGCCTTGTCTAACAATAAAATCCACACTTTACTGGAAAGCTGTGATGAATTATTCATCCTAATATTAATCATTAGGTGTATTTTGGCCTCTAAAATAAGTTAAACTCGGTCACATCTTGCATCTGATTCCTAAAGAGCCAACTAGGCGTTCATTCCTAACTAAAGAGATTATAAGAATTGTCTCACATATGAAGTGGGAAACCATCACAGTTTGACATGAGTTCATCAGAGGGTGTTGTCAGTGTTTTTCCATCTGAATCATCTCCGTCTCCCTGCAGCTGCATTGATTCCTGGTCCAAGGTGAAGCCCTGCTGCCCCGAACATCCCTTTGATTGACTCGTAGGTCGCTCGTTTTCAGCCCAGTGACCGACTCGACTCAGGTATGTGCATGTCTCATTTGTGAATGATCAATGGCATCAGCCACAGCACTGGACACAAATTTTATTTTCTGTAAATGAGTAATTTGTATTCGATGTGCCCACACAAACGAGGAAATCACCTGATTCGTTTAATCTGTGGAATTTGCTAGTTTCATGCAGATTCTGGGGCATAATTTTCATTCAAAATGTAGCAGAGATTGTGCTAATACTGGCTTTTTGGCATGCTTTCATTGAATGAAACAAATTAACATCCTGTGAGCAGCAGCAGTTGAAGCAAACTACATTTTGAAGAAACAATTCAAAAGTCCAACTTCTTTTCTTCAGGCTCCCCCCAAGAGTCACAGAATATGATGGTCGCAGAAAAGGGTACAACACCGGAGGCGACATATACTGTCAAACAACCATAACATTGTCATACCTTTTTTGTGCTATAATTCCACATGTAACACATCTCCATAGCCGTACAACAATTAAATATGCTAGCTAATTTAGTGTGACGGTTTTATGGTGAAAAACCTGGTTTGTTCATAAAGATCAAGTCACCCCCAAATCAACTTTTTTTTTTCCTGATAAACTACATAGATGCATGTCTAATCGTGCTGCAGACACGTGTAGTCAACAGTTTTGCACTTTAGTGCATTTTAGTTAAAATTTACATTTTCTGCCTAAAACTGTCAGTGTTGTCAGGTAAAAGCTCTGCACTGCATTTGAATTTAAATCTGTCATCGCTATTAGCTAAGAGGTACCCTAGAACGGTAGCTGGTACCATATGATGTCACAATGTCATTGAGAGCCTGTGTGTGTATTTGTTAGCAGCTCTGTCCTCTGTTTGCTAGGCAACAGCATTTGTTGCATTTTTCAAACAGGAAGTGGGAGTGGAGTAATACTCTGGTAGGGGGTGACTTGCTCTTTAAGTTCAAAACACAGCAGCTTAGCGTCACCAACAATCTGGGAAAACCGGTCCAAACTTCCAGAACCCACCCTAAACTTTCTCCCATTCACTTCAGTTTTGTCTTTGGGACAGCATTGTTAAACACTGCTATTTATCTCTATTGTGTTTGTTTTTAATCTGATTCTGCTATGTGTTGCTTATGATATGGGTGGATGTTTTATTATCAACGATGAGCTAATTATGAATTTATTGTCATTTTTGTCATTGATTGGTAATGTATTAACTTGGCTCCTCCCCCTGCTTGTTTGACTAATGAAGAACACGTTTTTTGTTTAACTGACCAGCCAACACCTGTGTGTGTGTATATAGATCTCAGAAAACGGTGAACTGTAACTCTGAAGAAGACCTAATCTGTCGAAATGTCAGTTCTGTTTGTTTTGCACCTATTAAAGTGCTGAGGACCAGTTTGCTCCAGCCATACTTTATCCTCGACATTTGATGTCCCATGGGCTGTCGTAGCACCTGATGTCCTCTGGATGATGCGCGGTGTGCTCTTCTATTAGAGGACAGGCTGCGTTCATAGACAACAGGTCCATCACATAATCGGTTTCCATCAAGACTAGAACCAGACTCCAAACAGAACGTGTAAAACAACTTTCAAACAGAATGGAACATTCTGTCTTTTTCTCTAGGTGGTCCACCTCTGTTTTGCTTTCAGTTCAGTTTCTCCAAGCTGAGTTTGTGCATTTAGAGCAGTAAGCGCAGAGGAGGAGGGATGGATGATGGACAGTTTGATGGAAGGATCAGGAACGGGACATTAACTTTGTTTGGATGAGGCTTCAGGACTATAAGTTTTGGAAGCAGTTGCCATGAGCATGTGAAGAGCATTTCAAGCAATATGGCAAAAATGCTCCAGAGAACTAGCTCCTGTACCTTTAAATGATTTTACTTGCAATTGAAATTTCAATAATATGGCTAATTGTTCTTTCTTTTGTTCTTTTGTTGCAGGAGACTACGCTGAACCCCAATATATTTACAATAAAAATGTATTATTGAACAAGCAAAAGTCAATTGTCCCTGTGAGGTGTTTGAGGGGAGAATAATCCCAAGAGGAACCTGATGCTCTCTGCTTGGATCAATACTATTTAAAGTTTATCTGCCTAATGCCAACAGTAAAACCAGCTGCTCTTGTTTTAATTTGTTGTTGAGAGACTCGTTGGATCAGAAGTGCTGGCGTTACCCTGTCTCCTCTGGAACATATAAATATTATCCATGATGGAACTCCAGCAAAGATGTTAAACTCGGTGAGGGAAACGTGAGTTTTTGTGACCGGCGACTTTTGTGTAATTTCAGCCTCTGACCAGGATGGCTCATTTTTTTTATCAAGTATTGTCATACGCAATTGAATGTTTCCCTTTCTCGGCTCACCCCGACTGATCCAATCTCACTCAGAGAAGCCAAATCTGTTTCCGCGTTAGCGTTGTATGCTAGCCTGAAGGCTTGTTTGTGGTGGTGGTGGTGGGGTACTGTTACTCTGGTTTGTTGCCTGTATACATTTCTGAGGATCTTTGGTTTATTATTATTTTTTTCCTTTTTATTTAAATGGGTCAGTTTTTCCTTAAATGGCTAGTTAGTGCTGAGTTTATCGTGCTGCTACTTGGTGTTTCAGGAAGATGGGTGGTTTATTTGTTTTTTGGATCATGGTAGCATCATGTTAGCACCAACTGAAGCACTTTTTGTCCACCTTAGTATTTTTTTTCTTACTGTCTGGGATTACAGTTTGTATGTGTGTCTGTCTGTGTCCAGATGATGACTGGGGACTGAAGATGTCCTGAACATGGCTGTGTGTGTGGTGTGTGTGTGTTTGTAAATGGCTCACGTCTGCTTGGCCAAGAGCGTTTGATTGTCAACACTCGTTTCCAAAGCTGTTACATGAGGATTTCGGTACTTTAGAGTGCAGTTTGAGTTTTTGTCCCCCTCCCATTTCCAACACCCTCAGGGTCAATCAGGACTTTTCTTTTGTTTTTCTTTTGGACCAGGCCCCGAGTGACGGTTTTACCATCTGGTTGATGGAATAAAGGGACGGACGGACTGAGGGATGTATATTTGGGGCATGTTTACACCCTGTGGCATCTGCCTCCTTCCACATAACTGGAGGCTACAGACAGCTCATGGTAAATTATTACATAACCCCCCCCCCCCCCCCCCCCCCCTTATAATTTTAAAGATTTTACCTAGATTACCACACTTTTCATGATTATTGTGTTTGCCGTTTTCTCTATGCTGATTGCCTTTGAGTGACGAAGGGGCTCTTGTGTTTGTTTTTTTGGGCCTTTTGGAGCCCAACAGTGAGGCTGCCTAACGCAGATTGTGCACAGGCCAGTGGAAGGAACAAAAACATGCATTTATTTTTTTATGTTTTTTTTTTTTCTTTTAATAATCCCAGTGCTGCAGTGATAACTTTGGAGGGTTGCTTTCTGGGGTTCAGGCTCTTTGTTTTTGTTTTTCTCTTCTGGTTTTGCAGTCTGAGGTGCTACAACTCACCCGCCACAAGTGGCCAGCCCCGTGCATGTTTCTCATATTATCTATAAATATATATAAATGTATTGGAAAGAGTTAAAAATGAAAGATGCCAAAAGTCTGTCTGTGCGTTGGGAGCATTGTGTGAGAGCGTGCAGAAGACGAGGTGCATTGATCATTAGGTGTTACATTTGTTGTGGTGATAATTTATGATGTTGTATACTTTGGCTGGCGGGGATGGGGTGTTTGTTAATGCTCAGTGGAGGTTGGGTTTTCTGTTAACAAGACTATTCTAAAACTCCACATAGCACATTTACTTTGTTACCCTCTCTAAGCCGTGTGGTGCAATACCTCAGTTTTTATTTTACTTCTTTACCAGTGCTAGCTAAACCAGCTCCTCTCCAAATCGGATGGTATTTTGCATAAACATCCCACAAGTATTGCTTTTAGACCATGCAGTCCAGTGTCCACTGTGTGCTTTGATATCGACATTGGATCCGAATGTTCAAATGGTCCCACGACAGGATCTGCCCCCCCCCCCGGATATGGACAATCTGCCTCAACTCTGGTATTAAAAAGCAAATTAAATTTTATTTATTAAACTGTAAATATGTCATGCAATTCAAGAAGATGGCTCAGTCCTTGTCTGTTCAATATGCTGTTTCTAAGCTCTGATCTTTTGTATGTCTCAGAAATCGTTTTTATATGTATTTTTTACAATAAATATGTGTGAGAGATTTTGTTCCAAGTCTGTTTTTGTTAAAAAAAAAAAAGTACATTTGGTGAAGCCACATCACACGGGAAAAGCAGTGGACTGAAACAGAATATAAAAAATCAAAAGATTCAAATAAACAAATTGTCTTTTCTTTATTCAGGTTTTTAAGTGACTTTTGTTTTTATTTTTGGAGATGGTAAAAAGTTTTTTTTTCTGAATTTTAGATGCAAAACTCAAGATTCTTTTTTTTAGTCAACAAAGGATTGTAGAAAGACAAATATTCAAATTACTTTGATTTTATATGTATGCATATATATATATATATATATATATATATATATATATATATATATATATATATATATATAGCATACATATAAAATATATAACATATATATATAAATTATATATATATAAATTTATATATATATATATTGTAGAAATTTAACCAAGAGAAATTTCCCTGAAGAAGCACAAAGCAATAAATCTTACTTTTTTAAACCATGATTAGTTGTTTTATATATTCTGCTAACCTTTGTTACTTTACCGAGCTGATGTGTTTTTTAGAAGAAGAAAAAAGGATCATTTACTGTGCTTGAAGGGATCTAAGGCAAACTGGTTTTAAATGCATCCTGTTTACATCAAGTCCCACCTCTGTGGCAGATTCAGAAAACATACTTTACTAATCCCAGAGGGAAACTGATTGCTGTAGTAGCTCAGAATAATAATAATAATCAAGTCATCAAAGAGTTATTGTATATTACAATGGCTGTTGGCAGGAATGATCTCCAGTAGCGGTCAGTGTTGCAGCGAAACTGAAGAAGCCTCTGACTGAAGATAAACACCTATATAAACATCCTTTGAAAACATGCACCAGATGCACTTCTTTCAATTTGAGTTTAACTTCAAACAATTTGTTTCTCCTGTCCAAACCACCACATCTTCTCAGTAGGTGAGCCCTGCATCAGAGGTATCGGTGGTACTGAGTCACATTTTAATCAGTCGTTTCCTCTTTTGTGCTCCAAAATCAACACTGAGCTTTCGGTTGAAACCTCTAAATTTGATAAGAAATCAGTTACACAGGTAAATAAGCAGAAATAGATACTACAGCACATGATCTAAACCTGTAAAAATCCACAAATTCATTACATTTGCACAAACATGCAAACAAATCTCGAAAGAAAAGAAGGGCAAAAACATTTTAAACTACAAATGTAGCATTTAAACAAGTAAAATATGCTAATTTTATAGTAAATACAATTTATGAATCAAAACAGCATGAACACCTTGAAAATTACAGTGTTGCCTCAGGGATTTTTTCCCCTTTAACTCCTATACAATAACGATCATTTCTAATTTCACTTTCTGTTCAGATTCAGGACTAAAACCCAACTTTTGGCAACAACTTAAATCTCCACAGCTGTAGACACAGGCCATAAATCGCTCAAATCAAACATAAAAGTTTAGAAAAACACTCAGTTGGATTTTAATGTGCTCAGGAAAACATTTGAGTCTCCACACAGTTTGACAGACGCTTATTGCACCTGAAGCAACAAAGGAGTTTACAAAGTCCTCGCACAAAAATCGATTGTGCTTCCTGTCTCGAGATAGGAAGTGGAACTTCACCAGGTTTCAGGAAACATTTGAAAGCAATCAGCAGTGAAGATCAGTTTTAAAGTTCCTCCAGAGAGCTTTGGACTGCAGAGGAGCAAGAACCCAAAAATCACACAAAAGAAGAGGTGAGGGGATTTTTATCTGCTGTTACTGGAATAAATTGGATGACAATAATTTGGCAGTCATTAATAACCCTAAGAAACATATTCTCCAAATATATTCAAAAGAAGCTAATAAAAGTCACTTGATTCTCAGTGATGTGATCAATTTTAATTTATAACCAAGATTAACCATAAACCTACTAATAAATCCACAGATTTAATTTAATTTCAGACTAGGACAATCTCAGACCCCCCCCCCCCCCAAAAAAAAACAAAAATAAAAAAAATCATGACATTATTTAAATGACAACATTATTTTATTTTAATTACATTGAACTGAATTTGATTCAACATATTCTGTTTATCTGGTACCATGAGATGATGGGAGGGTCTTTAGATCCAACAGAATTATTTATGAGGAACAGCATCGCTACATGAACAGTCATTTGATGCAAATGTAGAAAAAAAATGCTCATTTTCAACACAGAATTAAATATTTTAAAGATGTTAATTATGATAAAATACCACAAGAAAAGTTTAGTTGTTGTTTTTATCATTATTATGAAAGAATTTTTATAAAGTTATTTAAGATTAATGTTGAGTGAGGCCATATTTCACCAGTTTCTCTTAACTGGAACTCTTCCAAACACTAAAAGTATTTTCTAACTCTAAATGATCTCAGATCAGTCCTCTGGCTAAAACGCAGGTTTCCCACAGTTGTGGGTATATTAAATTGGTTCCTCAGTCAGTTCAAGTTTTACTTCCTCCTGTCTTCTCCACAATTGTGCAAACAAGTACCTTCACCCAGAAATGTTTCATTTCTGCTGGTAAACCATCCCAGTTTTTGTAACCTGCTTCTTCTTCTGTTCTCACCCAGAATGTCAGGCCCAACAGAACCCATCCTGCGTACACAGAACCACGGTTCTGATGAGGCCTCTCCTGATCCTCCACCGTATTCCTACAGTGATCAACCACCTCCTGCTTATCTTGCAGCTCCAGAGACATACAATCCACCCATTAGTGAGATCGATCCCACCTACCAGAGCTCCACGGGATACCAGTCCTTCTGTGACACTGACCCAGAAAGGGAATCGGAAACAACCCCGATCTTTTCCTCATCATCGTTTGATGACAAGGCAGTGAGGAGGGGGTTTGTTAGAAAGGTTTGAGGACCCCACTTTGGATTTACAGCAACAAGAAAAGACTTTAAATGATGGTGGTGATCATAGCAAACCTTTGGATTTTATTCTAAATCCAAGATTTTGGATGAATGTTATTTACCTCCTCAGGAAATCAAAGTTTCTAAATAAATCAAGATGCACAGGTGCATGCAAGTTGTAAGGAGAAGCTAAGAATGTGCAGAAAAAAATGCACATTTTCTTCACTCACATCACGCACCTTTAAGCGCATCCGTAAAAGCATCGCTCAGCATGAGAGAAGCTAAATGTTTGACTTTTTTTGAGATTTTTTTTTCTGCAGCAGCAGCTTTGATTTGAAACAAAAAAAATTGTCAAGTATTTCATACACTTTAGCCTCAAACATAAAAGATTAGGATGACAAAATTCCTATTTTCCGTGTACAGGTGTTTGGCATCCTGACTCTCCAGCTGCTGTTCACCTTCACTGTGGTGTGTGCGTTCACCTTCTCCAGCGTCATCAAAGACGCTGTGCAGAACAACATTTGGGTCTATATCAGCTCTTTCATCGTCTTCGTCTTGGTGGCCTTCCCCCTCAGCTTCTTCAAGTCCTTCAGCCATCGTCATCCCTGGAACATCGTGGGTCTGGTGAGTCACGGAAACACATCATTAATCCAGATTAAAACATAAAGCTGGGAGTTTAAATGCTTAATAGAAACCCATCCCATCATATTTACCAAATAGCATTAAAAAAGGAGAAAGGGTGACTTTAATTGTCTGTATCATGTGTCTGCAGGTCATCGTCACCCTCAGCTTTTCATACATGGTGGGAACCGCCGCCTCCTTTCACAACACCAGCTCTGTGCTCATCACCATGGCAGCAACGCTGGTCATCTCCCTCACAATCATTGCTTTCTCAGCACAGGTGAGATCACCGGGGCCAAGCTGAGGATCTACTTTTATTTTTTCTAAATGCCATTAAAGTTTTTCTATCAAGCAGAGCATAGCTGACCTTTAGCTGTGACAGCTCAGCTTTTCCTCCTTCTGGGATGTGAGAATAGGAAAAAATTAACCAAAAAAAAAGAAAAAAATATACTTTCAAACCCTAAATAAAATTATGTAAAAAGAAGAATACAAATATATTGAGTTTTTAATTGAATATGTACCAATTTCAAAAAGAAATTTGATGCTGAGCAGGAAAATAAAATAAATCAATGGATCAATGGAAGGAACAATAAGCATGGGCGGCACATGCCGGTAGCTTGGGGTTTCTGTAGCAAAGACAAGATTCGGTCAAGCAACGGGTTAACAACCCCAATTTTTCAGTCAGCGCTGATGGAGACCAGAGGGTCGGTGAAACCCCCCTGTCCTCAGGTCTGCATAGACCAAGAACAGCTACTAGGCTTGGAACATATTTCCCTTTTAATCTGGCGTTTATTTATGCAGGCAGCACCGCACAGCACGTATATGGCACAATAGAGAACTCACACCGGATAGAGTCCTGGGCTTGTGGGGTGCAACTACAGCCAAACAATGATGGTGTCCATAGAAGAGGCAACTGCTTTATTTTGAGATCACAGCAAAAACAAAAAAGACAGCTGCAGTATCATAGATAGTATTAAAGACCTCTAAACCAGAGATAGGGTGGCCATGGCGAGTGTGTCTTGCTCTTTTTGTCAACTCCACCTACTGTTTACTTGTATATTGCAGCGTGTGAACATATTGCGTTAATTTCGGGGACGTGCACAAACAACACTTAACCACGTGTTTTAAAAAGCATGTGTCCTATTCCAGGCCTTACACTCACTAATCAAAAGCTATTGCAGGGGAAAACACCTGACGCTGCTCCTGACAATAAGAAAATTCTACAGTGAAGTAATCACTAAACAGTCTTGTTCATTATCAAATGAAGTTGCATTGAAACAGATTTATTTCTAAGTCAGCTGGGTGGTTGTCAGTTTTTCTCTTTTCAGTTAAGTTGGAGAGACACCACATAGTCTTTGTTTACAATCTGTTAGTAAACAGGTTGCTGAGTCTGCGTGATTTAATGCTGCAGCACTGGCATTTGTAATTTTACATGAACCGACAAAAAGCTCCAGTTTTGGAAAGTTTATGAACCAATTTTAAAAAAAAAGCAACCAAAAGTTATCTCTTCTAGCCCTAGAAGCCACGACATCTTTTTGCTTTACTCTAATATAGGTTAAAGAAGGCTAGAGGTTAAAGTTGAGCTAACTATGCTAACGGTGAATTAGAAACAAATAGTCTGCTCTAAAAAAAATCTCAAATTACTTTTTATTACCAACAACTCAATCTTACTATAATTGTATTTATCTACTTATGAATGTACTGGGTAGGACTCATGTTTGCATATCATCTAGAATATTCTGGCTGGCAACAGCCATTAAACTCACGAAACGGGAGTATAAAAGAGAAAATTTGGTTTTTAAATGGGCTGCAATACCCAAATTTGACCACTTAATTCTTTCTTCACTCTTACATCATGCACCTTTAAAAGAAGATGACAGATTGCACTTAGAAAAATAATCCATGCTATTCTTTGTCGTTTCCAGGCTCGTTATGATTTCACGATTTTTTACGGTGTCTTGTTGATATTGTTGGTGGACTTTGTGATGTTTGGATTCTTCTGTGCGTTTTACTCCTCACATCTCTCTGATATCGGTTATGGGTGTCTGGGAGCTCTGCTCTATGCGCTGGTAAGAACACAAGAGAAGATGCATTCACATTCATTTCACAGGAATCTGATGTGGAAATTCTCAGGGAACTCACAACTTTTCAATAATCAAATAAAGCACTTTCAAGGTTTCCCAGCACAAGTATATCCGTGATGATTTTAATAAAAATCACACCAAGTAAAGTGATTTACTTTCCTTTTTCCTGTAAAAGGAAAAGTAAATGTTATAGTGCTACATTCAGTTTCAGTAATTTTCAAGCACTTTAAAAACATTTTATATATAGGAACCCTGTCTGCATGTTAACTATGAGACCCTAAGAGGTATATTTTAAATTTAAAGTATAAAAGATTAGATTTCAGATTCAATAGGATTTTTAAAAAAACAAACAAAAAAACCCTCTAAATTAAAATGAAAACAGACTTAAGTGATTGCAAATTATTTTTAAAATATTTAAAAATTGCATCATCAAAGATTTTCACAAATTTGTGACGGGTTTTTTCTATGAATACAAAGAGTAAACAATTTTTTTTATAAATTGGATAAAAAAACACATGATGTTTAACAATCTAAAAAAACTGTGGTTAACATAACAATTAAATGAAGCAATTGTTTTAAAGGACTTGAAAATTGTTGTATTTTATATTTTGATCGATCAATTTACAATAAGAATAAAATAAAATAAAAAATGATCAAGGAGAAAATAGGACTAAAAATGACAGTGATGGTCAGCCTCAGTCAGATTTGTATAATTACATCCATCCATCCATTTTCTGAACCCGCTTAGTCCACGCAGGGTCGCAGGGGGGGGTATCTCCAGCGGGGCAATCAGGAGGGGTACACCCTGGAGAGCCAGTCCATCGCAGTGTACAATTACATTTAATTTGATAACTATTTATGATTCACAAAACACGACAATTTAAGCAATTAGTGTGAGATATTTGCCTATAACAAGTAACTAGTTTAGATTTACAACTATTTATTAATAAAAACATTATATATATATATATATATATATATATATATATATATATATATATATATATATACATACAGTATATATATATATATATATATATATATATATATATATATATATATTTAAACCGGTTTTGCCCTTTATTAGAAGACAAATTCAAATTGGAGACCAGCTGTTTATTTATACGGATAATTAAAAGTAATTGAAAAAGGTAAATTTTCTCCATTTTCCTGCTTCAGTTCCTGATGATCGACTGTCAGCTGATGATAATCCGCCTGGATCCAGAGGAGTACATCAACGCCGCTCTCATGATCTACCTGGACATCATCCTCATCTTCCTCTACCTGCTGGGGAGGAGGTGAAACCGTCCTTATAATAGGAACCCAGCATATGTTTAATTTTATGTGAATAAAAGTTTATAATTTACTATCAACAGTCCGAAGTGTGTTTATAATAAACCATATTCCACATAGACTAATATTATTGTACAGCTTTTATTAAAAAGATTTTTATCACACAGAGCTACAATGACAAGAAAAGTTGTGCAAAATCTCCCTTCTGTCTTAAATCTGTGGTTTGAGGTTAGAGAGAAATGAGAAAAACCCACAACAGAAAAAAGATGATCAGATCTCCTGCAGGAGGAGTCACTTAAAGCTGCAGATAACAAACATTTAGGCTGTATTTATGATTTTAAAAGGACAATGGTGTAAATGTACCTTTAACTGAAAAAGAGTGGGGCATTCATCCTCAAATTTAGCTACAAATGAAACTTTTTTTCTTTAGTTTAGCAACTTTTGCTGCAAACATCTGAAGTCTTTTGAGCTGAAAATTAAAATCAGAATTTCCTTCACTTAATATCTAACATTTAAAACAGGTGACTGTGATTTCACACCGTTAGAGGTTGAGGACATAAATATTCAGGTTGGAAAACAAAAAAATACTTACTTTTCCACCAGTAAACAAAAATGAATGACCTTCTGCAGCTTTTGTGTATGTGAAAATGTCTGTAATCTGCTTAGCAACAGCAAAGGTTTTCACCACAGTGAGGAATAGTTAAACCGGATCCGCAGCAGGTATCTCATCTTAGTCTGAGCTGGATTATAAACAACAAACTCGTTGTAAAGGAGCGAGTAACCATTGGTTCGGCCCACTCCTGTCTTCACCCCGGGCCCCATCGGAACCGTCACGCCGTCCCTGAGAAAAAGAAAGTTTAAAAATTATTTTAGATGTTTTAACAATAAATTCCTCTTTATATTTCCACTTCTTATAAAAACAAAGATTAAAATTAAAAACTGCTTTTCCAAATGCTAAATGTTTGTTTTATAATAATCGTTTCAAAAATTCTCATTGATTGATAAAAGCAGGGAGATTTTTGTGTTTGACCCACTAATCAACATCAGACAAAATACACTTTACTAAATTATACACGTTTTATAGGCTGCATGTGTGTGTATTTCTAACTTGTGAATGCACCAGTTGCTTAACGAGTAAAATAAAATAAAATGATCCAAAATTACTTTAATTAAATTTAGAAACAAAGTGCACAATAAGAGCAACATGATGACATTTCAGAATATAGTGCCAAATAAATTGTTTTGACCTGACATTTCACAAAAAACGTCCTCATAATTTTGTACTACATAACAAAAGCAGCTGTTTGTCTTAAAGATGTCAAGTTAAATAGAATTTATTATTATTCCAGTAATCTTAACCTGATTTTCCTGACTTTGACAGTCGCTTCGCTGAGTAATACACCTGCTGTGCTTCAAATCAACAGAGAAGCAGCACAGCAGGAAAAACGAGACAAATAGCTGAGAAGGAAGTGAAGGAAGTCCATTAGTGACTGAGTCACAGCAGAGAAACACTTGGTTTTTAAACTAAATTTATCCATAAAGATACGCTGAATGTTAACCTGGAATCAAGGAATGATGACCGTGTGATCGCTCTCATACACAACTATCATTTTATTTATCCAAACAGTTCACAAATCTTCCCATCCATGTTGTGTGACATCAGATACCGTGTTTATTTTTGGACTAAACTGTGAATATAGTAGACTCACAGTGTGACGGCATTTCTGGGGTCCGGTCCAGTCTGACCCAGACCCTTGGTGCTGTGTTTTCCTGCAGGCAGATTATCAGCTTCGTAGTCCGCATCCAGCAGCTCGTTGCAGTCTCCCAAAGCGACCTGATCACACACACGTCACAAACAGCACCTAATGTTTTCTGCATCTAATCCATTGATTCCTCTTGTCTTTAGGAGGATCTCCAGTCATTTTTACGCCAAACATGATGAATATAAAATGTGACATATTTGAAGAAAGGGCCCTAATAAGGAAGCACCATTTTTAGCAGTTTCCGACCTTTGAAGCTGGAAAATAAACACTCTCAACAAAAACTGATTTCACCTCACAAAGCAGGAGCAGTCCAACGTGGTTGCTCTGGCTGGCGAAACAGTAGTTGGCACTTTTAGAGGACATGTCAGCAAAGTAGATGCCTTTACCAAACTGAAAGGAAAGTAAACTAAATTTAGTCTGTTTGCTTTTTAAAAAAAATATTTATCTTATTTACAATTTGCAGAACCAGAAGACTTGTTTACGAGCCTAAACGAGAGTTGATGCAGGCCTCTTACCATGTAACCAGTGACAGGTGCCTCAGGCGGCGCCACGCGGAGGCCCTTGCTGAGGATGCCGACCCAGTTGGAGATGCGGGAACCGTGCCACAGCAGGGTCCTGGTGCAAGCACAAACAAACTAAATTGTTATGGAAGTCTGCGCATGAGGAGACATGAAGAGCATCTCTGCTGACCTGTTGTGTAGCTGTGACAGGAAGTTGTCGCTCTCCCTGTCCCTGTCCACCGAGAAGACGTCGAGGACGGTCATGCTGTAGTCACTGTGGGTGGAGGCGTGAGTGGACTGCAGATACTTTTCTATCACCTTTTTCACACAGGGAAAAGGAACTTTATGTACACATAGAGACAAACTGATGGAGCACCTCAGACTTGTGTTTAAAGATTGACTCGTTAATGTAATAATTTAGCTTAAACTGACTTTGTACTCGTGGCTGCTGGAGTCCAGGGGCTGCAGTCTGCACTGGAGGGACTGGTACTGTCTGTCTAAAGGATGTTCATCACTGTCTGCACTTGACTGAGTCATTTTCACCGCGATCTGGATGTCACTCAGTGCCTTCAGGAAAAGAAATAAAATAAAATCAGCTCAACTAAAAAAATTATTAAATATTCAGCCAAGGAATCAAAACTTCACCTCCAACAGAGAAATTTTCTCCTTCAGCTCCTCTTCTGAGCGAATGACTGGAGGAGTTTTCAACCTTTAAATAAGATTTATATATTTTCACAGCCGGAAACCAAACAAGTCAGACTGCTGCAGCGTGATTCGTACCCAAAGTCATGAGGGATGCGGGTGTAAAACTGGTTGCAGGCTTCCAGCAGCTCTCGGTTGCTGCCCTTTTTCTTCAAGCAATCCTCGATTCTCTTCAGAGCTGCGTAGCCGGCACGGATCTGCTCCGAGGTCAGCTTCCCTGCGGGTATAGTGAATTAAAGTGTCAGAATTTTCAGCTTTATTATTATTATTTTTTTTACATCAGACTGACCCAAAGGAGCTTTCTTGATGTCAAACTTCATCTCCAGCACACACTCCTCCATGGCTTTGAGGTCACAGATGAGCTCAAGGAGAGACTGAACCTTTAGATCCAGCTGAGATGGCTTCCTTTTGGGTGCAGAATCCACCACGATCTGGTTCTCCTCCTGGAAATAAATGAAGACCAATTAAGGACTAGTCCTAAAAACATCAGGATGTAGTTGCTCTTATCCAGTTGGTTCATCCTGAATGAGCGACATCGCCAGCTGCATGTGAGGTCCACATTTAAACGTACTTTTCCATTCATGCTGTAGTCCATGAACACCATGTCGTATTTCCCAGCAACTTTTTCAAAAGTCCCCCGATGCTCCCACTCGTTCTTTGTCTTGTCAGCAAACCTGCATCACAGTTTCAAATTTTAAATCAAACGTCCTAAAAGTTGATTAAAAAAACCTCAATAATCAGTAAATCAGTCTCACTTTTTCTTGAAGAGATCTTTGGCCTTCAGCAGATCTCCACCACAGGCTACTAGGCTGTTCTGACCCACTTTCCCCACTGGGGAAACAAAAAAGGAGAATGAAACTAACCGATTTAAGGAATTAAGTGTTAACCAAGCCCCCACAATGCGGCTCAGAAATTGGTCCCAACCCTGAAGTACCAAAAATTGCAGTTCCACCCTCATCCGCTGGGGGCTGGTGTCAGAAGTGAGCAAATCCTCATTGACTCCCATGTTAAAAATACCAATTTCACAGCAGAAATAAACATGTTTACAGCTTGGTACCAAAACATGTTTTTGGTTTAAATTATCTAGTTTAAACTCATGACAACTCTGAGGGGGGTGAATTTTTTCTCACTCTTCTGTTTAAGTGTATTAAAAGCCTAAAATTCTGTATAATTAATGAGCATCAGACCCACGTGACCACAGAGCTAGCTCCGGGGAAAGGCCTCAGTAGAGCCTAGGTCTGGCTTGGAAACTGCTCCAGGATTTTGAGTCTCTGTGTTTGTGTATTCTGTTTTGGATATTATTTGTGCAACTGTTGGACAAAATGACTTGCTGTGGTATTAACTGCACTAATAGAGCGTCCAAGGAGTCTCCACTTCATTTATTTCGGTAAGTAAAATTGTATTTATGTATTTTAGGTCACTGCCGAGCTGAGCTTAGATTTTAACATGTACTGTTTAACCATGAAATTTAAATGCAATAGGGGTAAAACCCAGTGCATTTAACATAATGCTGCACTTTAGAAAATGGGTTGAAATATAACATGTTGGTGGAGCTGGGTTCCGACTATCGGCTTGTGGAGCTCTCGGGAGACCGATGTTTTCCACTCGTTCTCCCCTCCCCGCAGCTCAACGCATCTCTGTCTGATCGCGGCTTCTGTCTGCTGCACGGGCTGCCGGCTTGTGGAGCTCTGGGATGGAAACCTTTCCACCCTATTCTCCCCAGTGGCAGCTCTGCGCATCTCAGATCGCAGCGGCACTTGTCTGCTGTGCGGCTGCCGGCTTGTGGAGCTCTCCAAGACCTCTGTGTTCCACCCAGTTTTACCCAGCGGTCAGCCCGGCGTATCTCTGACTCAGAAGCTCTGGTGTTGTGCACAGTTAACTCCGGTTGTAGCTAGGTTGCTACCTCCGTTAGCTTAGCTCCCACCTCCGCATTAGCTTTGGGTTAGCTTCAGGTTAGCTTGTGGCTAATTCGACCGGGTGTCGTCAGTTGATCCCAGCCTTACAGCCCCACCCTCAGCTCCACCTCTCTTCCCTTTTATGGAATTGTCTGGGCTTGACGGAACCTGTGACAGTTAAAATGGCGGTGGTGGCCACCTCCCATTTGGCCTCAAAAACGTGATATTGGAGCCTATGGAAATGAATTGTCCAGTATATTTATGTCGATGGTGTTAACGGAAATCTGCAGACATCAACCTCACCTCTGCCCCATCGCATCCACACGCTGTAACCTTTGGAGCTGTCGTCCTCCAGAAGCTGGATCAGATAATATTTATTGTTGTTAAACTGCAGATTCGTCTGCAAAAGAAAGATTTTTATCACTGCTTCAAATGACAAATATTTATAAAAACTACAATCAATGCCTATGTATTCTCTAGAATGATGTATGATGAATAAATGCTGTTACATATTTTACCTGGTTTAGCATCACGTCATAAACATCAGCTCCTTCACTGTAAACATGAGCCTGAAAGAGAAGCATGTTTGACTGAATGGACTCATAAATAAAATGTTTTCATTTCTAATGAAAGATTTTGCTTTTGCATGATAAAACGATTAACCTGCTCAAACAAGAGCTCACAAACGAAACCGTGTCTGGGGTTTTAGTTTCAAATGGGTGTCAAACCACAATCGCAGGTTTCATTTCTGTAAATGTACCTTTCCAAGTTTAGCTTTGCATTCAGGGTCCACTGGAGCTTTGCCCTTCATCACCACTGTCCTCACCACCTCTGATCAGCATAAACATAAAGGTAACATGGAAAAGTGATGCCAAGATTACCTTTTCTTTTTATCATTTTTGTTTATTTACTTACTTTGATGCTAACAAAACTATATTAATCTTACCTTCCTCTTTTGGCATCTCTTCGGTTTTTGCTGCACTCTTGCTTTGACCTCTTCTCCTCTTAGCGGTAGGCTGCTCCTCATTCTCCTCCTCTTCCTCTTTTACCTGAATGAATTCTGTGTTATGAGCAGCCTCATCATCAGCTTCCTGTAAACTCTCTTATAAAACAAACAACAAAAAACAAATGTACGATCAACAAATAATGTGTCTTGCCATCTTCAGTCTGAATTGATTTCTATAAATAAAAAACACCTGTTTTTACAGTCTTGGAGCGGATTTTTCTCTTGTATTTCGTCACAGGGTTAATCTGGACCATCTTCTTCAAATCCACTTCATATGCTGCCCCCGAGCCAAGAGTCAGAGTGACGGATGTCCTCCCTGAAGAAATGGCTGAATCAAGCAAGGCACAGGCTGTAGGCGGGTACGATTCCCACTGTCCTTCATCTCCTTTCCACTGCCACACTGTGATCACAAACAGAGCCAGAAAACAGTAAAACAGTTGTTTAAGTGCTGCATTATAGGAAAAACTGAAAATAATATTCCACAACAGACCTTTTATGAACTATAAAATACTGATATGACTTTATAAAACATGAATCAATTTCTAAACATCAAATTTCTGCCCTGAGTTGATTTCATTCATTAAATGTAATTATGTAGTTTCTTTTTACTACTTTTTAAACAAAGATGTGTTAATCAACTGGACTTTGCAGAGCCATTATATTGTTTTTCTACACTCAAACGAGGCTTTAGTTATTACTAAATTAATTAAATGTAGCAGTGAGTCACTTTATTCTAGTGATTTCCTCCAGAACTGCTTAATATTCGTGCTTTTCACCAGTTTTCGCGCCAAGTTTTGATTCAATTAGTTAAAACACAAATGTTGTCAAATATAAGTAATAGGTAGTGCAGGACATAGTTACCAAAGAATTGTGAAGATGAAAATAAAACCTAATTCTCTGTCCGGGCATGTTTAATGGCTACACTGCTTCCTTCCATGATGTGCTAAAAGCAAACACCAACCTGTTTTTGACGGGACTTCGTGGTTTTCTTGTGCGCGCTGGCTTTTATTTCTCGAACTTCTGGTTCGCCTCATGTTTGTGTATCAAAACAAGTTTATTTAACAGCAGGAAAAGCAGAAATCGAGAAGCAGTAGAAAACACGGCGGGAACTTTCTTTTCTTCGGATAGGCCTGTAGAGAGCAAAGCCTACCGAAGATGGTTTATTAAAAAGATGCCGCACTTCGTAACTAACTAGCGATGAATACAGAAGTTAGCAACGCAGCAATATACATCTGTTTACAACCAAATAATGATTTTTCTAATGATGTATATGTGGTAAAACAAACATTTTTAATCTAATCCTTCTTTTATGTGCTATTTGTTTCCGAATGTTAGCCAGTATCTGTAAACAAGATCAGAGAAAGAACTCTTCTTGTTTCCCTCGTGTAGGAACAAATCTTTAAGGCTCGATGGTTCCACTTTCAGTGGTGGCCGGAATTATTTTGTTGATGCAAATCAGTCGGTCGGTGTGCTTTACAATAGCGTGGATGAAAGTAAATGTTTACCAATATTTCAGTGCCGTTTAGACACCGAGAACATGGCATCAAGTAGCTATAAAGCCTGTGGTCTCAGTCAGAGAGTGGCTGTGGTGAAGATTTTGTTCAGGGTAAGTACTCCACCAGGTGTCTTTGAGTGCATCATTTTCACTGGAGGTCATTTATGTTTTGTGTACATTTATGGTCTGTAAATGACATGTCAGTTTGTAGAAAAGTAGCCCGGTTTGAATATTACATAAAATTATTTGTTTTCATATTTCTTTCCACAGTTTTGCAGTGACTAGTATTTTTATCCTAATGTCCTTATTTCCTTGTTTTCCTGTATTTTTCTTTTCTCTAGTACTGCTTAATATTTTGCTAAGACTGTGCTTTCTTCACACCTTACATAAATTTTTTGTATATTTTTGGAATTATTTATATGCAAACAAACATGTACCTCATACACATATTTTTATATGTCGATTATGTACTCTAACAAAGTCATATAATGCAGCCACTCTGCTTTTCATTTTCCTATTCTGACACTTTGTAATAATAATTTATTCCAGACTGTGAGTGCTGCTGCTAACCCACAGCCCAAAGCAGATTTCCTTAAAGGAGAACCCCACAGGAAACATCCTGGTATGACCAGCCTGAATACACTTCGGCTACCCCAGGAGCTCCAAGTTGCTGCACAGTCAGTCATTCAAAGTGAGATCAGCTGTCATCAACTCTAGCTGCCATAATAATAATAATAATAATAATAATAATAAATAAAACTGACAATTTTCCCACATGTTTGTTTTTTCTTTGTGTAGAAGCTCAGGTGACCCAGCTTACTGATCGCTGTCACAAACTCATAAACTACTTGTGGAGTCGAAAGCGGATGGTTGAGGACGTGACTCTGAGGCAGAAAGCATTGGGTCTGGAGAAAGAACTCTGGGAGAAAGCCATGCAGAAGATGGGAGGTGAGCGAGGGTGGGATCAAGTAACGATGTATCCATGTAGCAGCCCCTGGAGACAATAAATATGTTTCTCTTTGCAGATATTGACGAGGAAGCGCTGAGGAATCAGATCAGGAAAAGGGTTCTCTCAGAGCTCAGACAAACTACATATCACTGGAATTCCCTGAAGTAATCAGAACTTAGAACTCAGCTTAATCTGAGAGTTTTGGTTCGTAACCGGCCCTTTTTGTGTTTCAGGTATGATGAAGAGCTGGGGGTGGTGTACATGGCCTCGCGGCTTGCTGGAGGTTTTGCAGCAGTGACGAGAGCTCTAAATGAGGTAATGAAGTGATTTGTGGAAGACTTTAGCCCCTGTACGTGCCTCTGATCACTCTTAAATTAAAACTGATGTGTTTTTGTGTTCATTCAGATAAAGAAGAGGGATCCCTCATTTGCTCCTCAATCTCTCCTGGATTTTGGGTCAGGATTGGGAACAGTTGCCTGGTTAGTGTGCAAATTAAAACCCTTTTTGTCTAAATGAGGTTAAGTGTGTGTGTGTTTTTTTGCCTCTCAAAGGGCATCACACTTGCACTGGGGAGACTCTTTAAAAGAGATGGTGTGTGTGGACAGCTCTGGGCCTATGAGCGTTTTGGCTGAGCGACTTCTTAAAGGTTGATCTGTTATATTTGTCACATTAACAGAACATTTTTTAGAAGATGCTGAATGTGCTTTCTTCTGCGCAGGTGATGAGGAGGAGGCTGAACCTCTTTTCAAACACGTCTATTTTAGACGATTTCTTCCCGTCTCTCCTAAGGTAAAACATCCCAGGTTTTTGGTTTTGTTACAGAGGAAATGCTGATCTGGATTTACCACGAGAAAGCAATCTCAGATTAACTTAATTATGTTAAAATTGGTAATAAAAGCTACAAATCTGACTCCCCAGTTTCTCTCCTCAGGTTCAGTTTGACTTGGTGGCGGCTGCTTTCACTCTGTCAGAGCTTCCCAGCGTGAAGGAGCGAGAAGATGCTGTGATCACTCTGTGGAGAAAAACATCCTCCTACCTGGTTGGTTAGATCAATAATTCAACTTTATATTTCCTTTTACGCCTTCTGAGTTTTTTCCAGTGTTTATCCTTCACGTGTCGACATTGGCTTCTTGCCTTGTAATATTTGATTCTGTTAATCTTAGACCTGCTTTTATTACTCTTTTAAAATATTTTTTATGTAATTTAACATTTTAAAAATATTTTAATGGTTTTTTTTTGTTTTTGTATAATATGCTCTCAATATTGTTTGTTTTTTTATTTTTCTGAGGTCCAACAAATCGAGAATAGCTAGGTGAAATTAAAAATGCACTTGAAATTAAAACTCAGGTCATGAGAAATTAAATGTGGAAAAAAATTCAGCTTATTTTAAGCTGTGTTTCATTATTTTTCCACACTTTGTCCTTCAGGTTCTGGTGGAAAACGGAACCAAAGAGGGCCATCAGATGCTCATGGACGCCAGAGACACTTTACTAAAGGTACTCCAGTGAAACTGCCGCTTGGTTCTTTCCTGGCGTTTCTGTGTAAAAGTTTTGACAGTTTAATAAATTGCACAACAGAAACAAGAGCAGATTGTTCACGACCCCAGACCAGCAAGAGTGTTCGCCCCGGTAGGTTAAAGGAAAAGCATCAGTCTTGGTTTGCGGCGTTGCATTTTTTGCTGCAGCTTCTTTTTGTTTACTCCTCAGTGTCCCCATGAGATGATGTGTCCCAAACTGGCCCGAGAGCCCATCACACCCTGCAACTTCCAGCAGCGCTACCATCCTCTCCCTCTGTCAGGGGTAAGACTCAACTCTGCATCAACGTTAACACAGAGGATAAGGGTAACAGGCTGCACTTTAGGACCAAATCGGTTAATATCTCCACAAAACCACATCAAAGGGCTGCATGGTGGCGCAGTGGTTAGCACTGTTGCCTCGCAGCACGAAGGTCGCAGGTTCAAAACTCGGCTGCGGCCTTTCTGCGTGGAGTTGCGTGTTCTCCCCATGCATGCGTGGGTTTCCTCCGGGTACTCCGGTTTCCCCCACAGATCACAACATGCCCTACAGGTTATAAAAATTGTACGTCGCTTTGGATAAAAGCGTCTGCAAAATGAATAAACATAAACATAAAGGTATGGCTTGTAAAACAAAGTCTAAATGATTTTATTTGTTGTTTTTTCAGCACCACGAATGCCAAACGGAGAAGTTCAGCTACCTGATTTTGAGCCGAACGGAACCGGCGCAGGAAGGGACAGAAGGTTTGGAATGGGCCCGGCTTATTGCGCCGGTGCTGTGCAGAACGCGACACGTCCACTGCCACATGTGCTGCACTGATGGACAGCTGCAGCACAAGGTGGTGACGGCACGGAAACACAGCCGGTAAACAACATCCTGCAGGATGGGTCTCTTCAGACACCTCAGAATATTGTCTTTAAATGTACCAAAATCCGTTTTTACAGAAAAGTAGCTTCTTTCAAGTGTTTAGATGCTACAATTGTTTTTATTTAAGATGTTTAAAAACGAACCAGCGGCTTGTTAGGATGTGATCATTTCCGATTAAAATAATTTCATCTATTTTTTTTCCTGCTGAATAAACATTTTCTGTTGTCTTTTTGTTTTCTCAGAGATGTGTACCGCTGCGCCAGGAACAGCGACTGGGGAGACCAGCTGCCGATCATTCTGAAGGTTGAAAAGGATGCCGAAAGTGACTCAGAGTGATGACTCTACCAAAAATAAACAATTTTTGAATCCCATAAAACAAAAAAAATTTCATCTAATGACTCGTTTACTACAGAATAGAATAGAAAAATTGTGTTTTTCCTCTCACCTCTTATTAAATCTAAATATTTACACTCTTGTTTTACTTTAAAATGGTGATGTTTTAAAGATGTCACTTGAGTGATGACTCTTTAGTTGTGGAGAAAAGACCTCAGATGAAGTATTTGGCATTTCTTAAGTTTGAATTTTAACTCAGGAGTTCAGGTTTCTTTTCATTTTTCAGAGAGAATCAATACCTCTCTGGGGCTGATTCATTTTTTAATGTTATAATTTGATGCGTACCACTCTTCATGTTGCTGTTCTATGGTGTATCTACAGTATATTTTTCCCATCTGGCATTATACTTAAAGAAAACAAGCTTTGTATTTTTTAATATTTGAAACAAACCAACAAATTTCCTTTCATTTGACAAATGCTGCTTTTAAAGTTTGACAAATTTAAGGTGGGATGAATAAAAAAGGTGACAGCACAACCAAAAGGTGGAGCCATTTACAATGTTCTTTTTATTTTATATGGCAGTAAATGGGAAGAAAATGTTCTTTAATTCTCAACAATCTGTTTTAGGGCAGAGGTCAAGTCTGGGTACTTGTACTGAAATCCAGACTCTAAAGTCCGATTTGGAACGACTTTCTGACCCTCAGTGAGGACCGTGGCCCTTTCAGAACCCATCAGGGCGCTCATAACGAAACCCGGCACAGGAAAGATGGTGGGCCGCCTCAGGATCCGACCCAATTCCTTAGTGAACTCATAGTTGGTGTTCAGCGCAGGTGCAACCCCGTTGTACACCTGTGGAGAGGTGGACGGTGGGTCAGCAGGGGGCTCCAGAGAACCAGCAATGATTCCTGCCAGGTCGGAGACATGGATCCACGGGAATGGCTGTGTTCCAGAACCCAGTGTGCCTCCGAGACCGAGCCAGAAGGGAAGCAGCATTTGTTTCATGGCACCCCCGTCACGACCCAAAACAACCCCTGGTGGACAAAAATGGAATAAAGGAGACCGCTTATTTCAATTTTCCTAATTCAGTTACAAAAAAAAAGCTGTCACATATAATATGACACTTTAGTCATAACAAACAACGTAAAAGGGATTTAGCCAGGAGGAATACATATTTATACAAAACGGTCTGTTCCTTGAAGTGTGTTGTGTGTGTGCAAGGTTACACACACCAGAACGAATGACAACTTGTTTGGTGTTGTTAGCCACGTTCTCTGGAAGAAGAGCTGCTTCCTCCCACTCTTTGACCAGTTGTGAGAGAAAGTCAAAGGGTGTCCACTCGCTGTCTTCTGTGTACTCAGCTGTCAGACTTGGTTTGTAGCATGCTGTAGGTCCACAAAGAGCAGAAAATAAGCCCTAATAAATGTCTTCATCTTAATGAGCTGTGTGTTTCGTCTGCAGAAACTTACCGACACCTGACACGAGCACCCAGGAGTGAGGAGGACTCTGGGATGCTGCAATGGCTTGGGACAGAGCTTTTGTTGTGTCGATGCGACTGGAGAACAGATCCTTTTTATAGCTCTCGTTCCACCTTGGGTAACAGAAAAAACAGCAGGGTAGGGTTTAGTGGCTATATCTGAAAATGGAAAAAGAAAGCCAATTATTATGCAGATTATCACACACATTTCATCAATGAGTCCTTTGTTGTTCAGCAACGATAATTACTCAGGTTACACTTTAAGGTTCTGTGAAAGTGTCTTGTGAAGCAGCCTGATTCTCAGCGCATTTGCAAATATAACAGCTGTTTGATTTGTTTGATTGCTTTGGGGCTACATATGTCAATATGGCTGCTGTCAGGAAACGTTACTAGTACTACAATCCACTTTCCAGCACAAACATGTGGATGAAACCTGCATTTGCTCACCACCGGAGAGGGTTCATGAGATTTTCTCCAGCCAAGTTAACAGCACCGTCACATGGTGGGAGGCCGCGAGACTCCAGTTCACCCTGCAGGAGAAATGAGGACAAAAAAAAAAAAAGATTTTTCAAAAATGTATAAACATCAGTGGATTTACATTTAACCATGATGAAAATTGTGGAATACAGTTAAATAGCAAAATTAGAGGCTGTAATGAGTCAGGTGCAGAACCTCACTTAATCCTACCCATGTAATCTTTCCTGGACCAGGTTGACGGGATATCACTGTGACTTCATGACCTTTGTCTCGGAGCAAACGAGTCAGCTCACGACCCACAAAACCAGATCCTCCTCCTGCAAGAAAGACAAAAATTAGAGAGATGTAAAATAAAACTAGTTTCTGCATAACGTTAACATAAAATATGTAAGACGTCACGTCAATAAATATACGTTACTTTAAGGTAAAATCAATTATCTGAATTTATGTTTTGTTTTTACAAATGAGTTGTTAAACTTTCTTTTGTTTACACTTACTCATGGTGCCTTTTGCTCAAGTGCGCATGCGCCCTTTCCATGCTTACAAAACCAAACTTAGCATTCTTGAGCTAATTTAGCTTAAATAACAGTCACCTTAAACATAAACAGTCCTCTCAAAACGTTTGATAGATTGATAAATATGTGAACACTAGTTTTACGAATTAGTTCCATTAAATAAGCATGCAGCTACATTTGTGGATTTACTTTGTAATAGCTAGTGTTAGCTTTATGTCACACTGACCTTTCTGTGTCACTTTTTATTAAACAAAAAAATTCCGATACTGTAAAAATACATACATACCTATTAAGACTCTCATAGCTACAAATGTCCACCCAGCGTTACGTTTCAATCCCTAAACGTTGCTCTTACAGCATAGTTTACTCGTCCCTGCTCCCAATTTAACAACAACTAACACTTTTGGTCCAATGGGCGTTCCGTACTTGTGTTCCGGTGTTCCGACTATCCGTGCTTGTCCCCCGTCGAAATGTGCTACTTTGGGGAAATGCGCATGCTTGCTGTATGTTTACCTGACAGTTAGCTTGTAAATGGCTTCTAAAATATCGTTGTTATACTGCAAACAAGAAATTTCTCCCATTGTTTACAGTCATTCTGAAAGAGTGCCAAATTAATATCCAAAAGTTTTATATTATACATATAATAAATTTATCATAGTTGTATAATAATATCCAAAATTATACATTCAAACAAATAACTATATACGTATTGGGGGAAAAGCACATTTGTTATATGTGGATTAATTTGTCTAATAAAGGATTAGGTAGAGAAATAGAACGGTAAGAGCCTTACAAATCTCCATTTTTATGAATCACTTTCTGGACACGGGTGAAAGTAGTTGGTAAAACGTCGTTGTTCTGAGAATATTCAAATGTTTTTAGCAACTAAGGGGTTAATTTTTACGAAATGAATAAACTGCTTACTATCCACTTTTTTCATAAAATAAATAAACAGTAGCTACCGATTTTCAGTAAACCTGCATACTGAATCATCTGCTGGAATGCGCGTTGGTAGGAAAATTCGACGAGGACCATAGACTGTAAATACGACGAGGACGCATGGATAGTTGAAACGCGTTGCGGTAGCAAAACGCCGGCGCTCGGATATAGTTTTTTGGCACAGGTTTTTGGGGAGACACGAGACACCTGCCACCGGTTTTGAGTTGTTGTTTTTTTAATCACAGAAAACTCCAACAAATAAAACGTATTGTTTAAGTTTCCTAATATTTGCGTTTTTGTAAAGGCTCGTTTTCATTTTATCAGCATTTTGGTGATGTGTTGCTCGTTATTTTTTAATCAATGGTTTACGTACTACATTTTTCATCCAACCGACTAGCGACATAAGTGAATTTGTGTAATGGTAATTTTTTGGCGTTTTAAAACCGGAAGTTACGTGATCACGTGGGAAGGCAAAGCTTTAAATAGAAGCGCACCCTCTTTCACGCCCTCTCTTTTCCTTGTTGCGGTCGACAAAACAAGACTTTGTGTTGAAGAAACGCCAATTATACGGCTTTTTCGAGGTAAATAATCACGGCCACTTTCAGTTTAACTAGGTTGCCAACTGATGTGTTTTAGCAGGTGGATGAATGTTGCGGGTTTTCGGACAGAGTTGATTTTTTAGCTCATAGTAGCTGCATTAGCGCCAAATTGACCACATGGTCGGAACTCATGAGATTCTCGACAAAAATGATTTTAAATTCAATTTCAAACGTGTAGTTGGGGGTTTATTCTCACTAAAATACCCTTAAATCAAAACTGGCACGTTCATTTCAAATGCAGTTCGTGCTTCATTTTGTTAAATCAAGGTTTGAGAAGACAAAAGTAATCAGAACGGTCTTGTGAAGTTTTTTTTTTTTTTAATTTTGATTCACCTGCTACAAACTAAACATTTTGGTTCATCTGAAAAAATGTTAGTCAAACCAATGATGAGTTGCATGTGAGTCCGTGTTTCACCTGAATCTGATGATTATACTTTCACTGCACTGATGGGTTTGACTTAATTACTGTTGTTCAAGTCTTTAAGGTTAATTATGGATAATAATAAATCTGTTTTTTTTTAGGACCAAGGAGGTTTAACTTCTTGAAGGTAAGAAATTTGCTTTCTCATGGTTACAATTGTTAGTGCTGTAAAGTATTACTATGTGATTGTAGTAAATGTGGAATAAAGTGTATTCTTTTAATTGCAGGTGGAAGTTTTCCTGGACATTACTCTACAAGTGTTTATCAAAAGACAGTAGTGCCCTCCTGGGAGCATTCAGACCACAAGGGTCTGTGAAAGTTAATGAGAGTTCTCTGGGATTAATAGTGTATTTGAATTGAATTGAAAGGGGGGCATTTGCATGCCGAAAGGTGTGTGTTGGTGAAAGATTTTCAATCACACTCATAGGTGGCATTTGTCTGTCAACTGCCATGTAGCCACAAAGAAGATTTCAAACAGGATAGTGGCTCAAACAAAGAAAATGTAACGTCAGTACCATGTGGTCTACCTCTGGTACAGATTTATTCCTTCACCCACAAATGCACAACTACCTGCTGCCTGAACACTTTTTTTTTTTTCCTAATGAACCAGTAAAATCCTCGTGGCTAAAGGAGCGTCTGTCCAAAATTCGTCTAGATAAAGCGCCAAAGGAACTGGGCTATTTTCAGGTAATTAAAGAGAAACACTAAGAACTGGCATTGGTAGTTGATTTGCTTAGAGCTTAAATTGATAAAGGATTTTCATTGTAGTTTAACTCGCTCAAAATTAAATGGTGATCTTTGTATCAACAAAGATCTGTTTTTCTGTATGGAACTGGGGGGGCTAAGATGATTTGGAGAGGGTGTTGGGCTTAAAAAAAACTAAAGCTTCTGGATCCCCCCCCTGTTGGATTTCACAATGAATTCTGATCAATAAAGTTTAAAATACTACCTCATGAGGTCTCTTTATTTTAGTAACATTTATATTAACGTAAGTGTTAAATAAGATGTTTTTCATTTAATTTAATGTAGAGCATGAACTTTCCCCACATCTAACCCTTTATAGGGCCAGTGTCAAGACTTGGATGACAAATGACTTCAGCAGTGCCCAGATCCAGCATGCAAAGGCCACATGATCAGAACAGTGCTGTTAGCTAAGTAGCAAGGATCAAGGGGGATGTCAGCCATGTGGCAGTGTTTTAGTTTAAAGTCCATAAAAGACTGGCTCAGTGCAACCTTTGCCGTGGACATGCTTCCCATGGTTGAGCAGAACTGGATAAGTTTACGTCCGAACTCCTCGCGTTTGAAGCAGCTTCACGAGGCACTGCATGAGTTTTTTCGCAGTGTTAAATTGATTTTAAGGACACTTGGTGCAGTTGGACAAAATTTATTTTTTTTTCATATGTCCCTGCCCTCAGCTGTTCCTACAAATTGCTAACAGTAAAACTACTGACGTGACCATGAATTAGTATTTTGCTCTTAAAATATATATCTATTTACTTAAAATATTTTTCAGTCTTCTAATAGTATTTTTTTAAATTATACATTATATTCAAGGTTTACATTCCACAATCTGTTTATAAAAACAGTTTTTTTTTTCATACTTACTGTTGCTGGCTCTTTGAGTAATATCACTTGAACAATCCTGGCTGTCATACATATAAAATAGGTATAAGTATCTATGATTTATGCTGCTATCGGTATCAGTCAATACGGAAAGCTGCAGTGTCGTATTGGAAGTGAAAAAGTTCTTTTACCAGAACAGGGCCAGTGCCCATACTTGATCACTTTTCTGTGGTTTTCTGCATAAAAAAATAAATTGAAAGTTGTTACAATGAAAATAAACTGGTTATAAAACACTAACAAAAACAATTTCAATGAGTGCCATACAAAAGGTTAAGAACACAATATGATATGAAGTTAAGGGTTGTGGTTTTTAGGAAATGTTTAGAAGAGGGATAAAAAAGTAAAATACCATTTTATTTTGGAAAAAAAAAATTAAAAAAGGAACTTTGTAAGAAACTTTAAACTGTAAAAAAGTCAGAAGGGACAAACTATTCAAACAGGATCAAACAAGCTGCACAAAGTAACTAGTTTAAACTTGTAAGGCATTGGTCCCAAGGTGCTGCACGGAGCCTAGTGAACTAGACCAAATTCTTGCCTTACAAAGTTTGTAAGTAAATAATATATTTATTTCGTCTGGCTTGCCAGGTTAGCACAGAGGAATTGTCACATCACATGAAATTAAAATGTTTAAGAAGCCATTTTAATGGATGTTTAGCTCTTTTTAAAGCTCAATCTGATACTTCTGTGTAGAGTTCCGGACTGCATCTTGTCTGATATAATTTCTGGGATTAAACAATAAATAAAACAAATTTCTTAAATTTAAACCCATCAAGAATATATTTCTATGCTTTCTGTTTTGTATTTGATTAAAGTACAAAAGCAAATGCACAAAAGTTTCTGTTTCACTGACTTGCATCTAAAACAATACTGCTGGGATTCTGCACAATAATGTTACACAAACAGATTTACACATTCAAATTTCAAGAGTCCATTTTTAACTCGGCTCATTCTTCTTGTTCTGTGTTGAACGTGCTAAGTTGTTTTACAGTCTGCCATTGTATTCGATTTCTGTTTGACTTTTTGTGTTTCTCAGTTGCTCCGATGATGTTCCTTCGAAGAGTTTCGCCATGAAGGCGAAGCCGTTCTTCTTGATGTAAGACTTCCCGGCGAAGGTGTAGAGGATGGGGTTGGCACAGCTGCTGATGAAGGCCAAAGCTGAGGTTACCGCCCGACTGCTCGTGTGGATATTATCCAATCTGCAGAAAAAAGGGTAAAGCGGTAACTTTTGGGAAGCTTTGCCTTAATGCTATGGATGTTAGTCATTTACGTTTTTGCAGGAAAATGCTTACACGTTACCTCAGAGACAGTATTAAAGTAAAACAACGCTCCACAGTAAACTCCCCTTTAATAATTAAAACGGTTACTCACATTGCTCTTGTTTTTGAATCTCGTGGATACCACTTAGCTGTCACCTTCAAAAACAAAAACACAAAAGATGAATTCACAAAACAACCGATTCAGAAGCGGGTCTGATGGCTTTAAACACTCATTCACTCACCTCCACCATATTAATAAAGTGGTATGGCAGCCAAAAGATGCCAAATGTTGTGACAATGGCGAGGATGAGTTTCTCGCTGCGGACCTTGTGGTGAAAGTGGGTCTGTCTCAGGCGTCTCAGGATGAGGACGTAGCAGAAGATGATGATGGCGTACGGAATAATAAATGCCGAGACGGTCTCTAAGGTATACTGGAACCTGGCCTGCACACAGCACCGTGACAAACATCTGGAGTTAATTTATTTCTTCGTTCTCGTCTGATTGCAGTTTTACCTCGAGTCTGAACAAGGTAGTCAAGGTAAAGACAGATGAGGTGAGCAGAAGTGCACTTACATGGCTAGGTTTGGTGTGATTGGGCATGCATACGTCAACGGTTTTATTCATCTTGTCGTGTTTGATGATCACATCTCGAAACACCAGCGAGGGCACGGATATCACCATGACCAACACCCACATGCACAGGATCACCCTCTTCATGATGGCTCTGGTGATCATGTGCAGTTTGTGGGGATGAACCACAGCCACCATCCTGTGCATGCTCATGAGCGTGATCAGAAAGATGGAGGCGTACATGTTGGCGTTGCACAGGTAGAACATGATTTTGCACATGCCGTTCCCAAAGATCCATGTACGCTTGCCCAGGTAGATGATGAAGAAGATGGTGAGGGCCATGAGGAAGCCGTCTGCACACGCCAGGTTCAGGATCAGTATGGCGGTGACTGAGCGCTTTCGGATGCATCCCATGATGCTCCAGATGACGAAGAGGTTGCCGGGAAGTCCCAGGAGGAAGACCAAGCTGAGGATGAGGGCTCCCACAGTAGTGGAGTAGTCATTGCTCACGGCGCTCTCTTCTTCTACGGGGCTTGTGGTTGGTTCAGTCAGGAAGGAAAGACTGGTGCTTGTCATTCTGAGAAGTTTAAATCCTGAAGAGAAGGAAGTCAGACTTTTTTAGAAGTTTAGTTAAAATGTTGAGAATCTTTTTATCAGCTTCCCAACCTCTCAAACACGGCTAATAGGGTGAGCACCTTCATCAAAAACGTCTTCTGTGGTGGGGGCATTTTGGATGGTAATTCATTTAAAACTGATATACTGTTATATAATTAAATGATATAGTGAAACAAGAAACTTTATTATTTTATGTGAAATTGCCACATTGTCTTTTTTCTGCACACGCCATCCAATCCAACAAATGACAACAAACAGGAGTCAAAATCAGAATAAACTGTTAGGCGGAGCAGATTTAATGAGTTTAAACCACATTCTGCTGCTCAGCTTAATGAGAATTAAGAAGGCTCATCAAACATTTATTACCTAAAAGTATTTTTACAACAAATAAGCAATCGACCAAACACACTTGAGTGTGTGGTGAGTCACTGTAGAGAGAAAATGACAATCTGTGCTGACGTGATAAACAGGAAGTTGATGTTTAGCCTTTTTTAGGTTTTTCTGATTCAGACAATTACCAGTTACATAGAAACGTATAAAACTAATAATGAAAATATTGCAGAAATGAAAAAAAAAATAGGGCTTTTTGGTTTATTTCTTACATTCAGAATTAGAAAAGAGGGTTTTAAGTTCTCTGTTCATTCAAACTGGTGCCAAAATAAAATGTTCCTGTAGGGGAAATTACTTGATTGTGAAATATTTTAGGTGGTGATCAAAGAGAAAGAAGGTGATTAATAAAAAAGCAACAAGATGTGTGACTATTTGAATATTTTATGGCTTTTTTCAGCAGGACATTTGGCCTCACAACAACACTTCTTAGTGACGCTCTGTGAGAAACAAGCCTTGAATAAAAGTGAGGATGAAGTGTTGATCATCCAAAAGGAGGTTTCACAGAACTAAATGATGCTGACGCAGGTTCTGAAGTATTCATGTGAGTAGAGAAAACTTGGGCTGCAAGCTAAAACACGCCAAACAGCAGCAGCAGTACGTCAAAGAAGAAAAGGGTTTTAACATTTCCTTGTTTTTCATCTTTCTCATAAAAGCTGGTGGTACAGGGATCAGAACCCTTTGGGTTAATTCTGCACATACATCCTAATCAGCCTTTTTGTTTATATGCTGTCCACATTTTAGAGTTAAACACCACTGAAGAAGGGAGAAACTATAAACTCGACACGATGAGAGCAAATGATCAAGTCCTTAATTCCTAGTAGTTCCTAATATCTGTGTTCTGTTCCAGAACAAGATGTTTATTGTCCTCTAATGACTCAACGGGGTAAACATGATGAAAAGACGAGTTAAGAAATTATTAGGGCTCTAATTCACTTTTATATGATAATTTGGGTAAATTCTTAAAACCATTTTTCATCAAAAATAAAAAGAGAAAGAAAACATGAGGTATTTGGAGTTTAAAATAGAAAAAGCCTCAGAATTGGTTTTGCCAGTAAACCACTGAAGTCAGATTACTGTAGTCTGGGACTGTTCACCTAATTTTATGTGGATACATTAGCTGTAATTAACCAAATGAAGGAAAACAAAGAGTTTAGAAAGTGGAACCAAAGAGCAGAACCAAAGTAAAAAAGCCAAAGAAACTCACCTTTGTGAGATAAAAGCCTCGCTGTGATTCAGTTCTGTCTCTGTCAGCTCATTAGGAGGAGGATGTCCTTCCTCACAGGCTGTGACACGCTGTGGCTTCACAGCAAAATGCACAGAGGTGTGTCCTCCACTCAGGAGCTCGCTCCTCCTGTTTCTATCCTAAAAACGTGAGTACATCCCCATATAAGCTCATTTATAGGGTTTATCTCAGGGATTAGTCATCAAAGAGATGTTTTTAACGAGGAGGCTAAACATGTGTTTCTTTGTCCTGAGGGGATATTTGTTTAACTTTCACTCATTTGTGAGATAATTCGAGGACTTACACAAGCCCTGTGTGTCATGGTGAGCACACAGGTACAATCATGACTAGAAAAAGCTCACGCGCATAAATTAAACCCACCGTCGCCGGTTCAAACAGGTCTTAATATCAGAAATGCATTTCTACCAAAGGGTGGAGATGAAAGCGGAGATCCAGACCTGAAGGGCTGAATCCAGAATTTTTATGCTTTTGCATTCATTGTTTAATTTAATTTTAGTTTTCCTGCTTAAACATTTGACTCAATAATCTGAGAGGGAAGAGGTGTTAAGGAAAAGGTCAACAGTTTGAGATCATATTGGACAGCACAAAAAATCAGCATCAATGTTCTTGAGTCCCTTCTTTAAAATATGTTTTTATGGTTCTGTCTCCAATTAAAACGGTGGATATCACAGTTTATGGGATTTTTAGTTGGATGACTTTTGGGTTTGGTTTAAATAATCCAGGATAAATTTATTGTTCTGGGTTTGTAACGAGAGTTTTAGTTGTGATGACATTGTTCTTATGTAAATGTGGAATATTCTGTTTCTAAGAAGATAAACAGGAGGTCTTTTTTATTTCAAGTTTGACCAAGAAAACAGGGTGCTGCCATTTTCGGCTTTTTGGGATCAAACACACACACACACACACACACACACACACACACACACACACACACACACACACACACACACACACGCACGCACGCACGCACACACACAAACCAGACGTGGGACTGAGAAAGGGATGTTTATTTTAACTTAATGAATTTGCTTCAGAACAATTATTTTTGCAACATTTTTTAAAGAAACTGTATTTGTTACGAACACTTGCAACATTCATTATTGCATCTGCACAGTTTTCTATTCATGTTTCCACTCCCTATAAACACTGTAGGTATTGTTATATTGTTCAGTGTGCAGCCTTTTACTTTTTGCTGTTTTTTTTACTCTCCCTTGATTCCTGTTGCTTTGCTTGCCGCAGTGAAACCAAAATATCCCCACTCACAAACAATAAAGGATGTTTAAATTTTATTGTATTCACTTCTCATACTTTGTGTTAAATCAAAACTAAAATGGCGTTTTAATGTGTAAATGTTGGGTTCACATGGGTTAAAAATCATAACTATTTTATTTATTGAAAGGCTTAAAACTCTACAATTTAAACTGTTCTATGTTTTACCACCAGGGGGCGACATTTTCACAGAAATGAGCTATTCTTCTCTTGACACTCAGCTGTTTACTCACTCACTCATTATGATATTACACCATTGCTTGAATTATGTATTATCCATCCTATTCTACAGTTTTAGGATTTTACATTGTCAAGAAACTTTTGAATTCCTGAAGATTTTAGTAGAATTGTCAGCGTTCTAAGCTGGTCCTAGGCTCTCTTCTTTCTTCTTCTCCTCATGTCTCTTTGATGATGGGTGGAGCCATTATCCTCAATGCCTGTTCTCTGTAAGGGCCAGCCAACTATTCCTGCTGCACATCAGTGCTGATTGGCTCAGCTTCTTCTGCCTGGCAGAGATAGATCACACTCCAGCATCAGATTGTTGTTCTGACGGTGATTCTTGGTCTGGATATGTACCATTTATACTAATTTCCTTTTACCTTCCACTCTCCACATTCACTCCTTTCCTCCTCTCTTCTGAGATATCTGGATTGCCTTTAAATCTGGAGCAGAGGAACAAATTTTCATTGGTAAACAATCACTCTGAGACAACATCACTGTGGATGCACCTGACCACTCCACTATTACTCCTCTCATCTCCAGTGATGCCTGGATTTCCCTTAAACCTGCAGAAGAGACCCAAATTAAACCCTTTTAACTTCCCTCCAGTCTCAGACACACGAGTGAAGGGAAATACAGGCAGTGTTGGGTATTTTTAAATCCTGAAACTTAACCCTGAAATGAACCACACACAGGAGAGGAAGTCAGTAGGTTTTTAACGCTGTGAGGAGACAGCGGAGAGAAAATCAGCCAAAAGCCTGTTCCAGGCCCTTGTCCGATTAACTCTCGCCTCTCTCTGCACCACAGATTGGTTTTATTGAAACACAGACTCACAGCGACAAAGGAGATCCATCACTGTCCACACTTTAACCAATAACAAACACTGTTTTCTATCTAAGGGGGGACCTTCTAAAAAGGAAGTCTCAAGTTACAGGGGTGACCCATTCAGCCTGCTAGCTTTTCATGTTGCCAAGCAGAGCCTTCCCAAAGGAAGTCTTAGTTTATGACTGACAGCCAGAAACTCAGTAACCAGGGATACCTGTTAAGCCGGGCGTACACTGTGCGACTTTTTCACTCGTAGCACTCAGCTTCAGCTCAAACTGTACGACTTCCTCGCAGAGCAGATCTCACGAGCCAGGCGCTCACACTGTACGACCCAGTTCTCGGATGCGACCTGACTGCTCACAATGTACGTCTGATAGCAACACGTCGGCCCTAAAAATATGCTAAAAATAGCAGTTTTTACACAACACGTAATTTGCCTGTTGTCCTTCGGGAGTGCTGCAGGAGGACACAGCGATTTGTGGGGGTTGGATTAGGAAAACGAAATAAAGAAAGTAAATCTGTGTTTTGTGATCAGTGAACATGACAAACGCGCTTTCTTGACAATCTTTGTGAGTAAAAAAATGTGTGGAAATTAAAACGAACAACGTGTGTTATTAGGGAAACAGCGGGGAGCGGTGTTGATGCAGGATTGCGCATGCACCGTGAGCGGTTCTGATACATTTTGGGTCGCAGCTGCTCGCAGCGCCGCTTCAACAATGCGATACCCTCACGAGGGACGAGCGAAATATTAAACACGCCAGAACGGCAGCTGGTCACGTGGTGTTAATCGCCTCTTGTAACCCCCTGTACACTACACGATCGCTCGGCGCAAAACTCGCCCTGATGTCGTGGATTCTCGCACGACTGGAAAATCGGCTCAAAAAAGTGAAAAAGTCGCACAGTGTACGCCCGGCTTTAGGCAGGCTACTCTCCAACCCCCATGCAGACAAACATCAGGGCTTATCAGCCGCATTCCACAGCTATAAGGAAAGGAGAAAGAACTCTGTGGCTTTCTTATTAACATATGATTACTGAAAGAGGAACATTTAAGACAGTAATACTATCATGACTCCCAATCTTTCAGCCTTCATGCAGCACACCTGGTCCCCTCATCAAGCTCCAGCCAAGCCCTGTTTCCCTAGCAACCTCAGCCTGCACCTCATCAACTGCATTCTTCTCACCTGTTCCTGTCATCAGCCTCATTCACCATACCTGTTCCTCCTGCTATATAAGAACCATCCAGCTGCCCAGTCACCGCCAGATTATTGAAAGCTTCTTGCTAGTAAATTCTCCAGCCATTACTCACCTTGCCATTGAAGATCCAGAACCCTGCTCCATCCCCGACTCCGCCTTTTGGAATTCCCTGTCTGTGCCTCAGCATATCTGATCTTCTGGCTCCGATCCTGCTCCGTCCGCGACCTCGCCTTTTTGGATTACCCTGTCTGCTCCGTCGCATATCTGATCTTCTGGCTCCGATCCTCCTCCGTCCCCGACTTCGCCTTTTGGATTTCCCTGTCAGACAATTCCCACCTCAGACCTCTGGTAACTTCACTCCTAATAAATACTTTATTTTACTCTTACTGTGTTTGGCGTCGTCACTGGTCTTCCGAGTTCAGATCGTGACAGAATAATCTGGCCATCAACATAGACCCGACACCGGCACAGTACCTGTCATGGGGTATCTCACGCTCCTGGAGTTTATGGAACTAGAAAAGGAGCAGGAGTCACCGTTCTGGGGAACGTGGCTGGCAATCGGGGAACCCTGCTCCGTCCCCGACTCCGCCTTTTTGGATTACCCTGTCAGACAATTCCCACCTCAGACTTCTGGTAACTCCACTCCTAATAAAGACTTTATTTTTCTCTTTCTGTGTTTGGCGTCATCACAGGTCTTCCGAGTTCAGATCGTGACAAATACATTAAAATATCTAACAGCGTGTATGTTGGTTCATGCAGTCATAGGTAACTTTGTCAAGTGATGCACATGCCTGCCAAGTTGCCATTGGTAGAGAAGGGCTGAAAGTTCATGAACCATCATTTTGTTGGAATGCATTTTGTTTGTGATGCTGACAACTGAACAAAAACATGACTGTTTGAACCCCTTTTAAATATCATGTGTGCGTTCCCAGAAATCTGACTTTGATTTTGGTTCAAAATCAAACCAAATCAGACAATCTAAGCAATGTTTAACTCCAGTTAGCCTCGTAAGAAGCATACTGTATGTGTTCTCCACATTTTTGGTGTTCTGCACAAGTCTCTAGGAGGAAACTGGCTTTTATTAAATCCAAAAACTGGCAGAAAACTATATTTCTAAACCAACCTCTTTTTGGATTTCATTTAAAAATATTCCTTGATCAATTTGAGACTTTATAACATTAAAAATGTGGAAATGTATAGCTGAGCCCCCTCTGTCTTCTGTACTGGTAGCAGTTTTTTCCTCTCCCTAGGCACAATTCAGCATCAGTCCATGGATCCAGGCCTGCCCACACAACCCCAAGAGGACGAGAGGGAGAGTGAAACAAGCCCCCAGTTACACACCAGTATAACATGCTCCTAATGATTGTGAGAACTGGAGGAGGGCTAAGAAGGGGGACAGGGAGAGTTGGGGGAGGAGAGAGTGTTTATTTAAGTTTTTCGTCTTCTGACTCAGACAGAGAGCAGACTACAGATGATAATGAGAAACAGATCTTTGGTGGAAAGGAAGAGGAGGGAGGGGAGAAGGGAAGCGGTTTAGAGGGGAAAAATGAAGAAGAAAAGGGGAGGAGAGGATGACAGCCAAAAAAGGGGGTTATGGTGTTCACGGTACAGGAAGTAGGCCCTCTAATGTGCAGCCCTGGTGGCCATGTGTCCTGCTCATCATGATTAGAATAATTATCACTTGAAATGCTAAACAATGAATAAGGATAAAGACAAAACGGAGCTTTGACTTTTTTTAACTGCTGAGATGTTGGAATGATGCTCTAGAATAAGAGAAATGCAAAATTTGCTTGAATAAAGAAAGTTTGAACTGAATGTTTGACTTAAAATATAAACTCCAGAGTGAGGAGGAAGAGGAGGGAAGCAGGAGGCTGGGCAGGGGGGATTCCTGACGGACACATCCAAGGCCCTATGGGGAGCGAGAACCAGAGCAGCCAGGGCTGGGAAACCCACCCAAAGGCAATTAAGGGTAAAGGACGACAAAAATATTTGATACACTTTTTTACCCCTCCTCTTCCTCCTCTCTGTCTCGAACGGGATAGAAGAAGAAGGATCATGGGTTATCGATGGAGCGGGATTAAGAAGACGCGGATACGTGGTTTGAAAAACTGATTAAACTTGGATGACAAAGCATCAAGTCCGAACAACTTGAATAAACAATCAGCCAAGAGGAAGTACAGTTTTGCAGAACCAAATTCTTGAAGATGAGGGCTGTATTTGCGCAATGACGCGCTGAGTTTGGGAAAGTTTCTGACTGTCGTGGCGCACTGAGAAGTTTCCAGTCGCTGTTTCCGACGCGGGACATCAGGATTGTATCTGCGAATCTTAATCCTGTCCTCGGTGCCGGAGGACGATGGGGGCCGCGCCGGGCTCGGGCTGGGAGGAGGGCGAGTTCGAGTTCAAACTGGTGTTTGAGGAGGATCCGCCTCAGCGGCAGCTCCAGGGACCGTCCCCGGTGCGCACAGCCGAGCTGGAGAGCTGCGTTCCCGGAGAGGAAAGTGATGGCGTCCTGTTGCAACTGGACTCCTCTAACAGCAACGACCTGGGTTAGAGTTTTAAATGAAGTCCAAGCAAAGTGGCCTTTTTGAATGCATGCGTGTGAATTTATTACATCCACATAACCTTCATCCATGAGACTGTGTTTGCGTGTGACGCGTGTGCGTGCCAGGCAGTTTCTGGGTGAACTGTAATCCAGGCTTTGTTTCCTCGGCATGGCATGCATCTGCGTGCATATCTCACTGTATCCTTGTGTTTGCGCGCATTTGCGTGAGTGCATGTGTGCACTGCAGCCCCAGACTCAATGTGTTTCTAATCAGCTGTGCGTGTGAGCAAAGTTAACAGCTGCCATCTGGGAAGGAACCTCAACCCCTGCACACACACACACACACACACACACACACACACACACACACACACACACACACACACACACACACACACACACACACACACACACACACACACACACACACACGGATGTTTCTCCAAACTAAAATGTGTCTATTCAGCAGAATTAACACCAAAAATGCAAACAATGAAAAACATTTCTTCTTTGCATTTTAATACAATTGACGCAATAAGGATGACTAAACTATTTATTAATTTTACAAGATAATAATAATGTAATAATGAAGTTTAATCAAAGTTTTAAAATCTTTTTCGTTAATTAAAATTTCCTGTTAATTTCAGTGCATGCTACCATGTTCTTGTCAAGCAGAAAAGTTTATACGTGTATTTTTAAAAAACACGTTTTATGCCCCAATTCTTGAAATTATACTGCCCTAAGTTTTTACAAAGACTATAATGATGCATTTTAATCTCCTTAGCCATAAGTCCTGCTGTATCTCAGATGAAAGCAAACTTCAAATAATCATTTATTTACATATATTTTAATTCTTTTAAGATGTCAGGCATGATGTGCAATCAAGCTGAACTCTTAACCACCACACACAGCTCTGTGCTTGTCTGTACAACGTATCTGTTTGCATATTTTTAACAACTAAATTAATAAAAATGTGTTTTCTGAATTGTTTATATGTTATTCTCTAAATAATCCACACAGAACACCAATCCTTTTAGCTTAAGCTTACTTTAAAATAGAGAAATCTTGTTTATTATACCATTCACTATTATCTCACTGGCTCATCTGAACACAAGTGGAAACTAAAGATTTATTTAGCAACTTCGTGTCTAAAGTCTAATCACTGATCTAAATCTAATTATTCATTTAAGGTTCAATTCTTGGAACAACACTCAGGTGTGTCCTGGATTTGTAATTAATAACAAAAGGAACATTTCATCTAAAAAAGTAAGTAAATCAAATTAATCCCCTCCTTTTGTGACAGCTTAAACTCATAGAAAGAAATAAAAAGTTGGATTTTACACCTAAACTTGGCTTCTCAGAACAACCCTTTGACCTCATTAATGGCCAAATATAATAAATGTTTGCAGCAATAAATTCACTGGACAGTTTCCTGCGCTGCATGACATAAACTTCAAGGCCTTACATTAATTATGAGAAAAAAGACAAGAGCAGCTTTAAACAAGATCTGTGAAGTTAGTTCTTTAATCTATCGGGAGTACATTAGCTCAGCTTTGGAGTGTAAACACACCTTGTGCATGTGTGTGTGTGTGTGTGTAGTATAAAATCAGCTCTGGACATATTTAACACTTAAGAATATCTTTTTTATTGTATTCAAAAAATGTTAGGTAAGCTTTCAGGGCTCATTACTTTCACACACACACACACACACACACACACACACACACACACACACATTAGTGTTTCACAACAAAAAGCCGCCCGTTGAAGCGTTGCCTCAGCACTGCAGCTTTAATCACTTGGAAATATTTCTTTTGCCAGGAAACATTTGAAGAGTTGTGTTTTTTTATTTACCTCGAGCGGTTATTTCTTGGCGTTTTCGCTTGTACGTCCTTTTTGCCCAAACCTTTCCCTCGTGGCTTACTGCCAGTGCAGAACAACAGATGAAGTCTTGCTTATTTCACAGTAACCGCTGTTATGCTTGTTGTAAAAATGGCTGAGCAGCTGTGTACTTGTTTTGGGTGGTTGTGTGGCTTAATATCTTATCTGTTAGGGATATTTTTTGTTTTAAATATATTTGTGATGGAAATGGCCTCACTTTAAAACATTAGCCACATGTGTGGTTATTAGTTGGATGTTAGCAGGAGCAGGACCTGGTTGCTGCTTATTGTCAAGAATCAGGTTGATAAAGGTCGGGGAAATGAGTTTTTAATCAGTTTAGTAGATCATATTTGTGAGTTTTAAATAAAATATGTGCATTTGTTGTGTTTATGCTCTCTAACCTAGTTCCTCTAGACAAGCGGTCACCTACCTTTGTTTAGCAGAGAGGTACTTCATGATCTTTTAGCCGTATGAAGGGCTACCAGGTTGGCACCAACTGTTGTGCACAATACTGACCTTTGAACTAGAATAGGTTTGAAGTTTAGCTAAAGTGTTTTAAAAAACACATTTTAAGGCATTTTAATGCTAATGTGATGAAAAAAATTCCCCTAGGCGTCTCCACAGTGAATCACGAATTCTGCATCCTCTGCCCTCACACCAACTTCGTGTCCTCTTGCACCGTAAATCTCTGTTGTCTCGCACCTCGCCTCCTGCCTGATGGCTCCACCCTCATCATCCTTCTACCAATGGAATCATTGTCTCTCCTGTGGACATGTCCAGACTATCAGTTTGTTCTGACTTATGTGATGAGCTGTCCCTCTGATGGACTCTATCCATCCTCAACACTCCCACAGAGAACTCCAACATCTTGAGCTCTGCAGCCTCCAGTTCTGTCTCCTGTCTTGTCCTCATGAACACTGTCCCTAAAACAGTCAACATGGCTGCTCTCACTACTGTCTTCTACACCTGAAACCCGTTTATCACTCATCACACCTGACTCTTTTCTCCACCCATTCCAACCTGCTTCACACGCTTCTTCAGCTCATTTCCACTCTCTCCATTGCTTTGGACCGTAGACCTTATCTTCTACCTTCTTATACTCCCTGTAATCTTCATCCCTCTCTTTTCCAGTACATATCTCCACCTCTAGCTTCTCCTCTACCTGCACCATGCCCTCACTGCAGATCACTCTGTCATCTGCAGACATCATACTCCACGCAGAACACCATCTGTAAGTGGCTCAGAGCCGATCCTAAATGCAGTCCCACCTCCTACAGCACACCTCACTGCTGCCTCACAGCATAAATGTCTGCACCACTCCAGCAGATTTCTGTCCTCTCCAGACCTCCTCAGGCACCACAGCTCCTCTCTAAGCACTGTCAGACACGTTCCCTAACTCTACGAGGACACAACAAACGTCTTTCTGATCTTCTCATACTTCTCCATCAGCATCCTTGAAGCAAAACCTGTAGAGCTCTTTCTTGGCATCAAACTGTTCTTCTGCTTACAAATGTTCAGTTCTGACCTAAGCTTATCTTCCACCTCTCTTTTCCAGAGCTACATCTAGTGATGTGTACCTTTTATTCCTTTGTAGTTCCCACAATTGTGTAAGCCAACTCTGCTACCCTGTTGTTAATCACATGAAGTGCGATTTTTAAAAAATCGCTGCAGAAAATAATATTTTAGACTTTTCTGAGAAGGTCCCTGGGGTCACCTGGTGCAGACGGGCATGGTGTCCCCTGCTCTAGACCCTCTATCCAGCATTTTCTAGTTCTTTCCTCACTCCAACACCTGGTTCAATTGTTGAATTGCCTGTTCTGTAGGTCATCAAGCTCTGCAGATGCCTGTCAATCACCCACTGATTAAAATCAGGTGTGTTGGAGCAGAGAAACTTCAAAATTACACAGATTTCTCAGTTTCAACTCACCTGTTCCTCTGCATCTGCACCTAGACGTTTGGTTGAATGAACCCATTAAAGGAGCTTTTAGAGTGAAGAAGTGTCTGCTTCTTCACACTTGATGTGAATCTGTGGGTGATTAACAGGTTTCTGCAGAGCTTAATGACATATTTTCAGGGGTTTTGCTTAAACTTACCATAGCTAGTTAGCCTTCTTTATGCATACTGATCCTGTATCTCTGCTCTAATCATAAATAACAAAACAGTTTCTTACTTTAACACAAAACAAACGTTGAAGTGATTAATAATGTGAGGCTAAATTAAATCATTCAACATGTGTTTACAGAATATTTAGCCTCATTATTTCATTAAAGAAATATCTGACTCCTGATCTTTGGATAACAGCTTTAAAAACAGGCAGAATAATTGGAGACAGAGCGTTTCTTGGCTTTGTGTAACGGGTTACAAAGGCAAGACGTTTATTTTTTTAAATTAAAGAAGCTTAGCTGGATCTTTAATTTTGTTTACAACATTGTGATTGTGACCTTCTTGTACTTTGTGCAAAGAGAAGCAGCAAAAATAAACAGCGGGTTTCCAGAGATGTCACTGTGGTTAAGAATAAAATAAAAAGATTTGTGGTCATGGGAAAGAAATTCACGTTTATAAATACAAAAAAATGACTAAATTCTTGTCTAAATTCTTACTGAGAAAATAGAAATTCAGATAATGCAGCACTTTAGAAATATCATTGATAAGAGTGTATAGTTTATTGGAGGTTTGTGATTTCTTCATGCAGGTATGGACAACCATCTAGCTGTCTCTCATGCGGGACACACAATCACCATCCCTACTCCTCCATCATCCAGTCAGAGGGCAGGGATGCATTCCCCGCCTCCTCGCCGGGCCGCCATCAGGGAGTTTACTGGGACCTATGAGAGCCTGCCAGCACGCTCTGTGCAGGTAAGTCATTGATGACAGCAGTGACATCGTTAAACAGTTCATATTTCTCAAGAATCCTGGACCATGCTTTTGTTTTTGATGTCAGGGAGGAGAAATCCTGCAAGTGTCTCCTGGGATTTTCTTTTTGTCTCCAAAGTTGTTTTTTTTAATAGCTTAACTTCTAAAAAAAAAAGGGTTTTTGCTAAATGTAAAACCACTTCAAATATATATATTTAGATGTGATTTAAAAATACTGTCTACCTTTCATCCAGGTTTCAGAGTCTTGTGTGGTCGAGTGCCCCAGCATCCAGATAACCACCATCTCACCTGAAGATGACTCAGCACCCTCTTTTCCCAGCTATTGGGACATGGGCAGCAGTGGCGGGTGGGACAGAGAGCGTCTTTACCTCCCTCTGCTGGACCCTTTTTCTTATCGTGATAGATGCCCGGGGTCCCTCAGCCCAAGCCCTGCCTCCAGCCCCTCCTCGCGGGGTTGGCTCAGCCCTGCCTCCAGCTGCGACTCCCTGCTGGTGGAGGAGGAGGAGCTCAGTGAGGCCACCAGCAGTTTTGGACTCTCGCCATCCTCAAGGCCTACTTCACCTGGGGGTAAAAAGCGTAGGAACTCTCCGTTGGCCTCTCCTTGTACTTCACGGAGGGGTAGTTACTCAGAGGAGCTGCAGGGGTGTACCCTCGAGGGTGGAGAGTCCACCTCTCAGTCACAAGCTCTGCCTGGAAGCTGTGAGCTCAGTATCCCACAGAAAACCAGAAAAACCTCATTGGAACAGGTAAATAAGGTGATGATGAGTGATGTGCCCACAGTTTCCAAATGAGAGACAATATCGTATTTTGCATTCTAGTTGTCTACCAGGGAGGTGGATCAGGAGCAGGCTCCAGGCCACGGCTCCCCATGCCCCCTAGCAGAGACCCAGCAGACCAGAAGAGACCCCCCATCCTTGAGCATGGACTACCTCCCTGTACCTCCTGCTCTGGCCTGGGGCAGAACTAGAGCTAGTGCCCAGAGTCCTCTGTTTAGGCAAGAAAACTCAGAAACAGAGAGAAAAAAAATCCATGCATCTACCGTAAATATTCTACTCATTGCTGTCGTCTTGTGTTCACCCATCAGGTCGAACGCTCTGCCCCCTCTCGACTGGCCGCTGCCCTCCCAGTTTGACCAGTATGAGCTACGTATTGAGGTGCAGCCCCGCCCACACCACCGGGCCCACTACGAGACTGAAGGCAGCAGAGGTGCCGTCAAAGCTGCACCAACAGGACATCCTGTCGTCAAGGTCAGGCCTGCTTGTGGACGCAGATTTGTCAAAAAGAGATTTTAAAGACGCTATAATTTAATTTTGGTCCTTTTGTTGAAGTCTAATCTGTGGGATGATGAAACCAAGTCTCCGTGTCTCAGTGCCATTGGCCTCCTCACAGTTTGAGTTCGTTGCTCACAGTGTGTCTCTCTGTACAGCTGTGTGGATACACGGAGAGGAAGCCACTTTCGCTGCAGGTCTTCGTTGGAACAGCTGATGACCGCTCGATCAGGCCACATCCCTTCTATCAGATACACAGGTACGGACCTCCAGAGACGCATACCACCATGCATGCTTTCCATGGGACTTGAAGCTCACGAGACACATCATCTGACCCCCATAGCTTTGAAGTGATCAGCTGCTTTGACCTTTGCTTCAGGACATAATTATTCTCAGCTCAGGCAGATATCTAATCAGTAAGGTCTTAATCTGAGGGCTAATTGTTTCTTAGCACTCCCATAGGATGTTCAAAACTGTGTAGAAGACTTGTTTTAGATTTTCCTTACATGTTGACTTGTATTTAATGTGATTTTAATGTTTTTCTTGGGATTTTGGTTGGATTTTCCAAAAAATCCCAGCAATGACTCAGTTTGACAGACAGGAAATCAACACGGGTTTCAGATTCTGATCTGCTGTAGATGACCTTTTACTTTTGGTTGTTTCTTTTTAAGTAATAAAGAAAATAAAATGTAATTTAGTGATTTTTTTTGTTTGTTTTAAAACACCTACCTACACATGCTTGTCAGCGTCATTTTTGTAGAAAATGCAAGTGATAAAAAGGGATGATAAAATATTATAAGGACACAATAAATAACTAAATGCGCCAAGAGAATCAGCTGATGGATCAGATGAACTGTTGTGATTCGCTGCTTGCAGGGTGACGGGGAAGATGGTCGGCACAGCCAGTCATGAGAGTGTTCAGGCCGGAACCAAAGTTCTGGACATTCCTCTGAACCCTGAGAACAACATGACTGCTCTGTGAGTAGAAAACAAGAGATGTGAACAAAGCAGCCATTTGGAAAAAGGTCAAAAGGAGTTTGCCGATGATGTTTCCTATCATCTCTTTGCTGATGATCTTCAGCTGTATTGTTCTTTCAAGCCTTCTGACGTTAAAAAATTGCATTCTTTATTATCATGTTTTGAGCGAATCAAACAGTGGCTCGGTGCAAATGCCTTACGGCTGAACTCAGACAAAACTGAAGTACTGGTGATTGCCCCCGATGATGCTGCTCCAGGGATTCACCAGCAGTTAGGTGATCTGAGCTTGTCTGTAAAACCTACCCTTAGAAACCTTGGAGTTTTCTTTGACAAGGGAATGTCTCTTGAACATCACGCAAAGCAGTTAACTAGAAACTGTTTTTACCACTTGAGACAAATTTCTAAACTCAGAACAATGGTGTCTAAAGCTGATCTTGAGTTGATTATTCACGCGTTTACATCATCCCGTTTAGACTACTGTAATAGTTTATTTTCTTGTCTAAACAAAAAAGAGCTGTCCCGCTTACAACAAGTCCAGAATTGTGCAGCTAGAATTCTGACCCGTGACAACAGAAGGGCCCACATTACCCCCATTTTAAAAGCTCTTCATTGGCTTCCTATCACATTTCGCATAAATTTTAAAATTCTTGTGCTGACTTTCAGAGCGCTACATGGTCTGGCTCCATTGTATGTTCGAGACATGCTCTGCCCTTACACGCCTTCTCGCAGGCTGAGATCTATGGATCAAAACCTTTTAATGGTCCCACGTACTCAGTTCAGGACACGAGGAGATCGCTCATTCCAGGCCGTCGCTCCTAGGCTCTGGAATGAGCTACCTCTCTCTTTACGCTCAATCGACTCAGTTGATGTTTTTAAGAGCAATCTTAAAACCCATTTGTTTCTCCAGGCATTTTAAACTTACTCTCATTCAGATTGGTTTTATTTGACACTGTATATTGTGGCTGTATTTTACTGTATTTATATGTTGTTGCCTTTTAACTTGTGAAGCACTTTGTGACCTTTTTGTCTGTGAGAGGTGCTATAGAAATAAAGTTACTTACTTACTTACTTACTAATCGGGTGTTTAACGGGAGCATTTCATTTATCTGATGAATATGTCCTATGCAAACCTTTGTTTCCCCACTTTTTTTTTTTAGAAAAACAAAAAGCATAACTGGACCTTTTTGGGGTTTTCAAACGGAGAAATTTTGACTTTGTTTTTCTTTTAAATACAAAATGTGTTAAATAAATTTAAAATAAAATATTTAATTAAATAGTCTATAAATTATTTAAGAAAAATATGAAATGTTATATCATTATATGTTTTTATTCTAAAATATTTTCGGGAGTAACATGCTGCAGAAACACACGAGTGAAGCTTTTCCCGTTTCCCGCCGTTCTGTGTTTCAGCATCGATTGCGCCGGGATTTTGAAGCTGAGAAACTCAGACATCGAGCTGAGGAAAGGCGAAACAGACGTTGGGAGGAAAAACACTCGCGTTCGTTTGGTGTTTCGTACTCAGCTCTCTCTGGCGCCCCTTGTGGCCTCCTCAGGAAGAGTTTTGGCTCTTCAGGTCGCCTCTCTTCCTATCGAATGCTGTAAGTGTCTGATTTATTCTTATAGTCCTGGAGGCCATTGTGCATTAGTTCATCCTCTCTGCCATCAGCTCAGCGCTCAGCTCAGGAGCTGCCCGTCATCGAGTCCATCAGCCTTACCTGCTGCTCAGTGGAAGGAGGGGAGGAGTTGCTGCTAACTGGGAACAACTTTCTGGCAATATCCAGGGTCCTTTTCATGGAGAGAGGAACAGGTACGAGTCCAGCGTTGGCACCAACCCCTCTGGCACCGTTATGTTAGAAAACAGTCACCCTGCCAACGGCTTCCAGTAACGGCTAAAAATTTGGATTCGTCTGCTTATTTGTGCTTTGTATTTTTCTTCCGTTTGTCTTTTGTTTGATCAATTTAAACGAGTAAACGTGTGCAAAGTGCAGCATTTTTTAAATTAAACAAGACATGGGCATCTTTTTTGTTTTCTGCGTAAAATATGTTTACAGTGCTGTTTGTATTTGTGCAAATCAGTGTCCTAGTTTCACGTTTTAGATTATTTATTCATTTTTAGATGAATTTCATGCTGATGTTTGGCATTAAGTGTTACCCTGATCAACTCTTTTGGCCAAAGACTTTTTTTCAGATCATGCGTGCGTCTGTTCTCTCTGCTGCTGTTTGTTTTTGGATGAAGTCATTTGATGTTAAATTCTGATCTGTAAAAGAAAAAGAGGACTCATTCATCTTTGCCTAACTCTGCTCTCACGTGTTAGATGGTAAGCTACAGTGGGAAGAGGAGGCTCACGTCGACAGAGACAACAGCAACGAGGTACCTCAGTGACCAAACGACACGGAGCTCCACTTTGCAGTTTTCTTTTTTACTCATTCCTGTGTTTCATGTCCTGTAAGTGTTTGTTGTGTGTGAGAGTTCCTGCCTACAGCGACCTGTCCATCAGCCAGCCCGTGTCCGTCAGTCTCTATGTCTCTAACGGGAAGAGAAAACGGAGCAGCACTCACAGCTTCAAGTTTCGTCCTGGTGGGTGTCTTCTCTGTGGACATTTAAATCCCAGCATCAAAAACACATTTAAAGTCAGTCAGGAACTCTTTAGAAAATAAAAAAATATACATTCTGTTTTTTCTTCCAGTCATGTTTAAAGAGGAGGATCCTTTGCTGTCCCGACCCCCCGTCCCACCTCTGGATGGCGGTCCATCCAGAATGGACAGAGGTTTCCATGTGTCTGATGACAGGGGGCTGGGCTTCCACCTGCCCCCATACCCTTCTGCTTACTCCCCTCCCTGTCCGGCCATCAGCTACCATGAAGAGTACTGCTCCAAACCTGACACCACGGTGGAGGAGTCGGGTGGGTCCAGGGCAGCTCTGTCTGAGCGTCACCCCAGCTTTGAGAATCTGGAGCTGGGCTTCACTGAGCTCCTCGCCCCTCTGTACCCCCGTGTTCCACAGCCTCCCTCCCCATCTCCTTCCCCATGGCTGGACTCTCCCTACCTCTCCTCTTCACCCTCCCCTTCCCACTCCTCCTCCCTCAGTCCGTTCCCAACCGAAAGTCCCATTGCAAACTCCCCCCTGCCTCCCATTCCCACTCCACCTTTTCCACAGTGCTCTCCGTATACTCCAGAGGTATGCCCCTCCCCTCCCTCCATACCCTACCAGGACACCTGCCTAGCACCTTTCTCCCACTATGAGGGCTGGGACCCCGAAGGGAGAGTGTTGGGTACGGGGCATGGGAGAGAGGGGGATGCAAAGATCCAGGAGTGTCCTCTGGAGTTCAGCAGCTCTCCCTCGATGCACCACATTACCTTTGAAGAAGGTGAGATGATTTGATTTGAATGAATAATCAAAATAATTTATGATCTAAAGCAAACAAACCGTCATATTTATGGATGGATGGAACATAATTAGTTTTCCTCTGCTTCCCAGTGTCGGAGTTCATCGGGGAGGACATCCAGACCTTTCATTCAGGTTCACTCATGAACAACCATCCAAACTGAACTCAGATCAGCTGATGATTCCTGTTAGATATCCAGTATATTTTTAAATTCCCCATGCACTTGGTATCAAACTACCAGAACACTTTTGTAATTCTATCTTGGCCAAAGTCAACTGTTTCATAAAGGGAAACTATGTTTTAAAATGTCGTACATAAATTATATTAAAAAGAAAGAAATAACACAAGTCAGGTGTCGTTTTGTGTGCTTTTTTATTTTACCTGCAACAAACTAAAATAAAAAAGAAGATTTTAACCAAATTTAGACAATGCTTGAGCTGCTAGAAACAGCTAAACATTTTCTTCAAAATTTGGATTTAGATTGTTGAAAATGTCTTTTTTATGTAATTTTATGTCTACGTCAACAAAACCAACCTAGAAAGTTTGAATTCTTGGGACTTTAGTTGTTTTCTGCCTATAAAATGTGATAAAATTCTATCAGTTTCACGTCATTTTTAAAGGTTTATTAGATAAACTTTTCCTCAGATTGCTTTAGATGCACCGCATCTTTAAACCAACCAGCAGCTGTTTGTCCTTTATTCTTCTGCAAGAAAGATTCCAGCTCCTCTTCTTCTTTTATTTTTAGCTTCAGCTCAGGATTCATTCTTTAAAAAGTTGGTTATTTTAAATCCTAAAGGAAACAAAAGCAGAACTGAAACCAAGAAGTTACCCAGACTACATAAATAACAAGTGAAAACAGATTTTTTTTGTTTAACTTGCAGAAACAATATTATTTCCAAACGTCAGATAACATTTTATGCCATTCATGTCGCCATCTATTGCCAGAAGTCACATGAATTGGGATGCTTTTTCCATGAGCAGCATGTTTCAGTGTCTACATTCTCCCTGTCTGTAATTTTAAACTTTATTTATCATTATGTGCATAGTTTCCCAGCCTATAAATAGACGAGCAAGGTCAGCCTGACTTCATGGAGCTACCCGTCTTGTAAATGTCAGTTTCCATTCTAATGAATTTGTTTATATTATTTAATTTTCACATTAAGCTGTCAAATAATCTTTGAAGCCATCTTAACGTTTCTTGTCTTTTCACACATATTTTACCAGAACTGCTCAGAAAGCTTCAAGACACAAGTTTTATGCATATTTTGAGCATCTTTACTGACCCGCTTGAGTGTATTTAGATAATATGAACAAGTCCAAACTTTTTCTGTCTGATTGCAGGAACTGAAGATACTGAAAGCTGCAGCTTTGCAAGAAGAATCTAATTCTTTCTTTTTAAAAGGGACATTTCAGCCACTTGAGTGTCTGAAAAAAACTCCAAAATCAAAATGATCCTTTAAATTGATGCCGGTCTCTTAAAGAGATAATATGCCGTTTTGGCTTGCTTTTAGCACCCCCTAGTGTCTGTTAATAAAAGTGAAAGTGAAACTTTTCTCCTCGCCTGCATTCGCCATTGTAACACCTTAATCTTAACTAGTTTCTACAGGAACTCAATCGTTAAATCAAACCATTAGCTCTGTTTACAATCTGAGACATGCAGGAAACAAGCTGGTAGCAGCCTGCAGCGCATGCATATAAGCTCCACTTTACTAAATCCAACAGGGACTCTGAAGTTGCAAGTGCAATATTCTGGCCACAGAGGGCAGTGGGCTCTAAGTAACTTCATTAACCCAGTAAACGGTCATTTTAGCACATACTGGCTCGAGAAAATGATTCAAGAAATCCATCAGAAAATTTACTGATCAACTGAAATGTCGCACTTGTTTTAAGTTTTTTTTTTTCTTTTTTTCAAATTGAAGTTTAAACATGAACTCATCTAAACTAATGATGTGTTTTGAGCAAAACTATTATTTAAAGAATCTCCTTGTCCAGCATAACTTTTAAATCACAGTATGATGATTGTTTATTGTGCCTCTGTCTCATTAAAACTCACAAGCCGTACGTTTTCAGCTTTGACCTTTATGCATTTAGACTTGCGTTGGGTTTCACTGCACAGTAGAAGCAACGTTGTGTGGGATTTGCCAACAACTGGGAAACGTCTCTTTTTACCCAATTTGCATCCTTACCCATACTAAACAGCGTATTTAGTGCAGGACTTTCCTGATTTGTGTTATATTCTTAACTCCTTTTGTTTCATTCTCTCACATGTCTTTTTTTAGTGCGTTGCAGGCATCACACTGACAAAACGCAGGTTTTTTTGGTCGGTCCTGACTGGTGAATGTAAGATGTTTGCATCCAAGTTGAATGAAACGTTTTCGTTTTTTTTTTAGGAAGGTTTGTGCTTCTTTGAAATCCTTTAAGGTTCCACCAGGGGGGGCTAAATACTCAAACATCACACAGCATTCCTTTTCGATTAAAAAAATACATGAATTGATTGTAGGAATTAAATTATTTTGTTTTTAAATTGAATTAAAACATTTTAAATCATTTTAAAAGCAGCTGAAGAGCTTTTACTGGGATACACATTTTAAAGGGCTACATGTTTGATTTAATTTTTATTCCTTTATATTGTTGACCAGATATGTAAAAATTACCTGCTGGTTTTTTACATTTACATTCAAAACTTGATCTGAATCTAAGCATTTAGACAAAACTGCAGTACCTGCATGAACAGAGGAAGGTAGTAAAAGCCCCCTGATGCTGATGTATTGATAATGGCCTCATGGACCAGGAACTGCACCGACAAATCACATTAAAGCCCCCGAGGGAAAAGAAGACAGACATCTTTATTCATTCAGATATTTTAGGAAACAAAATAAAGATGAATGTCCAATTTTTTTTAATTATTAACTGAGGAGCTTTTCAGGACTGCACCAGTAGCAAACCAGCACAAACACTGATCAAGTTTCCCTTTCAATCAAACTGGTAGCAACAAATTACAACACAGTCAGAATGAAATCAAAGGACACAAATATGTTGGAATCAAAAGAGCACATTAAGAAACAGCCCCAGAATAAATCACCCTATTTTTGACGCGGCCTGCACATCTGTTTGTGATTAAACCCTCACAGTTTGGAAAGAGAGGTTTTAAATCTAACTCAGGCTCACGCTGCAGCGGTTTCTCTAGTCGGAGGACAAATGCAGTTCAGCTCAGCTCTGTGGTGGACACCTTGCATGCAAACATGTCTGCTGCATCAGAGATCTTTTGTTTCAAATTATTGAAAGACTCACTTCTTCGCTGTCTCCTTAGCGAGGGTTGGAATGTCAGGAATTAATTTAGTTAGTGAGGTGGATTGGGAAGCCTGCTCCCTGTATGACATCTTGTTGTTTTCTGAGGCAAATTGCTAATTGTGCAACTGTGTGTGTATAACCATGTATTGTGCAAAGTTCTGCAGCACATTTTCACTTTTTATAATCTCATAAATCAGCGAGAGACAAAAACACTGTATACATAAGGTCATAGAGACCTACCAAGAGCTCTGCAGAGCCAGGATGAGGTTAAAAAGCACCATGATGGACCATTTTCCTGCAATGTCTTGGTGTATCTTTGTGGGATAAGTTCAGTTTGCTGTTGAGGTGAACACCCAGGTACTTAAATGTACCCACCACCTCAATGTATGTAATGCAGTCTGCACTTTAAGGACACTAAGATCCATTTGGGGGCAGATGCAGAAAAGACCAGTTCAATCAGGGGGGTCCAAACCTGGTCCTAAAGGATCAATTATAAATAATCTAATGACCCAATGAGGAGTTACAGAACTAAACACACTGAAAGGCAGGGGAGACTAATTACTAAGTGGGGAGGAACAAAAAATATTAAAGGGAGATACTAACTTAGATAATCTAAACATACAGAAAACTAAAGATAAGTGAACTAATAAACCTGAAACCAGAAACACAAAAATAAACAAGAAACACTTTAACATAGGACACTAAAAAGACCAGAACCAAATGAAGAGGAGATCAAATACTGGGGAAAATAACAATAATGAAGATGGGTAAACTGCTGGGGCAGCAGTAGCTCAGGTGGTAGAGCGGGTTGCTCCATGATCGGAGGGCCATGGGTTAGATTCCAGCTCCTGCCAGGGGTGCTCTGCTGTTGTGTCCTTGGGCAAGACACTTCACCTAACATGCCTGTGTTGGTGGTCAGAGGGGCCGACGGCGCCAAATGGCAGCCTCGCCTCTGTCAGACCGTCCCAGGGTGGCTGTGGCTACAATGTAGCTTACCATCACTGGCCGTGTGTGAATGTGAGAGTGTGTGAAAGCGTCTATGAGTGTCCTAAAAAAGTGCTACATAAGTTCAATGCATTATTATTATTATTATTAATAAATATGAAGTGAAGTGACATGGGGGAAACCTGGAGGGGGATGGGGACCACAGGGACACAGAACATGACAGCTGAAGCAGAGAAATCTCAAAAACGTGCCTCTTAAAATAGAATAGAATAGAATTTATTGATCCCACAGTGGGAAAATTCACTTGCTACAGCAGCACAAACACTTAGAGAAAAGGAAGATGAAAAATAATAAAAAAGATTACAGGCAAACACACAAAGACAGTAAGCTATTATCGTGATCTTCATCCACTGAAAAAAAAAAAACAAATAAAAAGAAAACTTGGATTCCAGAACTATGCTGCACACTGTAAGGGACACAGACATACTATGTAAATCCAGTATTGCACAAGGTTTAAACTCGTACTGAGTATTGCATTGGTGTTACTGTGTACCAGGATAATACAACTTAGACTGAGGAGTTATACACTCTTACTGCAGAGGGGATGAACGACCTAAGGTAGTGTTCTGTTTTACATCTGGGATGTCTCAGTCTGCCTCTGAAGGAGCTGTCCATGGTCTCCACAGTAGAATGCAGTGGCTGGGAGGGGTTTTCCAATATGGAGGTTATCTTTCCCAGCATCCGTCTTTCACACGTCTCCTCAACTGAATCCAGTGGGCAACCCAGAACCAAGCTAGCTTTGTGAACTAGCTTGTTCAGTTTCTTCCTGTATCAGTCAGAGCTGCCTGCACCCCAACAGACCACAGCGGAGTGGATAACAAAGCCAACAACAGAGTGAAAAAAAGATTTAGCAGATGGGGATTAACTCCGAAGGACTTCAGCCTCCTCAGGAGGTGGAGGCAGCGTGGCCCTTCTCATACACAGCATCTGTGTTGTGGGATAAGTTCAGTTTGCTGTTGAGGTGAACACCCAGGTACTTAAAGGTATCCACCACCTCAATGTCTGCTCCCTTGATGTTTACTGGTGAGTGAAGAGGAATATTTCTCTGAGTGTTTCCTTTGTTTTACTGGTGTTCAAGCGAAGCTGGTTATGCTCACACCAGTCAACAAAGTCAATGATGACTAACCTGTGTTCCAGGTCATTCCCCTCAGACACACAGCCGACAATGACTGAGTCATCAGGTGACAGCTGCTGGTGTTGTAGGTGAAGTCCGAGGTGTACAAGGTGAAGAGAAAGGGTGAGAGCACCGTGCCCTGTGGAGCTCCAGTACTACACACAACCACCTCAGACGTACAGTTGTGCAGCCTCACTACTGTAGCCCATTTGTGAGGTAGTTGGGGCTGTCAGATGTTCGTCCACTCCTGCACCCCTCATCTTCTGCTGCAGTTGACATGGCTGGATGGTGTTTAGGGCACTTGACAAATCGAAGAACATGATTCTCACAGTGCTCTTTTGTATCTCGAGGTGAGTCAGAGCCCAGTGCTGCAGGTAGATGAGGGTGTCCCCCATACCTGCCCCTGCTCCATAGGGGCTCTGGCACCAGGGAAGGACACCATTAAGCTATCAGCTTTATAATTGTAAACAGGTTTAATATAAGTATAGTTTGATGATTATTCATAATACATTTGGTAATTTTTATTCATGTCTTTTGCTGTACAGCACTTTGCTCAACAGTGTTGTTTATGTTATTTCCTAGATAGCTGTGATCCTAAATGCTACTTTGGGGATAATAAAGATACTCTGAACCCCTTTGGGGGACTTTGAAATGAGTTTCCGCAAAAAACATTTATTTACTATCTCAGTACATACAGGACTGATAGGCTAAAGGCTAGGCAGAGCATATTCAAGACCAAAGTGTAATCTCTGTGTCTTAAATTGGTTCAGAATCTGAAAAATTTCACAGCAGTTCATGCAATATTGTTATATAAATATGTAATGATAATAGAGGGTAAATTGCTTAAGAGCTATTTATTATTATTACCACCACTTGTGGCCAAAGCTATGATACTCTATATAAATAGAATATCCCTTGCTTGGTCTTAGTATGATTAATTAGAAGATCCTAGGATTCTTTTAATTATTAAGGGATCGTACACACTTCGCTTTGATTCAAGAAACAGTCAGGTTTATAAACAAAGTAAGAATTTATAAGACTTAATAAATTTTTTAAACTATTATTTACTGTGAGTGGATGCGAACTAAGATGGTGTCTGGAACCTATGTGTGAATATTGTACTCAGAATCTCCGTTCTCAGAGCTGAGTTCTGGACGGAAAGAATTTGGTTTGCAAATAAACTATAAAGATGTTATTATCAATCACATTCAGACGCTATCTGTGTGTCTATTTTACCCCGATTAAGAGACTCTCTTGGTGGATCCGAAAGTGAGAGGTCGGATGACCGCTGGCACCGGAGGGCTGTAGAGGACCAAGGTGCTGGTTCTTTCAGTCCGGAGATGTCTCTCGGGTCACGACAGATGGATGAAACCGAATGTCTTAAAAATAACTCTGAAGGAGTTTGGAGTCAGCTTTGTTCTGCAGGAAAACAATCTTGTTGTTCAGCTTCGCAGGTGCGATAAAGGTTTAAGGTTTTGACGACATGTCAAAATCCTTCTGGTTAAAGAGGTGCTAAAGATGGCCGGTCTGAAGCTTGCTCTAGAACTCACAAATTACTCAAAGCCATCTAGTTTAAAAAAAATTGATATTATGGTTTGGCCAGCCGATCAGGGGCTGACAAGTTTGAGAGATGTTACCAAGAATCTCAGAACACACCCTCTGTGATGGAGACTCCGAATCTAGGCAAAAGGCTAACTTATGTTTTATTATCTCTGCAGTCCAGCTGGTGTGAGGAAGTAGGCTCTGATTGAAGGGGCTATGTGCAGACTCTCCGAATCCTGTCAGGGGAAAATACAGTAAGATGTGTCATAGCCAGGGTAAGTTGACCTGGCTGTGCATTTGACCTGTGGGATCTCAAAATCAGGCCATTTCGTCACGTTACAAATATGTCTTGATTTTAAAAAGTTTCTGTTAACAGAGGCCATTGGAACTTTTACACAGAAGCACAGTTAATAAAAGAAAATTCCGTTATTTCAAGTGAAAACAATTTCATTAGATTTTTCAGGTTTTCCTTTGCAATGAATAAAATGTAAGAACAGATCAGGTAAACAAAGATTTAAGGCATGTTTAATTGTTAATTAAGCCTAAATTAATTTGCCTTCTAAGAATTTGACTCAGACAGAATTTTTCCCCTCTTTTCCTGTTAATCTGAGTCTCACTATTCAACCCTTCCTTCAACCACATAAGCCAATTTCCTTCCTGCAGATTTAAATAAGATCTGCTGTTCTTACTCAAGCCTTCAGATAGTTAATCCCAGAAGCTGTGGATTGAGCCAGAATGGTCCTTGAGTTTTGTTTACAGAGGGATTAGTCAATCTCCACGCTGAACTTTGACAGTTTGAGGTAATGGGAAGAGAAGGCATTGAGGAGGAGGGAACAATGATGATTTACAGAGTGTTTCATCTCAGGTTAAAAAACTACTTTGGCTTTTGTGATTATTTTAAAGAAAACATTTCTTCTATAAACTTGTATACTAGAATATAGGACAATGAAAAAGAGCCCAAAAGGTCACACACATCAGTTTTTAAATGTGGTTTTATTAAAACACAGGATTACATTTCCTTACAACACTGATGTGGTTTGCACACATAAACTCATGAAAAATAACAAAAGAATACACAAACTTTAACTCTGACAACATGTACATGGAAAGAAGTGTTTTGGAGTACTTCCTCAGCAAGACATAACCAACAATCCAATCAGTTATCAATTTATGATTTGCTTATTTAAGTACATGCTTTAATACTTGGAGACAAAAAATAATAATCTAAACCTAGTAATACAAGTAATACAATAACGGGACCTAAACTATCAATGTGATTTTTAAAATCACAATACACTGTTTAATGACCAGGCATACATTTTGTTGGTTGTAACAATGCAACTATAAAAGGAGCAAAAGCCAGCCTATAGCAATAAACTCATTTGTTAGAGCACTAAAGTGTCAATGCATGACATGCATTACACATATATAATAAGAGGGATCAACAAGCTTTTGTTTTCCTCTATTTGACTGTTTACATGCACATAACACATTGGCTTTAAGCCAGTTTTAATCTATTTAATCCATTCATACAGACAATAAAATAACTGAGGCACAAGATACAACATAGTTGGCCAACGACTGAGTAAAGAAATATATTGTTCACAACAACAAGACCAATGGCACAACAACAAACAATCCTAGGATGGGCATTTTAGAAAATCAATTACAAAACATGTGGATCTTCAGAAAGATGCATTTTAATTTTTTTATATTGGTTTCTGTAAATAGTTTTAATATAATCTCTTTTTGCACTGTAGCAGAAAGATATGATATTGTGCATTTCACTTTTGGATATGTTGTGTTTATTTGAATTCATAAAATTCTGTTTTATTTATTTATTTTACCTCAGGTGTATCAAAACATCCATCCATCCATTTTCGTCCGCTTATCCGGAGTCGGGTCGTGGGGGCAGCAGCCTAAAGCGAGAGGCTCAGACTTCCCTCTCCCCAGTCACTTGGGCCAGCTCCTCCGGGGGAATCCCAAGGCGTTCCCTGGCCAGCCGAGAGACATAGTCCCTCCACCGTGTCCTGGGTCTTCCTTTGGGTCTCTTCCTGGTTGGACGTGCCCGGAAAACCTCACCAGGGAGACATCCTGGCCAGATGCCCGAGCCATCTCAACTGGCTCCTCTCGATGTGGAGGAGCAGCGGGTCTACTCCGAGCCCCTCCAGAATGACCAAGCTTTTCACCCTATCTCTAAGGGAGAGCCCGGCCACTCTTTGGAGAAAACTAATTTCGGCCGCTTGTATCCGCGATCTCATTCTTTCTGTCACTACCCAAAGCTCATGACCATAGAAGAGGGTAGGAACATAGATCGACCGGTAAATCGAGAGCTTCACCTTCTGACTCAGCTCTCTCTTCACCATGACAGACCTGTACAACACCCGCATCACTGCAGATGCAGCACCAATCCGCCTATCGATCTCATGCTCCAGTTTTCCCTCACTCGTGAACAAGACCCCGAGATACTTAAACTCCTCCACTTGGGGCAGGACCTCATCCCTGACCCGGAGAAGGCATTCTATCCTTTTCCGAATCAAGACCATGGTCTCAGATTTAGAGGAGCTTATTCTCATCCCAGCTGCTTCACACTTGGCTGCGAACTGCTCCAGCAAAAGCTGAAGATACGTTCTGATGAAGCCAACAGGACCACATCGTCTGCAAAAAGCAGAAACCTGATCCTCAGGCCTCCAAAACGGATGCCCTCCACACCTTGGCTGCACCTAGAAATCCTGTCCATAAAGGTTATGAACAGAATTGGTGACAAAGGGCAGCCTTGGTGGAGTCCAACTCTCGCTGGGAACAGAGCCCGACTTACAGCCGGCAACGCGGACCAAGCTCTGACACCGGCCATACGGGGACCTAACAGCCCGTATCAGAGGGCCTGGTACCCCATGCTCCCAGAGTACCCCCCACAGGGCCCCCGAGGGACGCGGTCAAACGCCTTCTCCAAATCCACAAAACGCATATAGACTGGTTGGGCAAATTCCCACGCACCCTCCAGGATCCCCCTAAGGGTGTAGAGCTGGTCCATTGTTCCACGGCCAGGACGAAAACCACATTGCTCCTCCTGAATCTGAGGTTCAACAATCCGACAGACCCTCCTCTCCAGAACCCCTGAATAGACCTTACCAGGAAGGCTCAGGAGTGTGATCCCCCTGTAGTTGGAACACACCCTGCGGTCCCCCTTTTTAAATAAGGGGACCACCACCCCGGCCAGCCAGTCCAGTGAGACTGCCCCCGATGTTCACATGATATTGCAGAGCCTTGTCAGCCAACACAGCCCCACAACATCCAGAGTCTTAAGGAACTCCGGGCGGATCCCATCCACCCCTGGAGCCTTGCCACAGAGGAGCTTTTTAACCACCTCAGTGACTTCCACAGTCAGAATCTGTCCCCCCACACGTAGGCGGAGGGAGGCTACCCTCTGATTCACTGGGGTAAACCCCAAAGTACAGGCACCTAGATGGGGGGCAACTAGTATGCCCACCCCTGCTCGGCGCCTCTCAGTGGGAGCAACTCCAGAGTGGTAGAAAGTCCAACCCCTCTCAAGGAAACTGGTTCCAGAGCCAGAGCCATGCGTTGAGGTGAGTCCGACTTTATCTAGTCGGAACCTCTCAACCTCATGCACCAACTCAGGCTCCTTCCCCACCAGAGAGGTGACATTCCATGTGCCAAGAGCCAGCTTCTGTAGCCGAGGATCAGACTACCAAGGTCCCCGCCCTCGACTACCACCCGTCACACACTGCACCCGACCCCTAAGAGGTGCTCTTTGTCTGATCCCTCACCTAGGACCTGTTTGCCATGGGTGACCCTACCAGAGGCAGATAGCCTCAGACAACTTAGCTCCTAAGATCATTGAGACACTCAAACCCCTCCACCACGATAAGGTGGCAAATCATCTTAATTTCTGGGTAATAATGAAATTATTTCCTATTAACTTTATTTATATGAGATTAAATATGCAAATATTTCTAAATTAAAGAGTTTTCTTTATCTATTTTGTTTTTGTATCAGCGTATTCCAGCAGTTCCACCATGGTTTTTTACAATCAGGATAATGGTCAGTTCAGGTTGGATAAGGAGAAATAAATGCAGGAAAAAAAGGACTCTGAATAGCATTTTTACATGAAAACTTACCCGCTGACCCTCTTCTTATTGTTAATTTCATTCTTAGCTACTCAGCAATGCAGTATACTTTAAGAAAATTACATTTGGCAGGTCTGGATAGGCTAAAAAAAATCATGACATTTAAATTCAGACCAATTGAACATGTTAGCCTTTTATTTTGAAAGACCTCTCTCCCCAAAGACCCACTGCGTGTTATTTATACTGCTGTCTTAATGTTTGCATTTGCTTGCAGAAGGATGTTTAACAAACAGCCTTGAATCCACTTGCCAAATGAAAATTTTGTTGCAGCACACTGCCCTTCCCCTTTGTTAAGGTTTAAGCGCTGACAAACACCAAGCGGGTGGAGTAGATGAGATCAGCCAGGTAGAGTATGAAATTGACGACGGTGAGAACAGCCACCGCCACTGTTTTGTCCCATGAACACAACCCAGGGTCGGCGGTGCAATGGGACGGTCTTTGCTTTGTACCACCGTGTTTGGGGTCAAAGTTGAACACTGGCCAGATGATGGTTGCTGACAGATAGAGGACAACAGCCAGCAGGGCGTAGGCTGACAGGAAGCGGGCGAACGGGAAGGGGAGGCAGCCGGTGCACTCACCAATGCAGAGCAGGATGATGATAGCTGACAGGATGAAGCAGATGCAGTAGACGGACATGCAGTACTTGACCGAATCGTGGCGGTCATACAACACGGGATCGCTGATTAAGACGAAGATGATGCAGGCCACAAAGGTTTCAAAGACTTTCAGCAGCCCAGGAGCTGTGGCCATGTAGCCGGCGACCTCCCCCGGACGAGCTTTGGTGATGCTCACCTCGCTCATGTAGGCAATGGTGGCCAGGCAGGAGAAAACAGTCGACACAATGCGGCAGTCGCGGATCTCACTTTGGCCAGTGGAACCCTTCAGGTAGTAGAGAGGGAAGAGGATGGAGGCTGACAAGCAGAGGAGGGCAGCGTAGCAGGCGAAGGTGATGGGGAAGTTCTTCCAGGAAACAGGGGCTTTGGTCTGCAGGCCAAAAAGCTCCACCAGGAGGATGAGAAGAGTGCCGGCAAAGCTAAAGGCCCAGCAGAAGATGCAAAAGTCTCCAGTGCCATGGAAGAGCCTGGCACCATGCACAGCCACGGAGAAGGCCACACAGGAGCAGGCCAGGGCGGCCAGCCGTGTCCATAAAAGAGGGCTGGACTTCAGGACTATGGCCATGATGAGATCTTTTAGGTACCAAGACTTCTTTCTTCAGAGAATTCTCCGATTTCTACAGTTAGCCACTCAGGCAGCGTGAACTGAAAAGTGAAACAAAAACATAATATTTTAGGACTTTTGTAATTTACAAGACCTTATCGCACAAGACTCAACCAAGTGAGTCCAAAACCCTCTGCTCAGGCTAACTGCGTCCTCCTACACAGCATTTTCTCAGTGGCACAATGCTGCCATTGTATTTCACAAATAGCAGAAAGAACAACTCAAAATCTCAAAGAATGACTGCACTGTGGTCACAGTGGACACAGCACATTTCCATCTGGTGAGGAGCTTTCTCAGACTTTCCTCCAGGAGTTGAAGGAACTTCAGGCCTTAGCAGAATTCCCACACGGATAGTTTCACCCTGACATTCCTCCATGATGAGGTCCCAAGCTTGTATCCTCCATGATGGGAGAGGCGCCATAACCTCCACCAGCCCCACACTGTGTCTGTCATCATGTTCTAAACATGACCTTCATCATTTGTTCCACTCCCACTCCCGGGGAGTTAATGTACTCTGGAGTCGCTTTATGGAGCTGTGATTCTTTACAAGAGGAAAAAGGGTGAGGTTAAGTCACATATCTGGCACAAATTATGAATTAATTTAATTCTGACTCATAATTATTAGACAATAAACGATTGACCTGATTGTTTTTTGGACTGAGGGAGTAAACCAAGGTTCACCCACAATGCACAGGAAGAAACCATCTTCTCGAGAGGCCACAAATAGATAAGTCAATTAGCAGATTTGCAAGAACCAAACCAATAAAATTTAATATTTTTAAATCTAAAACTTTTAAAAAAATCACAACATTTCAGCAAATTTCTTCTTTTTTAACCCTCCCACTGACCTAATGGGTGTGACCCCGCGAGGAAAGTTGACCGTTGAGCAGGGTTGATGGTTTATCCCTTGGGTCCATGTGGCAGGGGTGAGGAGTCAGCACCACCTCACCCCTGCCACGTGGACCTCAAGGGATAAACCATCAACCCTGCTCAACGGTCAACTTTCCTCACGGGGTCACCCATAAAGACAGTGGGAGGGTTAATAGATGGTAATATTAGGCAATGTTAAACTTTTTCTTCCCAAGCATCCCATTTTTAGAATTGTCTGTACACTGTAAAAGTATTTTTTTCTCACTTTAGTTCAGCAAATGCTTCATCTAGACATAAGAACATTCAGAGGTGGTTTTAACTGACCGCATGTCAGATTAAGTTTAATCTATTCACCCGTTTGTTCCTTAGAGCACATTTTTACCACATTTTTTGATTTTTTACTCTCATTTTTATGATATTTATTGATCTTTTTTAATAATCTGTTTTATATTTAACAGTTTTGTTCCTTGCGTCTCATGATTTTTATTCTGAGAGCTGCTAAAAGATAATTTTCTTTCTAGAAAATGTTAAAGGTCAATATCATACATCATTATCCCATTTATTGTTACATTATCATAACCTTAAACATCCCTGACTGTCCCAAAATGAACATAAAATTAGCAACAAAAATAAATAAATAAAAAAGTGTTTCATTTTAGTTGTGGGGCCAAATGAAATGAGACAGTGAGCTGCATCTGGTCTGTGGGCCACCAGTTGAAATAAAAACTCCAGCCTTTTGGCCCCGGCTGGCATGTAAATATTAAACAACGACAGATAGTTTAAAAGTTTTTATGTAAACAACTAAAAGTTTAACAGTTTTTAACACAATATGGCTGGTGCCATCTCCGAGACGGACTGCTTCTCATTTAAAAGGAAGAATGTGTTGCTTTATTCCACACTAACATCAAGCTGTTCTGGGACAACAAGAGTAAATGGACATTTTTACAGCGCAGAGACACTGTCCATCCACCCCTCCACCCCCTTTACACCTATTACCCATTTGGCTCCACCAGAGCTGCATTCCTAGTTCCTGGTTTACACAGAGAGACGGTTAAAAGCAAGGAGAAAAGACCTGTTTACATTAGTTCTATTAAACACCAAAGAAAGACTCGAAGCTGCCGAGGCTGAACGCTGCTGCTGCTGGTGAAGTGGGAGGCCAGAAAAGAGAAGCAAGAATGGAAAATGAGACCCATTAAAACCTTCTATAGGTTTAGAGGGGGAGTGATGGGGGAGGGACATGGGGGAAGCCCTGCACCTCAGGCACAGAAGGGCACGTCGTGTAAACATAGTGATGGAGTGGAATAGCTACGGAGTGAGTCAGCATTGGTCTCCTCTCTCACTACTCTTCATTTCTCTCCCCACCTCCTCCCTGATTTCTTGTAAGATTTTCCAACTCGTTGATGTGTTCCAGATGTGCTGCTGTCTGCTGAACAACTGGTGACTTTGTCATGTTTGCAAAGTTTTTCTCCATATTGCAGTCTCGCCTTCTTTTTCCTCCTCATACTCCCGTGTTCTTCTTTTCTGGCCTTTTTACTTTAACGCTCTTGCCCTCGGGCGACCAGTTAGGCTCCATGTAAACTGTTCAGAGTGTATATGGAAGGTCAACGGTGGAAAAAACATAAACCCCAGCTCTGCCACAATCACGGCTGTGCTGCTCATGGCAACCAGTCAGGAAAGAAATAGCCATGAGAGGAAAATGACAGAAGAGTCTGGAAAATGTGGCGTTTTTGTGTGGAAAACACAACTCAAACAGGAGTCCCTCTCCAAATGGAGGGGAGCAGAAAATAGGTTCACGCATTAAAACAGGATGTGGCAGTATCACGCACCTTTGTGCTCCCACTCTCCATACATGTAGACTGAGATGTTCAGGAAACAAGAGTTTGTGTTAGCCCAAGAGGTCATGCGCTGTTTGCGTCGTTGCCATGACACAACATCACTCACTCAATTTCAACTCTAATCCATTTACAGCCAACCCAAGGGCCGAAACACAAGACACACTCTGCTGGAGAACCATTCGTGAGTCAGAGGTCGATAGGTTAAGGTTCAAAAAGTGTGCTTTCACTGCTTTTTAAGGAAAGAAAATCCTACTATTAAGCATTTTTAATTTCTAAAAGTATCCGGAACATAGTCAAGCAATCACGAGGCACTAACTAACCCGACACAGCAAAACAGCAGAGGTTCTTTGACATGACTCCTTTTTAAATGAAAGTTCACGCTACATGAAAGCATGCGCGCACTATATAGATGTGCAGCGTGTGTGTGAGTTGTTTTGGACTCCTGGAACAGCTCATTCATTGACATTTAATGTGGGTGTGCCCCCTGCCACACCCTGCTCCCAACACTCACACCACTAAAGTTTAAAGCACAACCTGACACACCACACATTTAAAATGAGTCTTTAAAACCAACTTAAAAACAAATGCATGCATTTAAAATTTGCACAAAAGGAGCTGTTTGTATTAAGTTTTGAAGAATAAGCCAAAATGTTGCTGTTGTGCTGTTTTCTTCCTTTGCTGTCAAATGTTTTAGCAACAGAAACATAATCTGTTGACTGCAGGAGAAAAACGGAATGTTTTACTATCATCTGAGGCCATGGGAGGTCCTTTTAGGCGGTCTGCACTCGACCAGGTCTGGAGAGGCAACAAGTTCCACTGTGAATCTGGACAGCTGCAACAACTAACTCAAACAAAACCAACTGCAAAAAGCCCCACCAGTGTGGGACAATACTATATTTAGTTAGAATAGCTTTCCTAGAAGGGATACTACGCATTTCTCTACAACAACCAGACTCAGATACCAGAATCTGTGACTGAGTCTCTTCAGGTGCAGCAAACACACTCTGGATGTCCTCCTCGTTTTTATCTCTGTGGCTGTTTTCTGTGAAAAAAACAACAGTGATCCATTGGAGATTTGTTCTTTAACCTTTACCTCAGATCAGTTTAGCTAAAGAATCAATCAGTTTGGTGTCTGTCAGGCTGCCACACCCTGTTCCCACCCCACACAAGACATCAGTCCACAAAACACAGACGATTCAAATAAATAAGACGAGTTTAAATTAAAATGAAACTATTTTCCAAACACCAAAACTTGCATTCAAAAGATATTCAATTTAAATAAAATACAGCAGGATAACGAACTACAGAAAGTAAATAAACTTGTTACAAGCCTGTGAGACTTGATGTTAAATCAAGGGAGACTGGTTGTTGGTAAGTTGAAGCACAGAAACTAAGAGTTGCATTCTTCTGAGGAAACATGAATGTAAAACAGGAAGCAGAAAGTGAAATGTTCCCACTGAGTAAACTCATTTTTCTTTATTCTAAACTACAACAGCAAGTGAACTCTGGACTTTTCTTACCTTCGTGACACTTTTCTGCTGTTCTCTAGAACAACCAGGAGTGAAGAGCTGCAGATTTTAGGTCCTCAGCCTTCTGTTTGAATTTACTAGCAGTCCTAAGAAGCTGCTCTCCGCCCAGAAAACCAAATTAGGCGTCGAATATCTGCACCGTTATTCACATCCAGCTGAACTCCTCCTCCACCCTGCTCATGGTCGATGGGTCAGAGCCACCGCCTACACCCACACTAGACATTTCCCCCTTTGATAATTTCTCCGCTCGTGGAAGCTGGAAGCAACAAGAAAAAGCAGAAAATCTGCTGTTTTCTAATGGATTTCAAGATAATTAGAATAAAAACAACTTAAACTAATTCAAGTGTAGCTCATTCATGTAAACAGAATAAAGTTTTCTGAATAAAAATAAATAATCATCTCCCAGTGTCACAGTGGACCAGGTCACGAGAGAATTGAGGAAACTTCGCCCCAGCAAGGCGGCAGGCCCAGATGAGGTGTGTCCCAGGATGCTTAAGGCATGTGCTACTGAACTTGGGGAGCCGCTACAACGAGTCTTCAATCTCAGCCTGCGACTGGGGAGAGTGCCCGTCCTCTGGAAGACATCCTGCATCGTTCCGGTCCCCAAAAAGAACCGGCCCAATGAGCTGAATGACTTCCGACCGGTGGCACTGACATCACATCTTATGAAGACCTTAGAGAGGCTCTTCCTCAACCTCCTCCGACCACAGGTACAACATGCCCAGGACACACTACAGTTCGCATATAAGGCGGGTGTCGGAGTGGAGGATGCCATCCTGTACCTCCTGCATAGAGCTTACTCACACCTGGATGGGGGAAAAGGCTCGGTCAGGATCCTGTTTCTTGACTTTTCCAGTGCCTTTAATACAATCCAGCCTGGTCTGCTTCAGGAAAAACTGAACAGGATGGAGGTGGACCCCTGCCTGGTCGCTTGGATCACTGACTACCTCACTAACAGACCACAGTATGTCAGGCTGAAGGACATCACGTCCGGCACTGTGGTCAGCAGCACAGGAGCACCACAGGGAACTGTGCTGTCCCCACTTCTATTCACCCTGTACACCTCTGATTTCAGCTACAACTCTGAATTATGCCATATTCAGAAGTACGCAGATGATACAGCCATCATGGGGTGTATTTGGGATGATCAGGACGCGGAGTACAGAGGTCTGGTGAGAGATTTCGTCGCATGGAGTCACTCGAATCACCTGCAACTCAACACCTTAAAGACTAAGGAACTGGTTGTGGACTTCGGGAGGTCAAGAG